TTATCAGATGAAGATCGTGGTACTGGTTATAAGAGTGAAGCTCTTACACGTCTGGTGTGTGAGTTAGTCGGATATGCCTCTGATACTCGTATTGTAATAGTAGGATCTCGAACGTAAAGGTAAGCTGAATAACTAAAATAACTAAATAACTGACTGAAAAGCGAAGGTGAAGATATAGATAAGAAGGAGATGATGATTTGAGGATGAGGATGATGATGCGTGAAGATGGAGGACTCGTGTCCTACTCTGCCTCTGTGCCTTTTAAAGAAGAGAAAATAAACTTTCTCCTAGCCCCGTAACCTATTTCCCTGATGTCCGGCCTTACCCCGTTACACTACCCTTTGCACTACCTGACTATTATATTGTGAGACGTGTGGTATCCTCGTTACATAATACGCTGGGAATCGATAGCTCTACTTCTCTGGACCTTGACTGAAGGGTTCCTCTTGATAAAAGCCTAGACCCAGTTCTTTCTAAGTGGTTCGGTGTCTCCGTGGATCTGTAGGATACGCTCGGCGAAGTCTTTGAGCTGTTGATAGGTTAGTGGGAGGCCTAGGGCAGCCTGGATTCGAACCCATTCAGCCAGATAGGATTCCTGGGCTGGAGAGAGCCTCTAGTAGTCAGCGAAGGCTATATCTTTTGACTAGGCTCCCTGAATCCGTCGTGAAAGAGTAGACCTTAGGACACCATGCTCATATGCTGCTTTTCGGAGGCTTTGACCGGTAGCTATTGCTTGAAGAGCTCGATAAATATCATCTTCGGTATATTGACTTATATTAGTATAAAGAAGACGTACGTAAAATTTCGTAAAGATTGAATCGATATTGGTTGTGACAGGCTGTGCCTGATATGGGATCCGGAGCTGCAAGGACCGTGCGTCCGGATCCACCAAAGGAACCATCGAGGGCACACAAAACATAGTCCGTGTTCCCGGGACAACTCGCATATTTTACTTTCCTCCTCAGTTAGATAATTGACAGTATTTGGCCATGTTGAGCTGTATAGTTTCGCAGTGAGCCCGTCACATTGGTAAAGATAAAAGAGGTTGAAGTTAGAGGCTAGCGGTGTTGATGTAAGGGAATACAGAGCTATAAGCAGGGTTAAGCCTCAATTCTGTCACTAAGTGACAGAATTACTAGATATTTTGGTCTATGTGACGTGATAGTCTAGGCTTGCTGTCACCTTACAGTTGATGAGGCATTTTTAGGTGTCCCACATGTGGGGGTGTCCCGGATGTGGGTGTGGGACGTTACAGATGATTCTGGAACTAGAACATGCCTTGGTCACTTTCGCTTCTGATATCGGGAATAATGCTGCAACCTCCGGAATGCTTGGTTCATAAGATCATCACAACCTCAAATTCGGTAACATGCTCGGTGACACTGGAATAATGGGAGTCTGAGCGGAAGAAACGTGGTGTTATCTTCATCGGCTACATCCCAGAGAGAATTAGGGACACCTTCGAGCACTGGCAACTCATCCGTGAGCTGCTGTAGGTGGAAGGCACGACTGAGTGTCCTACAAAACCCCGCACTTCGCCGATTTAGCCAGGTAGTGGACCGACCTGAGGGAAACATATTTTTGTACAATTTTTCAATTTGCCATATGGTGCGTAAATGGTTTTTTGGAGCTTTGCTGAACAAGCCAAGGAGTTCTTCGCGTGCTACTGATGTAGATGAGGTCTTGGAAGAGTTGCGTGCACTTTTAGCGGTGGTGCAGGAACAGTTTACTCTCATCAATATTCCTAGATTCAACTTCCTCCCTTGGAGAAGATTAGTTTTCGAAAGAATGTTATGGTCATGGTAAGAGACCGTCGTCTCGAGTTAGAAATAGTTGAAACTTGTTGATCAGAGGCGTGTCGGGCGGGTGAACTTCGATTTAGGAAGGTTCCGACCCTGGCCTTCATCCACATACGCATTTGAGCCCATTATTTCCATAATCTTGTCCCTGGGTATCTGATAGATAACCGCTAGTAACCATTACCGGGAAATATATTATTAGCTGATTTTGTAACTAAGTGTAATACCCCATGGAAGAGTTACTTAGTCGATGGATCTTAAGTACTTGTAGACGGAGATTTGGAGCAGGGAAGGTAACGCTGGTATCTAAAGGGATGCCTTGGGTATGCCAATAGCTTAGTCAATTATTACGTTGACAGTTGCGTTATTAGTGTGTTCAACGAAGGAGTTAGTGGTCAAAAAAGAAGTAGTGAGACTCGGAAATGTCGTTATTCGGTACACAGGTAGTTGACGGTCGCCTTTATACTTCGAAGGTGCAATAGCAACACTAGAATTGCAAACATAATAATCTGGTTAACGTAGTCCACGGTCCAATTGCACACTTTGGCAGACCTTATACGACAATGTATAAGTTAATTCAACCACAACGCCTATCATCCACTCTGTAGCTGATTTTTCTTCGCACGGCGACGTCGACTTAAGGTCTCATTTGCCTTTCGAAGTCATTCGACCTCGCCTTCTAAAAGGGCAAGCCGATGCATAACCTTCGTTGTACCTCGCGCAATCTGATCTATTCCAGCAAAAATTGACGTTGGTGAGCTATTTTGATATCGTACAATCCTATTTTTCACATAATCGGTTTGTGATTGGGCTTCGGTTGGGTTGTTCCGAGTCTTTGATTCCCAAGGGACGGGGAGACCAGCCGAGCTACCCGGAGGTGTTGGCGTATGTAATTTCACATCGAGCTGTGATATGACATAATCTGCATCGTACGGAACTATTCCTACCCCTCGGAAACCTCCTTGGATATTTGAAACCGTGAAAGTTGCGTTGTACGCGTTTAAAAACGCCGGTAAAAAGTCTTCTTTCGAGATATGACTTATATGCGCTCGCATGAGATCTTCGATTTCTTTTCCGTACGCTCTTTTTAACCCGCGAAAACAACCAACATCAAGAGGCTGGAGCTTATGCGACGAATGAGGAGGCATAAAAAGCGTGACGGTATTGTTAGCTTTGCAATATACCTCGAAATCGGTCGAGTGATGGCTTTCGTGACCGTCGAGGATCAATAGGCGATGAGTACCTTTCGTACGAGACTTGGTGTGATGATCGAAGTGTTTTATCCAATCTTTGCCTCTCTCGTTCATAGTCCAGCCATTTTTAGTAACCCAATCAGTCGGTAATGGGCTGTTTTCGTACCATGACGAGAGGTGGGTTTTGCCGGCGAAAATGATGTACGGAGGGAGGGCATAACCGGACGACCCAACGCCTTGAATAACTGTAACCCATTCCAGATTTCTATGCTGGGCTGCTCTAGGCCTTCCGCGCCGATCAGAAGTCGTCACGATCATTTCGGACGAGATTTGGCCCATCACAAAACCGGTCTCGTCGAAGTTGTAGATATCCTCCTCCTGGATCGCGTATTTCGCAATTGTATTCCGTACCAGGTCAAACCACGCGCGATACGCGTCGGGGTCTTCGCAGAGGAGTCTATGATAGTCGATCCTTCGATTTAAACGCGTCCGGAGGTCTGGTTATCGTCTTACGAAGCTCGAGGCCCAGTTGACGCCGACGCGTCCCGCGTCGCGACTTCGAAGTAATCGGTTGGCCATATCTTCAACACCACTGAATCGGGGAGGAAATGCTCGCGAATCTAGGTCGGTTATATGTCGTATGATTGCCTCTTCTTCGGAAGGAGTCAACTTTTGCGTTGGCGATCGCGTAATCGCTCGAGCGGTTTTACCGTCGCGTCGATACGCAAGTGTTCTAAAAGGTACGTTATAGATTTGACCAGCGCGACGTACACTTAATTTTGGATCACATTGAAGCGCATGTAATGCTAGAATCATATTACTTTCATTCCAAGAATCAACCATAGTTATGTGGTGAAAAACCACAGGTCAAAGTGGTAGCGTACGAAAATCTGCCGAAGTGTGCAATTGGACCGTGGACTACGTTATTTCAAAAGAGGGATTATTTTGATTTTGTATCGCGTTTGAGCCTGGCTTGCCAATTTTATGTGCATCAGTTTGCCGTCGAGACATCTAAATGTATCAAGCTTCCTCTGCCTTCTTCAGGTTTACATTCACGCATTGTAGAAATCTTGGCCTTCTGAGGCGTGCTACGATTCAATAAACTACCAACACCTCGACCCTTTACTCCGAGGCACAATGGAGTGAGCATGTTCATTCCAGAATGCTGGCGGCAGCAACTGAGACAGGTCGCGATAGAAGAGGACGGGGTGTATCCAGTAGTCGTGATGCTGCTGTCAGATTACTTAATATCACGTCCGGGATTATTGTCCAGGTTTGTATTCCGTCCCATCAACACAGTCTAGATCTTCAGTCTAAGATAGTTGATTACTGCCAGACCGAGCCTTTCCTCCTGCTCCGAACCACAGTGCAATCTTCTCGATGGTTTTGCTGCAATGAAGAATTATCCCTAGTGGCCACAAATGCTTTAAGCTGCATCACCACGTTTGTGAGACTTCCTATGGATGACCTGCCGGCATGTAAGTAATCACACAACGCAATACACGAGAATGCAATATTTGATCCATTATTTGGGCATTGCCATTTACACAATACATTTATTGGTCGGCAGGCAGGCCAGCAGTCAAACGAAGTCCACACCAATCAATTCCACGATGCTCGGAATCGAGGCAAGGGACAAGAGTGGAGTATCAATCCTCTTCAATGGCGCCGAGAAGCGGCACATCATTCACACTTTAGCTTCGCATTTGACCGAACGACATACCTATCACTAAGAAACGTGTTGATATTCCATGGAAGCTGAGTGGGAAATTTGGATTACAACTGGCAAACTACAAATCAACCTTAGTTATTAACACACTTCGAGCACCAGGCATCGTCTTCATTTCTTCGGTCATCCAATTATCTCGGTGAAAATCCAACCTCCGTATACCGTCATATGCCTTCAAAATCCAGACTCGGTAATGTCCCTAATAGCCGTCATAGTCCATCTCTGCGTCGGCCTCCCTACATTCGCTTGATTCATCGCGACCCTCGGCCCGCCCTCCATGGTATCCAAATACAGCGCACTCCCACTATACATATTCTCCAAATGCCAAGTCCCATCACCCCACGGGGCAATCTTCCAGATCTGTCCCGAGTACGGTCCGGCACTGGCCAGATGGGGTTTCAGCTTATCATTACCATAGACATCCAGCTGCCTCCCCACACCTAGGAACAGAGTCCGCAGGGCGTACGTCCCCGCGCCGTTGGGGACAATCTGCCAGTGCTGGCCCGAGAAGTTGCCTACGCGGGACATCTGAATTAACCCTTCCGCATTGCCGGCGCCGTCGTTGAGGACGTCGAGTGCGTAACCGGCAAAGGTGTTGGTTACACGATACCACTTCCTCGAGCTGAAAGGTCCATCATCACCAGGCGGCAACGTGATGGGCTTGACGGTGATATTAAAAGTCATCGACGGTGCCGCAGCGGGGATGTTAGTAATGGACACATACGTGTCTTGACCCGAGTATGCCTTGCTATTCGGGTTGCTCGTCGCGTTGAAGACGGTGTTTCTCGCAATCCCCGGGAATGGATCCCCGGCATCGCCAAAGCTGAATTTAAGCTGATCAAGCCCATCGGCTTGGAGGAGTCCCACCTTGGGGTGGAACTCGTTGGTGTTGCCATCGACACTATCGTCGATATGCCAAACCAGCAGCCCGTTGCCCGGGAGAGAGTTGTCGAAGCCGCTGAATTGACGGTTTTCGATAAGGAAGTACTCAGAGCTGTTCGTGTCGCCATCTTTCCAGAGGCGATGGGTTTTGTAGTCGGATTTGACTTCTTTGAGCGTGATTTGGTGGTTTTGCGTCTCGTTGACCACATCGATCCAGCCTTGGTTGGCTTTGCACCCTTTTTGAACAGTAAGCATTGGGTTTTGATAGTGAGTGGAAACGGGGGACGCCTTACAAGCCGATGGGTGGACGGGGCGATCACCGCTGCCACCCCAGCTACCGTAAGACATGAGACACCAACTGCCGATGCCGTCTGAGGTTCCATCGGTGTCGTAGAGGTCGGGCCATCCAAATACTGACATAGATATCTTAGTGAGGAAATGTGCATTGGAGCATAATCAGTTCCTTACGTAAATGCCCAATCTCGTGGGCACTGACCCCAATTTTGGCGTCTTCGGGGATGGTCAAGAAACCGAACACATTCACGTCTGGTAGCATCCACCTATCAGCCTTTCGTATCCACGTGCACTTGGGGGTTGCATGCTCACCATTCAGCTTTCTCTCCTGGTTGATATTCCACTTCAGGCTCCAAATGTGATTCGGGTTCCCACTCTGCTCAGCCCCAGTACCAGCGTGGACAACACAAAAGACATCAATCATGCCATTTTTGTCATTGTCGTACTTGTTGAAGTTAACCTTACCAACAGCAGCCGTGACAGCCTCATCGGCCATCGTCATGGCATTGGGCTCAGGCCAAGCCATGCCCGACTGGCCATTGGCGTAGTACGCCATGTCATGGCTTAGAGTGTAGGGGCCGATGACCTCGCCGGCGAGCGAGATCTTGCCGCCCGATGCTTCCTTGTAGTACTCGTTGACAGAGCCGGTGGGAATCTTGCCTGTTGAGAAGAAGAGATTCTCGAAGCGCTGCTTGGCACCGGCCCCCATCTTAATGTCCTTGAATTCTACGAGGACTAGGATGACGCTACATGTCGGTTAGGTCAAATCACGCGTTAGGTATTGCTGTGAGCGTGATAATACGTACTTGACAGCACCCCTAAGCGGCGCTCTCTCCAGAGCTGCGCGGCTCATGGCCTGGATGGACGTGGGCTTCTTGTAGCTGGACTTTGGGAAAATGGTGCCATCGTTGAGACCCGGGAGGCGGCCGGTGCGGTACGAAAGGGCGAGGGCACTCAGTTTCTTGATGGCTGCTGCATCTGCCGCGGCGGCTCCCTGAACCTTGAGAGTTTCGGCCGTCTTCTGGCGGGCCAGGAGGTCAGGATGGGGTGGGATGGGGCAGAGGCCTTCGTGGCAATGGTGCGCCATCTTGATGCCGCGCTTAACTCAGAGGGTCGATGACTATGGGTAGGTAGAGAAAGATGAGGATGTAACTTGTGACGTGTGGTTTACAAATCAAGTAGACATAAAGAAGCAGAATCTCCTGGAGACCAGCCCATAGTTTATAGTCGGACAAAGTCTCCTGGCTCAACCACGTCTCCATGGTGTTTGCCTGGCTGGCTGAGGAGATGGCTGCTGCGCTTGAAATTTGGCTTGAGCTATCGTACCTAGATTCTTTTGTGCTACTAACCCAAGCTGAAGCTGAATTTGATATTCTAAAGTGTGGTCGAAGCTATACGAAGATGGAGAAGAGCTTGGCATGTGGCATCCTTACGTGCCAAGAGAAGAGGCTGCTGACTCCCGCCAAAGCTTCTATAGATCGGTACTTCTTGAGAGAACTCTGATGTGATGAAATAATTGCCTTGAATCATGATGGTACGACGGATGCAGGCAGGTTCGTCATATTTTGGCCAAGAATGTGTAGAGTGTGTGAGCAATGACTGCGATACACCAACATGTTGGGTCAATGGTTGGCATCTGCATTTACCGAGGACTTGCAGGAATTTCGTAACACAGATCTATCATGTCATAATTTCAAGGAGATCAAAAATTCCTCGTGGGGTCTGGCCTGGTCCATCGACGCCACCAACAAGCCGTTGGCTGGAAATGTAGTTCAGCTCTGACATGTTACGATTAGGTGGGCTAAGAGGTGATACAACTTAGTGCGAACCGACAGATCAGTCAACCGCCGATAAAGGCTGAAAAAAACGAGACTAACGGATTGGAGAGCCAAGATACCGAAGCCGGGATATTGAAGAGAAGATCATGATGGAGTCAATGAGGGACAACCCCTGAAAATCGGATGTATCTCATCGTAGATAGCTTTGCCCAGGCTCTAAAATTAGCCCAATGGACATGAGAAATATTCTGGAATCGTAAGAACACATATAGTATAAAATAGTCAATACGTTAAATGGGAAACCCCGTAATAGTACCACGGAGAAGCATTTCTATAAAAATCATGCCGCAGAATTTAGATCCAGGCTGAGCCTCGGGCCCCTCATTTTAGAGCCAACCGATCCCTGCCGTGCAGCTGCATAGCCCATTGAGCTTGTATACTTCAGATGAAAGTAAACATCTCCGCGAGTCTCATTTCCTCTATCCCAAACTCATATTTTCATCAGTTACAAACTCCAGTAGACAATCCGACACCATGGATACCGAAGCCAGCCAAGCAGGCCTCCTCACCACAATCTACCGTAAGCTTATCACAGGCAGCCACATCTTGCACTACCACAACGTCCTAGACGCCTATGGCCACCTCTCCTGCCGGCACCCCTTCAAACCCGACCTCTTCATCATGTCGCGCGAATCCGCACCGGCCATCATTTCCTCGCCCGCGGATCTAGTGCACTACCACATCTCCGACGCCTCGCCTGTGGATCCCAACTCCCCCAAGGGCTTTTCGGAGCGCCACATCCACAGTGAAATCTACAAAGCGTACCCGTCTCTTCAGAGCGTAATCCACAGCCACACCGACTCCGTGATCCCTTATACCATTACGGGTATCCCTCTGCGGCCCTGCAGCCACATGGCCGGGTTCCTAGGCCACTGGGCGCCAGTATTCGACATCGCGTCTGCGTACCAGCCCTCCGACGCAAAGGACATGTTGGTCCGGAATGAGCACCTGGGCGCTGCTCTGGCAAAGTGTTTCGAGTATAATCAAACCGTCGTTCTGATGCGGGGACACGGGTTCACGGTTGTGACGGATAGCAAGGCGAATGCGGTAGAGGAGTGTGTGAGTAGGGCCGTTTACACGATGCGGAATGCGGCCATCCAGACGGCGGCTTTGACGATGCAGGCGGCGTATGCGCGGAGTGAGGGAGAGAAGGCGCTCGTGCAGCCGATTAAGTATTTGAGTCCACAGGAGGCTGAGGCGGCTCAGGGGATGAGTACTTGGTCTGTGGGAAGGCCGTGGGGTTTGTGGGTTAGGGAGGTAGAGGCTTGCGGGTTTTATATTAATTCAGCTTGATGCCGAGTTGAACTGTTGAACTCTATTTATATAGAGTGGGAGTTCTGGTTTCACATTTATTTAGTCCAAAATTGTTGAAGCCGAAGGTGGGAGTTTAGTTTACGTGCGAACCACAAACTCGCTTAAGATGTCCTAACAAGGTGATTGCTGTGATTATTAAAGCAAGCCTGCCCGTGTGGTTAATTGTAGTATCCGTTGGGTTAGATAAGATATGATGTTTAAGATGTATTCTTCTAAGCTATGGAAATGCCTAGCTTGTAGCTGTGTTTTTATGTCTGTGTAAATTGTCTGTTGAGAAGATGCTGTCAAGTTCAACTAAGAATGTAGCTTTATTATGGGGCTGGTTGATGTACTTGGCCTTATGTTGGATGATGGCTGGCCCGACGGACTACCATACAGGCGCCTAAATATGTCCGGCTAGTAGTAGTGCCAAAGTACTATGCGCAAAGGGCAGTCGTGCCAGGCATGTTGCTGATAACAGACAACATCAAATACGGCAACTAGGTCATGCCGAGAGCCAGGAAGGGCATCGATCACTGGGCTACACAATGAAGAACTCTAGTGCAGTTCGCATGTACGAGTCTATTGAGGTGCCGGAAGAGATCAAAGGGCAAGGCATACTGGAGTATATCAAGGACTTCGCGATGGCAGGAGGAATGCCAACGCGGCAGGCTTCGACGGGGTTGAGATGCACGGGGCAAATGGATATTTTGTTGATGATTTCCTCCAGAATACATGCAAAAAGCGGGCTGATGAATGGGGTTGGCAGCATTGAGAAGCGTGCCAGATTTCCCATCGAGGTGACCAAGGCGGTCGTGGAAGTAATTGGTTCGGAGCGGAGGGCGATCTGGCCAAGGCCGTTCAGCGATTCCCAGGAGATGCTATATAGACGAGGCGATGTTCTCCAGTTCGGGTGCGTGTTCAAGCCACCAAAGCAGTTCAGCCTGGCGGCGTCCTTACATTTGATCGAAGCCCGTATTAGCGGCAATATTGACACTATTAAGGCTCGCCATCTTGTTCGTCCAATCTGATACAACCATCTCTAACTTGGAAGTCAGGCTGCGGGGACAGAATAGTATGGGCTTCCTAGTGAAGTTTTGGAACAATCAAAGCCCCGTGGTTCTTGCCGGAGGGTTACAGAGACGATAACATCAGCATCGCATTCAGCAGAGATTTCATTTCGAATCCGGATCTTGTCTTCGGGCTGAAAGAGGCGATCAAATGATCTAAATACGACCGAACTTCCTCCTACACTCCAAAGACAGCTCAAGGATACATCAATTGTCCCTTGAAGACACAATTCCCCGCTGATGCCACCTCAAATGGATAATATGCTAGTAAAAGATTATGTTGGAGTTTATGTGTAGGTTCATTGCAAAGTGTAATAGCTGCGCTCTGTTGATCAGCAGCACTGGTCGTATCAGACCGCGCCGGCTCTTTCAGTTTCGTAACTTGCTCTGGTCTAAGCAGCCACTGTTAGGCTCAGATATTATCAGCAACCCAAACGTGCAGCCGAGAGCATATTTTTCTGTACTTCAGGTCCTCGTGGCCGGCCACCTTTGCCCTGGGGACTCGGAAGAGAAGAGAAACAGTCCATTACATGCTTTTTTATAACTTGCAACAAGTCCAATAAATCGCACGAGACAAGCTTGACTGTTTCGAAGCACTTGCATATATCGGGGGCAGGCCCATGTATCACCTTGATGGCCGTCCTGGCGGTATCGAGATCCAGGGTAAAAATATCACGACACGGGAGCGGTGCCAGAGCAGTTAAGAGGGGAGAATGGACGACTCACGGGATGACAGCGCATCTGCGGGGTGAGACGCGTTTTGGACGGGTAACACAAGGGTTTGAAGCGTCTTATCATTCGTGAACGCCAAGCTAATATTTCGATTAAAACAGATCAGCAACCGCGGGTAATTTGCGACTGAAGGGTTTGCACTTTGACAGTTCATCCACTTTCTTTCCCTGCCGCAACTTCAACATTGCCTTTCATCACGATGCCTTCGGCCGGTGACGTGACGAAGCACGTCGATTTCGACCCAGGCGACGTCCAAATGATTTCGACAAGACCAAGACGCCCCATTGAGCTGGTTGAGCCAAATCTCGGTTGGGCTTCGTCATTCGTGTTAATCGTCCAACAGATACGCGCAGCGTTAGAGGGTCGCGTCGTTGCAATTGAGCACGTCGGCTCGACAAGCATTCCAGGCCTCGCAGCCAAGGACATTATCGACATCGACTTGATCGTGGCAGACCCGACTGCAGAGGATGAATATGTCCCCGACCTCGAGGAGGCAGGCTTTCAGTTTCTGTTGCGCGAGCCTGGATGGCACCAGCACCGGCTTTTCTGCCTCGACGAGCCGTGCGCAAATATCCACGTCTTTGGACCCGACAGCCCCGAAGTGGTGCGTCATCGCATCTTCAGAAATTGGCTGCATCAACATGAGGATGATAGACGCGCGTATGAGAACGTCAAGCGCAAGGCGGCTGATGCGAGTCGTAAAGCGGCTGAGAATATGAACCAGTACACTGCGAGGAAAAATGGGATTATCAGGGAAATTCTGGATCGCGCTTTTGCTGATCAGGGTCTTCTCAATACATGATTCGTTATGTACATGCCGGGTTTAGTATGGGGCAGGCCGAGGAAGTGAGGTTCACCAATCTTCAGCTCCAGCTTGTAAGAGTTCGAAGCATGTGGATTAGTTCAGGGGGGGCAGCCACGAACTGATGGGGTACGACGTCAGGGATTCATTGACCAACACGGCGAGCCACACTGCAAGTGCCTGTCATATATTCGCAGAAAGCCTGATCAATCCATCAACCTTGAAGCAGCTCGCCATCGCATAACGGTACCTCTAGTGGGTTCCCAATGTCGTGGTGCCGTTTAGACTGAGGCAGCACATTCCGGACCGTGCGCCAATCCACTACAGCGGTGGGTTCACTGACAACAGACAACAAGCCGAACCCGACGTCAAAGATGCCCACTTTGGTGACAACCCTGCATCTTGAACTAACCATGTCACCTGAGCCACACACAGATCTTCAGACGAGGGATATCCAGCGCATCAATATCCTGAAACTGCAAAGAAGAATCGGACGAAATTTGCATTGCCCAGTACGCGGGGACTGACTTCACGACTTCACAAGCAACCTCGGATCCAGTCCAGGTGCTGCCTGGCGACGTTCATTGATAATCGCGGAATATCACTGATCATCGAATTGCGGACCATATTCGTCTTCTTTCAATGTACACGAAGCCCCGATGGAGGAACACGATTTTATTGTGATTGGCGCCGGTCTCTCGGGCATCGACGCCGGCTATCGTCTCAAGACTGAACTACCAGACTGTTCATACACGATTCTAGAGGCACGTGACAAGATTGGCGGGACGTGGTCTTTCTTCAAGTTCCCTGGTACGTCCAAGAAGATCGTTCGCGTGCGAGATCATGAGCTCAACCGCCCTAGGCATACGGTCCGACTCCCAACTCACCACGTTCGGCCTTCCCTGGAGACCATGGGTGCACGACAAAGACATGGCCGATGGGCCATTGATCCTGGAATACATCGAGTCGGCCGCTCATGATGAAGGCATCGACAAGAAGATCCGGTTCCGGCATAAAGTCACGGCTGCCAACTGGTCGTCCGAGGAGCAGCGGTGGACTTTGACCGTCGATAACGAGGGCAGCACTAAAATCTTCCGCGCCAAGTTCCTCTTTGCTTGTTCTGGATACTATGACTACGAGAAGCCACTGCAGGCTGAGATCCCGGGTCTGGAGAACTTCCAGGGAACCGTCGCACACCCCCAGTTCTGGCCGACTGGGCTCAATTACGCTGGGAAACGGGTTGTCATCATTGGCTCTGGTGCGACGGCCATCACGCTTCTGCCAGTTATGGCCAAGACAGCTGGCCATGTCACGATGCTGCAACGGAGCCCCTCATATGTCAGTAAGTAAGGTTTCATTACTGTTCTCTCGTATGGTCTGCCCCAAGATCAAGGCTGGACAAGGGTTTGCAGTGACCTTCGCTAACTTTGCTGCAGTGACGTTGCCATCCGTTAGCGTAGTCGGCAACTGGCTGAAGCAGTTGTTGCCAGCCCGGATCGCCCATCCATTGAACTGGTGGCGTTGCTTCATCACAGAACAGGGTTTTTCTCAATTCTGCCTCGCCTTCCCCAATGCCGCCAGGAAACTCATCCTCCGGTTGATGAAACAGCAGCTCCCAGAGCATGTTCCAGTTGACCCTCATTTCAATCCACGATACGTCCCCATGGACCAGAGACTGTGTTTTTGCCCCGACGGCGACTTCTTCAAGGCCCTACACCGCGCCAATTGTGACGTGGTCACGGATGTAATTGAAACGGTGACTGCGGATGGAATACTGACCAAGTCGGGGAAGCTACTCGAGGCCGACATATTGGTAACTGCCACCGGTCTCGATGTGAGACTATTTGGTGGTGCAAGTACTATGGTAGACGGCGTTCCGGTTGAAATCGGACAGCAATATGTTTGGAGAGGTTGCATGCTCACTGGTAAGTTTCTCATTACTCTGCTCTCATTACCGAGGGGAGACTTACCACGGACTTAGGGATTCCAAACGCCGGTGCAGTCATTGGCTACACGACTAGCTCCTGGACTCTGGGGGCTGATGCCTGCATTCGACTATTGATTCAGGTCTACAAGCGGACTGTCAAAATTGGGGCAACCTCGGCTGTTCCCACCTTTGACGAAACCACCCATTCTGTGGTGTCGAAACCCGTCGTTGGGCACAGCTCGACTTACTTTGTGCGCGCGCGAAATCGCTTGCCGCGAATCACGGGTGAGAACCCTTGGTATGGGCGGTTAAATCCTATTTACGACTACTGGCAGCTCTGGTTCGGAAGCTTGACGAGGGGCATGAAGTATGTGATGCCCTCGAAGAAAATTAAATGCACATAAATAAGTTCTATGACAAAGAGTTGTAGGAATAAAAGGTCTGCAAGTGCCGTGAACTCCCACCGGATCGGACTGTTCTAGCAATATTCGGAATCCCATGCTGTCAACCTGCGGTGCGACGACGGCATTCATCCGGACTCTTATCATGTGGTGCCTGGTCTTCATACATCCCGATTATTATTAGAATTTTATTAGCAACCCATTTAAACTCTTGATCCAGCCGACAGCGTTTCCTTGTTGGGGGTAACGATTGTCTCATTCGGTCGCTCCTGACGAGTTTGGTTGAGGCTCCTCCAACCCACGAACTAGCCCGTCACGAACGCGCAGCATGCCGCTGCAAGCTGAAGATACTGTCGCATGTTATTCCTATCTGCTCGCCAGGAAATACTGTTCAAACTTACGAATACATAGTCGATCGCCTCATTATACGCCAACAGCACACCCGATATCTGATCGGCAGGAATGACCTTTTGCAGCTCAGTTGCACCGTTATTGACTAAGAGTCGCGCATCTACTGAAGGGGCGAACTTAGCCAGAGCCGGTGCAATTGATGACGTGAAGACGGTCTTAGCCACAGCGGTAAAGACGGCACCTCCGAAGAATTGCGAAAACATGGAGTAGCCTGATGCGATGGAGGCGTCTTCCTTGGGCATGTTGGCTTGGACTGCTGTCACGAGCTGCCGGCGGTGGTTCTGTCAGTAAACAAACAACGCACCACCACCATGATATGCGAAGAGGGTCTTATGGGAGGTTGAGACAACATACCAACTTCAAGACCATGCCTCGCCCGGCTCCCACGAGAATCTGATAACCGATCCATTGCCCGGTGGTCGTTGCCCGTGCGAAAGTCGCCATCAAGCCGGATCCGACCCCAATCAAAACATTCCCTGTAATAACTTCGGGGAGATAGTACCCCGTCTTCTGGACCAACGCCCCGGTCAACACTGACGCAAAAACCTGAGATAGGATCAAGGGCAAGATCATAATACCACTGTGTATAGCATCAACTTGCTTGATAGCCTGGAACCAAATAGGCAACCAATGCAGCGACGTTATGGTCGCGCCGCTCTGAATGAAAGCCGTCAAGCCAATGGCGATGTTGATGCGACTCTTGAAAACGCGGGTTGGGATCAGAGCCGATTCCTTCTTGTAGGAGAACCAAGCAGCCAGGACACCGAAAGTGGCCACACCTCCGCACATGAGCCCGATGACGGTGGCCGAGCTCCAGGGGTAGTCGGTGCCGCCCCATTGGAGACCCAGAAGGAACATGGTGTTGCCGATGGCGAAGATGAAGAACCCGGCTATGTCGATTTGGCGGATGCGGGTGAGGATTGTGCCCTTTTGGCTGGCGCTGGACAGTTCGGGGAATTTGCCGACGAAGACTACTAGGATGAGCACCACTGCGCCTAGAGGGAGGTTGCTGGGTGATGTTAGCCGTGGCTGATCTGACCACTCTCCTTTTTGCCCGAGTGCTCACTCACATGAAGAAGCACCACCGCCACGAAGCGTAAGATGTGAGCGAACCACCGATCAGTGGACCTGTGGCCTGGCCAACAGCGAAAAAGCCCATAAGTATGTCATTAAGATACGACCTCTTGGCAATGGGCACGGCGGCTGCGATGCACGTCATTCCGCCAGCGAAGATACCAGATGCGCCGATGAGCAGCTATGAGCATGTCGGATGAACGAGCCAGGCCTGCGAGGAGGGAGCTTATCATGAAGATGACGATGAAGCAGATGAAGGTCGCTTTTATGCGGAAAAGGCGGAAGAGCTTCCCAGTGAAGGGCGCCATGGCGCAGCTGATTTGTTCATCAGGTAACGTGTGCCTTGTGAGAAAGGGGCTTGATAGGGAGGTGGGCACTTACATGGTGATGCTGAAGGCCGACACATACCAGCCGACGTCATTTATCGAGTTGAACTCAGTTGTGATGGCCGGTATGGCCTGGGAACATCGTCAGTCTCGAAATAGCAACTGAACAGGGGTCACGATGAAGACTTGCTGTTCCCAGAATCGTGACATTCAACGCGACTAAAACACCGGCCGATACGACCGAGAACATCAACAAGATGAACGCCAAGCCTGTAACGGCAGCAGGTTCCGGTGATGCGGCGATGGCATCTGCTGTGACTGCATCTCCACTTTGCTCCGGCTCGTGCACCAAGGTCCGGGATGGTGTTCGGGGTGGCATCCAGACTTGGTGGGGTACGCTGTCCCCATTACTCTCCTTCTCGGCATCAATACCGGCGTCTTGTCGCAAATTCGTCCTTGGCAACTCTCGTTGTGCATATGCGTTGCTGACTTGTTCCCCTGACGCATTCGCACCGCTACCTGGTGTTACTGAGAATAAGGCCATGACGGTACTCTACGAAATTGATGCGCTGGGAAAACGGCCGCTTTCCCGAACGACATTGAACGAGTGAACGTCGAAAGAATGGACTTTGAACAAAGGGAGGAACCCGTTTTGGGGGTCATTTGGAGTGCTGACGGTTGGCTTAATGTTACCCTGAGCCAGCCTACATGTTTACGATATAGAAGAGACTGAAGAGCCGCTCCTGCGTGAGTTGTAAAAGTCGTACCAGAACGAGCACCCGTAACTGTTGGGAATTGCTGATTGGTTGCTAATGAAGTCGGCGCCGCGACCAGCCAATCATATAATCGAACCCTAACCCCGTCTCCCCCAAGGACGGGCTTTATATTAAAAGTCCGTCTCCGCCCTAGTCTCCCACTCTTGTCAAGTCTCTGAAGAATCTGTTAGCGTGGCAGTCGGATCGGAGAGTACGTCAAACCCCGACAGGTAGCCATCAAACCAACTCCGAGTCCCCTAGGTCCCCTTGGAGCCCTTTCGGCTCACATACTCAAAGTCCGCATGCCGCGTTTCCAACGTTCTGGCAGTTGCCATAACCATTCTAGCAAATCGTTGGCAGTTACGCACATTGGCTGAATAATGGATAAGCCCAGGAGCGCGGCAAGCTCGATTGCAAAGTGGGGAGCTGCCTGCGCCGCATGTGCAACAGCCAAGGCGAAATGCATCCGTTCGGTCGAGAGACCTGGGGCCAAATGCGACAGGTGAGTGTGTGGTCAACTCCCTGCAGACTTATCATGTGCGTTGCCTTTTTCGCCAAGTGTAAGCCTAATGGAAATAATGCAGGTGTGAGCGGCTGGACAAGGAGTGCCTCGACCAGGTTCACAAGCCAAGGAAGAAGAGACAGAGCAAGCCGTCGTAAGTGCACCCCACGGAGGTTGCCCGGGATCCACCCCCTTGTAACGTTCAACTCTATCTTGACCTGGTACCAACCCACCGGGTCGGTGGAGTCTAGTCTGGCAACCACCCACATCGTCTAGTCTCTTGTCTCACACCACCCACTGGTTGCATTCTTACCCAACACTTCTCTGGTAGTAGTTATCACGAAGCGACAAGCTGACATGTTGAACCCCTCTCAAGAAAGACTGCACAGCTCGAAGAGCGTCTCAACAGTCTAGTTGAACTTATCAAAGCCTCCAATTCAGGTGGAATTCCAGCCAGTACCAGAACTGTCCCCAGCATCACCGAGGATACATCATGCATCCCCACAAACGCAGATTCCACACCCTCAGTACAGCACGGAGGGTCCGTGACATGCAACATATCGACGCCCTCGACGTACTCGAGTGTAGAACCACCACGAACGGTGCCTACAACGTATAACCAGTATGCACCTCCGAGATGTATCTGCCGTGCCCCTGTCGGCGAGGCCCCCTTACCGGTTGAATCGGATGAGACTCTCCTCTCCATCTTCGTCACCAAATTAAGTCCCCAGTACCCCTTCGTGGTTCTCCGCCCGGGAATCTCAGCACAGGAACTCGAGTCCACGAGACCATTCCTCTTCGCCACTATCCGTATGGTAGCTTCGGTGCGGCACCTGTCGTCGATGAGGGCTCAAAGCTATCCTATCATGAAGCACATCTCCGAGAACATGCTCATGGGATCTCAGCGGTCCCTCGAGCTGCTCCAGGCGATTCTGTTGGTGGTTGGATGGTACCACTACCATTGCATGATGCACTCACAGTTGAATAACCTCACAGCCCTGGCCAATAGTCTCGCTGCCGATATGGGCCTCAACAGGTCGCCTGAGCTGCAGGAGAGGACACGGATATTGGTGCTGAACCCGGAACAGCCCAAGGCGAGGACCAACGATGAGAGGAGGGCACTATGTGGTGTGTGGTATATTAACTCGGTGTAAGTGCTCTGTTCATCAATCATGAACATGAGATGGAAGGAAACTCACATAGTCCACAGGGTATCTCTAGCCTTTCAAAGGGTAGAGACATTGACGTTCACGCCCTACATGAAACAGTGTGTTCAGGATCTCGAGACAGACAGGGAGTACGAGACAGACGTACTCCTGGTGCAACTCGTGCGCATTCAGCACTTGTCGGATCGGATAGCTCAGGTGCACGCCAAAGACCAACATCACGACGATCTACCCGGCATTCCTCGAGCACCACTAACTGCGTATCTGAATGCGTTCCAGACTGAACTGGATAAGTACAAGGCGCAGATACCTCGACACCTCCGATCACAGAGTAACTAGGCCCCTCGATCATTCACTGTCTCCCAACTAATTCCAACTAACAACCCCAACAGAAATCCTCCTCGCTCACTTACACACCGCCACCCTCCGCCTCTGGGAACCCCCAATAGTCGACCCCGCCTTAATGCACAACCTCTCCAACTCCTTCACATCCATGTCCATCGGCGCCGCCTCAACCCTAGACGTCTTCTACCGCTCCAACGCCGCCATCAAGACCTGGTTCGAGTTCTGGCTCTCCATTGAAGCAACCGACTACTTCTACGTCCCCATGGCCGCCTTCTCCCAGCTCATCGTGGCCATCACCATGATTTCTCGCTGGGCCAAACTGTCTAGTCTCGACCCGCCACCATCCTCATCCTCGTCGACATCAAATTCAAATGCTTCTGCTCAACAAGGGGCATCGCTAGCTTCCCGCTCCGTATTCCAGGGCCTATCTGACCCCTCCAGCAAACCTAACCTCAAACCCCTCGTCTCCAGCTCTAGTTCCCGCTTCGGTTCACGGTCCGGGGGTTCCCCCTCGTCAGCTGAAATAGAAGCGACCATCCCTGCCACCCAACGCTCCGACCCGACCTTCCCCGCCGCCATAGCCTCCATACAGCAACACATCCTCTCGCAGCCTGAACTACACATCGACGTCATCGGCGTACTCGGGGCTCTCGTCTCGCGGTTCGAGGAGGCGAGGGCAGAGATTAGCGCACTACAGGCCCGCACCACGAGAGGAGTAGGGGGTGCGGAAGGAGTAGGGATTGAAGATTGGGATGATAATATCTGGGATTTGGCAGCTAAGAAGATTAGTGTTACGAGACTAAAACTCGAGAGGTGGGCGGAGATCGTTGGGACTTTGGGGGGGGAGGGTTTGCTGGCCAGGAAGTTGGACCCCGGGGAGGAGGAAGGGGAGGGGGATGATGAGCAGGAGCAGGAGGTCGGGGTTGGTGGTGGGAATGCGAATGGGAGTGGGGAGTATGCAACGGGGCCGGCAGGGACTAGGGCTGGTCCGATGGAGGGGGTTGAAGTTGCGGAGGCGGCGGCGGGTGCAGGTGCGAGTGCGGGTCTGTCGATGGGAGCCCATCCGCATCAGCATCAGCAGGATGGAGGGACCGGCGGGTGGCAGTATAATAATATCTTTGCGAATGACCTTTTTGAGGGGCTTGGATTGGATCAGAATTTCTTCTATGATGACGCCGGGGATTATGGGACGATCGTGCTGAATAGTTTGGGGCCGCATGCTTGAAGATATTGGGACTAGACATAGATAGAAGGATAGGTGAGATATAACGGTACTGGGTGTATGGAAGGGTATCACGGCTTCTAGGGCTGTTTGATTGGTTGGTCAATATGGCGGAATATTACGCCACATCAGTCCCCCCTCAACATTATGTCAGTTGAATTTTGTCGAGAATTAATGGGATTTTTATATACTACTCCTCTATCCCAATCATCATGTATCAAGTCTACTAGATAAGGACAGAAACTCACTTATATTACTACCAACGCGGCACAAAAGCAATCATAAAACATGGTGAAACGGGGTCGAGCGGTTAGTTGGACATATATACCAACCAGCACACTGTCAGTACGGCACGTAAATAGACGTTGTAAGCCAGTTTGTCAAGACAGAACGGGGCCCCTTTGGTGCGACCAAAACCTGCACATGGGACCAAAGTGAGTCTCGGCCTTTGAACACAAGGTTTCGGCAAATTCAAGAGATATGCTGAGCGTCTCACCGCGCAATGACAGGCATAATCGAATTCCTCGGCTATATAAGTGCTACCGGGTTCTTCAATGCCACCCCTAATGAGATCTTTGCCGAGTTCCCGACTGCACCTGCGCCCAACGAGACTCTTGTTGACGCATTCGAAGCTGCCGCATACGATTTTGGGATCATCTCGATCTCCCAACCTATTCGCACTTTTCTGACAATTGGAACCCATGCACTGTGCAATCCGTAGAAGTAGGAATATGTATGGAGTCAGCCGTGCAACGCTACGAGGAAATGTGTTAACTGGAGGAAGAAGAAGTCACAAAACGGGGATAGAGTAAGTAAGGTAACTCATGCAGCCCATGTCGTGCAGGAATACAAGAGGAGAACTCATCAGGACCTTGATGGTGGGAAGCAGGCAACTCACCAGGAGTTAGACGGTGGCAGGGTTGTCCGTTCATAGTTAGAATGCTTGTACATTGGTTCCACTGACCATACTACCAATTCAATGACATCATCAGGAAACACCATTGTCTGGATTGGCGATAAGCATAGTTGGTTTGAATGTGGCGGCGGTGACTGAAGTTTAGTAGAGTTGGGGCATCCTACTAAAATCCACAACCATATACTGATCTTAAACATCGGGTTGAAAGCTTCTAGTGCGAAGGAATAATGATTACGGAGGATACAAATTCGTAATACAGGGACACACTTGTTTGCAGGACTGGGTAATTTGCCCGCTATACTTCGGGTCTTTAGACCTTGATGCGTGCACCTAGGGGGGAGGATGCTATAATGCAGCAGTGCGCAACGTTATAGTATCTAATTGAATGGGATTCACCCAACCAGTGGGTCCCCCTACCTTTTCGTATCAGACCTACTGTCTTCATAAGCCGTAGGCTTGCATAGGACAATATAATAAATTATATTGAGAAGAAAAAAAGAAATACTATTAAATTTAGGATATCAAACGGTCTAGGGAATATGTACTGTAGGCCCCCACGCTTATACACAATATCGTAAAACAGGGATCCCAACTCCTCCAAGAGTGGAGCATCATTGTCGTTGCGCTGCATGTCTGTATATATCCTGATCACTAGAGACCATGTTAGTATACACCCATCATCTCTATCACACGAATATAATGAGAACGGGTTGACTCACAAGACAAACTGGTCCATCCCGCTTGCTTCCAACGCACGAATATCAACCCAAACACTCACCATCCTCGGAGCTACAGGGAACAAGCCCCATCCATTCGCGTCAATAACCACAGGCCCACCAGCCCCCCTTAGCAGATCCACCCATTGTTCATGGGCATGATGCCTGCCGACATACATCTGCTTCACGCCGCCTTGGAACGACGCCGACATCACGACAGCGAGCCCCGCACACCGCATATGCGCGGGATGCCCGATACGGGTAAAGCCAATAGAAGTTGGGTCGTCAAAGTATGCGTGTTGGGGCCCATAAGCAAAGTGCTGTCGAGCGGCAATCATTCGCGAGATGGGCCAGTGGAAGGCTGGGGGCTCAAAGGTGCCTTCTTTGCGGTTGCCTTTGGGGCCGTAGAGGCCGTAGAGGTCGCCCCAGAAAACACAGGGGGTGCCCGCGTTGGCACAGAGGAGAATTAGGGAGTAGGCTAGGGGGATGAACCAGGGGTCGACTAGGGTCTGCGTCACGTTTGAGTCAGCATGGGTAAGGGCCAATTTTAGCTGGGATTTGTTTGTGACCACGTACCTCACAGGATTGGCCCTCTTGCTGCAAAATTGTCAGCACAGTTCACACAGTCGCGGTCTCACAGCACTTACACTATCATGGGTAGCAACAAAAGTCTGCGCAAGTATTAGCAAACATGAAACAAGCATTCCAGAAACCGTGACCTACAAGTGCGTTGTTCGGCTTCAGACTGACGAGCGACTTGTGGAAGACCGTCCTCAGGTCAGGTTCCTTCGCAATGGAAAGCTCCTTGAAGTTTTGCATCAGTTGCACATCATACAGCGACATGTACCCACCCATGTAGTCAACGAGACCGGCCAAGAGAACTGAATCGTCGGTCCAGTAATCCCCGACAATGTAGAAGTCGGGGCCGAAAATCCCCTGGATGTGCATCATGAAGTCCCGCACAAACCTCCTGGACATGTGCTTGACGGCGTCGATGCGCATTCCACCGAGCTTCAGTTGGGTGCTGAGCCAGTAAATCCAGTAGAACAGTTCTGCACGAACTTGCTCGTTGGTATGATCGATGTTGGCGAACATCCTGAGGGGAGAGGTTGAGCAGGTGGGACGGATCGTGGTGGCCTTCTGCTGGGTGCTGGGTACGACTTACAAGTAATCATAGTTGCCGTGTGCTAGGTCGACATCGCGAGCCCATTCCTTGCCCTCGAACTTCCAGACCGCCGTCTTTTTGGATATGTCATCGTAGTCCACGCCGGAAAAGTGCGATTTGTTCCACTTGAACGAGCTGTAATTTTCACCACGACCCGGGAAGTTGAATCCAGTCCACGCCCGAATATCCTCAAGCCCGCTGATCTCCACGAGCCGATCTGCCATCCAGGTCAGCAAGTTCGAGACATCATAAAGGGGCGCGGCATACCTTCAGGGTCAACCCTAGTGGCGCGAACAGGCTCGGCATAGTCAGCACCGCCCTTGTGGTTGACAACGGCATCGAAGATAACCTTGACACCATGCGCCTCAGCAACCTGCACGAAATGGAGCAACTCCTGCTTAGTGCCATACTTTGTGTGCACCGCCTCCTTCCAGTCGAATTCGCCCAGGTCGTACAGATCATAGATGTCGTAACCCGTGCTGCCTCTCCAAAACGCCTTGCATGCGGGCGGGATCCAGATAGACGTTATACCCGTCCTGGCCAGATTGGGTATAGCGTGGGCCAAGCGCTGCCAGTGTTTGTGGTCAGCCGGGCAATACCACTCGAAGCCCTGCAAGACCGTGCGGTTCTTGGGTGGCGGCGGCGGTACACTATTAAAATGAGGCGGCCTGGGGGGTATGGGGGGTGGTCCCTTCGCAGGGATGGCCATTGGCGGAGGGGGGTAGGTGTGATGCATGAAGGTCGTCTAACAATAGGGCGGTGGTGGTGAAAAGGGAAGAAAGCCAAAAAAAATTCATGTGAAGCAAGAATACAGCCAAAGCGCCAAGACTTGTAAAGTGGATTGTGGCTGGAAATTTCGGGTTGCTCCATCCAGTGGGTGATCTGCACACACAATGGATACTGCCTAACGGTCAGGACGGAACCAGCGGCAGTGCGTGCCCACAGCGACACGTGAGTATATATCACGCAATTAACCACATATATATGGGTTGGCCTGGGCGGCTTTGTTTCTACTGGGAGGGCTGAAGCCGAAATAGGCCTCTGTGAATGGTTACATTTAGGTTCATGCCTCTAATCCGCGAGTGCAGAATAGGCTTTCGCCATTGTAAGTGGGTCAAGTGGTAGAATTCTATAGCGACGATCGTCATCTCCGAAATATGAGTTATCTACTCTTTGACTTATGATACTCACTCAACTAGCACGTTGCTAGCTATATTCTTGTAAATTTCATTTGCGGGTTATTTTCTTGTCCAAGCATATCAGTATGAGAAAACCTGATCTAACGTCCCACACCCACATCCGGGACACCCCCACATGTGGGACGCCCTAAAAATGATGCTGTATATTATAACCATTGACTTCAACCTTTTTTTACACTTATTCTGATGCGACTACAATACAGCTTTCACCGTCACTAGGGTTTTCAGACTCGCTAGACTCATCTGTACTATCCTAAATTTCACCAGCCTCGATTTGAGCCTTTCCGAATAGCCTTGATATTAGTAAACTTCGAATTAGGGCTCATCTTGACCTTCCTCCGCTTCCTAGCCCTACTAGCCTCAAGCTCTGCCTCTATTGCCTCAATCTTTCGCTGTGCGACAGCTAACTAGTAGTCCTTCTCATCAAAGCCCTTTTGAACTTTCCGAAAGAGTAGCCGCTGGGTATTTGGATCACTATCAAGCTTGCTGAATAAGCTGAGTTGATGTGACAGGCTGTGCCTGATATGGGATCCGGAGCTGCAAGGACCGTGCGTCCGGATCCACCAAAGGAACCATCGAGGGCATACAAAACATAGTCCGTGTTCCCGGGACAACTCGCATATTTTACTTTCCTCCTCAGTTAGATAATTAACAGTATTTGGCCATGTTGAGCTGTATAGTTTCGCAGTGAGCCCGTCACAGTTGATCTTGGAGCTTATCTCTCCTCTTAGGCGTTGACTAGGCTACTGCCGATGTCTCTAACGCCTAGTCCTGACTACTAGAGTGCCCTTTGCAAGTCTAACTAGGCTGTTTGATTGGTGCTGACGTATTCTTAAGGAGCAGGGGGCTCATAAGGGGTCTAGCTATGCTCGAAGGCTAGGGACCAGTATATTTCCATCCACTGATAATGTTCTTGACGGTCAATGCTGCTAGGCGTGCCTTTCTATAGCAAAGGAGAAAGTTTCTCTTCCCTACGACAGTAGTAGTATCCCATTGGTTAAGGTAACCAAGCTCTTTCTTATAGGCTGCCTTGAGGGGTCCAAAGACTGACTGATCGAGAGGCTGGAGAACGTGGGATGTGTGTGGCGGTAAGAAAAGCAAGTGTATCTTGTTTATGAAGCAGAGGTACATAAACTCTGTCGTTTCGTGGCTACTATGCCCATCTAGGATAAGTAACCTAGTCTCTTCAGGGTCCTCTGGTTGAGTCAAAGGAATAAAGATCTTTTGTAGCCACTCAATAGCCGTAGAGTCTGACGTCCACCCATTCCATGTTGCTGTAAATCTCCAGGCTTCGTATGGAGTAAAGTCTAGAGGAAACCACTGCTGCTGGACAGACTTCCCCTTGTATATCACAAGTGGGGGTAGTGCAGTACCAGTCGCAGAGATACACTCTAAAAGAGATGTCCAAGCTCGAGATCCAGGCTGTTTCTTCCGTATAGAACGAGTCTCAGATGATCCTAGAACAAGACCATTTGATCCTCTACCTTCTATAATACCTGTCTCATCCATATTGTATCGATTCGAGGCCTTCATAGCTTTGATCTCAGGGATAGCGAGGTATTTGAACCATTGCCTGATCACATTAGCTGAGGCTCCATTAATACGCTGGTGATGCGAGTGCATATGGGGTTTGAATTTTGAATTGTTGTATTGGGAAAGGATGGCCAGGTCAGCTATTCTGGCCTGGCAGAGCTCTTTTATAGCTCTTATCTATCTTATCTCTAGCTATAGGGCAACCCCCCATGGGGTCACGTATCAGCTGGGAATCGATAGCTCTGCTTCTCTGGACCTTGACTGAAGGGTTCCTCTTGATAAAAGCCTGGACCCAGTTCTTTCCAAGTGGTTCGGTGTCTCCGTGGATCTGTAGGATACGCTCGGCGAAGTCTTTGAGCTGTTGATGGGTTGGTGGGAGGCCTAGGGCAGCCAGATGAGATTCCTGGGCTGGAGAGAGCTTCTGGTAGTCAGCGAAGGCTATATCTCTTGACTGGGCTCCCTGAATCCGTCGTGAAAGAGTAGACCTTGGGACACCATGCTCATATGCTGCTTTTCGGAGGCTTTGACCGGTAGCTATTGCTTGAAGAGCTCGATAAATATCATCTTCGGTATATTGACTCATATTAGTGTAAATAAGACGTATGTAAAATTTCGTAACGATTGAATCGATATTGGTAAAGAAAAAAGAGGTTGAAGTTAGAGGCTAGCGGTGTTGATGAGGCATTTTTGGGTGTCCCACATGTGGGGGTGTCCCGGATGTGGGTGTGGGACGTTATAGAAACTTAGAGCCGTAACGTTGTGCTTACCTGAATATGCAGTAGCACACGTTTACCCGCCGCTAATGCAGCCTTCGTGAGCCAGCTAACTCAACCGCCCACTTCTGACTGGACCGGGGGCTGTAACCAATCGGTATATGTTCTGGAAGCTCACTGTTTACATGCCTGAACCCTGCGATGATGCGCAACGTCTGTAGTACCGTCGCAGAAAGTTGAAACATATTTGAGAGAAGCTCAAGTCGTGAACAATCCGCGGTGTACCTTGATCATAAGCACACCTTATGACCCTCTCTTCATCGGAACACCACTGAGAACGGATCAAAGCGATGGCGCAAACCACTGGTCAAGCTGACGTTGAGAAACCGAGAGAGAAATCGGTAGAAGATGCCAAAAAGTGCGACCTCCCAGAGGTGGGCCGCCCGATGCTTCCTAGGATCCACGACACTATTTCGGCTGACAGTTCCGACGATCTACAGGCCGCCGTCAACGCGATCACGATCGTCGCCTCAAATGCCCCCGAGCGCGCTCTTCTATGGAAGCAAGATATCCGCATAATCCCCTTATCGGCCGGCATCTACTTCCTATGCTATCTCGACCGCGCCAACATCGGGAACGCCAAGATCCTCAACTCGTCATCCAAGAACGATATGCAGACCGAGACGCGCATGACAAACTATCAGTTCAACATAGCCTTGATGATCTTCTTGGTTGGATACTGTGTAAGTCGTTCCCCGTCGCGTCCTGACGAGATCTAAGAGGGAACTTGCGAGCAGCTATTCGAAGTCCCCTCCAACATAATGCTGAAGAAAATGCGCCCTTCGCGCTGGATCGCCTTCCTCATGTTTGGCTGGGGCATCATGACTATCTGCCTGGGCTTCACGCACACCTTCGGCCAAGTAACCGGCGTCCGTTTACTGCTGGGCGCCTTCGAAGCCGGCCTTTTCCCGGGCCTCGTCTACTACTTGACCTTCTGGTACAAGAGCAGCGAGCGCAGCGTGCGAGTAGCCTTAATCATAGCCTCGGCCTCGCTGGCGGGTGCCTTCGGCGGCGCCATCGCTTATGGCGTGGGACATATGAATCAGGTGCACCACCTGGCGGCGTGGAGCTACGTGGGGGGATGTAAAGGCTACCCTGACGGACTGGCGTTTGTACGGCCATTATGCCATATACTTCGCGGTGTCATTGCCGTTCAGCTCGCTGTCACTCTTTACGCCCTCGATTACGGCTGGTTTGGGTTATCGGGATCTTCGTGCGCAGCTTATGACTGTGATTCCGTATGCCGTGACTTATGGTGAGTCGACTTTTGGGCCGCGCAACCCACACGCATCTGATGACAGATATAGTGGCTACCATCCTTGTCTCTTGGTCCGGAGATCATTTCAACTCTCGGGGCCTGCATTGCGCCGTTGCATCCCTGGTAGGTGCAATCGGGTTCTTGCTCTCCGCGGCACTACCAAATGATGAGTATACGGGCCCGGTATGTCTGCCTTATTGTTGGAACAGCTGGTGCGTTTTCTTGCATACCGCCCATGTTGGGATGGTTGACTTCCAACACGTGGAGTACAGCGGCTATCGGTCTGGCCGTCGCTATTAACGTCAGCATTGGCGCTGGGCTGGGGCAAATTCCCGGAGTATGGATTTATAAGGCGAATGAAGCTAAGCGAGGGTATCCTACCGGACATGGAGTCAACTGCGCCATGCTCTTTCTCGTTTCTATCGGCGCTGTTGGTCTGAGATTGTACTATGGTCGAAGGAACAAGCGCATTTTAAGCCAGGCTGTGGAGGGCGAAGAGGTCAGGCTGTTCAAGCTATGAAAATACTCTTCGATACGGAGAATTAGCCTGCATAGCAGGCTCCTCTGAATGACCAGACTCGCATGTTCTACTTTTTTCATCCCTGTCTTCGTGTGGACAAGCTATGAGATGAAGTATATTTCTGCGGTTTCCGGCGCACACCCTGAATATTGCGAGACATAACTGGACTCTCATGTAGTTTATGTAGCTTGGATATCCCCAATCAGGCAAAAATTCAGTGGTGCTTCTTGATCATCGCCGCTTAGGTTATATCTACATATATTCTGTCTTGCGCCCAAATCGTCCGTCTGATGTAATCTTATCCAAACTGAAAATATCGTTCCAGATATTTTGATCGTGATTCGCCCGTACCCATTTTCTTGCTGTACCTCTCAGTCGAGGGATCCGCCGACAAGAAGCAGCTTCCGGTGGTGGTTTTGAATGCCATACACAAGCGCGTGTCGCCCTTCGACCCCAAACTATGAATATTTTATATATATGCCATACCTCTACTTGTACCGCGAGAAATACATTGAACTAGGTTAACCCCAGGGAGAATGCTCTTGCGGCCCAAATTCTTCCAGTCTCGTTCACAAACTGTGCCTCCCCCCAACTTGGCTCTACTGGGTTTTTTGGGGGGACTTTAAATAGCCATAATTTCATGTAGAAGCAAACCTGACAGGCTTTATCAGTAGCCGCACTGTGAAACTTCCGTTTTAATGCTTGGTTGCATGCTTATATGCCATGACTCAAACACTTATTCAATTGAAAACAGGGCAAGTGCCATGCGTTTCTTCAATCTCGACCTAGTTGCACTGTTCAGAGTGCTAGTGGTGCCACTCTCGAAAGTATGCCAATCACCTGCCCCTTTCTCTAGCGGTCCATGGGCCAGCATAGTTAAAGGTAATCATATACGACTACACTAATTTCTGCGAAGCCAGCAGCAAACCCATACACCAAATCTTGACCAGAGCGACCAACGGATGCTGTCATACGTGACGTGGTTTGTGTGCAGTACAATGAGGGTATGCTGAGAATGGGGGTTCCTTTAATGACTCCCTGTTACTAAAATCTGTCATCGTTAACAACGGCAGCCACGCCTGTTCGTTCTATTCAGAGCTGCGCTATCCTCAGGACGGCGCTATTAGTGTGAAGTTTTTAGGCTTCTCTGCCAAGTCTATGCGAGACCAGCAGATTAGACCTTTTTTTCGTCATGTGAGTACTTAATATTTACCGGACATATACAAGAGTATTTACCTCCTGTTAATGTCTGGTTCGTTTCTTGTTTGCTGAAAGTGGACAGTACGCAGTGGGATCATTCAGTTGACGTTCTTTCCTATATGGCTGCGTCCACGCCGTCTTGACTAGGGTGTATGTCCAACGCTGCTTTTGCGGTTTTACTAACCAGACCCCTATTATGCCCACGTCTGGGACAAATCTCCTTGCGGTGGAATCCTCTAACCCTACTCAAATACGAACAGAGCTATTACTGTGTCGATTAATGTTACTTCTATGTGAGGCAATTCATACAACAAGGATATGAGGCGGGGCTATACTTACAGAATTATAAATTACTCCAGCTGCTGCAGGATGTAATTACCGATAGGTGTCTATAGAGTGGAGAAGTGCGCATACGTTTCAGTATGAAAATCGATAATCCTGGACTCTACTTCCTGGGTTATAGTATTTTAGTCGTGTAAAGTTGGCTGCTGTGGTCTATAGATCTCATCTTTACCGAGTAATTTTGTCTCTCGTTATTTTTTGGCGTTCGATATGATGAGAGAAATGAGTTTTTTTGTTTTATAAACAATATCTGAACATTTTCTGTCGACCCGTCACGTGAATTCCGAACGAGAATGGCAACGTGGAGCAATATATGGTACTATTGCTCACGGTGATACTGCCCGGGAAACATGCACCAAAGATGATGTGCTAGACTGAATAATATAGACATGGGGGATCTAGTAGAGTCCAATCCTTTGTACAGCATCACTCCGTCACGCAAAGCATTCTGGGATATCAGGGCACGATCATGTGCAACAATTACGTGCCCACGACACATTAGTCGAGAAATCCGTCACGGACCGACCATTATCTTGGTGTAAAGCCTCTGACAAGTCGGCTTTGGTGCAACTATCCAATCAATGCTCGTTATGTTGATTAATGTATTTGTTTTCCCTGACCCCTCACCTTGGCTTTCTGCCAAGTTCCGTGGGTTGCATTTCCTGGCGTCCCTCGTCTTACCCGATCAACAGGTGTGAGTTGAAACAAGTCTCAGCATGACACTCCTCAACACATCTAAGTACTATTCAGAATGAACATTCTACAGACATGACCAATCGTGTCCGCATTATGAGGCTTTGAAACAAAATGCAAGTATGCTCCTAGTGACCTTTGCGGGTTCGACTCCGGCTGAAGTTCAAACCCCTTCCCTCTCTACTGGATGGTTCCAGGATTTCGCTGTGTCGATCACCGACAAAGTCGTGAGCTGCCGTGCTCGCTTGTACTTTGGCGGACGGCGAACCCTCGTTTGCTGCCATCCCGTAAATCCACCACGGTGGATGTGCTCCGGGAATCTCTACTCAACGGGCCGCACAGCCTTTTTCAGCCACTAGCCCAGTCGGAAAATGTTGCACGCTAATATCTGTCTCCAACCTTGGTTTGCCCCGGTAATATTTGTGTAGGGTCTTTGGTACCTAACGGAATTTGAGAAAAAAGGAGGGCGAGGCCATGTATCCCGCGGCTCTTGGTAGGACCTTGGCCGGTGCCAACTCAGCCATTCTTGTTCGATGAACTGCTAAACCCCAAATTGCCATGTATTGACCCGACACCCGGACGAATCAATGGTACTGTGTTTAAGCCGCCACTGATTCTGAAATGCTGGCCAAGATGAAGCTAGCTTCTAGGAAAAGAGATTCTGAGAGCCGAGGTCTCCAGTGTCGGGTGACCCCAATATCAACGTCTCAGAGACACTCTGAAGTTACCATCAATCTAACACATCGCCACGATGTTACCGCATTACCTCGAGCTCTCTTGACTGCTTACAAGATAAAAGCTTGGGATAATTCCTCCATCTGGAAGCCGGCATGGAAGCTTCCATTACCAATAATGAAGAACGATAAAAAGTATAAAGCTTCCAGAATCCCACCAACGCTGCCAGGTAATAGATCTGATTATTCGCCCACTCACTGAAATATATCACAACCTGTATACCCCAGCTCCAACGCCAAAATGCTATCCGCCTTGGTGACCACCTACCTAGCGGCTGTCGTCGCCGCCCAGCAAGTTGGCACGCAGCAGTCCGAGACTCATCCCAAGCTCACCTGGAGCAAGTGCACCAGCGGCGGCAGCTGCTCAAAAACCGACGCCGAGGTGGTTATCGACTCGAACTGGCGCTGGCTGCATGATACCGGATCCGATTCGAAGAACTGTTATGACGGCAATAAGTGGACAAGCGTATGCAGTACTGCCACTGACTGTGCGACTAATTGTGCCCTTGAGGGTGCCGAATACTCCAAGACATATGGAGCCAGCACGAATGGTGATGCCCTGACGCTCAAGTTCGTGACAAAGCACGATTACGGGACGAACATTGGGTCGCGTTTCTACCTCATGAACGGAGCGTCCAAGTATCAGATGTTCACCCTCATGAACAATGAGTTTACGTTTGATGTTGACCTGTCGACGGTAGACTGCGGTTTGAATGCGGCGCTGTACTTTGTGGCCATGGACGAGGACGGTGGCATGGCTAAGTATAGTAGCAACAAGGCGGGTGCCAAGTATGGTACGGGGTACTGTGATGCTCAGTGTGCCAGAGATCTCAAATTCGTTGGTGGGAAGGTGAGTTGTTGATCAGACCCCTCTATATTTACGAAAGCCTCAGCATTGTGAACAGGCCAACGTCGAGGGTTGGGAAGCCTCCACCAATGACGCCAACGCCGGCGTCGGCCCGTACGGAGCCTGCTGTGCCGAGATTGACGTCTGGTAAATAAGCCCCTGAGTGTCGAAAACTCTTCAGATAACTCCCGCTGACCCAGATCAAGGGAATCCAACTCCCATTCATTCGCCCTCACGCCCCACCCTTGCACCGAGAACACCTACCACATCTGCGAGACGCAAGGCTGCGGCGGTACCTACTCGGAGGACCGCTTCGCCGGAAAGTGCGACGCTAATGGGTGTGACTATAACCCATACCGTATGGGTAATCAAGACTTCTACGGCAAGGGCAAGACTGTCGACACGAGCAAGAAGTTCACGTGAGCATCTCCCTTACCCCTAAACTTCCAACTCTACCAATCTCAGCTTGTTACTTTGATAAAGTTATAATATTGATCCTTGAGAACTTTGATACAGTGTCGTCACCCAGTTCCAGCAAGACAAGGTCACCCAGTTCTTCGTGCAGAACAACCAGCGCATCGACATCCCGGCGCCGACCTACGACGGCCTACCCAGCAGTAGCGCCATCACACCGGAGTTCTGCACGAACCAGTTCAAAGTCTTTGACGACCGGGACCGCTTCAGCGAGGTCGGAGGCTTCCCGCAGCTCAACAAGGCCCTTCAGGTGCCCATGGTGCTTGTCATGTCCATTTGGGATGATGTAGGTCTCTTTGGAACGGCCCTACTGCCCGTGAGATGTCAACCTGATGATGAGTTAACATTAAACAGCACTACGCCAACATGCTCTGGCTCGACTCCACCTACCCGCCCGAGAAGAAAGGCCAGCCCGGTGCCGCTCGTGGTGACTGTTCCCAGGACTCTGGTGTTCCTGCTGATGTCGAGAAAAGTATCCCCGATGCGTGAGTGACCCCCTGAAGAGAATCGTCATATGAGATTGCTGCTAATAACACGCACAGGAAGGTGGTCTGGTCCAACATCAGATTCGGTCCTGTTGGCTCGACTGTCAAGATCTAAGCCAAGATGCACCGGCGGGAAGGGTTTATTTCCGAAAAGGGTCGATCTTTGTCTGTTCTTATTCTCGATACTCTGTCAAACTGAACATATATCCATCATATTTTCGTACATACGAATTGTTTCGGTATGTATATGCTATCTATTGGAGTATATATCACAAAACTCTGTCATATTTTGCGAACACAGTATGTCCCGTGTTCTCCCAAGTGCAGGACATCGCGATGGTACAAATCAAGTGTCACTATGAGTAGAGTGGTCTCCAGCTCTTTCCGCCATCTTCAAAAAGAGCAAAAAAAGAGAGAAGAAAGACGTTTCCTGATAGAGGGGAGTTTCTTATTATGACAGAGAGAGGCTGGGAAGCGTTCCGTATCCTGCTGTGGCCGCATGTCGGATTCGAGCATTGGCAGACAGAGCGGCATTCGGGAGTCTGTGGTTACAAAGATTATTATGGGAGGCTGAGGATCGACCGAGTGCTCGAGAAGCTGAGGGAGAAGAGGGTAACGCAGACTGTGTGAGCGAACGATACGGTCACAACTCGAAAGATAAATCTCAGTTGGAGTTCTCCTCCAATCCAAGCGGTTCACAAAGGCAGCCGCAGGACCTGTACGCAACGCAATATAAGGTTCATATCGCTCAGTCATCCACCTCGGCGATAGTATCCTCACCTTCTTGCTTCCCTCGCCAGACCCTCGTATCCTACTCTTCCTATCCCGTCTTGCGCATTCTGCCTGCGTTACCCTCTTCTCCCTCAGCTTCTCGAGCACTCGGTCGATCCTCAGCCTCCCATAATAATCTTTGTAACCACAGACTCCCGAATGCCGCTCTGTCTGCCAATGCTCGAATCCGACATGCAGCCACGTCAGACATTTGCAAGAGGCTTCACTTCAATCTCAGATTATTGAGCTTCATCACCATGATCCGCTACCCGGCCTTTCTGGTATTCACCCGACGCAAGAGCTTCCTCAACGCAAATGCTGCTGGCTTTCAATGCTGAAGGACGTGCAATCTCACGTTATTGGTTGCCCTATTTGCGAGCAATCCAAGGCAAAGCACCAGCGCCCCTCCGGCAGACTTCACCAGCTTCTCATTCCCTCGAGTCCTGGTGAAGAATGGTCGATGAATTTCATTCCAGGGTTGCCAACAGTCCTGGTAGACGGCAAAGACATTAACGCTATCTTTGTGGCTGTTGATCGATTCACTAAGATAATATCCACCGGGCCTGTTTCTCGGGACATTACGGCAGGCAAATTGGCTGTCTTGTGGCACAGGAAAATCGAACTTCGCCAACCCAAAGGCATTGTGAGCGATCGTGGCTGCATTTATAAACCAGGGGGCCTTGTGGACCACCTAGTTGTATATTAGCTTGGCTAGTTAAGCACCCCTTCATGTATATTCCCTTAAATTTAATCCGTTCTGAATCGTCAATCCTGAGACCACTATTGATTCTTACATTATCTTGTTATTGCGCCTGATGTCTCACTTTGGTCGTTCCACCTATTCCTCACAGATATGATTTTGTGCAAATAGGCAGGTACCTATTTATCGCGTCTGGGAAAGCCTCTGCCTTAACGTTGCGGAAATATCGTGGCGCATGAGGCTTGATAGCCAAACCCCAAGGATCCGAATAATACACTTCGTGCAAACCTATAATCACCATCCCCTGGAGCAAAATTTTCCGTGACAATGCCCTGAGAACGTCGTCATATTCGGCTCGATCGATAGCCGAAATGAGCGCCGTAGCATTTAGGACCGCTAAGAGCTCTAGGGACTTAGCTATTATTAAGCGGTAACTGGCTTTTGTTGACGTAGCCTTCGGTAAGGCTACGGTTGGGCTGTTCCGGAAGATCGGCAGAGCACTCACTTGATAATATCATCGCTGATATCTCTGCCGTAGAGCACTTAGATAAAGCCCTAGCTGCTAAGTTAGAGGAAGCAAGGCCTAAAAAGCGCCGTAACAAGACCAATTGGCCAACTCGCTTATGGGGTACGTTACTCACTTCAGCTTCCCAAGCTTAAGGAACACATCCCCTGCATCCAGGGCAACCCCCCTGTTACCGTTCTAGCGGGTATGGTGGAGAATAATCTCGCAAAGCAATAATCCATCCAGCTGAGTGGAATGAATTTTCTATTAGGAGTGATTGTTTACTCGCGAGTGGAACCGTATACCGGTTGTTTGGATCTCTGTTGCCCTCGTGCTTTTCCGTGTAGAATACCTCGTCACTCGTGTTAGAGTAAGGAAGCGAAGTTATGCGGGTACAAAACATCGATGATATGCAAATCGCATATACATTACAATTGTAAAAAGACCGAGGAAAGGCATTCTGTTCCGTGGCGGGGCAGATCCTTTTAGTAGAAGGGAGTGTAGGGGGGAGAATAGATACAGAGCGGGTACCCCAACCATAGCGCGGTGATCCTACAAAGACATTTTAGGCGAGATGGCCTATCAGCGCATTCGCGGTCAAAACAGTTACGTCGCTATGGCTAGCATTGTCACCTGGATGATAGCAAGAGGCCATAACTGTATCTGGACAAAGACCCCTAGACCCTCTCTATGTAGAGGCCTCCGAGCTAAGGGTAAGACATCCTCCTCGAAGTATTTCAATATCTTGCCACGGTTAATCAACCTAACAGTCATTTTGCTTACTAATTGGATTGTGAACCTAACGGAAGGGGACGGTGAGGTTGGTAAGGTAACTCGAGGCTTCGGTTCAGGAGTGGGCTAAGCGAAGTTAGGAGGTGCTGGCTCGGGCGGAAAGACCTTGAGCGCTCTGTCTGAATACTCCGCTTGCGACGAGAGCACGGTGCGCGTTGGCTGGCAATTGCCAATCAAGAGGGCTCTTTGTGCATCAGGAAACAAGGAAGAGGCCTCAATTGTGGAAAGTTGGTCTGCATGCAGCGGTCATTAGGGCTGTTAGGTCCAGGCCCAGTTGCAAATCAACGATCGCCATGAGGCACGATAGAAGTATTGAGGTGAGTAGGGACACCTCAGCCAGCATCTCAAATGTTAGCTTGTGCACTCCCAGCATGCTGAGCCTCTTCTCCCAATTTGTATTGTTTTCGACATACCAAAATCTCTGCACATATATTTCTAGTACCCGGAGTGGGTTCAGGAGTGGGTACGCAGCTTCGTGGAGGATAGGACGGTACGCCTCCGGTTCGATGGCAAGGAGTCAGAGCCAATCCCCCTACGAGCTGGCGTCCCCCAGGGGTCACCGCTATCCCCGATACTGTTTATATTATACATTTCAACGCTGTACGAGGAGCTAGCGGAGCAGCATCCACTACTTTTAGTAGTCGGGTTCGCGGACGACACGAACCTGCTAAGCGTCGGCACCGATCCAGACACGACCTGCCGCCGGTTGGAGAGCGCATGGGCTACGTGTCAGCGGTGGGCAGTGAGGCACGGGATGGAGTTCGCTCCTGACAAGAGTGAGCTAATGCACTTTACTAGGGCCCGAGAGCCCTTGCCGCAAAGTATTCGCCTTGGGGACGCCACAGTGTCGCCGGTAGTCTCAGCGAGGTTCCTAGGAGTCTGGTTCGACCGCAAACTGACGTGGCACTCCCATGTTGAGCGTGTTAAAACAAAAATGGCAACTCAAAAGCTAGCCCTGACAAAGCTAGTCAATATGTCGTGGGGCTGCGATCTTATACGGGCGAGGCTGTTATATACGGTGGTTATCCGTAGCGCGATCGCCTTCGGGGCGACTGCGTGGCATACTATAAGTGAGGAACCGACAGGGCCAGCTAAGAGCCTGATGGGGATACAGAACGAGTGCCTCCGGGTAGTCTGTGGCGCCCACAAAGCGACGCCGGTTCGCCACCTGGAAGCAGAAGCAGCAATCCCGCCACTAGACCTCTATCTTAGTGCCCGGGCTGCTAAGTTTGAAGAACGGCTACGGCTTAGCGGGAAGAGAAATCTGCTTCGCAGCGCGAGCGCTAAAGCGTCACATATACTCCGGCAGGATAGGCCGGCGAAGAGGAAGCAGGCGTCGCAGCTACTCCGACCGGCAGGGTACACTATGGAGAAGGAGGCCCGGGGCTCCGAGTGGATGAGTGAGGAAAAGGAGGTCCCGGCTGCCCTCCTCGGCCACTGGAGGAAGAGATGGCTCACCGGAGCAGAGCATCACGATCGCCAGCGACGCGCTATCGCTGAGGAACCGGAGGGCCCTTCGATGCAGATACCGAAAGGGGGCAGGTATTTCGGCCTGAACCGACTGGAGGCGTCTACGCTGTGCCAGATCAGGACGGAAAAAATAGGACTAGCAGCCTTCTTATTCAAGACAGGGGCTTTTGGCGTGTACTCGCCGCTATGCCGCTGTGGCGATGCCCCTGAGACGGCAGAGCACGTAATCCTCTTTTGCGGGCTGTTAGAAGGACCGAGGGAACGATTACGGGCCGCCATCGCACCACGGCCACTATACTCTCGCAGAGACCTCGCAACGGCAACAGGAGAACCAGTAGTTAGTGGGACTATTGTAAGGTGGCTGCTAGGGACGGGTCGGACAGCTTCAAGGCCCAGATAGCATCGATCTTCTCAGGGGGGGCTTTGTTGGTAGGTTGAGAACCAACGTAGTATGGTAGTGGACGTAACGCAGTCGCCAATAGGGCGAACCGACGACGCAGCGTATGTATTTAGTCCAGCCATTAGGGCACGGTTTGACATACGGGAGTACTAGTAGAGGTACCGGGGGCTTCGAGCCTACGGCGTATTTAATAATAATAATAATATATTTCTATATGTTTAGTTTCTTAATGTGGGCAGTACAGGCAAGAAAGTTGTGTTGATGATCATGGGATTAACTCCCAAAGGCTGCAACTACGAAAGGGCTGTGTATGGGCACTTGGCCCAAGCGGTGCACCCAGCACTCAGGCGGTGTGCTTGGGACACATATGTGTCGATTTTTCCTCGACATGGGGCATTTCAGAGGCTAACATTTGAGATGCCAGGAGAGGTGTGGTAGTGCGTTTCACTGAGCGCACTGACAAAAGTGTTAGTTAGGATTGCGTGTCCGCGGCATTGCTTGAACAGACAATCAAAGAGTAGTTATGCAACACAAGGTAAGGCTTGGTCTTAACCTTGATAGACTAGCACGGGACATGCTTGAGATGGGAGAAGTGAGGCGGAGGTTTTGTGGAGAAAAGAATATCTTGCAACACGCAAGACACGTTTGCAAAATTATGAAGCTGAGCTCGCAGCAAGGAGAGAGGCTAAAGCCAAAAGGGCCAGACCGATTTGGAGGACAAGCTGGAGAATTATGATGGAGACAGATGAGTTATGTGGGCGGCGAAGTTCTAGTTATGGCAGGCGTCCAAACAAGATAGAACCGAGGAAAATTACGACGATGAGCAAGAAACATAGGGAGCCGAGAAGAATTGGAAGGGGAAAATAGTATGGGTCCCCAAACGGCAAGCTCAATGGTGCATCAAACTACGCTCATCGCTGCGTTGAGGGAGCCGTTCCACGGTTCCTAGAGCTCAAAAGTGATTCGGGCAAGACTGTAAATGCTGACCGATGGATTTGGTGCAAATAGACGGTTCGGCGTTGTCGCTTAGATGATCGATCGTGTGTTAGAGCTAACATGCCTTGCGAACTCACTAGGACCAATTCTCACGCCACCTGGATTCTATTTGCATTAGACACAATGTGTTCAGGTACACCAACGTGTCGGAGAGTCCAATACCTTTGGTGTTTGTTCAATCACCGCCCACTCTTTCGCCGCATCATTTTTCGGAGTCAACGAGTCACGATCAAATATAAATAAAGCGTGGTAGACATGGTCTGCAGCAAGGCGTTAGTAACTCGTTGCGCACATGCGTATGGGGAAAATGATATGATCAGTAACCCATGAGTATGAATATGCTGTTGCAATTCAATATCGGCGTGGTGACGACCTCTCGATCATCCCCGCTGGTGTGTTCGATCGTTCAACAACTCCACGTCTCAGAACTCACTTTTCAGGAACGGCTCGTCCGTATTCCACAGGGAAGGTTTAGTGATCAGGCGATCCGATGCGGCTACCGAACCCAAAGCTCCTTGACAGGCGTTTTCCCCATATGAGCGACAGCTGACAATATCTCCATGACTCAGTGTACTTCAGACGAACGGTGACAAGCTATTCACCATTCTACGAGATCGTATTGCGCTTATGAATCACGAGGTCTTTGATTTAGTAGACTGACGAAGATATGCCGACTGTATTGCGTGAAGAAATAGCTTCATGCAGACACTGGATAAATCTCGTGAAACATTGAAGTAGGGGTGGTTCTCCCTAGGCTTGAGAAGGGATGATCACCAGGTTCTCTTGGTCATATCTCTAGACTTCTGGGCCATTGACACAGCCCAGCCGAGAACACAGAGTAGTCTGCATGTTTAGCTGCAGTTTGTGAGGGACTTATGAGTTGCGTCAAATGCTGTCTGTAACTGGAAGTCGATGCTGCGACCTTATCGTATCTCCAGAGTCGCAAAATCCATAGCATGATGCAATACGAGCGGTCAGACTAACGGGCAAGAGTGTTAACATGGAATACCTTGCAACGGTTGCGCATCCCCGCATCATCCAGTTTGCCAACCACTCCTCGAGCAGATATATTTCCATTCCGTTTTCAGTGATCGAGATGATGACAAATGAATGTTCTTTTTCAATGGTTCGTGTAGTTGGCAGTGGCGACGACATGCTGTGCCTGAATGTTCGTCATAGCTGCCCAGCCATTCCAAGTTGTTGGCTAGGGACCAAGCATTTTAGACTGAGCACAACTCTAAGTTTGACGCAAAGCTTGGCCTGAACAAGCTTTGTCGTAGTGGAGTACGGACGACGGCGTCTCATGTAGACGCCAACTGACGTCTCGATCGTAATACTTGGTGATGTTGTTGAATTCCACGATACTTTGACGAGGGAAGGAAGAATTGAACGGATCTTTGGGAAGCGCTGTTCGCACCCCCCACGTCTGATCCACGTGGTGATCGAAATGTGGGTTTGTTTGCACGACGTTTTATTTGACATCTTCAATCAGTTAGGCACTTATCCGTCATAAACTGCCACCGGCGACGGCAATCGCCGAAGATGACAGGTTGCTAGTAGCATGAGTGAATTGCTGGTAGCCCATAATGGCTGATAAATAATAAGGTCTAGCAGTAGCATACGTCATTTGTCTACTCGCAGTTTCGAGTCGCAATCGCACGGGGTATTTGTGGAGCGGCAAATTTAGGGGAGCTCTCAATCCGGGAAAGACAAGCCTAGTCGCATTTCCCGGTTATTTCTAGACAACATTGCAACGATACAAGTACTTGTCTTCACTTCATCTTCACTCAAATTGTTGTTTGTTATAGAATCGCCTCGTCCGTTGGGGTTTTGAGCACCTTGAGTCAATACACAAGGGCACTGGTGTTTGTTAGACCAGTCCCGGCGCACCATTTCGCCTCCAGGCCACTCAGAACACCGATTGATCATCCGAGGCGAGGCGCCCCGCGTCACGAAGGCGCAGGGCTAGTAGCCTCATTGCTACTTCGTAGATAACAAACGGTACGTCCTTGGCCCCATGTGACTAGTTGCCGCCGATACGGACGTGCATCGCTAATCGCGAACAACAGTGGTAACTCGGTGTACGTCTCTAGAGGTTGTTGGTCCTCTGTGTCCAGCGAAGATTTGCTGCGAGAATGCGTTAGTGGCCGTCTTTTGTTTTCTTTTTCTTTTTCTGTTTTACACCCTGGTTCGCTATCGTATTGCAAAATTCCTGAAAAGTCCTGGCTTGCTTTCCGTCCCGGCCCCTGAGGTCAGATCCACAGATGGAGGGGTCCCACACGACCTATGACGCTTGTGGTCAGGTACGCCCAGTCTTGTGCCTTCACTCGTTTGCCTCGGTTGCCTACCTTTGCGGTGATGCACACACTTGAAGTCGACTCTACGCTCCTACACCCAGAAAAGAGGCGACAAGACATTTCGGCGAAGCTCTATTTCGAAATACATGGTGTGGCGCATCGTGCGTACATGCTGCCTGAGTCGGAAATTGTGATGTATACCGCCCATTTATCCGTTTGCCGAGATAACAGGGTGGGAAACGGCCGTCTGGCCGGCATCGGGTTTAGCCACTTTCCCATCCCCTGTCCCCCAAGAGTCGAACGTCAATCATCACCCCGGTTAAGTCTAAGCCCTCTGACGAGCTTAGCGGCCCCAGGCAGCAGACCAATAAAGTTAACGTTGATCGCCCCCATGTCTCCCGCCTTTTGCTCCCTCCCCAATCACAATGCTTCCCGAGGTCCCCACGTTTCCGCCAGAACACATTCCCATCGTCTCTCGTAATTACTTATCTTGAGCTGTTCGCCGTCGTTCCGACTTGTTTACTTCATTCCCTTCTCTAACATTTCCACGACTTGGCGTCGCATCTGCCAAAGCATCACACATCGATGAAGGAAAGCTCGTCTGACTCTGGCCCTTATATAGATCGCATACGCTCATGGGCTAGAACGCACGCGCATGGAGGTTCGAAACGACCCGACAACAGCACGCTGCCCTTGACCAACCCCCAAGCCTCCTCATCACAGCACTCGCGTAACAGCGAGAAAGATGCGGGCCGCGATGGATTCAACGGCGGTGTGTCCGTCGTCGATCCTAGCAACCAGACAGAGAAGCCCCCGTCGCATAACAGCAATGCCGACAGTCCAGCTGGTGCGGCATCTGAAACGACGGGGTCGGGGACTCTCGTAGACAACGGCGAACAGAAGAAGAAAGCTCCCGTCATGCGTCGGTTCTACCTGACCAGCAAGAAAATCGTCTTCCACAGCTGGATCAATCTGGGCTTGGTGTTTGTCCCCGTCGGCATTGCCATTGCCAAGGTCCCGGGCATGCCCCCCGGCGCTGTCTTTGGTGTTAATGCCGTCGCCATCATCCCCCTGGCTGGGCTTCTGAGCCACGCGACCGAATCCGTGGCTCGTAAGCTTGGTGATACCATCGGCGCTTTGCTGAACGTCACATTCGGTAACGCGGTAGAACTTATCATTTTGTGAGCTCAATCCACTTTGCACGAACTTCGCTCGTCTGCTGACGTCATCTTAGCATAATTGCGTTGGTCAAAGGCGAGATTCGCATCGTCCAAGCCTCTTTGCTTGGCTCCATCCTGGCGAATTTGCTGCTCATTTTGGGCATGTCTTTTTTCCTGGGTGGATTGCGTTTCCGAGAACAAATCTACAACAGCACCGTTACTCAAATGAGCGCCTGCTTGCTCAGTCTGAGTGTCATCAGTCTCGTTCTGCCCACGGCCTTCCATGCATCGTGGAGCGAGTCGCACAAACTCGAAGCCGACGCCGAGTCACTCAAAATTAGCAGAGGCACCAGTGTTATCCTCCTGTTGGTGTATGTCATGTACTTGTTGTTCCAGCTGAAATCGCACGCGTACATGTACGAATCCACACCACAACACATCATTGATGAGGAGTCTACTCCTGGTCCTGCCGCTGCCTGGCTCGACAACTCCAGTTCGGACTCGAGTTCTTCATCAGACTCGGACTCGGACGGATCCAATTCGTCCAACAACACTGTTTCTAAGCGCGTCAAGAGGGCCATTCGCTCGAGACGCCGCAGAAAGTCGAGCGTAGCTTCGGTCGACACCGCTGATGTACCCACCCGAACTCCGTCTTTCGGCACCAACAACGCTAGCCCCACCCATGACGGTTCAAAATCTGGCGAGTCTTCCAATGGCCCAGGTAGTTTCTTCCCCCGGATGAATACCGAAGGTAGCGAGGAGGTAATCGAAGAGGAGCCAGCGAAACGCCCCAGCAAGCGCCATCGCAAGTACTCGAAACGAAAGCATCACAAGCATAGGAAAACCTCCCCCCCGCTGGACCCCGATGGCAATGCTGCATCCACACCTGGCGATAACGTTGGGGTGGTCGTGCCGCAGGATCTCGCCACTGCCAGCCACAGCAACGGAGACTTGATTACCCGTCGCGTCGATTTTGCTGATAGAATCACCAATCTCGATGGGCCCGTCGACGGCGCCCCGACGGGTACCAAGCGGCCATTCAATAATATTCGTGGCCTGTCATTCCTACCGGTCAAGAACTTGGCTCCGCCCGTCTTCGCTCAGACGCCTAATGCGCAAGTAGCACTTGTAGGTGCCGCTGGGCCGGTGCCTCGCGTTCGATATGGCATCCGCAGAACTAATTCGCTCCCCGACAGACTGAACAACCAGTATCAGTTTCGACCTCCCGGGGCGATGTTACCCTCTCAGATCCCCCCCTCGGCGCTGTCTGGCGATGTGGGCGAGGCAGGTGAGGTGCATGATGACGACATGTCCAGAACTGCTGCCATCATCATGTTGCTTATTTCCACGGCTCTGGTCGCCATTTGCGCCGAGTTCATGGTTGACTCGATTAACGAAGTGGTCGCCACGACCGACCTGAAGGAAATTTTCATTGGTCTTATCATTTTGCCCATCGTCGGAAACGCGGCCGAGCACGTGACGGCTGTGACCGTGGCAATGAAGAACAAAATGGATCTTGCGATCGGTGTGGCGGTCGGCAGTTCTATTCAGATTGCCCTCTTCATTACGCCCCTTGTGGTCATCTTGGGCTGGATCATCGACCAAGACATGACATTGTACTTCACCCTGTTCGAGACGGTGTGCCTCTTCATCTCGGCCTTCATCGTCAACTTCCTTGTTTTGGACGGCCGAAGCAACTACCTCGAGGGTGCTCTTCTGTGCGCTACCTACATCATTATTGCTGTGGTGGCCTTTTTCTACCCGCAAGGCGATGACGCCAGCGAATGGGCTGGAAACCAATCAACGCGGCGATGAGAGAGTTATGGCTACGACACCTACTCTCTTTAATAAGTGGGCGTGGATGATGATACTTCTGATCACTGATGGCGTACGCAGTATGAGGTACGGTTTGGCATTTTAGGAGCGCACCCAACTTGGCCCTATGTGTAGGATGGAGGGGACTCAGTACATATGTATCTACGGCAGATCTACAACACTGGCTGCAATCCATAACAAATAGAACACGCTGGAGGCATTACGGCCTGGGAAGCCGATGATGTCGGGTACACTTCAAATTATTACCTAACATCCACCTTTATGTACTTGGTACATTTCCCCTGCGCTTCGAGTGATATCGAAAGTCAAATCGCCCGAATATCCGCGGAAACATGCTCACAACTCTCTCTAGATAGTTCAGCCAACACCAAGCAGGCACGCCAGCGTCTTGTGGTGGCGTTGTCATGTCACTTGTTCTAGAAAATGCATGGAAATGCAGCCCTACAGTCGTCCCGGATTAGCAAAACATTAAAATGCGGGCCCCACGATCAGCGTGCATGCGTCACATTGATAGCGGGGGGAGTTCGGCGGAAGACCCGATGCGTTGTTGAGCAACAATTCAACCGCCAACCACAATGCGCACATCGTCCAAACGTTGACACGGACACTTACTTGCATTCTCGCTTCTACTCGGCTTGGCCGTTAAGCACAGCCTCCGTAACAATGGATGATTGATTTCTGGATGCGTTAAAGCTTCACCTCAGACCCGTGGGGGATGAGTATGAATGCCCACATTCACCGCCCTGGCGCTTGTGATGCCCGTTAGCCCTTAGGCCGAACCCGAACCGAAGTCGTTCCATTGACTGGATAGGTCCTTCGGTATTCAGACAAGCTGCGCTTTGTCCCAATCGAGCCCATGATGGCCCTTTGACCATCTTCATTCAGCCACATTGATCTGCAACCAGCGATTCACCAAGGCTCTGTGGCAATTTGAGCTTGCTTCCTTCAGCCACATAAACCAGCGGCCTCTCGTCCTGGCCATTGCCATCACACCCATTCACATCAACCATAGCCACTTCCTTGTCGCCACCCTTCTCAGACAACAGTCATCATGTGTTTCACCAGCTCGGACAAAACGAACGAGCCGTTGCCCAAGCCTGCGCAAATCCCTCAACAGCCACACACCAGTAGCTTGCCGCCATCGAAAGCGAAGATGCCCTCGTCAGACTACGCGCCGCCTCCCGGGCCCCCGCCAGCCAAGTTAGCAGCCGATGACTATGCTCCTCCCCCGGGCCCACCTCCATCCAAGGGCTGCGACGACTTCGCGCCGCCGCCTGGTCCTCCTCCTGCGCAGTCATCCAAACCTCACGATTGGGAAGTCGCCGTACCAGATACCGCGCTCCTCCCACCTCCACCTGCCTTTTTCTCGGGCTATGAGCGCTCCCCGACCAACAATGCGACCGAGGAAGAGGCTAACGCCGGTGAGGGCTGGTGCGCGCAGTATCCGCTCTATGAACCCATGACCCTTGCACCTCAAGCAATAAATGCCATCGCGGGCGGAAATATCACGCTCTACAAGCCCGACACCTTCAACGGCGAATTAAGGCTCTTGCAAACCGGCGTGTACCAGGCCAAGAGTAAGAGCGGAACGCGCGATACCTGCCTTTCAACCCAACTCCCTCTCTACAATGTAGCGGTCCACAGCCCACTCACCACGGGCCGCAAGAAGACAATCTACTTCGAGGTCAACCTCCTTCCGGACAGCAGACAAGAAATCAGCCTTGCCCTCGGCTTCACCGCCCCGCCATACCCGACCTTCCGGCTCCCGGGCTGGCACCGGGGCAGTGTGGGTGTGCACGGTGATGACGGACACAAGTATGTCAACGACCTATGGGGCGGGAAAGCATTCACGCAGCCCTTCCAGCGCAAGACGACGGTGGGGTTGGGGATGGATTTCGCACCCGGGACAGGCGGCGGGATCAGTGTCGATGTGTTTTTTACACAGAATGGGAATGAGACGGGGCGGTGGAATTTGCATGAGGAGTCGGATCGGGAGCAGGACCGCCCGGTTACCGGGTTGGAGGGGTTTCATGATTTGTGTGCGGTGGTCGGTGTTTTTGATAAGGTTGCTTTTGAGGTCGTGTTTAGACCGGACTTGTGGGTTTGGAAGGGGTATCAGGGTTAAGGTGTGAGGGATGAGGTGAAGCCAAGAAAATCGAGACGAGGTGAGAACGCGCTGGCACAGGCAGACATGGCCTTTGAGAGGTTAGCCTCAGATGATACTCTGGAGGCGTTGAGAATTCCCTGGCTTTTCTTATTATTCCGCCTGGGTCTCGACAGCTGACCAGGACGAAAATGCCGCGATGAGAGGGCGTATGATCGCCATGATGGGATGGCTGTAGTCTTTATGAATCAGACACTTTACTGACATATGTTTGTTACTGCTGGGGTGCATCGGAACCGAGGCACATATTGCCAACATTTCTGCGCTGGTTCTCCGGCCTCGCAATGCATTCATGCTTGCTTACTTACTTACTAAAGATCTTCGAGCGGTTTTTTGGTGTACGATTGACTCCTCCTCGGGGAGAAGATATGCAGTCTTTGCGATGCCACTCTTCCTAGCCGACATGATAACTACGCATCTTTGTCCTGCCTCGCCAAGTCATCTCTATTCAGTCGGCAACTTATCATGGTGAAGACCTTTTAATGGTCATCCGTAGCGAATGTGCGGCGCCATCGTCCGTCTGACTTTCGTTTCTGCCGCTCATGTTCGGTCTGCTTCCTACATCTTGGGTGCTAATCCGTTGAATTACTGTGGTAATTGATTTACGCGACTTTGACTGGAGATATGTGTTGTTGTTGTTAGACGATTGGGTAAAGTAGAAGAGTAGCATATGTATCAGGGGTTGTTACACTTCCAATTATTTACAAAGACGACGCGAGAATTAGCTCGACTAAACGCTTCATCTGATAGTGTACAGGGAGACTAAATCAACCACCCTATTACCAACATAGCTAAGTTCAACATATTGAGGGAATCAGTCCTCTGTTAATAATTCTAGATGGATGCCGATTGACTGTTGTGCCTGCTCTATGCGTTGTGCTACGTCAAGAAGCCACTTGACCGCGTCGAGACTTTGGGCCAATCGCAGGGGATGGCGTGGTGATTGTTAATACGGTGATGGTATTAGAGTGTCTTGGATATGTTTGTTTTTGGTCCGTAATGGAAACGGAGAGGGAGGTAGTAGGCCTGAAGGATAAGAGATTTACTCCTCCAGAGCTGGGACACTGGGTTCCAACAGGCTTGGCTCCTGTCCACCGCAGAGCGTTGACTCAATTTAACGAATGAAAAGTTGTAAAGATTCTGAGCAACGGTATCAAGTGTCGGTTTTCATTTTCTAGAGCAATTTGGTATGAACATGGAACAAAAGCCTGCGGGATTTAATTCTATAATTTACCTACTTCCGTTTGTTGCAGATGGATTGATTGAGCATCCAGTGTCATTCAAACCTCCCCCAAACTAGCCCGTCATAGCCCTCGCCATCTTCACCAAATACGGAAACGACGGTGGCCTTCCCGACCCCTTCTCGGGCGCGGTCCGAATCGACGCACTTACCGGCTCGTTCTGCTGTAGCGACATCCCCATCTTGATAACGCGCATCGACTTCTCCGCCGCATCCTTCAAAAGCCGATCTGCATCCTTGATCGCTTCTTCCAGTGACGCGGGACCTTCCAAAATACTGAGAAATGCACACACGCCGGCATCATACACAGTCTCGGCTCCATGTCCGATAGTGCCAGCCAGAGCGATGACCTGCGCCCCGTGCTCCTGAGCCCTCCTCGCAATCTCCACCGTCATTTTGCCTTTGCTTGACTGGAAATCCAAGCTGCCCTCGGCAGTGATGACGATGTCCCAGTGCTCTTCGAAGAGGGTTTTCAGCATGAAGTAGTCGTCAATTGCCTCGCCTCGTGCCCGCAGGCTTGCGCGAAGCAGCATGAGCCCTGCGCCTAATCCGCCCGATGCGCCGCTGCCTGGCTTAAGGGATAGATCCTCTTTGAGGATGGGCATGGCTGCTTGGGCGAACTTTTCTAGTGCCAATGAAAGGGTCTCGACTTGGTCCTCTGTTGCGCCCTTCTGCGGACCATAGACGCGCGCCACTCCTTGGGGACCACATAGTATGTTCTTGATGTTACATACTGCTTCTATCTTCACGTCATGTCCTGTTCCATGTTCAGCTCTAGTTGATGAACAGTAAACCATAGTATGCTTACCTGGATCACGAAGTCTCGGATGCAAGCCTTCCAAGGATATTGTTTCCAGCTGTGACAGGGTTCCTCCACCACCCCCTAACTGCAAGTCATCCCCATTCTTGTCCATCAACCGCACACCAAGGGCTTGAAGCATACCCGCGCCTCCATCAGATGTGCCCGAGTCTCCGCATCCAATGATGATCTTGGTACATCCTGCATCAAGAGCCGTTACAATGAGCTCTCCAACTCCATACGTCGTGGTCAAGGTCGGGTCCCGACACTCCTTGGGCACTAACCTGAGGCCGGCAGCCGCGGCCATGTCCAACACGGCCGTCTTTCTGTCATCGCCAATGACACCGAAATGTGAGTCGACAGGTTTGTGATCAGGACCCGTGACTCGAAGCTCCCGTATTTCACCCCCGTGAACGGCCACGAGAGCCTTGCAGAAACCTTCACCCCCATCATGAAGTGGAGTCTTGCGGAAGACTGCCGAATCCTCATCAAGAACTCTACGAAGTCCTTCTTCAATGCAATCAGCGACCTCATCGGCGCCAAGGCATTCCTTGAACCCAGAGGGAGCGATGAGGACCCGCAGCTTCTTGGGCTTGGCGAGCTTCTGCCTCACCAACAACTTTGGGCTGTCGGCAAGCGTAGTGACTGGTTGCTTGGATAAGCTATGCATCTGAGGATACATTTAAATGAGCACAATAGTTGATAATTAAAAAAGGTTGAAACGGTGTAACCAGTGATGTATATGAAACGAAATGAACCGATCGAGTTGCATGTGCTGACTGATTGACTACCTCGGACCATCCAATTTCTTGAGCAGGTTTGATGTCATGCACCTTGTACTCGTTTCGAAGTTATGTGGCACAATTCAACATCGTCATCAGTTGAAAAAAATTGTATCCTGATCTGATAGAAGTCATCGCCCCCTTCGCCAGCTGAACCCCCGTATGAGATCAGGTTGCCACCATCACACCCACCATTTGATACACATCGGCTCTTCTAACAAATTTTCAAGGTCGTCGTAAGAGTTCATTAGGAAAAAGTTTGGTCAGCCGTCCTGCAACTTGTGGTATAGGCGAGAAATCTACCAGATCGCTATCGAACCTTACAGTTCCTGCAGCACAACCACTGGCGTCTCTTCATCTGTAAGACGTGCGGAACAGTTGCCAGCTCGCGTACTCACATTTACTGGCGTGTCTTACTATGTACTTGTAACGACGCAAACGATCTGTTTCAACAAGTCAGATCGATCCTGAGCTAGTGCCAAGATGTCAAATCATTTGCTCTATGTGGGCTAATGATGACAAGTGCAGCCACCGCACGGCACAGATTGATAGCCCACCTCGGCACGTTATCCGAGGACAATAGTTGGAGACTGGGGTACCTGGACCAAAATCTTATGAAATACGATATCCTCTCTATGGTTCACTGCTTTGTAGGGAGCGTGGGGTGTCCTATTCACGTCACCCGCTGCTCGTTATGGCGACAGGACACGCGACACCCCGATTCACAGCTCGTTTGGAAATAGGCTTGATGATAAGACGAGGCCATGATGATAGGATGCCAAGATACACTTGGGAACTCTAAAATGCTTATTGGAAGGTCACCAACTTGGTATCCCCGCATCTGGTGCATCATCCCTACCCTGCCACCAGTAATCCGGTACTCTTGATTCAGCAATTCCTTGCACCCTGGGTTCAGCAGGGGTATCTCGAAAGCACTCGGACCTGGATCAGAATCATAGACGCCGTCATGGTGCCAACGGCTTCAAGTCCTATAATTGACTACCCAGCCATTGCCGTATAAGCAGCGAGATGCAACCAAGCATCGTCTTCAAAGTTTCCACCGAGAGCATGGGAGACTTCACGCTGTAATACTTTGCTACTTGATTTGTCGAACAACTCCACGGGAAATTGGACGCACAGTTTCTTTGGACATGGATAATATGCGGGGGCTATACCAGTAAAACCGACCAATACTCGACTATCTTGACTTGCCTGAATCATGTCTTTCCCAGAATTGCGACGCAGACTTACCCTCCCCACGCCATACCAAAGTGGCAGTCCACAACTACCCGACTTACCCCATTTTGAGTTTGAAGAGCGACCACCGACCGCGCCTATAATCCGACTGCGGTCTTCATTTGAGTTACCCCAGGAAAGGGACAGGTTCAGCGGGTCTTCATACAGTACCCTGTTTGAAAACGACAAGGAGAAAAATGAAAAGGCCCAAGAACAAAGCAACAACGTTGTAAGTGCTTCACACTTCTCATACACTTCTCCCTCTTCTCTTCGTGTCATACTTACTCATGTTGACGCAGATCTCATGGAGCGGGCCTGATGACCGCGAGAATCCACTCAACTGGTCGCGGCAGAGGAAATGGGCGTTGACTTTCCTCGTCTCCTGCTTCACTTTCATCTCCCCATTTTCGTCTACCATGGTCACACCAGTACTTGATGACATCGGTTTGGAGTTTGAAATCACCGGAAAGTTTACCAAGGCACTCGTCATGTCCATTTTCCTACTCGGATATGCCCAGGGGCCTTTCGTGCTAGCGCCCCTGTCGGAGATATACGGCCGTGTCTCCGTGCTGCAATACACAAACCTCATATATCTCGTTTTCAACACTGCATGTGGATTTGCGAGCAGCACGAACCAACTACTAGCGTTTCGCTTTTTGAGTGGGATTGGCGGAAGCGCGCCACAAGCCGTGGGTGATTTACCCGATACTTCCTGCACAATGCAGTGCTGATTTTGGCACAGCTATGCAATGGCATGCTAGCCGACGTATGGAGGAAAGAAGAAAGGGGACTCGGCCAGACCATCTATGGCATGCTGACTTTTATTGGGCCAACCGTGGCACCCATTGTGGGGGCTTACATCTCAGAGAACACGACTTGGCGTTGGATTTTCTGGTCGACATCCATGTTTGACGTTTTCGTACAGTTGGCAGCCCTATTTTTCCTCAAGGAAACATACGCACCGGCTATACTTGGCAACAAGGCTGCGAAATTGCGCAAGGAGACTGGCAACCCGTATATACGGACTGAATATGATAACACTGGTAAGACGTTCGGGGCCATCATAAGGAAACGTCTCGTGTTACCATTCTTCATGCTGGTTGCCCATCCCGCAGTGCAGCTACCATCTATCTACAGGGCGTTCATGTACGGCATGATGTATCTTGTGTAAGTCAGCTCCAAAGTCCACCAATCCAGCAGCTTACACTAATAATATGCACTTCAGTCTGTCAACATTCGACCAAGTTTGGATCACCACCTATCGCATGCCCAAGGGCGTAGCCAGTTTGAACTATCTATCCCTCTGCCTCGGCTTCATTATCGGTCTGCAGATCAGCCACCCACTCATAGACAACGTATGCACCCATATCCAACATCATCTGGACCAAAGAATTAATTAACAGCACTCCAGCTTTATGCCTACTTCAAGAGAGTCTATCGAACCGACGAAGGTGTCCCTGAATGGCGTATCCCACCCATGCTAATCGGCGGCATCCTCACCCCCATCGGCCTCCTCATCTATGGCTGGACCGCCCAATACCGTGTCTACTTCCTCATTCCTGACCTCGGCTGCGTTATTCTAGCCGCGGGCCTGATCGTGGCATTTCAGAGCGCCCAGGCTTATGTGGTTGACGCGTACAGTGCTGAGCATGCCGCCAGTGCCGCCGCCGTGGGTGCCTTTTTGAGGACGATGTGTGGGGCCACGTTTCCATTGTTCGCGCCGGCTATGTATGGTGCGTTGGGTTTGGGGTGGGCAAATACGATGTTGGCGGGGATAACTTTGGTGATTGCAATTCCGAGCCCCGTTGTCTTTTGGTTTTATGGGGCGAAGATAAGGGCGTGGAGTACGGCGGGTTTGGATTAGAGTAGAGTCGCAAGTTGAGTTCCGATGACTTTATTTGGAGTTTCCATAATTTAGTATCATCACTGTCGAGATAGTAAACTTCATCCACTGTATGTCTTGTCCTGGTCCTTTGCACGTTCTCATTCTCTACCGTACCCACGGCTCCGAGACCCCTGATGGCCCGCTCCCTCTTTCTCTGTCTTTCCCTCATAGGTCATGTCAACTTATGCAAGGCTGGGTGCTAGGAAAGATGACTACGACTAGTTTATGATGGTGGCTCTATTTCAAGAAGTTTTGTATTGAAGAAACCTCTGTCCGCGGACCTATCTTGGGCGACGAACCCTGGCCCACGCAGCCTTGGGCTTTTGAATCCTCACATATCACCTCTGCTCCTTTTCTTCACCCCTTCTTCAAAGCACTCCTTCTTCAAAGGTCGGGGCTCGGGACCCGGGCCCAGGGGAGCGACAGAGAAGGTGGCACGTAAAACAAGAAGCTGGAGGCAAATCTCCAAGGGCCAGACCTGGTTAAGTCGAGCGAGGGGGTCATGGGGCAGAGGGAGCGATAAAAGAATCGAAAAATGACAGAGGAATAGTAAGGAGAGGGTTGCGGGCGAAGAGAAAACGGGAAAACAGGAAAACGGTCGGCCTGGTCATAAGCCTGCGTCGCGGCGAGAAGACGGGAGCGATGGTGGGCAACATGGGTGCTGACACTAAATGCAAAATTCCGTGATATGGGGTTTCACATAGGTTACTTAAGAATCTCCAAAAATGGATGGCAAAATAATATCCATTTCTCGTTTTGTGCTTGAAGCCAGATGGCCAATAAAGAAGTGTGGCAAAGATCATTACAGGATGAAAAGGAACCGATCAGATGTTTCCAGGAAATTTTAGCAACAGTTTAATGAAGACAAAGTAAATAGGAAACCAAGCATTTACTAGGCTTAGTCTGATGCTGGAACGCTTGGGCGATTGTAACTGGCATTAACACGTTGATAACTAGCTGAGACTGACAGTTGGGATTATGATATCCGTGTGGCGGAATTGTTGTAACCTATACCGTAACAGCTATTTAGTGAAGCTTTTAGTATATATATGTTACGCAAGCGGTTCATTTCTGATCTTTATGGGGCAATGAATAAGCAGATGTTGCTGGCATTGCCGCTCTTGAGACTAGAGAATGACCGCGATGTCAGGTCATCCATATATTCTTGAACGGCGGGGCAGGGATTCCTTGGGTCACAGTACTCGACTCCTGGCCAGTTCTGGCAAGAAATCAGATTAAGGTGCGGCCTGGCAAGGATGCACACTAGGATCGTAAGGATAGTATTATATTCCAGCGCAGAAATGAGTGGCTACCGTAATAACTTTATGCCACCGCCGCGCTCGGTGCGGCCCTTATTATACCATCGATCAACCTGCCAGTAGGCTTGCCAGTATGCTACCTCTCTGCAGAGCACAAGTCTGAGATGGTATTAGCCTGAATACCACTCAAAGAGCTATATCAGAAGCCGAGAAAGGTAAGCGCGTGTGGCGAAGATACCGTGATCCACCACCTAGTCCAGCGCCAATCAAAATGTTGGTAGTCTGTTTTTTTGGCACGAACTTCAAAATACATGGGGTCCAGCGACGTCAACTTTTGGCCACTCAGAGGGAATCAAAGCGCAGATCCAACTCTCATATATATTTTGGAGAGTCCCTCTACCTTCAACCATTCCACAAGTACATGTCTACATGTGCCATGTCGACATCGTGGACTCCGCCTGAGGACCCGGACCGTCCAAACTGCCCTTACAGTGTCGGCTTCAGGACAGTGATCCAGTTCCATCGCGCACCACTCCCATTTGGAGGTCCCAGATATGGTCGCAAACTGCGGCCATATGTGTACGACAATTGGCTCGAGAGTGTGACCCAGAGTGAGCATGTTCTGGCCTACCCGCCATTGGAGACAGCTCCGCCTTCCCAGCATGCCACTGCCGAGCTTGTCGTCAGTAAGACCATAGCCATCGGCAATGCTCGGGGTGCGCAGTTAGTCGTGTGCACTGTGCTGCCTAGGAACAATAAGCCAGGCAAAAGTGGCGAGGGGGAAGGCATGGAGAGCAAAGAGGAACACGGCTACGAGTACAGTGAAAAGTCATTCACCGCCATCGCCAAGATATACGATGCTCTTTACTATCCATTTTCCAGCAACATCGTCAGCCGCCCCGTTGATGTTGTTCGAAATGCAGATGTGGACTATAGCCGGGAAGCTGCGTCCTACGAGTGTCTTTGCGAGGCCGGCCAAACAGGAGACTTTGCACCCAATACTTTGGATCGTGGACCTTCCAGCTGCCCATCACCAGTGCGGGAAAAGCCCATCAGAGACCGGTACGCCTGGTTCTGATAGAATACATTGACGGGTCGCCAATAAGCGACCTATTCGTACGCAACATGTCCGGCCCACGTGCCGATCCTCACCTCGACGCTTTGCATTTTGACCAAGAATTTCGCCTAAAAGTCATTGCTCGAATCATGGAGGGTATTGTGCGTCAGAGACAGGTGGGACTGGATCAAAACGACCTGGCGCCTCGCAATGTGATCCTGTCACCAACGCCGCAGCCACCAGGCACCCATAGTTCGACTCGAATCACTCTCATCGACTACAACGTCGCCCACGTGGACAAATGGACTAAGGATGGGCCACAAGACATGCCTTTGCCTCCTAACCCTTTGGAATGGTTCTGGGACAACAATCTTTCCGCCTTCATTGGCTGGACACCGCTCGAATGGTACATTGACCCCAAAACACCTCAAAAATGGCTGTTACATCGGTTCGGTGGTGAGATATCGTCCCTCTACAGACCTATTGAGGAGGATTTGGAGTTCAGTAAGACAGAGGAGGAATGGCTTGCAGAGAACCCCAGTGAGTTCGACTAAGAACAAGGATTGGAAGAAGTGTAAGGCAACTAGTTGGGTACTTACATCACGCCGAGTAATTACAGATATCGAATCTCTGTTTATGACGAAACAGCCGGACTTGGGAGCAGAGCCATAATCTCAGCACAATTCCCTGCCATCAAGTTTTGAAGTAATCCTGTCCAAAGCAATTCTAGCGCCAAATGGGACACAGCTTTTGTCGTCACCCGCAGTCTTGACACAGTTCGTTCAGCGAGACCAGTACTTTTCCAGCCATGATAGATAGGTGGTCCTAGTTTGTGCCCAACGTGATTGGCAAATTTCCTGCAGATCTTGGTCGCTGGCTATGGCCCAGAAGCCGCGCGGCTCACATGTACAAGGGTGATTGATCCATGCCGGATGGGAAGCGCGGACCATCCCAAATTAAGAACATCCTTTATCATTCGTCTGTCAAACATACGCCGGAGGATGGGCTTTACCAACTGAAACGGCCCGCACGCGACCAGTCTTTAAGCGCTGGTCACATATATTGTCATGTCGTTTACCATGAAACGGGCCAAAATAGAACCTTTTCGTCCATAAGACCTCGAGAGTATCTCTAAGTCGCCCTATTCTATAACTCAAGCAATAGATCAAGCATATCTTCCTATTTTCCCAGCACAAAACATCACTTCTTTCAAACACTCATATACACGACTCTGGCCTCGGATTTACTACCAAACACAAAATATTCAGGCTATCCTCTCCATGATGGGCCTGTTCAGTCGTTTCCAGAAGCAGCCGGCAGCCCCTTTCCAGCCCCAGCAGCAACCTGCTGTGCACAGACCAGCGACCTCTAGCGGAGTGTTCAGGTCAGCAACAACTAGTGTTGGGTATAAGACAGCAACACCCAATGCCGGATATAAGACGACAGTATCTAGCGTTGGATAAAAATCAACACCACCCAGTGTCGGACACAGTTCAGCAACACCCAACAGGTCATACAATCCTTCAACATCTAACACCGCTTCGAGCCCGCGCCGCTCCCATTCCGACCAGCACCTCCTCCAATTCCGAGCGGAGGACACACTTCGAACACGGCACAGCGACTGGCAGCACAACGAATGGCACCGCAAACACGTCGTCGTCGTGTCCTAAAACGAGTCGCGCCCCCTACGACTATGTTGCCTGGAGATAGGTACTCCCAGTGGCCGATCCAGCTGCTGACGCCAGGACTTTAGGCGAATGGATAGAAGAACCTCGGCTCCCTGATTCCGAACTAGGAACATGGCTGGACCGACACGCCGCTCAAGTACCGTACCGCGCCCCTGTAGCCCACAGTAGACCTAGAAACATAGTACTACCTCCACGGACCTATGAACGCCGAGCCCGTCTTCAAGTCCATTGGCATCAACCCCGCCGGGCCTATACCCTCTAACGAAGGAAGCCTTCCAACATATCACCCAGCACACGAGCAAGCTTAGTCCCAAGAAAATCAAAATGACGAAACTCCTTCACGGCTTCTGCGTTAGCATCTGCTTCACGTCTGAGCAAGAAGCTGAGAGCGAAATAGGCAAGGGACTTGCCAGCTACCCACTAATAAACGTCAAGCCCCAACCGCATGCACTCCTACCCCCCATACCCCCCATCGCCTTCCCGCCTTTTAAGGCCTACGATCGAAAACCCCTCGCTAACATCAAAGTCTTCGAAATAACGCGCATCAGCACCGGCCCGCAAATTAGGAAAATCCTAGCCAGCTTGAGTGTTAACCGGCTGCATCTGCCCGATATCAATGTCATGCAACTGACGCTCAGAGCGGGGAAGTGGACGTGTGCTATTGACCTGTAGAAGGAGGAGGATGTAGCTATTCTGCATTCGCTTCCATTGAAATTGGAAAATGATTGCACCAATGCGGTTCAGGTTGCTATCCGGCGAATACAATGAGTCGTTTTATGAAACCAATCCCACTGAAGTGCATTGAAGCCCGCCGTTTGTGTCAAGATCTCGGCAAGCCCTGCCCTCGGATGTACATCAGTCCTAGCGATGTGAGGGACAAGACTTTAGTTCTTGGATCTAGCTAACTATAACGTACTGAAACTGTTGCGTGCCCCAGGCACACCGCTTGAGCCAACTGTCCATAGATAGCCCTTCCGTAGTTGCAGCCTTTGGGACTTAGTCCTATTATCATTATCATCACCATCACCATCATCACCATTACCATCATCACCAATACAATCTTCTTGCCTGTATTTCCAATAGAAAATATCTTCCAGAATCTACTTGTTGATACTGAGTTTGACATTTGGTACCTAGGCAAGCGAAAACGAACAGATGATAGCGGGCGAGGAATGACGAGTATTCTAGTATTAATGAGACGATTGTGTTGGTGATTCATACTATTCTTGCCTTCTTCGTTCGAAATGATGTACTAAATGATAGGAGAGTTATCCAAGATATTGATGACGGTATTGGTTGGGTTTCCGGTCACGTACGCCAATCCTGCGGCCTCGTCGGCGATTTGTTGCCAGCCAACTTTATCAAGTCGTTTAGGTCGATGCCGTACTTAGTAATTTTTTGGATAAGGCAGCCTTAGACAAATACATCCGCCACTGCTACAATCTGACCAGTCTGAATACATTGGTCGCCTTGAGCTCAGAACGCTTGTACCCTTAACTTATGTTGGATTGCACCAGCTTTTGGTCTTCAACGGATCTTTCCTCTATTTAGGCTACAACAGTCATTTAACCGAATGTTGGACTCTGCGCGCCAAGTTAGTGGCAAATCCTCTGGTGTATCAGCCACTGTTATGTATGAAATGTACAGCCAAGAGGCAGATTATTCTGTAAACAAGGCCCTTATGCCTACCTTCACTCTTTTAACTGGGAGGAGAGAGCCATTCCATTTAATGCTTGGATATAGTTTGCAATAAGTCCAATAATTTCATGGGTTATTGCAATGGTTGGTGAACTTCCCACATCTACAGCAACTTGACCTTCCACCGCAGTTTTGCTAGGGTATCTGGAGGACAATTCCAAATTACGAATCGAGGAATTAGTTTCTTGAATCATTCAGCACTTGAATATTACTATCACAGATATATTCATCGATCGGTTGGGTTGCGAAGACGGCCATCAGATCAATATACCTAACTTTCAACCTTCCGTGTTTGCCCAGATACTTCAAGCATGAATTGGAAAATTTGTGTCAGGAGAGTGGATTCCAGATTCAGGCTATGCGTGCTGATGCATTTCTTAATCAGCTGTCTAATGAGTGAAACTCGGCTGGGAAAATGATCCCACCATATGATACTAGAACCCGCTGGCAACCCAGCAGTCAAGCCAATATCCTTTTGTCCTGTTGGCTTTTTACTGAGGTATTGGCAATCACTGAAGCCTCTGTCACAACGCCGACGATTATTATCCACCGATATTGTGTACTAAGCTCGACTCACCTGGACAGGAAGGTGGAATAATTTCGTGCGGCGCAGAATGGGTTTCCGATGCGCGGGCCTTCTGACATCAAATTTGATCTTATATTAAAGGCTTCCTGCTGAAAAAAGTGAGCCTTTGACTCGATACTTGTTGTAGCGTTCCTCTTTATTTCTCCAGTTTACTTCTATAAATTTGTGGCTGGAAATTGTGGAATGCACGAATCTATATTCCTATAGGAAAAGAGGAATGGGGGACGAAGCGACGGCAGCCGGTTATATAAGGACCCCGTCGCTATGTGCAAGTGGCGATCAGACCTGGTCAATTCGAGCGGACAAGATGCGTCTTGCTCCCTACGTGCCTTCGCCATTGCACACTTGGCAAGCCTAGCCATTTCGACAACAAACTCCTCAGTTGGCTCCATATGAAACTTCTCTTCCAGCGTCAATCTTCTGGAGTGCATACTTCTGATGAGCTCTGGAGCTAATAGCAATAATTATGTGTCACCTTTCGTCAGAGGCTTCAGGGGGCTCATCAGAATATTGCAAAAATGGTAAGACTGGCTGATATTGGGTAATAGGTGAAAATCCTTTCACATGCTTCATTTAGCCAAACAAATACAAACCAAGGGTGATGGGATTGAAAATGGGAATTGCTACCAATCAGAAATCCCCCTAGTTCGGCACATGATTTCCTGCAGCCAGGTTGACTAGTGGCGTGGTTGGCTTGAAGGGCAATGGTCTGGCTGGAGCCCACGCTCGCAATCTCATGAACCTTTGGACTTTCTCAGGCCCGACAAAGTACGCTTACGCAGTGGATGATTGCCACCAAAGATTAGTACTCAGAGTTGATGACAATGATGTGCATATTTTTGGGCTTGCTTGCCATGGGCTCGATATAAATACGGTAAGGGGCAAATGTGGGTCGATACCGAGACGCTATCGACATGTGCCATCTTTCCAACTCTTCATCAAGTTCCCATATGTCTCCAAGAAGCTCTGCATTTGACTTGCGAGAAGCCTTGGCGCTGAATAAGGACCTGATTTCCCGGGACGTCACGATGGTGAGCCTCACGTCCCCGGGGAAAAGATCACTACGATCTTGGAATTGTCAAAGTCATCGATCTGCTTGTATTCTCGGGGGAGAGCCAGGTTGCAATGATTATTGTCGATGATTGGGGGATTGCCCATACGAAGAGAAACGTCCATGTCCCACATATAGCACAGTTAGAATATCCTGCGGAGATAATGCTTCTGGGCCCAAACACGGGATTCTATGCCCGGAGGCGATGCTCCGTTTGCGGGCTTCACATATGCGCCTAACATCAAGACCATTCGACATGCAGTCGAGTTCAAGAGCGTGGCAGCTTCTGCGTGCCCCGAGAAGAGATTGTACATGATCTCGTCCCGGTAGGAATTGTCAGCGAGCGATACACAAAGTAAGCACTTGAGACAGATAAGATGAGACCTCAACTGCATGGGACAAATTTGAAGCGATTCACAACTTGCCTCCATGGGCACATGAGGAATCAGCAATTGTGCTTTACGGCCACATTTGCCGCTATCAATTGATGGAGCTCGGTCAAGCTTCACCAGCAAGAACAGTTTGACATCCAGGTTGCCGCAACCCAAATTACTACAGATATCATGTTGACAACTGTTACATCAGGAATGACGCCTACTCTGTCTCAGTCATGGAAACATCGTTCACTACCTTACCTACAGAGAGTTCCTTCACCATGTGGTATCCAATGACTCCAGGAAATCGAATCAGTGGTGAGAACAGCAAGATAAAGGAAATGACAGTGTCCATGTGCTCTGATCACTACTTTGCGGTATATTCACTGTGCCAAAACAAAACTGGGGACGCATAGTGCTCAAGTGGGTTCAAAACATCGTGAACCAAGTACAGCCGAGTGATGTTTTTGCTTGTCTGGACTTCTTGTCGTTTGGAGCTTGAGGATGAAAAGAAGTGAGGGCTGCTACTTTTCTGGCCATTGCATTACTTTAAAGTATATGCCTGCCCTTTTGATCCAAATGCTCGGAACAAGGAAAGAGTACTCAACTTGACTTGATTCATGATTTTATTGGATTATGGGCAAATAGTCTTTTATTGAAGGAGTCATGATCTCTGGGTTCTTGGCAGGGAGGCGCAGCTCCCATCACTAGCATTCATTGCCAACCTTATTCGAGGGTCTTGCACGTAAGTAAACTCGCGAGTGTAAGCCCGTTTCCGCTCTACACTAACAATTATTCCACATTGGCATGCAGCCACAAAATTTCTCTAACTTCTGCTGTAATGCAGCAACACATCTAGGCTATAATGGGGGAGGTGAAGGGTTTCTCTTACTCACATGCACACACATAATCTCTCTCTCTCTCATTGTATGTGTGCGCGTGTGTACAGCCGGCAAGATAAGCGGGATGACATGTGTCGACGTCCGAGACACGACGCAGGGGTTGAGCTGTAAGCGGACCACTAGACATGTTCCGACTTCCGACGCCCGAGACATTGAAGGCTTTGTGAACAGTCAACACTTTCCTTATGGGATAAAGATGATATAACAAGCCTCAGGCGCCCTAGTTGCCTTCAGGTCACCAGGGCGCGCTATCTAAACACTGCACTAAGCCTAGATGGGCGAAATACTGGCGGCAGGGGAAACTGGCAAAAGCTATCATCTATAGTTGTGGTACGCAGACTTTGCCCCATTCGAGCGCTCTATTGATGACCACCGCTGATATTCAGAACCGGTCGAAGTTTCCATTGCTTGTTAGGCAGCAATATGTGGATATTCCAATCCAATTTAGAGGCACTTCATCACACGCCGTAATCCATGGGACCAGGCAGTGATTGGACGGCGTAATAAACGCAACGAGTTTGAACCTTTGCTCACTCCTGGGTGGGTCTTGCCGGTGCTCTAGTTGCATGATTACATGTCTGGGCCCCTAGAGGCTTTGCTCCCGATGCTTTTTGGTTGCTTGGAGTTTCTAATGTGACGTCCTGACATTTACATGATTTTTATTTGTACGAAATCATCACAGCAACGTAAAACGACATTCCATCATTTCTCCAGGAAAGATGGGGCTCTTTTCTCGTTTTTCAGTCTCTCTCTTAGTTATTTTGTCTCTTACATCCTCACTTGTTATTGGAAGAATCCTCCCAGGTGTTGCTTGTCAATCTAAGAGCAAGACTCGCCATTATGATTTGGCTCTAACGTGGGAATACGGTGCCCCCGATGGATTTGGACGTAAAGTGTTCAAGATCAACGGCCAGTTCCCAGGTCCGACTCTGGAGCTTAATGAAGGGGACCATGTGGTAGTCCATGTCAAGAACTTGACACCTTACAGCACGACTGTTCACTATCATGGTAAGGCTTGAAGCTATGATCAAGGTTGACTACATCATATCCTTGGTAGCTGACTTTGGTCTAGGCATAGAAATGTTGGGTACCCCTGAGTATGACGGCGTCCCTGGAATAACTCAGAAGCGTATTCCACCCAGCTGTAGCTTCACTTACAAGTGGAAGGCGACCCAGCATGGATCCTTCTTTTATCATGCCCATTCCGACAGCCAGATCAATGATGGACTGTATGGACCCATCATCATCCATCCGGCTTCCACCACACCTGTACCATACCAGTTGATCACCAACAGTTCCAAATCATTGGCGGCCATCAAGTTGGCAGAAACCAAGCGGATCCCACTATTGCTGTCCGACTGGCGCCATATTACCTCGGACTACGAATGGGAATTGTCACAAAAGTCTGGAGTCGAAACGCCGTGTTTCGATTCCATGCTAGTCAATGGAAAGGGCAAAGTTATTTGTCTATCCACGGAAGAGCAAGCAGTCCTCATCACAGCCAATCAACAAATGCTCTTGGGGTTCGTGCCAGGATCCAACTTGACCGACAAATCGTGAGTTATCCTCTATCGGGAACATATCTCGATGTACAGAATTCTGGCTAAACTTTTACAAGCTGCCTTCCCGCTCCTGTGATTGCTACCAGGGCTGCACCGGGCGCGCCAGCACCGAACTTTGATATCATTCCTGCCAACTTCTTTTACGGGTGCACCGAAACGCAAAGCTCCAGCGATGTTATTAAAATCACCCAGGAGACAATTGCCGATGAGACGTGGGCAATGTTTGACCTGATCGGCTCACTCGCTCTCCAGAATGTCCAGGTCTCATTTGACGAGCTGACCATGTATGTCATAGAGGCCGACGGCAACTATATTGAGCCCCAGGCAGTCCACTCGTTACTCATCACCAACGGCCAGCGGTATACGGTCGTCTTAAAATTGGAAAACCCCAGGAGGTACACATTCCGGGTTTCGGGCATCTCTGACCCGCAGATCCTTTTTGGAACCGCAGTACTGGACTTTAAGATCAAGGGCACCAACCAATCAACCATACCCACTGTTCCCTATATCAACGAAGTCGGCGTCAACACCACAGGCGCCGTCGTTCCCTTTGACTTCGCCGGTACCAAGTCCTTCCTGCCCCAGCCCATCCCCCAAGCGCCGGACGCGACCTTCAAAATGACCATGAGGGTCGATGGCCAAGTCATTTACTGGGCCTTTAACGAGACCATTCTCCCGCTAAACTACGACGACGTCCGGCCCCCTCTGCTCTTCGCGCCGCAACCCGACCGCCAGGACAACCACACCATCACGATCCACAAGAATAACACGTGGGTCGATTACATCATGATGGTGCCCGGCGTGCAGCCGGCCCATCCAGTGCACGTTCACGGCCGCCACTTTTACGTGCTTGGCTCGGGCGAGGGCAATTTTACCTGGGATACCGTCGAGGAGGCCGCTGCCGCTGTGCCCGAGAGTTTTAATCTTGTGAATCCGCCACTACGGGATACGATCGCAACGCCCTTTGCGGGTCCGTCGGGTTCGTGGTTGGCGATCCGCCGGCCAAGTGACAACCCGGGGGTTTGGTTGATGCACTGTCATATTCAAAGTCATATTCAGGGTGGCATGTCTATGATTATTCAGGATGGCATTGATGACTTGCCCGCGATACCCGCCGAGTATGGCTGGACGTGCTAGGTTTGGCCTCTCCGGCGCAGAGACTCTTAGTGCATTTCTTGAAACACATATTTGTAATGGATAACCTGCTTGCCGATGGAAATAATTCAGTAGTTTTAGATTATATGTACTGTTTGCATGAGAAGAAACGCGACAAGAAGAACTATGGGGAAGCAAATCCAGATAGCTTTGAGACGAAATTACCGGTGATATGCGCCTTTCCTCGCCTAAGGACTAGGCTATGTAAAAGCTCTGTTCTTGAGTCTCGAAAAATTGAACATTAAGCCTGGAAAGACGGTCAGTCCAATGGAGCGGTGTGCCCGACAGCTCAAGAGACCACCTGGCACGATGCGCTTCGATCCAAAATATATATGTAATGGATAAGAGAATGTTGTTCATACGATTGACAGTGAACTGCCATGCAGCCGTGCAATTTGCTGACTTGGAAATCTTTCCTCTTCCAACGTCAATTGGAAAATAGTGGTGCACAGAGATCAGCCGCTGCCAGTACGTAGTACTCAGCCCTGTGAAGTGACTAGCCGCAAGTGGATGTATATATGCCCCAAATGATATATCGTGGCCCTTGTCACCCCCACCCATTCCCGAACATCCTTGACCCCTACATGCAAGCATGCTACCTTACGGACGTCGTTGCTTGTGCCCAGAGCCTCAACAATGAACTGCGCTGAGTAAGCGCAATTTGTTTTCTAGGGCTGTTCATGATTGGCTGGAATAGAGGGCATTCGACTTTTTCCATTCCCAGGTTGTAACATTAGATGCCGAAATGACCTATTACAGATGACAAACAGAACCAGCAACGTCCGGAAGATCCTGATCCTTTCTTAGGTAGATGACAACCAGAGAGGCCTTTTGCTGTCTCAAAAGCACAAGATTTGTCAGTCGTTATGAAAGGCGCAGGCCTCGGTGTTGCGTGTTGCACTTACAGTTGCACCTTCGAGAAGGTTTTGGCCCGGGACTCAATGAAGTAAAACGTCTCTTTTTTGGCATTACCTGACCTTGAAGCATTCCGAGACGAGGCTGCTGAGCCATTACCATATCTGTATCTTCAATCCTTCTTCGTCTATGACAATTAGAGACCACCACGCACCCACAGCCCTTGTGAATAACGGTAGAGAGGCTAGATCCTGGAAGCAATTCGGCTTCAGATCTCGACATGACAACAAATATTCAACCAGAAATCGAGGCATTATCGGGAAAAGATGCCAAATCAACTTTCCCGCCCCGGCATTGGGCATCACCTGGAGTGACGTCAAAGTTGAAGCAGTTAGTGCCGATGCCGTTATCAACGAGAATTTCACCTCGCAGTTCAACTTCCTCAATGGCCTGCGGGATTACAACAAGAAGCCGTTGCCTAGAGCCATTTTTAACAGCAGTCATGGATACCTCAAGCCGGGAGAGATGTTGCTCGTTCTGGGCCGGCCTGGGTCCGGCTGCACCACTCTTTTGAGCATCCTCGCCAATAAGCGACGCGGTTACCAAGCTGTCACTGGTGACGTCCATTATGGCTTCATGAGTGCCAGCGAGGCTGAAGCCTACCGAGGGCAGATTTCATGAACACTGAGGAAGAACTGTTTTTCCCTGCCTTGGCCGTGGGACAGACACTGGATTTTGGCACTCGTCTCAAGATGCCTGCCCACCGTCCACCGGCGGCGTTTTCCTGGGACTATTATCAAAAGGGATGCGAGACTTTTTACTACGCTCGATGGGATCTCTACATACCAAGGATACCAAGGTCGGAAATGAGTTTGTGCGGGGTGTTTCCGGGGGTGAAAGGAAGCGGGTGTCTATCGCCGAGTGCATGGCAACTCGCTGCTCCATCTTTTTCTGGGATAAAAGCACCAGAGGCTTGGATGCCAGCACCGCACTCGACTACGCCAAGGTTATCTGTGCCTTACCGACACGCTGGAGCTCTCCTAGGTCGTCAGTTGTATCTGGCGGTAAACAGCATCTATGAGTTGTTCCACAAGGGCCTGGTGGTCGACGCAGGGAAGCATATCTTTTACGGGCCACCAAAAGAGGCGAGATATTTCATGGAGCACCTGGGTCTCATATGTGAGGACGGATCTAACGTGGCCGACTTGTTGACCGGTATCACTGTGCCCACAAAACGGAAGGTCAGTCCTGAGCACCGAGGTACAACGCCAGACAATGCGGATGCTTTTCGAGCCGTGTATGAGAGTTCTCACATTTACCAGCAAATGATTTCCGAATACGGATATCCCAAGACCGAGGTTGCAGAATATCAGACTCAATCTTTCATGGTCGTAGCATAGATGTCAAAGTCTACCTGGCATCATCTATCTCGATGCCAACTCTGTTAATCTCACACAAACGTATATTTCCTCCGACTTAAATCTGCACTTAACCTTTGATGGTCGCCTCTGAGCTCGGCGAAGCTGTACAGTCCTCCCAGTAGAAAATATGAGCCGTACATTCTTCACCCTCAGCAAGTCAATCCCATCAGAAAATCTACGATTATGAATTTTAACTGGTTTATCCTCTGACGGGCGTAATTTCGGCACAAGGGGCTCGGTGTTTTGCTTGTTCCGTCTTAATGGGAATCCTGAGACCTTGGCGGAGAGTGTCATATTCTTGGCCTGTACACGGGATTCCGATCAGTCGACATGAACGTAACTAAATATTTTCTTCTTTCGGGACACGACACTGTCTGGCGTTTCCGTGTTATGAGTTACGCCGCAACAAGTGGCTATTTTCCGGGCAGATTTGTGCTCATCCGGAGAGGATATAAGTTTCTACCTAGGTTATGCCCATATATCGAACATTAAGTGATGCAGATATACGTGACATGAGTCAATATTCCTGTTGATTTAAGCATCAATGATTGTGGATGAGCCAATGTGCAATCAACGAATCCCTCTAGTTTGATCCTAATAGATCTACTCGTCCCGAAACTTCTTCTCTCCCTCCTCAAAAATATTGTCATGATCATTATGAAAACTGCAGGCAAAGGGTTGTCACCTTGAAGAATAGGTTCTCGTGGTGCCGTCATGATGCAAAATTGACGAGACAAGATAGTATGGACTGAAGAGTGGGTTTAGGCGCTTCAGAAGTCACAACTCTGGTGACAGCGACAAAAAGTACTTCACATGTTGAATTAACTGGTTATCTATGAATATATCACGTTATGTCAGCAATATTTGGTGTCTAGTACTGCACTCGCTTAGAGATTTACAGGTGTCCGAATTGCGCCTGAAACAGCACTGGAGGCGGGCTAAACTCTACTCATATATATAGTTCACCTACGCAACTAACTTCGTGGCCGAGCCATATTTCCAACAATCCAACACAACCTCCACAGTCGGTACAGGCCGTGCTGCCAACGGCTTCAGCTTCCGGTATATGAGGAACTAGCGGAGAAACAACCCCTACTCTCAGTCGTAGGGTTCGCGGACGATACGAACCTACTTAGCGTGAGCACAGACACGGGCACGACCTGCCGCCGACTAGAGGACGCTTGGGCTACGTGCCAACGGTGGGCCGCCAGGCACGGGATGGAGTTCGCTCCGGACAAGAGTGAGCTGATGCACTTCACTAGAACCCGAGACCCCTCCCCGCAGAGTATCCGTCTTGGAAACGCTACAGTAACGCCGAAGGTCTCGGCAAGGTTCCTAGGGGTCTGGTTTGACCGCAAATTAACGTGGCACGCCCATACCGAGCGGGTTAAATCAAAAATGGCGACTCAGAAGCTAGCCCTAACAAAGCTAGTGAACATGGCGTCGGGCTGCGATCTCATACGGGCGAGACTACTGTACACGTCGGTTATTCGCAGCGCGATCGCCTTCGGGGCGGCTGCGTGGCACACTATCAGCGAGGAACCAGCGGGACCAGCTAAGAGCCTAGTCGGGATACAGAATGAGTGCCTCCGAATAGTCAGTGGCGCCTACAAAGCGACACCGGTCCGACACCTAGAAATAGAGGCAGCTATCCCGCCACTAGACCTATATCTCAGTGCCCGGGCGGCGAAATTTGAAGAACGGCTACGGAATAACGGCAAAAGGAGCCTGCTTCGGAGCGCGAGCGCGAGAGCGTCACACATACTCCGACAGGATACGCCGGCGAGACGGAAGCGGACGTCACAATCGCTCAGACCAGCGGGGTACACGATAGAGAAGGAGGCTAGGGACTCCGAGTGGATAGGCAAGGCGAAGGAAGTCCCGGCCGCCCTCCTAGACCACTGGGAGAAGAGATGGCTCTCCGGGGCAGCACAACACGACCGCCAGCGACGCGCTATCGCCGAGGAGCCGGAGGGCCCCTCGATGCGAATGCCGAAACAGGGCAAGTACTCAGACCTAAACCGACCGGAGGCGTCTACCCTATGCCAGATCAGGACCGGAAAAATAGGGCTATCAACTTTCTTATTTAAGATAGGAGCCTTCGGTGTGTACTCGCCGCTATGCCGCTGTGGAGAAGCCCCCGAGACGGCAGAGCACGTAATCCTCTTTTGCGGCCTGCTGGAAGAATCGAGAGAGCGCCTGCGGGCCACTATCGCACCATGGCCGCTGTATACACGTAGAGACCTGGCAACGGCGACGGGGAAACCAGTAGTCAGCGGGACTATCACAAGGTGGCTACTCAGGACTGGCCGGATAGCGCTTAGGCCCGGATAATATCGATCTTCTCAGGGGGACTTTGTTAGTAGGGTGAGAACTAACATAGTATTGTGGTGGACGTAACGCAGTCGCTAATAGAGCGAACCTACGTAGCAGCGTATGTATTTAGTCCAGCCATTAGGGCACGGTTTGACATACGGGAGCACTTGTAGAGGTACCGGGGGCTTCGAGCCTACGGCGTATTTAATAATAATAATAATATTTAGTTCAGATTGTCCAGACAAACAGTATGTAAAGGGTTATCCTCTCTTTCTACCTGAAATTCTACACGTTATAATCCAAGCAAAATGCAATTATTCATGAAGATGGTCCGATAATATCGGGGGACTGTCATTATTATTGAATGCGGAAGTGACTTGTTTGCTTCAAGGAGGGTGAAACTTATTATCCAGGTATAGATGATGGAGCTCGGAATTTCTGCTAGTAAGTGTGTCGGGATACTCGCGGCCTGTAAATATCTCTCCTTCTTCTCCCGTTTTCCTCTCCACTCAAGGCAAGAAGCTAGCAGCACCGGGCAGACACATATGGCTGTATACCTCTACGCAGTGGAGGAAGATCTAGAGGGCGCGTTTTCGTGGTGATTGAGTCCGTGTAGTGGCACCGATTCAGCGCCCGATCAGATCAAGGAGATGTTCGACATCCTGAATAATCTGGCAGGAATATACCACCTGTTATGAAGAAAGGGAGCGGAATGACGGGTGATGATGCTAAATCGACAGACCGAACAACCTGCTGGACCTTCAAGGCTACTACACCAAGACTGCCAGTCTTGGAAGGACATATGGCCACGTACCGTATGTTATGGGCCAATATGACCACCACCCATCGAACCACACAAGTCCTGCCTGTGGGACAGGCATCGTTCATTCCTGTCTATATAAGGCCCTTATGGCCGCTGTTCACTTCTTTCAGGACTCTCCAAAGATCATGAAATTTTCAATACAAGACCATTTGCCACAATCCAACACAACCTCCACAGTCGGTACAGGCCGTGCTGCCAACGGCTTCAGCTTCCGGCTCAGGAAGTAGAAGAAACGCAGAGAGTGAAAGTCCGACCCAGATAAGGGAAAGGGGGATGACTATGCCTTTTTGGAGCTGGGCCTAAGTCCCCTAGCTCCTTACATATAAGCTGGCACTGAAGATATGCTCTAACCTAGGCAAAAGCTAAATGTTTCGTGCCCGTGGCGCACCGCCTGTATGCTACGTGCAGTGCTTGGGCCATTTTCTCATAGGTAGGCCTCCGTAGCTGCAGCCTTTAGGACTCAGTCCCATCATTATCACCAATATAACCCTCTTGCCTGTATTTCCCATACTAGTCCTAGTACCTGTCTGGTCAGGACGCGGGGTTTGATGTTGTTAACGACCGGATGGCCCGGAACAAGACGGCTTAGTAATTTAACTCATCCTAAATATATTTACCAGTTGTGATCTCCTTTGAAAAAGTAGTCGGCTTTCTTGCCATAAGGATTTGATTTATCATTTTCTGATATTATACTTGATGTACTCACTCCGTAGCATCCGCTAGCAACTTCCAATATAACATCCCAAAAGACCCGAGACGGCTGATCAGTAGTATCATGATCAAAATGTCACTCTCAACGGTGGTGGCAGCCTACTCCCTGATCAGACCGGTAACGACTAAACCAATAATCACACTTGAAGAACACTTTCTCTCCCGCGGCGCCGAAGCCCACCTCGACCCCCGCAATGAGAACTTCAAAGCCATCCCGGGGATCTTTGAACTACTCCCTGAGCTCGGCCCTCGTCGCATTACGGACATGGACGCTGGCCAGGTCACTATGCAGGTTATCTCCCACACGCTTGGAGACCTGTCCCCGGCCGAGTGCCGAGAGTACAATAACCAGCTTGCCGAAGCCGTGCGCTTTCATCCCGACAGATTCGCTGGTTTCGCCGACCTTCCTATGTATGAACCCCAAGAGGCTGCGAAGGAGCTCCATCGAACGTGTTCCAGGGAGAAGGATGACGGGATGAAATTCGTCAGTGCGTTAGTCGATAGTCATACCAAAAGCGGATTGTACTACGACGACCCGGAATTTGACGTGCTCTGGAAGGAGGCGACAAACTTGGATGTGCCCATCTATATCCACCCGACATGGGCATCTGAACAGGTCTTCACTGCGTATAAATCGCCCCACCTCCCAGAGAACGTCACAACGTCTATCCTTGCGTTCGGTTTCGGCTGGCACAGCGATGTTGCGGTGCACATCATGAGGCTGTACGCTGCGGGGGTGTTTGACCGGTTCCCTAAATTGAAAATCATTATCGGGCATATGGGCGAGATGATCCCGTATATGCTTCAGAGGATCCAGCAGGTATCTTCGCAGTGGGGGAAGGAGAGATCATTCCGGGAGGTGTGGGATACTAACTTATGGTTGGCGACGAGCGGAAATTGGGCGTTAGATCCGTTGGCCTGCATTTTGCGGAATACGAAGCACGATAGGATTATGTATATCGTAGACTACCCATTCGCGAAGAGTCTTTATGGGTTAAAATGGTTAGAAGAGCTGGAGGAGAGTGTGATGGTTAGTAAAGAGGAGTTGGAGGGCATTCGCTGAAGAATGCGGCCAAATTATTGAAATTGAATGTAACCCTGGTAACAGAAGTTCTTTGAGTAAGAGCCCTATTTTCATTTACATACGCTGTTCCACTCCTATCTATTCAGTTGACTGTGGGATTTCGGTCACCTCTAGATTATTCGAAGGCATCGTCCATCCCTCTCCATCAACTCCGCATCAAAGTCATTTGGCAGTTCTTCCGGGAAATAACGGGAGGATGCCCACCCACTGCTGCGTCCAAGAGATAACCGATGTGCATCGGATTGGCTTTGCAGAGTTTTTGGATAGGGACGAATCTAGGCACTACCCACGTCGATTTCAGTAAACGGCCATCCCTTCAGGTATCTAATACTTACTGCTGTTGTTTTTCTGTTGTCTCCTATGCTTGTACGTTGGGAAGAGACTAAGGCTGGAAGCCAGCCTGCGCTATCTTGATGGGCCCCGGTGGGCTCCTCAGTTGGGCTGGCTTTGGAGAAACGCCTTGCTCGGTGATAATTTCCATGATTGGTATACAAATATATACAAGTAACATGGTCAGTAGCGTGTCTCCTTACGATATATGAGCCTCTTGAAGACTAACAATGGACTTGGCAAGGTTCATGACTAGCGTGTTGAGAAGAGGAGGCGGCATGCTGTTAAATAATACCGATGTGCATGGATATATCCAGTCTTTCACGGAACGGTTGAAGCATGCCACGAATTGTCTTGCTCTGAGCTCCGGTTGGCTCTCTCAAATAACCTTCCTAAGCCGATTTATGACGCCAGCGTTTGGATTAAACGGGCTACGGCAGGTTAACAGCTACCCTTTTTTCTGAAAGGCTGAGCTGGCAGAAATGCCCCCATCTCTTTCAATGGTGCGGACGTCGTCGCTTACATCGCGGCCAATGCTACAAGCATATGGAAACAGGCACGTGGATGTGAGAATCGGGTCAGGCACCAAGGCGTTGATTCAGGCACTCTGCCGTCGGTGCAGGGCGACCCCTAAAGCAAAAATATTAAATAAAAAAGAAATTAGCTCAATGGTAGAGCAACCGTTTTTGGTGGTCTTCAGGATGCTGCTTTACAGATTTACCGGATCTGGAGACTTCTCAATCAGCATCGGAGACGCAAACAGAACTGAAGATCTCATGGGAAGTATCGGTGACTTTGTCAATATGTTGCCATTTGTGTTCCGCACCGAGGCGTCTCTTCACTTCGATGAAATGTTGCAAGAGACTCGATCCAAGACTCTCGCGGCGCTGGCTAAGTCCCGCGTGCCATTCCAACTTCTTCTTAATTAGTAGGTCCCCGTGCATTTGACTACCAATAAGTCCTAGAGACAGTCGCTAACGAGATTCTTCTGTCCAGACTTGGCGTTGCACGATCGGCAGTGCCCACGCCCATTTCCCAGGCCTTTATGGACTACCGCCTAGCCCGGGGAGAGAAAATGAGTTGGGGAGACTGCCAGCTTGAGTTACTATCCTTTCAACAATCGAAATTAGCATACTATGTGGCCATGGATATCATTGACAATGCCGGTGGGAACTGTCATCTCACATTTATCGTCCGCGATGACTTGTACAGCCAAGCAGACGTAGAGCAATTTGCTAATAGCTATGCCTTCCTTGCCAACGCCTTTGCTGCACAGCCAAGTTCAACTCTGGGCGAGGCAGACGTGTTTTATGACGATGAAATGGAGGAAGCACTGAACTTGGGCAGAGGTCAGTTCTTTACATTCCAGAGTCGCAGGAGGGATACTTGTAGTAGTACTGTTCCTTGGCTAACTTGTATTTACAAATAGGTCCGCTGTACCAGCCGCGAGAGCCTTGGGAAAGTGCGATCATCCATCGAATCGACGATAGGGCCAAGATACATTCTAAGAGAATAGCAGTAATCGCTGGGGACGGCAGCGTCGCATCGTATGACGACATCGTACACAACAGGGTTGACGCTATAGCTGCAAAACTTGAGTCTATCGGTATTACGACCGGTTCACGGGTAGCAGTATTGCAAGAGCCAACACCTGACTGGGTATCTGAAGTGGGGACACCATGGGCTCGGGCGGTTCTTGTGAATGAAGACACAAGAGGTCAGGTGCACAAGTTACACTCCAACATGAAAGTTGTGAGCATCTCGAACAACAAACGTCGTCCGGGGTATCGAACTCCGATCTGTGCGTTGCCAGATACTGTATCTACGATTCTTTACACTAGCGGCTCTTCGGGAACGCCTAAGGGTATCGTGCTCACGCACCGGAGAATGAAAGCATGGCTCGAGCCTTGCGGGATGCTGTATGGCATGAGGACAAGCGGTGAGGTCATCCTGCAGCAAAGCTCGCAGCGCTTTGACATGTCTCTGATGCAGATATTTACTGCCTTGTGCTTCGGTGGCAGTGTATGCCTCCTCCCACAAATATTCCGTGGCGACGCCCGTGTCATCAGCGAGACCATCACACTGCCCAACTACAATGTGTACATCCTCGAAGAGCAAAGAAGGCCCCTGCCGGCAGGTCTGCAAAGGGGGATATACATCGGAGGAGCCGGTGTTGCACGAGAATATTTGAACAATCCATCACTGACGGCAGAGAATTCATGTCCGATCCATTTGCCACGGCTGATGACCGAGCCAGAGGCTGGAATATGATGCAGCGGACAGGCGACCTGGGCCGGTGGTCTTGAGTTGACCATGGTGCTATTCTTATCGAAGGTCGCATCTCTGCGACACTATGGTCAAGCTACGTGGCCTACGCGTGGACCTGCGAGAATTTGAGATTGCGATACTACACGCTGGTGCTGATGTGCTGAGTGAGGCCGTCGTTTCGGTCCGCCGAAGCTCCCCAGAGTCGCCCGAGTTTTTTGGTTGCTCACGTTGTCTTCAAGCAAGACTTGGCGCAGAGCAGAAAAGGAGCACACGAGCATCGTCTGCAGCAGCTTCGTGTACAGATTGAGCTTCCACTGTAGATGCGACCTGCCTTCATCATCGCATTGGATACGTTGCCCCTGATGTCTACCGGAAAGCTTGATCGCAAGGCTGTCAGCACGCTGCCCATCCCCGAAGCTGATGCAAACGTTAATGATGATGTTGTTTGGACCTCGACCGAGGAGAGGCTGAAGGCCGTTTGGGAACAAGTTCTCGAGAGTCCTGCCTGTATCACCCCAGCGACGGATTTCTTCCACGCCGGCGGCACCTCACTGCCGCTCCTTAGTCTGCGCGATAAGATCAGAACCCAGTTCGGAGTCGAACTCAGGCTATTGGATCTATTTGAGGCAAGCGTGCTATCTAGCATGGCACGCCGAATCGAGGGTCAAATCGATACGCTGGACGTCATCGATTGGGACGAGGAGACGAGACTGCCCCCGTCCTTGGTAGAAATGGACAGCAACATGCTTCAGCGGATCTCGCACTCCTAGTCCAACAAGGTAGTAATACTCACCGGTAGCTCGGGCCACCTCGGCAAGGCTCTTATCCACGCAATGGTTAGAGACGCGACAGTCAAGGAAATTCACTGCCTCGGAGTGCGCAGGGTTGCTTCCCGAACCGACTTGAAAGGTCTCGACAAGGTCACTCTCTACGAAGGCGATCTATTTCAACCACGTATTGGACTATCGCAGTCCGTCATTGACCATCTATTCGGCCGGGCACATGTAGTTATCTACAACGGCGCGGACGTCTCTTACATCAAGACATATCAGTCGATGCGACAGTCCAACTTCCAAACAACCAAAGATCTCGTCGAGTGGAGAATGCCGAGGATGATCCCATTCCACTACATCTCGACGGCCGGAATCGGAAACCTCGCCCCGGGTGCGACCCTCGGGGAGATCTCGATGTTACGGCTACTGAGTACATCAAGAAACATGGTCCTCTCCCTATTGGATTATATAGTCACTACCAGTTTGTTTCCAGACACGGACCCTGAGTTCAACAATTGCAAACCTTGCAAAACGCCCGAAAGTCCGCCTTCTAGCTTCTGTGTCGGATGTGTCTTCAGCTTCCCTTGATCCAGGAGCCGCTGGAAGACAGCGAAGTACTTCACTGCGAGAGCAAGCTTTTCCGCATCTGCCGAGCTCTCGTAGCCTCTGGAAAGCAACACGTCTTCACCCAAACCTTCATAGCCCAGGACGAACTTGTGCCGCACCACCCGGCGAGTGCGCAACTTTTCCTCAACCATCTCCAGCGAGATATATTTGCCCCCTGTCCGGCCAAGCGCCGCGTAGCAGTGCGCAACCGACGCCGGGTCGGTGATGCAATCGTAGGCATGCTTCAGCTTGCCGTGGGTGCGCTTCTTGATCTCGTCGGCCACGTCAGGCCGCATGTAGTCTACCGCTTCACCGTCGGCAACGCCACGGGCGCGGACGAGGTCGAAGTTACGCGGGCTGCACGTCACAATGGGTTCCAGCCCGGACAGCCGCAGAAGCTGGGTGGCCAGCGTACCTGTCGCCGTGCTTCCGCCGTATACCAGCACCGGGAAAGGCTTCTCTGCAGGTGAATCTGGAGTGGCAGGTACTGACTCGAGGGCCAGCGCATCCCCCGCCCATAAGGCCATGACGTTTGTCATCAAACCCACCCCCAGAGTCGCGGCCTGTTCCATAGATAGATCCCGTGGTACCCGGAGGAGCAGTTCGGGGCGTACCCGTATATACTCTGCGAACGCCCCGTTGGTGGGGTCGCTAGGGTTCGAGCCATGAACCATGCCACACACTTGGTCGCCAATGTGGAGTACTGTCTTGGTGTCCGGGTGGATCGATGCTACGATACCTGAGAAGTCCATGCCTATGATAGCACCGGGCGTAGGGAAGGCCGCCCCCATCTTGTAATCGCTCGGGTTAAGCGCTATTGCCACCGTCTTGACTATGACTGTTCCGGCTTTGAGTGATGGGAGAGGTACGTCGACAGCCAATCTTGGGGCGCCATTGTCGTCCTGAATTAGAGCAGTTTGCGACATAGGGAGCATGGGCGTTGAGTCGGTTAGCATTGTTGGCTTTGGTCGGTGTCAGTACAGCAGGTGTTGGCTTGATGGGTTTACATCCTTTCCAAGTGGAGCCGCGAAGAATTTTAATATTTAAGCCTAGATTTGATTTCTCTATTGAAACCGCCCCCTTGCCAATTTGGGCAATTCAGCGCCGACTCTTTCAACCATCGGCAAATTTCTGGGCAGTGCAGTATTTAACTTCTCGGAAAGTGCTAGGTTATTGCTGGTTCTAATAAGTCCCGATATCTTCTTGATTGCCCCAGTTGAACATGACAGTGACATCTTTGAGCACAAGTTTTCTGTCTCCTCTTTCTCATCTATTGATACGCATCACGAATCAGGCGTGACTACATCATAGTCAAGTCATCCGTGACGCATCTATAGTAAAAACCCTTATCTCGGCCTGATACTTAGCGAAAAATGCGTCTACAAATGGTTTTTTCCTGTGTGGATCGCGCGCGCGTCATTATTGCGTTCCTTTGCTCTCATCTGAAGCTTCCCCCTGCGGCTCAGCTTTCGCACGATTGCATCTTTCATTCTCGTGCTTCAGGCCGTACTCTGTATTCAGTTTATCTCGCAGCACAATCTCGTAAGCCAGAGTAAAATCCGTAGCCCCTCAGCCTCAATCTCCTCGTAACTTGAGAAGCTCTCCCGTGTTTCCTGTTTAAGTTGTTCGAAAGTCTCAGATGGCCGCGGTTTTTTGGCGGCCCTCAGGGGCAAACTTGCGAACTCGAAGCACAACCATTTCGTCTCGAACTCGAAGCCATCCACCAACCATATCACGTCGAACTCGCAACGTTTGAAAGGCCGGTACAGCTTCCCGTGCGGAATCCTACTGAGACGAAGACTGCAAACTGAAACGAATGTCGACATGATCTGAGGTGAAAGATGAGTGGCTGTTGGTATGCAATATTGTTGGTAAAACTTAAGTACTTGGGTAGTCAACGTTCAATGGGAGAAATGGATCGAAACCAGCGGAGACATACGTATCATCCAAATATAAATCGAACCGGCCAGCTACACTGTTACAACCCAACTCTCTGTTAGAAGCGAATCTCTCTATGTGAAATTGTGATGTGTCCAATCAACCAGCCAACTGTGTAGCTGAGCTTGCCCAAGTTATTGTCAAATGCGTTCGTTGACTGCAGTTCGTCCGATTTCTTGGGCCCTTCGACGGACTCGACGGTCTGCCGAAGCACTGGCTTATGCCCAAACCTTTCTTCTACGGTATGTGGACGGTAGGTATGCTCGTCTTGGTATTGGAGAAAGGCTCAGCTCGGGTGTCTGAACCGGGTCGATCAATAACACTTTCCGCCAAGGCCTCGGCCAGATGAGAGGGCGGGCATGAAACAGGAAGCTTATCTTCGACGAAGGGGAACGGCATAGGTACCAACTCCTTATTATGATCCTTATGAAAGCGCAAGAGCAAGTGCAGCGCAGGTGTAAGTAACAAGCCCCGACTTTACTTAAGCACCTGACCCAGGTACCTATCCTGGTGTACGCATGGTAAACCCAGCGTTTTCCAAGTAGTTTTCTTCCCACATCCACATGTCACGAGGATATAAATATAAAAGCGCACACAGAAGTCTCATATTACGACGTACAGTGGCTTCGAATTCCCGACCATATCCCAGGGGTATCATAATCACAAAAACGCCATCGTGCTAAGGGCAATCTAAAGCATACCAGTTCAGGGACTTCGTCACCCCACGTACATAAAGATCGACGGAATGGTCGATGGAATTCCCATCACTTCTCCATCTGCCCCGAGCACAGCACTGCAAAACGCAGCCGATGTAGAATCTCAGCACAATACAACTGATAGCTTATCCCCATAGGCAGGCCCGCATTGCATCACCCGCGATCCATCCCAAACCAAGCCACACAGGTCAACGTCCTACAAGACAGGACACGGGAATAGTCTCCTATCCATCTTCAACCCACACAGCCAATCCCATTGGAAAATACTCATCCATGGACCATGATCCCAGCGTGACGCCTACCTGCGAATACTCGCCATGGCCTTCCGGATATCGCATGATACAAATGGGACTTGGTCGCTGCGGGTTATAGACGTATCAACAGGGTTCCACTCAGCAATCCCTACAGACTTCAGAGATGGAGGAGATGCGAGTTGCGCTGTATGGAAAAAGAGATTGCCGCTGGCTGCACTCGACCCTGTCAAGATAACCAGTACGCGTTCCTCTTACCAGCGCAAGAATGAATGTCACTGACTGCATCCGACCCTGTCAGAATAACCAGCACACATTCATCCGCGCCTCGACTTATGCAGGGCTGAACACGTCGCCGGCTGCACCCGACCCTGTCAGGATAACCGGTACACGTGCATGCCATTGCCGCGCAACTTTTGGATCTCAACTCCTACTCCCATCTCGGGAATCCTGAGCATTCGCCAGTCCGCCGTTCACCGGAAGTGATGCAACCGGGCCAGCTTTTTCGGTAACTTGACTGGGGCAGAGCAAGCTGCGGGATTGTCTCCCGAGGAGAGTCGCGCCCCATTTTGCCATTTCGGACGTTCTAGGGGCGCAGCCATCTAGCTGTAATAGATAACCAACGGGCTTGATGCAGTTATCACACTGACCTGCCATTTGCCTCTCAATCGCGCATGCCTCGGCGAGTCCGTCTCGATAATGTCGATGCCAATGCTCTCGTAGTTCTCGCCTCGGAACCCTGTACCCGTGGTAATCCTCGGCCATCAAGTTCCAACAGAATCTGGGCTGCACTCCCCGTCTTTGCTCGTGCACGCGTCAGTCGTTGGGGCTGCATGGGTTCATGCCCAGATGCCCGCGACCATTGGTCTTCAACTTGGGCAAGTACTCGCGCTATGTTCGTGATCTGTGCTCGAGCAGGCGGCTTGGTATATGCTCGTTTATGGATGCGTTGCGTTTGTCTCTGGAGTGAAGGTGGCCGTCTCTGCGATGTCTGCCTCCGTGTGACCTGTTTCCCGATGTTGTCTTCGGCACGGACCTCAGAATTCCGCTGCTGCGGTTTACTCAGCTCGACCAAAACCCGTTCAGCGTTACTGATTTTCACCCTTGGGGTCTCCTTCTTAGACGACAGCTTGCGAACACGATGTATCGACTGCCTTGATGTCCCTTTCCACTCAGCACTACTGCATCTCCGATGTGTTGTTTCCTGCCGTGCGTTATCCCCACTGCTATGAATCTGCGGACTTTCACGTCGCTGTGATAATTGGTAGTGGTCTTCGGGTGGAGATATTGGCGCGGTGGTCGGTGCTTCTAGTTCTTGCAGAACCCGTTCAACGTTGCTGATTCTTGCTGGCTGGGAACTTTGGTGCGACCGTTTCTGGACGCGGTATGTTTTCTTCGCCTCCGTCCTCGTTCTCTTTGATTCTCTCGCCTCGACAATCGTCGATTGTACCTCCTCGGCATCGTATACATGCTCAAGAGCCCTCGTGAATGAATCGTCAGAGCCAATATCCGGTGTCTCTGTTCTCCTATTCCTCATATCTGGTGCAAGCTCATACGTCTTTGTTTCTAAGTTGTAGTAATACGGACCGTCGTCCTCCGGTCTGATTTCGGAAACGATCTCAAAGATACCCTTATACGGGTCATAGATATACGGGCCATGGTTGCAATCAAGCTCACTGTCGGACCAGTCATCATCCAACACGGGCTTGTTCTGGGACTCGACATTCGGAGCTGAGGATTGCTGCTCCGGTCGGCTCCGGTGCATCATGTCGCTATAGTCTGTTGTTGGTATTGATGAGTACCATGAGGCGTATCTCAGGTTCAGCGTGTTGTTACTGCTGGTGTCTTCTTCGACGCCGTCGCTTGTGGTCATTGGCGGTGATGGGAGCCGCGATGTTTGCTCAGCTTGGAAAAGACGGAAGGCTTTGCGTCCATGTTCGAATCGTGCGCGGCCGTATTCTCGCGAAGTCTCGTCTGGTAATTTCGCGCGAAATCGGGGCGCTCTGAATCGAGGAGCCATGTTAACTGTGTTGTGGTTTAGGGCGTGAGTGATGCGATGCGTCGTTGAATCAGTCAGCCTTGCACCAAATTGATGTTACGGTAGTCTAGGTGCTCTGGAGCTACGAGTCATGTGACTTGGCGTTGGGAAAATGCCGCTGCTCGGTGCTTAAACAGAGACATGATTGGTCCAGCCATCCTGAGACCCGCCGTAACTGCAATGCGACGCGACTCTTCCACTTTAATGGTATGCGACCGAACTTCAAATGCCAATACGGCTGGTCTTAAGGTTTGGAGCTTCAATTTTCGGTGTCAGTTCAAATGTCCTTTAGCACTCAAGTGGCATCCGAAGATGGAGATGAATCCGGCCGATTCGCCACACTCTCCCCAGACAATCAAGCAGCACAAGATGCCTTGCGCGACGTGGTGAACTCATTGCGTGAAGATGGAGGCGACGACGGCTACCAATCCAGCTTCATCGAAGAAGCTGCACCAGCTTCTGGCCCCAATAGCCAAGCTCCTAATTACCAATTCGTTCTCTCCTTCGATCAATTCCCCGGCGGACCCGACGGAAGCTGGGAGTTCGGCGCAGGCTCGTCGGCAGGATTTTACCGTGATGTCGACTTGCTCCTCTGTCCATTGAGGGCATTGGACTCATTGGACGATGCACCGACAGATGATCGAATCAACCCTACAATTGGGCTAATCTCGTTACACCCCAAGTCTGGATCCTTCCTCCTCGAAGCCATGAGTGAAAAGCACCCCATTACCTACCTTTCTGGCGACGGCAACACCGACACCGTGCTACACCATGGCCAGACTTCGGTTCTACATATGACCCGGAATCGGTTTCGCTTTGGCCCGTTCCAGTACCTACTCGAGTTCCACACTCAACACGAGAGCCGTTTCGTGGCGGCGCGAAACAGGTATATTGCGGACAACATCTTGCCCCATGGCGGCATGGATATTTACCCGCAACTTGACCCTCTTCCCCGGCAGGGACACCACCGAGTGCGAGACAGTGTTTTCCATCGCACCATGGCATACGGTGCATTTGGCATGGTCAAGTCGGGTGTGCACATGCGGACCGGCGATGCAGTTGCGATTAAGACTCTACACTGCAAAGCGCGGCAAATTCCATCTGTGCGAAATGAGCTTAACCTTGCCGCATCTTTCACGCCAGTATGGCCAGGCCCTCTATTGGATCTCTTACTACTTTGACACCTTGCTGACGTAACTGCAGGACACAATTGGTATCATACCAACTTTCGACACTTGGTGCGAACATGGTCTTTCCCCGCCCTGTTTTGGCACCGCCATCGAAGACGTCCATCTGGCAATGCCACTTGCCAGATATGATTTTGACTCTACACCTTGGGCAGACGTAGACCCAAAAACACGGCTTGGCCTCTTCCACCAGACGCTGCAGGGACTAGAGGCAATACACGATGCCGGGATCATGCATCGTGATATTTCGCCTAGGAATCTGCTCGTCCTGTCCCTCGATCCGCCCGAAGCCAGTATATGTGACTTTGGCAAAGCGTTGCGCTCCGGCAAGGGTCACGATACGACTATTGGACCGATTGACACAGTGGCGCCAGAAGTCTGGACCTCGAAGGAACGAGGGTATTCCAATGCCATCGACATCTGGAGTTTGGCATACACGTGGCTTTGTTCGCTGCAGCGACCAACGAACTTAAGGCACAATGCAAAGACAGACCTGCAACGGCACAAGAAACTAATTGCCACTCTTCTGGCATGTGATATATCACCTGCGTTGCGGAACTTGATGCGCGATATGCTGTCATTTGACCCCCGTGATAGGCCGACTGCAACGGAGGCACTGGTCCATGAGTTATGGGAGGAGATCGAAGAGCTACAGGCCGGGAGCCCTGAGCTTGGGCTGCGACACCCTGAAATTCCGGCAAAGAAGAGACCGCGCCTTGATGATGCTTCAGCTTCAGCGGATCTTGGCCCGTTGGCAAAGAGCCACAAGATGGTTGCTTCTTTGCCTGATACTCTACCCTGGACCTCTGGGTCGGGATCGGCTGGTGAGGGCGGGAACGACGGAGGATGAAACATGTGGACTTGAGTCAGTACATACAGATCCTCCCCTTCGCTGGCTGCCACACACCAGCAACTCTTTCCACCGGATTGGGCTAGAAAGTACAAGCCAACCACCTAGTCCATGGTGCTGCGTGACGAGACGTGCGACGCTGCTCCTGTGCGTATATCATGCAATGTTGCATCGCATGACGCAACAAAACGATACCGTGCTTCCCCACTTCTTGATCCCGCACATTTCAATGCTGGTATCATTGCCGGCAGCTGCTGAGGCGGCCGTATTCAGTGGAATCCCCGCTCCTTCCCGTTTCACCGCCCGGAGCCCATCTGGATGTCGGGAAAATTGTGACCCGTCCGCCGAAAAACATGTCAGTTGGAGGTTGAGGGAGCTGTTGGTATCAATGTCGGTAATATTTTGGCAAAGAAACTCAATCTTGCTTTGATATTACCGGAGGCCACAAAAGCATTGGCGGGCCAAGCGGCACCGCCATGCTCTGTGATTTTCGCTCAACCGGCGAAGAGACGGAACATATGTCTGAGCAACAGGCTGTGAACGAAGAGTGTGCGGGAGAGAATCCGGGAGAGGAGCACGGAGATGCCAAGCGAAGGTAGAATACCCGATGAGTTAGTCCTCCAAGGGATTATTTTCAGGTCTTGGTGGTAGTCCTAACGGAAGACTTGGAAATCCACTTACTTATTCGTTAGAGTTCTTTACACTGTAGCCTAACTGTTGGCTATCTCTTTCACTTCCGCCTTGATCACGGCACAACGGTCAGCTTGTTCGAATTTGCCAAACTCGGCAATATACGTAGTTCTTCAATATCTCATCGATCAGTCATCTCCATCCCTTCTTCCTCACTCAAGTCTCTATCGTTAAGACGTTGAGCAAGGTTCCATAATGGGAATCGCAACACAATCCCGGAAGATAGGTGGAACCATCAGAACCACCATAGAAGGCCCTCACGCCAGCACGATGTGAACGGTAAATTGGATGTTCATAGTCATGATGAGGAACTAGAACTACCGATGCCAACCGGACGAGAACCGAAGCAGTGTGACAGCAAACGATATTCTCATCAAGCCGAGCGAGACCTTGTCGCAATTATCGGCAGTACTGGTCATGACACCGGAACTCTGCTAATATTGTAGAAACTGAGTCTCGTTACGTCTCCATGATCAAACGGACTAGATCATCAAGATGACCTGTATGGTATCCCTCGCTCTGTTGTTTTTCGACCCATTCATATATCAGTCCAGTGCCTAAAGTCGCGTATTCCAAGTTCATAATTTCATCATAGGTTCGAACTGGACCGGAGCTGTGAGATGAGCTGGAAATGTGTTTTTCGCCTCCATTTTGGGGCGTGGTCATAGTATTTCAGGACTGCCCATATGACGATTAGGTGTGTTATCACAGCCGGTCCCCAGCAGCAATGCAATGAGATTGCCTTGATTCCTCATTGAAGCAAGTTGGAAAGGGGTGATCCAAAACTTGTCTCTTTCATCCACATCTTCGGCCACACGGCGAATAAACTTAGCCACTATATCGGCTTGACCATGGAGTGCTGCGAAGGATAGTAGACCGCGACCCCAAGGGATGGAACCGGCGAGTTCTACTTGAGAACAATCGAGAAAAGTGTCAACTACATCATAAATGCGGAATATAGCGGCCGTCAAGATGGGTTTATTGTTCCACTTATCGAGTCAGTTGACGTCGAGATTTTCTCGTTCGGGTAATTTCCTTACAACATATAACTTGCCGTCTTACCGCTTTCGAAACTACCGTCTCATCGTCTCTGAGCCGTGCATTAACTTGCAATGAGGGGAACTCAATAAGGAGGGTGAGTGCGTTGGTGTCCTTCCCGAAAGCCGCAATCTGGAATGGCGTGCTCCCCACTGAATCACGCCAATTGATGTCTGTCTTTACCCGTTGCTCGGCGATCGTCGATCAAAGATTCCAGTCGGCCTCCGTTGAACTTTTTCAGTGCCCAGTCAAGACCATGTCCCCATCCCGGCCAATGCGGTGACATCGATCCGCGGTTTGAAACTGGCCATCTTTCGTAGAATAAAGTAGCGGTGGTTCGCTACCAGGGTGTTAGCTGTCATGGAAGTTGGGGTCGGTGTTGGGATGACCCAACAGGAATTCTGCCAGACTGGTTTCGAGGCGTTCCACGGCTTGGGTCAGAGGAACGCCGTAGTTCGTGTCGAGTCCCCTCGAGCCAGGATAGGGGAACTATTGCCTCGTTTCGTAGCGCGCGCAGCAACAGACTATCGATATGTGATCAATCCATTGGTGAGAGAGAAGCGTCCTTACAATATCAACCTTGTCTTTCCTGAGTGGGGCAAGAAGAGCGGTGGTAGGGTTCGGAACTAAAACATTTGGATCGCAATCAGGCCTGGAGAGTAAGTGAGTAGCAACCTACGCCATATCGTGGGATGCCATAAATGGTAGCAGGATGTCGCCGACAGCCAAGGATCCTTCGAAAATTGCGCAGGTCTTTAGTATTTCGGGGCGGCAAGTACGCAATTTTTCCAGTGCCTTGTAAATGACGAGAGGCTCAACACCATGGCTACATGGTGATCTCATTGGACCACGGTATAGTCAAGAAGTGGGTATTCCTCGCGGAGATCGACAAGATGCAGCCGAGGTTCTTCGTAAGGCCTTAGACTTGTTACTTCCTCGGCAAAGAGGCACCAAACAATTTCCGTGGCCAAAATTCAATCTATGGCCACATCCTGGAATCCCCATCTTTGATAAAGTCGTTGGCAGACTTCCATTCTTGCAGTTAGTGGTCGCCTATCATTACATCTAACCTAGCGCCATTGCCCAGCGTAGTTCCTCGAGTAGAAGACGCCACCTTGCAAAGCACAACCAGTGGGAAACATTGGTTGCATCTTCCCTATCCTTGTTTGGGATTGTGCTCAGAATTGTTCAATACAATTCGTGCAGTTCTGGCGGTAGTCTCCCGGCCCCCTTTTCGATGGCAATCATTGGCTTGCCTGTCCAGCAGAGATTGAGGAACCTAGGGAGAACGATCGCAACCCACTGGCATACTCCATTCGATCTCTCGAGGACGGCATCGATAATGGGATCGCCCGATTGGGTCGGATCTGATTGATCTCGAATCACGTGAAATTCGATGTCGGTCATGTTGTGATGATTAATAACGACACTAAGTCCATCCCGAGCAATAATCGGATAGTGCCGACAGGAAAGGCAAATACAGAGCGATCCATTCAAGCCCTGAGCCCTTGCGACCAGTGACGTAAGTAGTCGACAAGACCGTTGGCTTCCTCGTCACTCTCGCCGATAGCGTCAACGAAAAGAAATACTGACGAACCATGTACATCATCCGGTAGCGCCGTGAGTTCTTTCCTGTTTCACGTGTTTCACGTGAATCGCACCGAGGAGTGCGGTGTAAGCTGATTAATAAGTGATCGGAAAAGTCCCTGTGCGCTTCATTCCAAGTACGCACCTTGACCGTGGACAAAATTCGTGGCTTAACCGCATACTCTCTATCTACGCGATAGTTTCATAATGACCGAAGGAGGGAATTCATGAATGTTGATTGGCCTACTCTAGGCTTTTCCTTGACCCAAAGAATAGCACACCGAGACTCCAGCCAAGTTCGATAATAGGATGGTCGCGATGCTACTAACAAGATTTGGCAATGGTAGGGCTATGTCATGCTGTCTCTGGCCCATGTGTTGAAAACACACAATCCTCAGAAACTCTGGGAATCAAGTTATCCATAATATTGAATGACTGAGTGGTCTTTGAGGCGGATTGATCTGCACGTTGTTCGGCTTCCGAACCGAGTTGGATAATTTGCCCCAGTCTCCCGTTACGGTTCGGTTCAAATGGACGTTCTGTACACATATATGAAGTAAGACAATAAGTAAAAAGATCCGATCTGAATTGGTCAATTAATACTAGCTCTGTACGAGCTGGCCCAAAACTGTGCAAGAGATCCAGCTTTGCCTTTGGAGTTTCATAACTTGCTTGTACATGGGATTTTCGCGGGACGACAACTTGCAATATCGCTGTGGTCAGCATCAAGGTCGATCTGGCTTTCTGGTTCCTGGTAAGCCAAGAGTCGCCGACTTCCTGTCACATTCTGCAGTCATTAGCTACAGGTTAAAATGGGTGAGTGTGACGGGTCAGGATAGTGCAGCGAGGACGATCTTGTTTACTGACGCTACCTGCGGCCCCGAAGTGCTTAGTATCGTAGAAGCTGAGAATTCGGTAGTCCTCAAGTTGTTGGCGGAAATCATCGTTGATTAAGTCCGTGAGAAGTGAATCACGCTTGAGTGATTCCAAAAACATGTTCTTGGGCTTTCTCCAGATGGTTCGGGCAGTGGATGCTACAATATCTCCAAGCGTGCCAAAGAAGGCCAATTCATATGTAGAGCTGCGGTACTCTCGAATATCCTATTATTGTTCGCATGGAATAAGGCTTGTGAGACGCGTTCAACGCATGTTCCTACGCCATACTTATGCAACTATTGCCAAGGCCAAATAACGGGTGGCTTACACATTTCGCAATGATACCCCAAGACTATGACAGACAAATATCAGAGGTCTTTCCGAGTCTTTCTGTAGTCCTCATCAGCCAATGGCCTAGTATCAAGCCTGGCCGCCCTGCGAGTTTTTCCGCCTCCAGCCAATTCAGAAGGTTTTCTGCTTGTTCTCGGACCCCCGCCGTTGCTGTAACCGAACAGCATGACGCGTGCTTCTGGTAACTGCTCGGGGAGAAAGCCCTGCAGCCACAAAGTGCCGTCGGCCGTCGATGCTGCTTCTACAGAGTCTTCATCACCTTTCGGATTCATGCCGGGGATGGCAACGATGCTTTTGCTATTAGTATTGTTTGAAGTTAACTAGAGAATAGGCCAACTTTAGTAAGAAACAGGTAGTTGAAGAGAAAAGAGAGCATCGCGTTACAGGGTAATTCAGGGAAATTGGTGTCGCAAATAGGGTGCGCTTCAATGGGTGCCAATGCGTTTAGACAGCTCTAGAGGCCCGTTGACCCTAATAATACCGCCTTACCAAGAGGTTTACCTCGGTACATCGGTTCTTTGCTGTCCTGCTAGGGCATTCCTTGACAGCCGGCTACTCAAGTAACCTAAATGATTGATTGATTCATGACACGCATTACTTTCAAGCTCCTAAAACGGGGTCAACCCACCGGGCCCACTCTATCAGCCCACAAAAGCGTCATATCACAGTGGCGCTATCGCTATCGCTATTGAAGTAAATCCCATTAATGGGCGGTAACCCCTACTGTTCAAACTCAGGTCATGGTGATGGCGCACTCTCCACTCTCAACATTGCACGTTCTGCAGACGCCCTTAGTCAGAATATCGTCGTGGCTGCACCACCAGCCTCCAGGACAAGATTGAATGCTTTATTCCGTACGCGATAGCAATATCACGACGGCTCGGTCACAATGGCTCAGCAACGCGACGACGTGATGGCTGCTGCCGTCGTCGGCAACAGTAACGAGGAAGGGCAGCGTAAACAGAGCTTCCTCGTTCGCCTACCATCTAGAACGACGCCCACTGCCAATGCCGACGGCGGCACAGCGGCATACCCCGTCACACCTATGCAGACTGGTGCACCGACGCCTTTCGGTAGCACCGCGGGAACGCCTCTTTATGAAACTGAACAGGTGCCCTCGCAGAATCAGACGCAGAATTCTAATAATGCGAGGCCCGAAGGTCCAGGGCGCCAGCAGACCACGTCTGTCGAGTCTCTAGTCAGCCGGTGGGACCGGCAGAAGGCTGTAGCCAGGCTCGGCGTGCACGATAGCTCTGTCGAGGCGGTGATGCCGGCATTACCAGGCCAGGAGTTCCACCTGGCGAGCTGGCTCATGAGTGGCCGGACGTTGGCTGAACCAACCTGGGCCTTCGCCACCAAGAAACCCGTCGACGAACATAGGTTGCGTGCCGCATGGGCTGCACTCCGGCGCCGTCATGCCAGCATGCGTTCGACTTTGGTCGCCGTACGGCCTGACGAGGCAGTCACGGTAGTGCTTCGGCAGGCGAGCGGCGCCAGCAACTACGCGACCTTTTCCAAGGTTTCGTTTTCCCCCTCGCAGACTTTGGAGGAACGTGTAAAAGCGCAGCTCGAGAAGCTTGCCCGTCAACCGTCTTCCCTCGAAACACCTCCCGTCAGACTCACCCTCGTATGCGGTAATGCGAGCGAGGGTGATGCTGTTCTCATTACCATTCATCATGCGGCCTGTGACACGCGCAGTATGGGCCTTCTGGTGCAAGAGCTAATGACTCTGTACCAGGGCAAACCCGTCTTGACCAAGGCCCCGTCCTTCCGGAACTTCGTCAAGGAGACGCTCTCCACCCACGACCGCGAGGCCGAAGAGCACTTTTGGAAGGAAACTTTGCGCGACTGCCAAGAGACCATCGTGCAGCCAGAGACGACTGACATTGACGACACGCACATTATGAAGACCGAGATCCTAGTTAGGGGCACCAAGGCCAGCATCGCCGCTGTTGACAAGGCAGCTGCATCGGTCCGTGTTTCGCCCGACGCTATCATCTACCTTGCCTTCACCCGCATCCTGGCTGAGAGGACGGGCTCTAAGCATCCCGTATTCGGCTGCTTTCACAGCGGCCGCGGGTCCATCGACTCGATCGAAAATATTGAGAGCCTGGTCGGGCCCTGCTCCACCATGCTGCCAACCACCGTCCCAAGCGGCGTCGATGTCTCTTCCGAGTATTGCCAGGACAAAAGCAGCAAGTCCAATCTCATCCACGCCCTCGAGTCAGTCCAGGAGCTTCTCGATGCCGAGCTTCCCTACGAGCAGTCGCGCCTTCGGGATGTGCTACGCTGGGCCGGGCTCGGCCAGAACGAGAGCGAGAGCGTACCCTTCAATACCTACCTGAACATTCTCTGGGATCACAAGCTGCAGGGCTCACCGCCTTCGCACGCTGACCAGCCGGGGGACTGGGAGCGTATGGACCTCGGCGTGCGCACCGACTATAGCGCGGCCGCGGCCATCCCAGGACGCACCACCGTGGACAATCTCGACACTAGTGCTGTCATGCGCCATCACAACGTCCTCGTCGATGTCGGCTGTGACCAGGACGCTGGAGTACTAGAGATACGGCTCAGGGCGGATGAGGTGCTTATGGGCGTTGATAAGCTGACGGTTTTAGCCCAGGCGATTGACGATGAGGTAGCTGGCTTAGTGGACTGCCTGTCATGTTGAGTCAATGTTCATGATTGAGATGGTTTGCTCCACCGCCGCCATCTTCGGTTGAACATCATGTCCGTAAATATATGTATTCGTCGGGACTCTCCGATATTAGTCAACGGTAAACAAAAGGTGTGATTGATGCTTACATGCCTTCAGATTTTCGCTTGGGCTCATGGTTGGGGGCACATCAACAGAGCTGATTGTTCAGTGGTTCGTTTTCGTAAATTCTGTCATGTACTGGTTCATGAAATCAGATGAGATACACGAAGAGTGCGCCAAGGGAAGTATCTTCATATCAATATTAACATATATAATAGGCAAGTCAGACGGACATATGAGTTGGACACTGCGTCGCTACCACATAGCAAATATCGTGATGATTCAACCATGACACAGAAAGTCAATCAAGGCTACTGTGAATCGTCTTCCTGAGAGGTATCTATAACGACTTCCCAAATGCGTACATTATGACCAGTGTTGCCACATCATCCATAGCGTCTTCCTTTGGCCCGAACCCTTATCGCGCTCGCTCCCTTTGTGCCTTCTTCCTACTGTCCCTACTTCTGAACACCCCTGTGGACTAAAAGGCCCTGTTCATCCTGTAGAGTTATTAACCATCTTTCACATACATGTGTCCTTTTAATCTCAAATGTCCTGCACCTCTGCGCGTAGTAATAATACCTGGTGCATTGTCACCTACGTCCCCTGTACAAGCTGGTTGGTTATGGCGCCGAGCTACTTTGACATCTGTTAATGTAGGATTTAACAAATTCCGACTACTGTATTGCTTTGGTTTGGTTATTTGGTGTCTCAAAAACTTTGGAGACTAACTAGGGTGATACTAATCAAGTTTCAAAGGGTTCCATGTCTCTAAAACAATACAGTGCAGAAACATATACCGAGCTCCTAGCATATGCGATGGTTATATATCGTTTGCGACCTGAGTTCCAAGCTACTAAGCAGTACGTAACCATTATTCATGTCTGTGAAAAGAATAACGCCAGTATTCAGCCTTGATATTCAGGCATAAGTGAACTATATTTCAGTCTATCAAGGATCTTCTCCCGTCTCCCCCGTTTCACTTATAATTTCGCACGCGCCGACATTCCATCTAACCAGCAGGTTTCATGGGCATTAATACAGACTACTTGATAGCATCATCTGCCACTTCTCCTTCTGGAGATCACAGCTCTTGCCCTGTTAAGCAAAAATATACGATCCCGATACGGCAATTTGTACCAGATCCTTACTAACGAATACCGGTCAAACGGAGTCTGGGCCCGGGTAGTCACCTGCCCCAAATGCATCAAGCTCCACTATCCCGAGGATCCCCTTCCGTGCCGCCGGCGGATGTTGGCTAGCGGACTTGCCCGTGAGTCTTTGGAAGTAAGCACTAGAGAACCCAGCTGGCTAGCCCAGCTCGCTCACGACTACCACCCACATTTCTTTATGGCATAGCCAAGTACAAGCGCAACGGCTGGGACACAGTCCACCTCGAGCACTTAACGGCCGTAGCGACGAGCCTGGAGCCATATGGTAGGAAACTTGCGAAAAGAGGAGACCCAAGATTATCCTGCCACAGCCTTACTACACCAAAAAGTGTGATGTGGATTCATAGCCTCACTTGGCCTTGACATGGTAGTTCCTGGATCTCTAATATTGAGGATATGAAGAGGAAGTTATTGTTGGATTGGTGACATTAGCTTATATCCCTCATTTCCATTTAACACCTGAAGACTTAGGAAGGGGATGATGAAAATGAGTGAGGGGGTTGGTTTTATCATTAGTAATATTAAGTCTGTTATCGAAATGATGGACTAAACCTCAAATCTACCTTAGTATCTCTTTATATAAACGTGCCAGATATGCAATTGGAAACATTATGCATATCACCACTAGAGGCACGCTCAAGCCTCATCATACGTGATATAACATGAGCCAGGATGTCCTCACCGCAGCACACGATCATGAGAAACAGAGCCAGCATTTGTTGCTTAATGTTGCTGAACGAAACTTAAGGGGCAGATCAAACAATGGGCACGAATAATGAGCCTAGGTTTTAAAGTTGTAAAGAATTAATTCTTGCAATAACTTCAGCCATCGATGGCATTTGTTCTTCCTGAAAACAAAGACTACTGACTTTATAATTTCATGAAGGACAAGGTAGTATTTATAGTAAGGAATCTAGGGTAACCTTGCAATTATTTGTTTCTGTAATGAGCTGATTGAGATCCCGTATTTCTCAAGATTCTTTGATGTCGTTGTTATTGTTGCCCAGTATTGGTCCAGAATAACGGTATTGTTTTCCCCTTGTCAATCTTCAAGCCCATCGTCCTATATTACGCCGTCTTTTCTGCCAGCTTCTAATATCTCATTCTCCAAAAACCAAAACTGTCACATCCATCTCTGAAAACTGTGGGAAAACTCACAACTCCCATATAACAACCTGTAACAACAACAGTCATGGCCACCGCAGTTATGTCGTACCGCGCCGAAGCGGACATATACTGCTCCTTGAACCCGGAGGACTTCAAATGGTCTGACCACATTGTGTGGCAATTCGACAAGAATAGCAACCTCATCAACTCAGGCCAGGTTTGGATTGTCGAAAAGCGCCCTGCCGAGCCCGAGTCCGCCTTCACGTCGATCCGCCCCGAAGACGAGCCCGAAGCCGAAGGCGACCGCTTCCGCGGCCTGCGCATACAGTACGCCCGGGAGAATTGGGGCGTCACGCTAACAGCGTATGACCTGGACGACCTTGAAAACCCGCGTAGCGCCTACCACAAGAACCTGGACGGGCTGTGCAGGTATCTCGATGGTATCAACTCGTTTGGTACCAGCACCTGGGAACGGAAAATCGAGCAGCTCGGAGGCGAGTGTGAGTTTGATGACTATTATGCCGATTTTGACTTCCTCGGGGAGCAGTATGACGACGAAGAGTACTATGAGCAGTGGGGGCTCGATGAGATGAATGAGATCTATAGTACCCTATGCGAGACGGGCATTGAAGAAGAGACAACCTTGGTCGAGCCTGAAGCTATCGAAATAGTCGACGCTGAAGCCGAGTCCCTCCCGACCCAAGGAGATAAGCCCGTCGAGCCCGTCGAGTCCCCTACGCGACCTGATAGTCCCGATGAGTACTGGCGTAAGGACACCTTCCTTGCCTGCAGCAAGCTCGCCAAGAAGGTCGAGAAAAAGCTTTCCGCCGCCAAGCACACTGTCGCCAAGGTGCTCAAGTCGATTTCACCGAAGAAGGTCGCTAGGAGCCTGAAGGAGGCGAGAAGATGAAAGCTGGCAAGAAGCTCCGCAAGACGAGGAAGGAGTCGTTGCCTTAAATGTGTCGCAGGTGAGTTTCCCTTCTGTTATTATGGACGAGGAAAATTTCAGGTAAGTAAGCCAAAGACCAAGTTAAGGAAAATTCTTGGTCATGCGGTGCTCGGTGAATGATTTGTTTCGCCGCTGGGCATACCTGTTTGCCCCTTCTATTACCCCTACGCTTAGCACGAAAGGGCCAATGCTCGCTGGTTTGTTTTACGATGCAGAATTTCTGTTTGTTGCTTTGATTCTACTTTATTTAGCTTTCAACAATATCAATAACGGCAAAACAAATGTTTACACCTCTCCTAATTTTACATGTTGCATTGGCTATGTATGTAAATAACGTAGCACCAGTACGGTAAATGTCACGAACCTCGGTCACAGTATGGATCCAAGTGGCCTTCATGAAAAGACGCACGGTAATACGGGCAGACTGATTTTTTAATTTTAGTTTGCAGTCAGTATAGTACTACCGCACAGTTGATATTGATGCACTCGAGTGAAAGGGTCGAGGCCAGAGCATTTAGATGGAGATTTATAACTCCGACTACGAACTTGTTAATTACTACTTGGGAATTGCAGGAAGCTGTGGTAATACTACTTTGCCACAATTCCACGACGTATTCCGTCCACAAAGGCACTCTTCAAGTTGCTCGACACTATGGGTCCAGTTACCGGGAGACAGTGTGATGTCAATGACGGATACAACATTTTGGGCGAGCAGGTAAACCCACTTTGCATACAACGTAAGTACAATGTCCGGAACAATTCCCGGGCTTACATTTGATGTCTTTGATTAGATAATCCACCTACCCTTATATAAGAAAGTACATTGCCAGCATGACGTGGTACTTGGTGGCGAAATTGCGCATGCACGTAGCTGCCGGCAGATTCCCCACACTTTCCGCAGTCTCTCCAAATATGTAAGGGTCGTAGCGAATGTCTCATCTAACCGTCGCTAGCGTGTTCCAATTTTGATGCCGTGCTTCATTACCACACCCTCACGTGGGCGAACTAGGTCCAGGTCCCGGCCCGTGGCCGAGTTATGGCAGTGCGGACGTGTGTCAACAAAACGTACATGGGAGGTTCAGGAGTCATCAGACAGCTTTATGTACTTCAGTATAAATTCATTGCTTGCGACGAACCGAGTTTACCAACGAGTTCTGCAGGACACCATCTCACACCAAAGCCACGGAGTACCGTCTCAGCAACCTCCAAGATGAAGTCCATCCTAATTCTCCTATTCCTCTTCACCACCCTATCCTCCAGCTCCCCAACCCGCCGCTCCATAACCCACCCAGGCCTCCTCCACACCACGGCCGACTTCACTCGCATCACCACCAAGGTCACCTCTAAAACCGAGCCCTGGTACACCGGCTGGCAAAAGCTAACCAACCATGCCGACGCCGCCTACAAGCCCTCCCCCGTCGCCACCCTCTGCCGCGGAAGCGGCTCCGACGTTACTTGCACCCAGAACTACGCGTCCCTCTACCTCGACGTCTCCGTTGCCTACGTAAATGCCATTTACTGGGCCGTCACGGGTGATACCGCCCACGCCGATGCCGCAGGTTCTATTCTGGACGGCTGGTCTTCGACGTTGAAGACTATTGACGGGTCGGCGGATAGGTTCCTTGCTTCGGGGCTGTACGGGTACCAGCTCGCTAACGCAGGGGAGATATTGCGCTCGTATGACGGGTGGGATGGGTTGACTGATTTAGTGACGATGTTGAAGGGGGTGTTTTACCCCATGAACCACAATTTCCTGGTTAACCACAACGACGCGGCGGTGGATCACTATTGGGCGAATTGGGATTTGTGTAACATGGCTTCGATACATGCGATTGGGGTGCTGGCCGATGATCAGGGGTACATTGATGAGGCGGTGGATTACTTCAAGGCGGGGGACGGGAACGGGGCGATTGAGAAGATGGTGTGGACGCTATTTACGGAAGATGGGTCGAATAAGGAGTTGGGGCAGGGACAGGAGGCTGGAAGGGATCAGGGGCATTCGGCGTTGGATTTTGCGCTGCTGGGGGTTTTGGCGCAGCAGAGCTATAATCAGGGCGTTGATCTGTTTGGGTATTTGGATAACCGAATCCTGGCAGGGTGAGTTTTCGTTATCGACTGAAACTTATGCTCTACATGAGTGCTGATGATGCTGATCTTTCCATCCCTAGCTTCGAGTACTTCGCCAAGTACAATCTCGGCTACGACGTCCCGTACACGACGTACGACAATTCGGACAACGTTGGTCAGGCCGTTATTTCCGATAACAGCCGAGGGATCATCCGCCCCATTGGCGAACTGCTCTTTGCGCACTATAGCTCTGCCAAAGGACTCAATGCTTCTTGGACAGGTGCCTATCGCGATATGGTCATCAATGATGGCGGAGGTGCGGAAGGGGGAGGTGGTGATTATGGGAGCACCAGTGGAGGATATGATCAGCTTGGACTTGGGACGGTGCTTTACCGCCTGCAGTAATGGTGGAAAGTTCGGGCTTGAAGCGGCGTGGCTTTGGGGAAACCGATTAGCATTAATGACGTTTGGTGTTTAACATGCTATATTTGGGCGTACCTATCTCAGTTATGGCATCACCCTTGCTTGACCTGTTTTCAGTGTTTGGGTAGTAGACTACGTGTATATAGATCTAAGCTTTTTCTGCAAGGAATTAATCGGTTAGATCCTTTCCTGTGCCTGATATTCTCGGGAAAGCTTTGGCCATGGAGCTGTGCCAGGTGCAAAGTGTCAGGAGTGGTGTGTATACACTGGATGGTGGTGTGAAGTAGGATATGGTGAACACACACGCTCTGGTCTGTTTGTATACCTTCTGGGTCTGGTTTTATGCCGCCGGTGATGAACACCCTGAGAACTGGGTGGGCGGACTTGAGCCTCGTCGTTTCCGACCTCTGCATGCGACTTCTTTGCTCTTTCAAGCCCCTCGACGGGTTGGTTTTCGTTGCTATGTCTAATTTTTAGATCTTCTCCACAGTCGAGGAGGAACTTCACAATTTGTGGAGCGTTATTGGGCACCTTATCCATGTATATATCCTCGAGACAACGTTGCAGAGTGTGCTCCCCATTCATGTAGAACTCGCGGTTGTCCTCGTGTCTAAAGATTAACTTGAACTTTCCTCATCTGGTCGGAGTAATATCGTGATCCGTTATGATGTCCAGCAAGGCGTATGGGAGAGGCGAGGAGACGGGCTCATCCTTGCTCCCCTAATACTTGGCCATAAATAATTAGTGGTCGCACCACGATCCAGCAGGAGCCATCCTGCGTTCGAGGTTGTTTATCGGTTAGTCATGGCCATCCCAATCGAAATCATGAAATTTTCCTCGCGATTGCTGACAGAGACGATTATGTTGATATCAGCGCCATTGTCTAGCAGGGTGCCAATAACCTTCTCCGTGGCTTCCGATGTCGAAGCATCCAAGGCTCCATGATGAGGCCGAAGAAGATCGGTAAATGCCCAGTGAATGAGGTAGTAGGAGTGCCTCAGCCCATTGAACACCCGTGCAAAATCATTTTGGTCATTTGGGGCCTCATTGGCATGAGCCTCTCAATCTATAAGCACTTTACTTAGCTCGGGGTATCTCTGGTATACTACGATGCGAAGAGCCATATAAACTGAGGTCGGCATTCTGTAGCAAAGATAGTAGCCCTTGCGAGCACAGGAGGCGGCAAATTCGGGGTTGCATTTAATAGCATTTGTATGCAAATTTCACGCCAAATAACGCCATAGACAGCCCTACAGGCAAGCATGAGATATGGGCAATGCAATCTCTGCATATGGCCCAATCACTTATGGCTGGCAGATTAAATAGCCCAAACAACAATGATAAGATGTGACGTCAGCCTCAACCATATGATATAGTAATTTCTGATACATATTTTTAATCCCGGAAGGTGACCATGATTTCCCCTGTAATTATCTTCGTTCTGCAAGGAGCGCTCGGTACAACGCCAACTTTGAACCATACCAGAAAATTGAAGCTGATGTCTGGAAGCTGTGCTGTTTGATTTGAGGTATCGCACGCATTAGAAGACCCACCACTTTTACCGCAAGTCATTCGTAAAAATGTTTTCACAGTTCTTCATGCGCAATTATTTCGGGCCGTAATAGGTATGGCAGAACTTATACAGTTCTGCGGACATGAAGTTAATCGAGAGGTGATTGATGTTATCAATCGTACGTATAGCACAAGTGACCGCCCTGGATGTCCATGACGTCTCTAATGGGGATCGTCTCTGCCACGTGCGGGAATGCGATTAAAGTGTCGAGCGTGATGTTCTTGTAAGGGATGTCTCCGTTATAGTTGTAAGGGTACGCCCACATGGTATCAGGGCCACCAATGTCCGTCTTTCGGGTTTCCCAGTCTGTGGATTATAGTTAGTTATTTATCTCGGACTAATTCAATAGGGTGCTGAGAGGTGAATTATACCTAAGTGCTGCCAAGTATTCCAGACATTGTCGAGCATCGAGTGATGCAAGTAGAACAGGGGGTCGCCCGGCGAGGAGTACATATTGGTGATCGGAACACAAGTTAGAAGGGTCTTGTTGGTAGGATGAACGTCTGGAGTATCTTACCTCACCAATATTGCCACCAAGACTTTGATGACCAGCGGCATGGAGGGACATGTTGGGAACACCAAGGGCGATGCCTTCCGTCCTGTGATCGAGATTCCAGAAATCTTCCGCTTCCAAAACCCAGTCCAGCTTTGTCTTGTTTCCCGTAAATGTGAGCAAGTAGGGGCTGAAGTCTCGGTGGAGGCAGTGTGGTCGGTAGTCGGTATGATTGCCGGGGCCCAGAGGGACGGTCCTATTGGCAAATGGGCCGTCGGTGATGCATCCTAGGAGGTGTCAGTGCGGCAACATAGAAGGCTAGAGCCTTGGAACTACCGACTCACCACCACCAGTTCGGCCAGGTATGTCGGCTAGGATTTGCCAGTCAGAGGGGAAGGTGGTTGTGTTTTCTATCCAGATACCGTTGCCTGAAGATGTGTCAGCGAAAGAAAGGAGGGAGTTATTCAAGACCATATGACTTGCCTCCAAACCCATAGACAGGGTCGAATAGTGGTGAAGCCAGCATATCTGCTGCATCCATAGTCCAGTTCCAGTACCTTAGGCGGTTAGCACCCTTCCAGTTTTGACCAGCAATGGGGAAGCCCACGGGATACCACCCGGGTAACCACAAGTGGTGTGAAGGTCATTCTCAAGCAATGCCAGGAAGTTTCTATGCCAGGCAAAGAAAGATCCCTGAGACATGTGAGTATGAGTACCAAGCGTTGGAGGGTGCTATGCGATTTACACAGAAGTGCACGTCTTCAGTCTGAATAATGTGCAAGGCTTGGAAGTCATCGTAACGTGATTTGGCTCCGGCAAAGAGGGTTTCTGTCTTAGCTGGTTTCGACTGAAGACATTGGACGGCGTCGAGGAAGTCTAACCTTTGGTCCAATGAAAGACTTCTCCTGTTTTATGCCAGGTAGAGTTAGCAACCCGGTTAGGTGAAGAACATTTCATTTGGGTAAGGCATGCCATTCCTGCCTGACCCGAGGATTCGTGCAGGTGCTATTGGTTGGGAGGATTGTATTGCGGTATTTCACCAACAACCCGGCGCCAATTTGTGCCAGTGCCAAGATTGATGCGGCGACGGAAGAGGAAGCACGCATCTTGTGAGACGTGATGGATCGTCTGTGGGGTGTAACAGAAGGGGAATCAACCGGACCAAGTTTATGTACCACGCGATAGAGTCCCAAAGCTATGCTGAAATCAATTGACAATATCTTAGTGAGCTGTCTTATATAGCAACCACAACTTAGTCGAAGCTGGGGGTGGCACACTAAGTGCGGTAATGAGATCGCTCCTAAACGTTGCCAATTTCCGAGCGGGCTCAGGGCCCATGCGATATATTCCATTCATACGTTGTTTACTGCGGTGCTACCGTGGTACGTCGAAAATCCCATGCTACTTGTGTGCTATCTAGAGCCGAGCAAGTCTAGCGCGCCCCAGATTTTCAAGTATAGCAGCTTGGGAAACTTGCGATTCGTCAGTTGTTGCAGCTCTAGCGCATATCGGATATATTTTCAGATGCCCACGCCGGCCTACAGCGGCCCGCATGCGCAGTTCTGCAGCCGAGTGGCACAGTGACTGCAGCCAAAAACCGACTATCATTTGCCAACATAGAGGAACGGCCCGGTGCAGTCCGAAAGTTCTCTGCACAATTGTAAGGCTGATGGCCGTAACAGTATTCTGAGACTGTAACGCACTCGGCCGCTGAATTTATTCAACCCTTGGCAAATCTATGATGCTTGTTTCAAAGATCTAGCACTAGCAGAATCCTTCCAAGATGGCAAGCGTTGGGGCGCTCCAAGGCTCGGGTGACGATGGTTCGGGTATATCCACGAAACGGAATGCTTACCCGACCTATCGCGCCTTTAGTGGCTTGTGGCTCCTGCAATGTGACCGTGATCAACCAATCGCATCTTTTGAGGATGTAGGGTTGTATCAGAAGAACTAGGTATTACGAATCCTTAGTGACCCTGTTGATACTGTCAATATAATCGAAGAAAGCCGCAGTGGACCATTCCATAGTATATTCCCGTGGTCCCAGAAAGTTTGCACCTCTACTAGTATTGTTGAGAGCGTTTCTTACGAGCCTTGATTGTAACAGGGCTTAATTATGGAATCCGATGTCTGTTGAACATAATTTATTTAGTAAGATCACCATTCAAGGCAAGCGCCTGTTGACTGTTCATGTGAAAGGCTTACGCAACTGAATTTGCACAAATTGAATCCATGCACTTCACTTTTGCACCGATTACAAGGCCGCAGAGTTGGGACTGAGTTGGAATAATATATGAAATTTCCCAGAGGATTCGCTGCCCTAGACCTGAGAGCCATGCCGCGATGGTCGATCGTATTACGGAATGTTTGCTTGCAATATCCAGGAGGGGAATGACGAGGAAATGTTTAGGGTCCCCGGTCACTCTCAACCCGAAATTGGACCGCAAAATTGGCGCCGCGTCAATGAGCAGCGGGCCAACCAACCCAACCGCTTTGGAACGACCGTCTGTCGAAGATACGCTCGAATCTTCGGAAATGGAGATTTGGGTGCAGCTCCATGGAAGCTGCAGAAGCGAGGCTGTGTCAAGAGAGAAACGTGGTGGCTAAGACGGGTTCTGCGCCCCTTGGCATAAGGAGAATCCTCATGAAATGGTTAATGACTGGTTACTAACCATCCGCCTTTGAAACCCAGCGACCGCCTGCAACTCTTGTCATATAAGAAGCGACTTTCTCTGCCCCAAAACGATCTGCTGTAGCATACTCTGGACGTTGATCTATCGCGCATTATCCTCAGAGGCGACAGATCAACATGGACTTCCGCAGCTCACCAGACTACCTCGGCTGGAGGGAAATCAACCTCAACTCTTGTCTCATTGCGATCTCCACCCTGGCTTTCGGGTTTCGCATCTATGCGAGGGCCTTCATGAGTGGCAAGACTCTGGGTCTTGACGATGCAGTTGCTTCTGTTGCCTACGTAAGTGCCTTTATGGACCCAGGCGACCCTTGTTGACCGCAGCCAGGTTCTTATAGTCGTGCAATCAAGTCTTGACATCTATGGTATAAAGGCTCTTTCACTCCACGCCAGCGGGCTATAGTATGCTGACCATGGCGCACAGCCGTGCCCTTTGGCAGCGGTGCCCATCTGGCTCTCCTATCCAAGGCCCAACTGCGCAACTTCTTCGAGGCACGTAGGACCTCCTCTGAACCAATGGGAATATGTGCTCAGAGCTGATCCCGAGATTCCCAGAACCTGGCCATCATGCAACTCGTCTATTTTTGGGCCATAGGCATGGTGAGATTTGCCATCATGGCTTTCATCCCACGGATCTGTAGCGACAGTACGTGCCATGGCATCCACCTCACTCAGGTCAACTGCTCAACATAAGAAGAACCAGTCATGCTGGCGCTCTACGGTCTAGCCTTGGCCAACTTTGCAAACACAGCGTGGTCTTGCATTTTCAGACTGGTCGAGTGCACACCTGTTGCGTGAGCGCTCCCGCCCAACACCACGACGGCCCCCTGTGCTAACCCGTACTGACATTTCGATCTCTAGTGACAACTTTAAAAACCCAACCACTCCCCGAATCAATTGCGTCAGCAACGACACGCATCGTCACGTGAACTGGGCCCACGCGATCGTCGGGCTGCTCATCGACATTCCGCTCATGATCCTACCGGTGTGGATCGTCTATTGCAAGATGCTTTGGTCCAAGAAGATGATCAACGTTGTCTTGGTCTTCGGCTTTGGAATTTTTGCAGTCGTAACCGGTCTGGTGCGCATCGTTCTGATGTTGACGTTTGATTTCACTACTGACATGTGAGCTGCCACCACCCATGCCCCGGTCGCTTGGCACTCATTCCACCTTCCGGATTCTAACTGGCACCTCTCAATCAGAACACACAAAATGGGCATCGTCGCCATTTGGACCGATCTCGAGTCCCACGTCGGCCTGTGGTGTAGCTGCTTTCCCGCGATATCCTGCATCATTCGGGCCCTCTCAGACAAGCTTGGCTATAGCACGACCGCGACGACGCAACAGACAGGGCGCGACAGCCGTGGTTATACGGAGTGGTCGTCAGGGGGTAGGGGTCACTTACATACGGCTAAAGACGGTTACGTCATGAACGGGATTGGCGTTGACGAGGACAGCGACAGCCAACGGGCCGTCGTTGAGCGATCGGGTGGCTCCGAATTGGAAGATCTGCAGCAAGGGAGCATATACAAACGGGTGGAGACCAACGTCAACACGGAGTTTGTTGCTTCAGCCTAAAGGCAAAGGGATTTTTCTTGCTGGCCGCTACAGGTAGGAGGATCCGCCGGTTCGATATGTGCCTGCCCGATTCAAACCTGGACAGACACAAGTCAACATCGGGCGAGGAGGGAGACGCGTGCGAGGACTGGGGTGGCTTTTCTGAAACTTTAACTGCTCTTATCTCTGGCCGATAAGTCGCCGAGTACATACATACCGCAAACAAAGTCTTGAAGGCTCTAGACCTCAAGGTTTGACCAGCTCTGGACAACTGTGGGTTCCCGCTGTCGCATGTCTGCTGGTGACGGCTGGCGATTGCCCAGATAATGGAGCGGCATGAGCAAAAATCTCCGGCCACAGCTGAGTGGCCCATGTTTAAATGAAGAAAGCGCACTGGTTGGTGCTATTTCCCTGTGAATGTCCGCTTGGACCAAGGGGTTAACTTCGCCTCATCTATCTCGTCATCGTTTGTACAAAAAGCCTGACTTCCCACAACTCTCCACCGGGGTCCTCCACGAGTCACCAATATTTGCTTCACAACCACACATCACAGCCGGAGACTGCTCCGTTGACCAATCATTTCCATTTTTCTTGCCTCACTACCAACTTCGTTCCTTACGAATTTTCTTGCCATCTCTGTCTCTGTCTGTCTCTCTCATCCGACTCGTGCAATTGCGTTGGCCTTCACGCTTGCTAGTAAGCGTATCCTATCCCGACGACAACTTCACTTCTTACTACACCTATCTTTTTGTTTGTTGTACTGCTCTGCGATGAACGAGAAACGGCGCAACACGGATGTGCCAGAGTCTGAGAAGCTGACCCAATTCGACATCTTCAAATCCAACTACGATATCAACTGGCGCCATGTCCCCGTCATTCTTGGTGTGCCCATGCTGGCCCTGCTGGGAGCGTTGACGACAGAACTCACACGACCGACTCTGATATGGTCCATAATCTTCTACTTCTTGACAGGTTTCGGCATCACGGCAGGCTATCATCGTCTTTGGTGCCATCGCACGTTCGTGGCTTCGCTGCCCCTTCAGGTGTTCCTACTCGTCTGTGCCACTGCCTCGATTCAGGGATCGGTCATCTGGTGGTGCACGGGCCATCGCCTTCATCATCGATACACAGACACGAGTAAGGACCCCTACAGTGTCCACAGAGGCCTGCTTTGGAGCCACATTGGATGGCTCCTGGTCATCGAGCACGATCTTCCGAAAGGTGAAGTGGATGTGTCTGATCTGACCAAAGACCCGTTGCTCATATGGCAGGACAAGGAGTTTGACTGGTTTAGCCCTGTCTGTGCCCTCCTGCTTCCCACCGTGGTTGCTGGCCTGGGATGGGGCGACTGGCGAGGCGGCTTTGTCTATGCGGCGGTCGTGAGACTTGTGTTTGTTCACCACGCCACCTTTAGCGTCAACTCCATCGCCCACTATCTCGGTGATCGACCTTACGACAACAAATCTGCTGGAGACTCGACCATCACTGCTTTGGCGACGCTGGGGGAGGGCAACCACTGTTTCCACCACGCGTATCCCACAGACTACCGCAACGGTATCAGATGGTACCAGTACGACCCGACCAAGTGGATCATTGCCCTCTACGGAGCTCTGGGCATCGCTACTGACCTCAACACGTTCAATGACAACGAAATTCAGAAAGGTATGATTCAAACCTCGCAACGCAGATTGGACGACTGGAATGAGACCATCAACTGGGGTCGATCGCTACGCGATCTGCCAGTCATTGATATGGATGATTTCCGGGCATCAGCCAAGGCGGGTCGGCCGCTAATTCTCATCAGCGGCATCATTTACGACGTTACCGATTGGGTTGCCAAGCACCCTGGTGGGAAAAAAATCATCAAGTCGGCCATAGGCAAGGATGCTACAGCTATGTTCAATGGCGGAGTGTACAACCACTCTCGAGTCGCCAGGAATCTCCTTGACAACATGAGAGTGGGTATTGTGCGCGGCGGCATGGAGGTGCAGATTTTTAGCAAGCAAGATGTGCTCATCAAGGGTGAGACAACTACCATTGTTGAGGTGGCAGAGTGTACAGGTGACACTACTACCGGAAAAGGCACGGGTTTTACACGATAAAAGGTTTGGGTTAACATACATGCGGTAATGGGCTTTGGAAAAACTTCGAGTATTGGTTTTAATCATGAAGTAATATACGTTTCAGTGGCAATTGCGATCGTAATTGAATGATCGTACCACAATGTTTAACCCATAAGAATCATTCAAAGCTAAAGCAGTGATAAGATAAGAGAATAGTCCAGGTTGTCGTAAGCAACGCTATGCGTGGAATATAACTTGAATTTCCTCATGACGGCCCTGCCAACATTATGGCATAACAACGCTTGACTTGCGGATGTTACGGGGAATTCCGCCATGATTGCATCCAGGCATCATCGCCAATGGGATATGTGTATGGTAATAATAGATGTCGGGAACGTTGGTTGTTAACAATCCGTTCATGAGGAACTACAAATACAGATATAGGAGGGACTCCTTTACATTAGCGAGGCATGCAAGTTACGTTGGACGCTATATCCAATCCACACTCGGAACGTCGCCTGAGACGCTGTGGAAGCCCTTGGGGCGTGCAAGAGCGGAGAGAAAGTGTTTGTCCATGATTGATATGATTGCTTGGGACCACAGCATCCTACCTACACCTAGACCAAGGCGCATTCTAGGTGCAAAGCAGTATACGTTCTGGGGTAAATTGACGGGTGGGTTACTTTGACGTGCGAAAGATTTCATTCTTACAGATAGATCATGCAAGTATCTCGTATATGTGAAACCATTGGGTGATTTGTGGCATGTTATCGTATAGAGTACTCACGCACGGATTGAGCAGAGGATGGTAAGGCTCTCTATCTTGAATCATCGCTTGAATATTCGATTTGTCAGTTGGAGAATTGGTACTGGGCACTTGTCCCTGTTCTCATTATCGTGGTGAATGACTAGCATCAGTGGGGGTGGGGTGGACCCTATTTGAACTGTAATTGCACTTCTTAATACACTTATGCCTGTCAATTAATGGTATTTAATGGCTGAGATAGTTCCTTTTCATAATTACTTGCTCCGCATTTCAAACGTAATAATTCTTATTGCTTGTCACCCACTCGGCTAGACAGGTGATACATAGATTACACTTTCTATGGGGATAATGTAGAGGAACAACGGGCAAAAAACGTCTGCGGTGTGTGAAGGTACGGATTAAGTTTCGAATGTCTAAATCATGCACGTCATCCAAGCATGAAACCTAGGTCGACAACCAGTCCAGTACAGCAGCATGAAACTCATCAGGACTGGAAATCTGCGGCGCGTGACCCAGCGCAGGAAAAGAAACCAGAGTTCCATTCGGAATCTGCGCCGCAACCTGAGGACCAAGGACATCAAAGTGACCCAACTTGGCTGCAACCTCAGGGGGCGACCACTGCGCACCAATGGCCGTGCGATCCTTATCGCCGACAATCAACAAGGTGCGCGGCTGCAGCAGCCCAAACTCGAAACTAACAGGCTGGGTGAGTACCATATCCACAATCTGCGCCTGGTTCAGTGCGTATGTCTCGGCCTTGCTGCCGTGGTAGATGTTAACCAGCATGTTGACCCAGACGTCATACTCTTCCTTCCACTGCCCGACATAGTACGTCGTGTTTTCGTAGCCCTGGATAGAGGCGTATGTGCTGGCGGCCTCGGTGACGTAGTTGGTGTCAATGGGCAGGTAAGGGACGCCGAGGGCGGTGTAGTCCTCCAGACCGACGGGATCGACGAGGATGAGGTTGTCGACCTGGTCCGGGAACATGAGCCCGTACCGCGTGGCGAGCATGCCGCCGACGGAATGCCCCATGATGGTTGCGCTTTCTATGCCCAGGGTGTTTAGGAGGCCGTTGGTGTTGGTGGCGAATTGCTGGAGACTGAACTGGTAACGCTCGGGCTTGGTGGACTTGCAGAACCCGATTTGGTCGGTCGCGATGACGCGGTAGCCGAGCGAGGTCAGGACGCGGATGGTGCTCTCCCAGGTCGGGCCGCAGAAGTTTTTGCCGTGGAACAGGGCGACGGTTTTGCCGTTGGGGGTGACCTCGGGGGCCACGTCCATGAAGGCCATCTCTAGCTCTTGCAGTTGCGACGTGAACTTGTACAGCTTCACGGGCCAGGGGTAGGTGAAGTTGGAGCCATTGAGGTCCTCTGGCAGTGCGGAGCTGTTGTCTATGCTATCGCGTGTCTGTATGATGCCGGTGCGGGCGGACACGACAGCACCGCCTAGCAGGGCTAGAGAGGTGAATAGGGAGAAGACCTTCATTGTGCAACTCTGTCGGTAGGATCCTAGTGTAGCCGGGTCAGCCTCAGAATTAGGACTATATTGAAAGCGACTCAAACCATGGAAGGCATAAGTGGGATCAAATCACACGGAGCCCCGCGCATAAGGCAGTTCATTAAGTCATTCACAAGCAACTCCCGGATCAGACTTACTTGACGTTGTCTGGTTACTATGCAGAAATAGTATGAAGGATGGATTGCCCGACGAAGTTCATGATAAACACGTACAAAGGAACACCAAAGTAAACAACAGCCGGTGGCTTTCTTAAGTACAATCTTGGTTACCCTCGTTCGAACTTGCCCCACTCATGACCCGGGGTGCGAAGATGAGAGATGATGTTTGCCATGCTTGACCATCTACGACAGCAATATCCGATTTGCATGATGAAATACACAAGCCACACCCCGAGCGGCGCAGGGCATGGACTGCATAAATGGCATTGTACCGCTTAGTCACGACTTGTGGGATTGACATTCTCTTTGGAAGACTAGAGGGACAATCAGTGCCGGAAGGTGAGATGCAGTCGACTGTTGCACGTTTCCCCTCACTCACGCTCGTGTTATGGTGTCACCAACGGCGAAAGCAAGTCAACTGACCTGCAGGCGCGTCATTGCGACGATGACAACGCCTCTCCGTCTTCACGCGTGTTGCCCAAATCAAACGATGGGAGGTTACTTCAACCGGGGTCCATCTCTTGCTATTGCCGTTAGCTCCTTGGTTACCCATCAATCATGGTTAAATCCCTCAGCATGGGGGTCATAGACGATTACATGGGCGAGATGGGGTTCTTGAGCCGACCTGCCCAGAACGGAAGTGTGTGTGGGGAGACCCTTGCTCGCTGAGAGTTTTATATCCGGTGTCGCGTAGCTGTAGATGATCGATGTTAATGGGTTCTTGATCCGTCACTTATCTCTTTGCCTCCTTTCTACACAGAACAGAAGATCGACCAGATCTCACACTCAATTGAAGCGAAGTACGGGGTTACATAGGCGGCGCAGGTGTTGGAAATTTCCGATTTTCGACAGCAATGGTGGAAGTTGCACTTACGTTTACTGGGTTGCGTAGTCAATCCGACAGAGTGGTACGATGCCGGTGCCACAGCCGATAGGTCATTTAAAACAGGTACGGAGCAAAGCCTACTCCGGAACGTCCCGGAACGTCCCGGAACGGGTCTCGAGTGGACATGCCCCCCTCCAATTGCAATTCCCTTCTGCAGGTCGACAAGGAAGGATGCATCCCACTGCGCTTGAGTATATGCAGCGTCTAGGCGAAGGCGACCCGAAATGGGATAGATACTTGCACCACCAATCAAAACCCGCGGCCACACACCCACTCGCGGTGCCTCCAGCCAAGCTCAGGAAAGGGCCCCGGGGACAGGAACGGGGACAGGAACGGCGCAGGAACACGCGAACGTCTAACCGGGAAATGGGCCCGCGACCTTGCTGTCTCGGCCCGTCTATGGGCTGCAACTCGAGTAGAAGGTGGTGTCAACTCCATCTCCGACGCCTTGGAGCCCTGGCAGATAACCATTTTGGCTTGCAGTTTTAATTTCAAAATAGTCGTTTTATATATAACAGGTCAGAAACTCGGAAAGTCGCCTTGCCAGAGTGCCAAAGCGAGCCAATCGAGACAGAGGGTCTTTTCAAGGAAACCCGAGACGATGGGTGATGTTCACCACTAGGGACTAGTTCATGCCTGTCTACCTGCCTGCATCGTCACGTCTCGGCCGACTTGCTTCTTGCTCACTAGCCCTCTGAAGCCCTGGAGCGCATGGAGTGAAAGTTTTTCGACTGGGCAGGTATGGTCTTTGTGGCGGTTCCAGACCTTGGAAACTCGGAACCCTTGTGAAGATGTGCTGGGTGTCAGCAGTGCGTGGAGAGAGCAGGTTGCTCGAATGCGAGCCCGTTATATTTGGCGCTCTTCATCCCGAGCCGCCGTCGCTTATTGGTATATGACTGCCCACGTACAACCCGGCTCCCCACTGCTCGAGTGCTGGCCCGAGTGGTCTGTATAGATCACGTGTGAATCGATACAAGACACCCCCTTCGTCAGATTGTCAGTTTTCGTCAAGATGGTTACTGGGAATCTTCCCGGGGAGAGCAATGCGGCCATGGTGCGGGTGCCGGCCATTGTCTTCTTCGCCGTTACGCCCATCTTTGTCGCCATTCGCATTTGGGTCCGAGTGAGGAGAGAGTTTATCTTGGGATGGGATGACTGGACCCTCATGGCGTCTTATGTAGGTTTTCTTTTTGTCTTGCTTTGTTGTCTAATGTCCAGTGCGTGCTGATGCGCTTGGATAGGTCTGCTGCCTTGCTGTTTCGATCCTCATGATGTACTCGTGCGACTATGGGTTTGGGCAGCACATCATGAACCTTTCAACTGAGAACAGGTTGATGACGCTCAAGGTGAGGCTCCAGCGCTCCAACATACCATTGCTTTTCAGCACCTTGCACCTTTTGTTTTCGTCGGGAGCATACTGACGGCAACGTGGAACCCATGCAGCTCTTCTATGTCGCCCAGATCTTCTACAAGATAACAATTAACCTCACGAAAGCTTCGATTATTCTCCTCTACCTGCGCATTCTCGTCCAACAATACTTCCGTATAACCGCCTACGTGCTCCTGGCCATCATCCTGGCTTATATGGTGGCCACATCAGCCTCGTCTATCTGGCAATGCAGTCCGATCCAACGTGCGTGGGATAAGAGCCTGCCCGGCACTTGCATCAGTCTCACCATGAACTGGTATGCCAACGCCGGCTTCTCCATCGCGACCGACGTGCTCATCATCCTGCTCCCGCAACACCTCCTCTGGCAGTCAAGTCTGCCCACCAACCAGAAGGTAGCTCTCATGGTTGTGTTCGCCCTTGGTCTCTTCGTTACCGTCACCAGCGTGCTGCGCATGACGACGCTGAAGACTTCCACGACCAGCCCGGACGTCACCTGTGAGTTTTCCAGGGCATCGTTGATGTCACGACTCAATCAGTACTGACGCGCGACCCTCAGATGACATCGCTTCCACGCTCTGGACCATCATCGAAGACAACCTGGCCATCGTCTGTGCCTGCCTGCCCATGTGCCGCCTGCCCTTAGCCTACCTCTTCCCCTCCCTCTTCGGCACAAAGCATGTCTCCGCGTGCACAGGGTATAGCTACGACTCAGAGCAGCAGGCGACAGGTGGACGACGAAAAACAAACAACCGCAGAATTAACAGTACGAAACACTTCATCTACGCGGGCGCGAGCCACAACAACTGGTCTCCGTACGAAGGACCCGATGATAAAAGGGCGGTCTGGCTGATGAGCAAGCACGCGGGCATGCGGTCAACGCCGATTGGCGATGATGAGAGGAGTGAAGACTACATCCTGATGCCCGAGACGGAGATGGCGCGTACAAGTACAAATGAGGAACTTGTGCGTGGTGGACTTGCGGTTAGGAAGACGATGACAGTTCATCAAACAACGCATGCTGCCCATGATACTGGGCTGGACGAATGACCTGACCCGGGTGAGCTCTGCTATGTATGCTGTGTTATCTTTTTTAATTAGTAACTGCTGCGGATGAGATGGTGCGGGTGCGGGTGTTGCGGATGGTGCGGACGGTGCGGACGGTGCGGGATGGAGTTTTCCTCTATAGAGTTTTCTGGAAGGGCGAGAATGGAAGAGAACATCACACCGCAATAATACTGTATACGTGCATTGAAACCTCTTTATCCGATATGCCGGGGCGGGCGGTGATGCAGTAGCGTCCGCACGTAATTACTCACGTATACCATGCTGGTATGGGGGCTACGACCAAGCGAACACTTATTGGTGCTGCGTTTCGTAACATTGGGGTGGTTCAATTTCTGCGTGTGTATGACGGCATGAGGTGGGGTCAAGAATGGAGCCAAGAATGGAGAGGGATGGAGTGGAATGGAGTCCACATATGGAGACAAGCTTAACTAAACAGCCGACTTCTCTTCTTTGCGTTTCGAAGTCAAGAGAGCACTTGATGGCATTGTAGTATAAAGGGATGAATACGCTGTTGGATTCGAGGGCATCCCATACTCTTCATACACTTATACCCACCAACTACTACAAACCCCCCAAACAACAATCATATAACCCATTTCAACCAGACACCATACCCATACCTTCACACGAAATGGCGCCTACTACTCAGAAGAAATGGACTCTCTCTGGCCAGGACAAAGGTTTCGATGGTCTCACATATGGTGATGCCGCCGTGCCCAAGTGCGGAGAGAACGAGGTTCTCGTCAAACTCAACGCTGCCTCCCTCAACTACCGTGACCTGGTCATTCCCAAGGTAAGGCACGAAGCCTCCCAGTGCATATCTCTTAGCCCATGGAGAAAATGGCACTGACATCATCCCCAGGGCATGTACCCCTTCCCGCTGAAGTTCCCCGTTGTAGCCGGTTCCGACGGCGCCGGTGAAGTCCTCGAAGTCGGCTCCAAAGTCACACAATGGAAAGTCGGCGACAGAGTCACCACGCTCTTCAACCAAGCGCACCAATATGGCCCCATGAATATCGCAGCCTCGCAGTCCGGCCTCGGCGGCGTCATCGACGGCACCCTCCGCCAATACGGCGTCTTCAACGAGAACGGCCTCGTCCGCTCACCCAAGAACCTCACCGACGCCGAGAGCACGACTCTCACGTGCGCGGGCCTCACCAGCTGGAATGCCCTCTACGGCATGAAGCCTCTGAAGCCCGGCCAGACGGTTCTGGTCCAGGGAACGGGCGGTGTGAGCATGTTTGCGCTGCAGTTCGCCAAGGCGGCCGGCGCGATCGTTATTGCTACCACTTCGTCCGCCGAAAAGGCCGAGACGCTCAAGAAGTTGGGCGCGGACCACGTCATCAACTACCGCGAGGACGCCAACTGGGGCCAGACGGCCAAGGCGTTGACCGTGGGCAACGTGGGCGTGGACCACATCATCGAGGTCGGCGGCGCGGGCACCATGGAGCAGAGCATGCAGGCCATCAAGTTCGAGGGCATCATCAGTGTGATTGGTTTCCTGGGGGGCGCCGAGTCTAAGACGAGCGTTATCCAGACCCTCTCCAACATTTGCACCGCGCGTGGTGTGTATGTCGGCTCTAAGGAGATGATGGAGGATATGGTTGCTGCCGTCGAGGCCAACGACATCCACCCCGTTGTCGACAAGACTGTATTTGGTCTTGATCAGGTTAGGGAGGCGTACGATTACATGTGGGCGCAGAAGCACTTTGGCAAGATCGCCATTAAGATCGAGTAAAATCATAATAAGGATGCCGTATGTACAAGTTCAAACAAAAAGAGTTTGTACATTTGGAGGATGGATGCAATATCGTCTCAACCCCGATTTTAATACCAAGCTCATTTCCCGTCCTGAAATCCACGTTGTCGCCCGTAGTCATGTTTCTTGCCGCTATTGCTTTCACACAATTGATCCGTCTCAAAAGCCCTGTGACCAGCTTTCACGAGAGACGGGACTACATGAAGGCGCAAGGAGCTATTTGAAAGCCGAAGTATCTGAAACGGGTTGTAGACGAGACTATCGTGGCTACAGCTCCAGAGGCCACTCCTAGTGTTTAGATAATCCAGCTTAGCCAGCATCAACAGCCAAAGACCCGATTTAAGGGTAGATCTATTGCTAGAAGCGATCTGCAGCCTTAATCGTCACTTAGCGCGTGCGCTAGTGCTTTCGATGGTCGGCTCTTTAGGATATTAATGGCTATTGCAAGTTCAATCTTGACATAGCCAACTGGACGTATTTAACGTATTTAACGTATTTAACGTATTTACGTATACAGTACTCGATGAGGTCATTTTTTGTCCGATTTCCAGATGTGTTTGAGAAACCTGGGTACTGCCTCCACCTGAAGAGGGCCCTTCACGGCCTTCGGCGGTCGCCCTCGTCTGGCCGAGGTATCTGGAGTCCGGTATGACTAACTTGAGCCTCAGGACCATGTTAAAAGATGGGTATGTCTATACTAACAACTGGTTGCAGTATTTTTCAACATGCATAATATTGGCCTGGCCGACCGGCTACAGTACTCAGACCTTGCCGTAACTTTATTACCCGCTGAAAGGGTCGCTTTGAATCAACCCATGTAGGTAAAGTCAAGTAGTGCCTCGGTATTCAAATAGCTGGAGACCGAACAAATCGATGACGATAGTTATCACAATTTATCAAATATTCGTATGTTAATAAAGTCCTATTAAAATACAATATCCAGACTATGGAGAATAGTCCGATAGTGATTCCCAACGTGAGTGATTTAGCGCTTTACGAGGGCCAAACCAGTAACGAGTCACGACGGCTGTATCACGGCAAGATCAGAAGCGCACTATACGCAGCCATCACGACTCACGAAAGAGTGACTTCTGAAACCCTCTCAGAGTTATTTCGCACTAAGAATATCAGTTCTTACCGCCTCTACTCGAAGATATCCGTTATTTTCACATGAACCTGATCGAGTTACTAGATCGCCCCCATGTTTTGGACTACTTGCGGTCACCAGCCGAAATCAAAATTCTCGAAATGGGCTTGTCTTCCTTCCAGTGCCTCGATCTCATGATGATCCTGACTCGTCAACTTCACGGCGTCGCTCTGCGTGGTCTTCTCCGCGCTGGTGGTTTATTGTCCACGACGCTGATAGGGCTTCGTGTGATAGGATCTGTGGATGTGTTGTAGGTGAGAGATGCTTAGATAGACTAGATTAAATGACAATATCTGAGTATGGATGTAAAATGTGCAGGTACCATCCTAATCGATTGTAGTTATGCCGAAGCAGCTTAGCATTGCCCCAAAACGAATTTACTGAATCTTAGGTTATATGACGTGAGCACCGAAACCGACAAGTAGCACACTATTACATTGTATCACGTTCAAGTACCATTGAATAGTGGCCGAATAATTAACACAAGGTGTGAGGGTAATCTAATCATACATGGGCTAGTGTGCTAACTGTGGTAATGATTTCATCTAAATGCTTCAGTATATGGTGTTCATGGATGCACCGGAAGGAAATGCTGCAGTGCTGTGACGTGAGACACGAAACTGAAAAGGGAGTCAATAATGCATCTTCAAGCATATAATGACGGGATATCATGATATCCACTTGAGTCGCCACGTCATTCTACAAATCCTCGCCAAATAAAACGTCAGGCAACTCTCATGAATAAGCCCTTATCAGGGTCTCCGGCATTTTTCGCCATGGTACTTAACCTTCTTCTTCACCGCCACCGCCCTACACAACTTCCCATCCTCACCCATATGCGTCTGCACATCCACATGCTGCGCCGTATCATCCACCAGGCGCCCCTCCGCCACCACCTTCCCCACAGGCCCAATCAGCGTAGCCCGATCATACGTCAACCGCGGCCTCAACACCGTGGTCTCGACACTGACCACATCGTGGTACTCCTGCCTCTCGATCCAGCTGACGAGTTCTCTCACGCCGAAATATCGCGCTTCCTCGAGCAAGGCGTTGTACTGCACGTAGTCGTGCCCCTTAGTTAGATCCCAGAATACCGGGCGGATGCCGCGGCGCAGGTATCGCAGGATGTGGTTGAAGAGCTCCGGGTCGGCGTCAATGAAGTAGCTTCCGTCGCGTTGGCGTTTGCAGGAGCATGGGGATAAGAGCAGGGACCGGAAGTAGTCGGCTTGGAGAAGGGTGTCTTTGGTGGTTACGAAGCGCTGTTCGCCTACTTGGAGGTTGACTCTTCCGTTTATGTCGTCAGCGTGGTAGTCTTCTTCCTCGGTAGTAACGGTGCCGATGACGATGGGCCGGATCCTTTGTTTTCCATAGCCTTCCAAATCGCTGCTGGTGCTGCTCGCTATGCTGCTTAGGGTGGCGACTCCAGAATGGTAGGTCTCAGGCGAATTCATGGTTGCTTGAGGTGTCGATGCGTCATCCTAAGTCGCTCGTGGCGACTGACGACACGAAGACGATAGCGTGCGTCATTAGACAGTCCGGACGATGCGCGATGACCTGGGCATGTTATATTTGTTATCATGAAGCGATATGTCATCATAGGGGTTCAAGGAGCCCACGATCCCAAAAGTATCTGCGCGATGCGACTCAACGGTTTCATGCGCCGGCAAGGGGGAGCCCAGAACGGGAACCCAAACCAACTGTGTTAGTGTGCTGCTCTTTGCTGATGTGGACACTGCATCAGGAGCAAAGGGTAACAATGACATGGAATGTCGAGTGCTTACGTCCTCATCGACCATAGCATGATGGAACGCGAATCATGGAATCTGGCAAGTGGATAATAAGATCTGCATCTCAAACGGGATCAGCAGAAGCCATTGAGAGACGGTGGGAGTCCGGCAGTTGGGAAACAACGAGTCATGTATACTCGAATGACACCGTGCCGGGAAACATTTGGAATAGAAGATGGTCTGATGAGTTATGCGTCGAACCGTTTGCAGAAAATTCGAACGTTGTCAGAAGTAACTTACCAGCTAAGCGGCGTCATATAAGCAAATAGCTTCACAGAAGATTGCAGGCAACAGGTCACATGATGGCCCTATACTCACTCCTCTGGGGGACTGCCATATCATATCAGGGACTAATCAGAACGCAGCCGGATGCCCTGGCTCCGTCCCTTGACCGGGACTAATATCCAAATTCATCCAAATGAGCAGATCGTCTGGCGCATGAACAGCACTGGCATCCAATTGAAGTGTTTATCAAGAAAGAAGGATTTGTTGAACAAGAAGCACAAATCATGTCAAGTAGCTAGCAGAGCATTGGCATCTCGTCTTTTCGCCGAGCAATGCTTGACGCCATACTGCGTACGCAGCATGCTTGAAATTCAATTGATCTCCTGCATTACCCCACACCGAGCTGCCTATACGCGGGCGCCCCACTGAAATTTCCGATTGAAGCCTCTAACTTCGAAGCTCATCATCCTTTTGACCCTTGCCTGCCTTTCGTCGCAACCAGGCCGGCATCTAACCCAGAAACTCGGATACGCATCTCGCCTACCTAGGCCGACACAATGCCCCTCGACACATCAACCTACAACCTAGCGCTCCTGCGCGTCGACGGCCGGCGCTGGAACGAGCTGCGCCGGTTGCACGGGCAAATCCGCACGCAGGCCGCCGCTGACGGGAGCAGCTACCTCGAGATGGGCAACACGAAGGTGATGTGCATTGTTACCGGGCCGAGCGAGGACAAGAGGAAGACTGGGGGTGGTTCAACGTCCTCAGCGAGCGTGGCCAGCGCGCCCAATGCGGCCGATGTCTCGGTTGGGGTCGTGGTCGCGGGTTTTAGTAGTGTGGATCGGAAGAAGAGGAGTCGAAGTGACAAGTGAGTACTCAGTAAACACTACTTATTGCTAAAACAAGCGTGCGCATAACTGACCAGAGGCAACAACACAGACGCATCCAAGAACTCCAAGCTACCATCTCCAAAGCCCTCGCCGGCAGCCTACACACACACCTCTTCCCGCGCAGCACCATCTCCATCTCCCTAAACGTGCTCTCCCAGGACGGCTCTCTCCTCGCAGCCCTCATCAACGCTGCCGCCCTCGCCCTCGTCGACGCCGGAATCCCCATGACGGACTATCTGGTGGCTTGCACCGCGGGTTCCACATCCTCCTACGCCGCCAATGATGACGCGGCTGATCCGCTGCTGGACCTGAATACCCAGGAGGAGACGGAATTGCCGGGTTTGACGGTGGCTACGGTGGGGGCCACGGACAAAATTGCGGTTTTGGTGTGCGAGAGTCGAGTGCAGGTCGGACGGTTGGAGGGTATGATGGCGGTTGCGGCGGATGGATGCAAGCAGGTTAGGGAGATCCTGGACGAGGTTGTGAGGCAGCAGGGGGCGAGGATGATTAAGGAGGGGACGGTAGCCAAGAGTGAGAATGTTGGTGGCATGGATCTGGACTAGAAAAGGGCGGGGCCGGAGGATACGACAGCATTGTGCGGATATGTATGGCATGGATGCGAAGCGTGAACGTGGATACCATTTGCATGGCGTTGATATGGCTATGGTCACAAGGCAGGAAAAATGGCTACAGGTCTAGGTGCACGGCGTTACGTGTTTCTGGTCAATGAATAGATTTCTGGATGTTTTTGTCCAGTCACCACGATTCCGATGTACTAATTCCTTGTTAATCTCAAGTTACTGGCGTATGACATTCAGAGCTCGTCCTTCTCATGTTCGACAGGCGTTTCAATTGGTTCTTCGTTGGCCTCGGTGGCCTCAGTCGCCTCAGGGGTCGGTTCCGCGCCCTGGTAAGACGCAGACTCCGAGTCGGTAGGGATTTCGATCTTGATATCCTCCTCAACCGTGACCTCGATGACGGGCTCCTCAACAGCGGGCTCGACAATGACACCCTCAGGAAGCTTCTTCTTGACACCCTCGCTCAGACGTATGGCGTCAATCCAGCTCTCCACACTCTCGACGCCAAAATCGCTTCCCCCGAAGTGTCGCCACCAGCCACGCTTGCCATTGACGGCAATGATCTCGATGTCACCCGCTACCTCAAGACTTTTAGCCAGCGCCGCGACGCCTTCGTTCTCGGCATGAACTTCGAAGAAGGGGAAGAGGTGGCGTTGACTCTGGGCATGCTTGAAGGCAATCTCGGACAAGCTGGTCAGAGCTTTTTCGGCCTCGTCACCGTGAGACTGTGGAACAAGAGCCAGAATACAGGTTCCGGTCTTGGGACCGAGACACTCTTTTGTGAGCTTGGCTGTGTCGGTGATAGCCGGAATGGCAGGTGCAACCTCAGCCACCTTCGTGGCCTCGGGCTCGACAACGATGGTTGAAGTAGACTCGTCAGTTGCCGCCGTGCTCTTCGATGAAGCCTTCTCTTTCTTTTCCTTCTTCGCTGCCTTAGGCTTCTCTGATGCCGTGTTAGTGTTCGGCGCACCGGCTTGCGAGAGGAATTTGACCATGGCCTCCTTCTTCATGTCACCATCGTACAAGATGCCGGAAGCCTCGCCGCCGGGAAGAAGGACCAATGACGGGTACGACTTGATGTTGAACAACTCATTGGTCTTGGTGTCCTTGTTTCGGACTTGAGCCACCGGGATCACATCCAGGAAGTCAATGGCAATGCTCTTCAGCAGGGCACTCGTGGTTCCCTTCTCGGTAAATAGGATCGCTTTGGCCGTCTCGTTGTTGGTTTCCAGGAAGCTGTCGATGTCTTTGTCCGTCACTCTCTTCACGTGGTTGTTGATCTTGTCGACGAGGATGTCGACAATTCCCTTGGCAGTCCGCGGTCCGTTGTAGTCTTCGACCATAGGCTTGCCGATCTTCTTGCCGGGCCTCACGATTTTGATGGTCGGGAAACCTTGGACGCCAAACTGCCCGCAGAGAGGCTTGTTCGCGTCCTCATCGCAGTTCACAGCTGCGACCTGGGCCAATCCGTCCAGGTTCTTGGCTGCCTTCTCGTAGGCTGGCTTAAGATTCTGGCAGTGGCCGCACCACGGTGCATAGAACTCCACGACCTAGAATTCTTACGATCAGCTACCGTTGGTCGGGTGAATGGAGTGAGAAAACGACGGACAGTGGTGTAATTGGATCGAGCTACGAGCTTATCGTAGTTCTTTGCATCTACCTGCACGACAGGCGAGCTCTTGAGATACAAGCCGGCGGAGGCAGTGGGCAGAGCGGAGAGCAGAGCCACGCCCACTGCGGCGAGTGTGGGGTAGGTTTGCATTGTGACTTGGGCTGTGTTTGGCAGCAACAAATGGAAGAACTGAATCAGTGGTGGGTGCTGAGGCGGGTTAGGCCATTCACTGACGAGTCAATGACTCTCTGAGGAAGTAAATAGCAGATTTAAATAATGGTCAGAGAGATGGGATGGCACACATGGTCATCGAGCTCAATCGGGCAAAAGGCCAGCGTGGAAACTCGCATTCACTTCCGCAGCAAGGTGGCATTTTCCCGTGATGCCATTCTAAAATAAGCAGAATCCGGGGGTGGCTGGTGAAGCTTAAGCCACGACTGGCATCCTTGTGTCTTGGTAGGGCAGTCAAGCGGTATCTTCGGTGTTGCCTCCCTCGTTGCGGACTGCCAAGGCCGTGGCTGGAGGGGGTCATCCCACTTCTACGTCTTGATTGTTACAACTAATTCCGATGTTTTGCGACTAACGACGCAAGTCCACCATAGCGCACTCACAACTGATCCTCCTCGAGCTGATTTTTATTCATCCAGAGATACGTTTGAGATAACTGCATCGCGACACCTTACGGCATCAAACATTGCCAACATGGCAGCCAGCATCCCCGCTAAGCTGAAGCAGGCAGGCATCACACCATTCGTCATTCGCGCCGCCCAACTTGAGAAAGCAAGACCTGTCATTTCATACTGGTGTATGTCTGGGGATGCTCGCTTGCCCGTGGAGAGCCATGCTGAGTATTGAATCACAGGCGAATATTGGGTGGTGAACCAGATCCTCTCCAAGCAGCTTCATAGTGCCGACGAAGAATGCCTTCAGTTCACCACGACCTTGATGGACAAGCTCGAGCAGGTATGGATGAGTTCTCCTCATCTCCAGATATGCTGGACTAAGCGCTGATCGAATATGTCACCAACAGACCAAAGAAAAGCACGCAGGAAACGATGCGATCCTCGATGACACCGCAGGCCAGGCATACGTTGAGCAGTTTGCGCAGGAGACATTCGAGCGAGCAGACCGGACTTTGAAAGCCAACAAAGTCTCTCAGTGGGTTTCCTGGCCTGTTGATCAGCGCCCCTGAAAGCACAGCAGCCTGACTATAACACAGACAAACCGCTATTACCTTCGAAGCCGCTTCCACATTTTTCCAATTAATCAACATTTGGCAGATACCTGATGCAGAAACACAAAAGAAGATTAAGTTTTCTAAATGGAACGCGGCGAGGATACTGAAGGCGATCAAAGAGGGAAAAGACCCGAACGAGTCAAACCCGACGCCGGAGGAGGCGAAGACGGAAGAAACACCAGCCCTCGATCCCAATGACCCAGAAGTTCTGGCTCTGGGCCAGCCGCGGCCCGTGACCGTCGAGGAAGTGCCAGATGAGGATAGAAAGACACATCTGGAGCCTCGTGCATCTGTAGGGGATTCGCATTACTCCCCTGTTCCTGTGTCTGCGCCCACTTCACCACCGCAAGGATCGGCACCAGCACCAGAGCAGGTATCGCCGATTGTGCCACCAGACCAGTCGATGCCTGATAGCTATTTCTCGTCTGCACCATCGGGGCCTGCCGGAGGCGGCGCCGGAGACGGAGATCTACAACTACCCTCTGCCCCGGGCATGGAGCCAGGAAGTCCCAATGATGGCGCTCCAAGCCCACCGACTACACTCCCCAGTCTGGGGCCCTCTGCGCCGAGTCTCCCAGATACGCCACAAAACTTCTATCGTCCGACTGCTCCTTCCGTGCCGTCCCAACCGCCTCCAGGAGCTGCCCCTACACCGCCGGTTCTGCCTCCACAGCAACACCAACCGTACCAACCTCCAGTCAACAACTATTCTCAACAACCTCCGCCTTCTCAACCAGTCGCGCCGACCACTACCTTTTCGCCGCCACCCCAATTATTACCCCCTGCCCAGCCCGCGTCAAGCTATAGTGGTGCTCCACCTACGAACAGTGTCTATGTCGCCGATGAAGTGGCCATGATGCAGGCGCAGAAGCATGCCAAATGGGCCATCTCGGCACTAAACTTTGAGGATGTGCCTACTGCAGTACGGGAGCTCAAGGCAGCCTTGCAAACTCTTGGTGCTGGCCAATAAAGTTTTTGACCAAACTTCGTATGTCGGGTTGGGTCTTGCGAGCTTGTACATAGGGTGGGAGGGCAGCTTGAGGAGTCGAGATAAAGCAACAGACAATGAGGTAACTATGATACCATCATGGAGAGCGATCGTAATGAATGGATTTGCCGGAACTTCTACTTCGCAACAATCTCAGTTGCTCGTAAGGTTATAATTTGCTACAATTTGCCCAAGACGCATTGGAGTCGAAGAGGCTGCTGTTGGCTAAAGCAAGCCTGATTGACTGGATTGAAGTCATTTAACCTAGAGCCAGCCCTCAGAACATGGAATCTTCCATGAGGTGAGCTCCGAAGCTAAGTACACGGTCCGAGAATCCCGGTACTTCGTGGTTTCGAGGGACAGAAGAGCTGTACATTTACACTCAGATGCGTCATCGCAGATCGAATCTGAGGCCGGTGGGTTGTGGCGACCTCATCGTGATAAAGTAACTAGCCAATGGGACGATGAGAGTTGTGGCTGGTGAAAGAACCCGCACCTCGTGACCCCCAAATTGCAGTTTACCCCAGACTTTGAACCGGTAGCATAAACTACAAACTCCGTCGCACCTACAACTTCTACGGTTACTCTCACTCCATCCTTCGTGTGTCCTCCCGCGCCTCTTAACCTCATTCCTCTCTTTGTCCCAAATTTACCAGTCGCCCGGCAATTGAGTCGAGTCGAGACTGCTCCACGAGCCACTCATCGTTATCCTACCATCCTATGAACTCCTCTGTATCTGACCTTACTCCCGACTCGACCGACGCAATGGCAGCCACGGCTGCTGCGATTTAGAGGGTGGTTGTCATTCGTTGAGAATATCACGATGGCACCACCCTCGACTTGCCTCGTTATATTCCCTTCTCTGTACCGCTAGCTCCACCATCCGAACGTCCGGGTGACTCCTACCCCGACGCAATTTCGAGAAACCCCGCTACCGCTTAGCAAAGCAGCTTTCCGTATCGCTACTTCGCCGCCGCCGCCTATTGGTGCAGCAAATAAACCCAACTCGAACCGTCACCGTAGCACTTGAGATAGATATCCAAGATGCGCCGCCGCAGTGTTGGAGGAAAAGGCTCTCGAGCCGTCGTCAGCATACGCACAGGTCCGACTCCCATCTCCTCAAACCTGACCATACCACTCAGCTCCACCTACCCATCGACCAACGCCTCCGAGTCCGAATTCGACCACTCCGACTCCGTCTCTGCGCTCACCAATAGTATCAGCGCCCTGACTGTCGACGTACCCATCGCAAATGCGCCGAAACCCAAACGGCGACAAATTAAGCCCTTTCGCTTTGTCGATCTTCCTGGAGAACTCCGTCTCAAGATCTACGGCTATCACTTCACCACCACAGGCGAAGTTTTGGACCTCGAAACAGACAATTACAAGCGCATCCATAAACCTCTCTGCCTCCTGCGCACCTGCCGCCAGGTCTACAGCGAGGCCTCGTATCTCTTCTACAGCACCCACACCTTCAGAATCTTTCCTATCTACGGCAAGTTCTTTAGGACCAAGAAACCGCTTCTTGCACGCATGAAGCCTGGCCCAAGAGCATGTCTCACGACCCTTCAGCTGCGCCTGGGACCGGGTTGGAATCGCCCTCCCCGTGGCTGGGTCGTCAATGACGCCCTAGGGCTCAAGGACTGCATCAACGTGAGAAGATTGAAAGTCTTCGTCGAGTGCGACCCCAGTAATGATGCGTTTAAGGGATTTCGCGCTGAGGATGGGTTTTACGAGGGTTTCTCGCAGGAACTGCTCAGAGCGGTGCTGGACGAAATGCCTTGGTGCGAGATTGCTGAGTTTGATGCCAATCCGAGTGTCAAGAAGTCCGGGGCCATGATGACGGGGCTGCTGGAAGTCGCATGTAACAAAGGCCGAAGACTGGCCTGGGGCCCGGAGAAGGGCTGGGATGATGGAGTTGAGAAAGAGGAGGATGTTAAGCCCATCAATCATGGGCCTATTGGTACAGGCATGGTGAATGGGCACCCACACGGACATGAACATGGTTTCGTTGTCGATGGAGGACGTGGACCGGGCATAACGGTGCTCGCTTAGTGGGAGCAGCAATTAGTGCGACAGCATCTAGGGGAACCGTAATGGTGGATTGCCAATCATGGCAAGAATTACTTGGAATGGCGTTAAGGGCTCTGGCATCTGGAGGGAACGGCTCAAGGACTTGACGTAGGGAAGTATGCGACATTGAATGATCGCTCAACACGACTCGACAATGAATTATGGGCAATATTACTCTACTGTTGGAATTGTAGCTCTGATGCACAATTGGTATTCACGCACATTATTCTTACATGATTGTATTCCTCAGAACACAAATACTGCAATAATGTCAGAACAAACAGTCCAGCCAGGATAAAACAGTGTTGGAATGCTTTCTATTGCAGTAATACATGTATGATCTCCCAAATTCACCCTGGTGTGCTAAGTACTCTCTAATTCGGTGAATTCAGCACCAACCTAATACCCTAGGACCAACAACTCTTCCGAGCTTTCTGTGCATCTGTGAATCTGAAATATCTCGTGGCAGCGCGCATGGCCTGCCAAGAGGTTCGACCACACTGTCGTACTCGGCCGGGCCGCTTGGCTGTCGAGGAGCAAAATCAACGAACAATACAAACACTCTTTGGGACAAATCGCTGGTTTCAGACACCAAACTCTCATGTAAGTTTTCATTCGCGCTGATTTTTCGAAGTCCTGGATAGCTCGGTAACGGAGCCAGATGTCGGTTGATGCGTAAGTGGATATCGCTAAAAGGGCGACATGAAGTTGCATTTTGGGAAACTGACCGAAGACTTCCAAGGAGGGTGTTATGCTAGATTGATATGCGGATGTTGGTGGATGGTAGCTGGGTCAGGTTTCTGATAATCTTTACTCCTAGTTATTTGCTTGGATCTCGTCTAGACCGTTGATGAAGAAGCACAAAGTGGCCTGACGTTAGGTTCTCTTGAGAGTCATGTGAGTGTTGCCACATTCCAGTGTAGTCTCTAGTTTGCAGTTTGCAACAGGCAGTAATTATAGCCATGGTACAAAACAACTCCGGGAAGCGATGTAATAATTTATATCAGCATGGTTCGTAGAAGGCCGTTTACCAAGTATTGGATTTAGCTACCCGGTTACTAAACATAGCAGCGAGATGCTATAGGTTTATGTGGACAATACCGGAAAGACAGCTGTATTAGTAATGATGATGGCGGTGACTCCTAGGAATCTGTAGCTACAAAAGAGCTATAGATAAGATGAGATAAGCAGCTCAAGAGGGTCAGATAGCTAGCTAACCAAGCTTCCCCAGTACAATTATTCACACCCCATATACTCACGCATCATATAACTAAACATTCGTAAAAATAACTTATTTGATAGTCTAATAAAGTTTTTCTCTACGATTTCCATCGAAGTATTTAGAGGCTGGACCCTCCTTAACTTCTCTAGAAGGCATATTACTCATCTCTATAGTAAAGCGTATTAGTGAGGCAAGGGACGAACAGAGTGATTAGGTTAGACGAATAGGGGGGCTGGGAGGCATTCGAGGGATACGAGTCACTACTCGGCTTGTTCGTTGTGAGCTTATTTCTTTTCTTCCCTAGTCTCTATCCGAGGTAGCTCTTTTATATTTCTGGGAGATCGCCTTCGGGGCGACTGCGTGGCATACTATAAGTGAGGAACCGGCAGGGCCAGCTAAGAGCCTGATGGGGATACAGAACGAGTGCCTCCGGGTAGTCTGTGGCGCCCACAAAGCGACGCCGGTTCGCCACCTGGAAGCAGAAGCAGCAATCCCGCCACTAGACCTCTATCTTAGTGCCCGGGCTGCTAAGTTTGAAGAACGGCTACGACTTAGCGGGAAGAGAAATCTGCTTCGCAGCGCGAGCGCTAAAGCGTCACATATACTCCGGCAGGATAGGCCGGCGAAGAGGAAGCAGGCGTCGCAGCTACTCCGACCGGCAGGGTACACTATGGAGAAGGAGGCCCGGGGCTCCGAGTGGATGAGTGAGGAAAAGGAGGTCCCGGCTGCCCTCCTCGGCCACTGGAGGAAGAGATGGCTCACCGGAGCAGAGCATCACGATCGCCAGCGACGCGCTATCGCTGAGGAACCGGAGGGCCCTTCGATGCAGATACCGAAAGGGGGCAGGTATTTCGGCCTGAACCGACTGGAGGCGTCTACGCTGTGCCAGATCAGGACGGAAAAAATAGGACTAGCAGCCTTCTTATTCAAGACAGGGGCTTTTGGCGTGTACTCGCCGCTATGCCGCTGTGGCGATGCCCCTGAGACGGCAGAGCACGTAATCCTCTTTTGCGGGCTGTTAGAAGGACCGAGGGAACGATTACGGGCCGCCATCACACCACGGCCACTATACTCTCGCAGAGACCTCGCAACGGCAACAGGAGAACCAGTAGTTAGTGGGACTATTGTAAGATGGCTGCTAGGGACGGGTCGGACAGCTTCAAGGCCCAGATAGCATCGATCTTCTCAGGGGGGACTTTGTTGGTAGGTTGAGAACCAACGTAGTATGGTAGTGAACGCAACGCAGTCGCCAATAGGGCGAACCGACGACGCAGCGTATGTATTTAGTCCAGCCATTAGGGCACGGTTTGACATACGGGAGTACTAGTAGAGGTACCGGGGGCTTCGAGCCTACGGCGTATTTAATAATAATAATAATATTTCTGGGAGCTAGAGACTAAATTAACAGGCCTCAGTACATCCGCCTATCCCTAACCACCGGAAAAAAATACCAACGCTCTCGCCTCAATACTCTACCTAGGGAGGTGTTCCTCGGGACAATCAGGATGAGGAAACGCTGCGTGTGGAATTCCTACAGGATAACAAATCCAATTATTCAGTTAATCACATAATAAAGCAAGTAATCTCTCACTATGTCCCAACCCGCCAATGCCCTCCAACTGCCCCTGCACGAAGACCAGGGTTGCCCCTGTTTGTCATAGCTTATTTCCTTGGGAAGTCTGCTTTATAACTGCTCACGATTTAGCGACTGGGGAACAAATTATGAAAGGACCTCATTGCTATAGGAACTCTTCAACTTTCCAACTTCAAGTCGCAAATATTACCTATAATATTCAGTTGGTCGCTACCGTGCATACTTCTCAAAGATGGAGCTGGATTTGGCCACCCCGACATGCCGTGAAGCCACCACGTCTGTTCAAGGGAAGTATTGGATTGTGGGCAAATGTTCTTGTATTGAAAGTGTCATGATCTCTGGAGAGTCCTGAGAGAAGTGAATGGCGGCCATAGGGGCCTTATATAGACAGAAATGACTGATACCTACCCCACAGCCAGGACTTATATGGTTTAATGGGTAGAGGTCATATTGACCCATACTTCGTACGGTTTGCGGCTTTAATTTTCTCCTTGACTTGGCAGTCTTGATAGAGAAGCCTTGAAGGTCCAACAGGAAGAAGCGACCTTTCGAAGGGCGACGTCGGTTTGGCACTGGCGATGTAGACTTGATACCATTTTGAGTATAGTCAGGGAGGGGATGTCTCGAACTCTATTTCGAACCCCCAAATGTCTTTTGGCCCTAAGATTAGTTATGCTGCATAACACGTAATACCGTAGGGATCGGTAATGGATGACCAAGGAGCCATAGAGACGGGTTTCTCGGTAGCGAGGTATTCGAATAGCGTGGAGTTATCGTACGCACTACGGTTCTTGACAACGTAGTACCCAAGTATCAGAATGCTGGACTGTACACTATAGTTCTCTCACCAAGCAATTATGTCAGGCCGACAAAAATATCAACCCCGGTCAATGCTTCATCGCTAGAGCAGACATGATTTTGTGTTCGTCAGTATCGATCGCACTACCCCGACAAGATGTTTTATGTTCCACACAAAATTGTTTCTCCAGTCACCGAGTTCTCTGGACCTCCGGTTTCAACGCTCTTTCCCGTTGCTGTCATAGTTATTATGCGATCTGCAACTCCGTTCTCTGCTAGCGCAACTTCAAGTTTCAATGCTCTTCTGTGATTTTTTCAGCCATCAACAACTGTACCGACACGACTTCCACCCTGAGAAAGGCTAAAGAGGCTGGGGCAGACTTTCGAAAATAGCGCCAATTGGGACGCCAGGACTTCTATCCGCTACCATGGTTTTGTTGTCGGTCCGACGCGCCGAGAGACTTGTGGTATTCTGTTATACTGCTACATTTGGCTGCAGCAAAAGGCTTAATTGATGTTGTCGCTTTCTACCTTTGGCAGGGCTTCTATTTCAACGCCTCTTTTCTTTCCCTTTGCTGCGGCAGAGGTGTGATGGCAATGAGGCTGATGGGCTGGAGGGCTACCCCTGCCTTTCAGTGATTTGGAATCAACGACTTGCCTCTCGCCGACGCCACTGATCTTGGGCATGTTATCACGTATCTCGTACAGGACAGAGGACTTGATATAAATTACGAAGATATAAACGGGGGTACCCCTCTAATTTACGCTTTACTAATACCATTCACGGCAAAGCATACGATCTTGCATCTAATGAGCCACGGTGCAGATGTGAATAAAAAAGAGTTTGCGGTGATTTTCATACGAGCCCGCTGATCATCGCTCGTCTGGTGAAAAGTTTTTACTTGCTGAAGCTTTTGGACGGCGGCACCAACATAAAAGTGAGAAACGGATGCGGTCACTCCCGGCTGGGGTTCCTTTGACGACTACTACGTTCATTGTAAGAGGTCCCATGCGGATAATGGGGTGTGGATGATCTTTGAGAATATATCTGATAATAATAATAGCAAGATATGTGACTTGGACATTGCATAGCACGACATGAAGGATAGCGGTGATTTCCATATATATTATTGTTAGGGGGGTGTATTGGAGCCGCAGCCGGCTGAGCTCTACATTCATGATGGTTCACCTTGAATTTCATGTGTTTGATCGGACCCGTAGAGCTAAAATCGACATCTTCGCGATAACGCATAGACATAATAATTGATAGACTGCTACGGTGTTATAAGATGTGAACCCAGAATAAGGGGAGACCAATTGCTCTCTGCCCAACAACTGAACCAGTAAGTTAAATAAAAATACAATTTAAAACTTCAACCCAGCTACTCAAAGAATCAAATCTCCTATTCCTGCAACTCTAAGACACTCGACGGACTCTAAACCCAAACTCCATGCTCTCAACGTCGTAATTCAGTTTCTACTACACGCCAGTTGCCAAGTCCAATCTAGTTTACCAAAACAGTATTCAAAATCCCATCCGGCTCACCACGTCCATCATCCCCAGCAATCAGCGCAGGAATACACCCAAGATCATCGCCAACCAACCGGGCCTTCTCGCACTGATCGCCGGAGAACGAGCCGGTAGCACAAGTAAGCTTGGGCATGAAGGTGAAGTACCCGCTATCGCCGGCATCGATAGTGAGCGAGTACGACTTGCTAAACGACGTCTGACTCTGCCAGTTGTTGCTGTGCGACCAGTCGTGGCCGACAGCGGCCAAAAACCCGAAGAAACCCCCACCGCCCGACACGGATGTCGTCTGCTTGTCGGTCGTGCCCACCGTGGTGCCGGCCGTGTACTCGCCTGTCATCGGGCAACCAAGCTTGCTGTCAGTGGGGCAGTCGACCTGTGCGCCAACTTTGACCTGTGCACCGTAGCGCGTTTGGGTCTTGCCGTCCGTGGCGGGGAAGGTGCAGTCTGTGTTGCGCTTTACGGGGACGTTGTGTCCCATGAGGGGTGCACGTTTGATTTGCGTGATGTCGGATGCCGCCGGGAGAGTGCGGACGGCTGGGGCTGGGGCGGAGGCGGGCTCTTCCTCGCGCTTGGTGACGATGAACTTGGCGCATTCATCGCCGCAGCAGTGGCTGAGGTGGTTATTAGTGTCTGGTCTGGCATAAAACATGACGATATAGGCCAGGAATATCACTTACATCTGTCCAAAATCCTGGCCTAGTGTAAGCCGAGCACACCCAGACGCGCTGTTGATGGAGCGGTAGTACTGGAAGCAGGGGCCTTGAAGCCGCTCTGGTCGCCAGGAGGCGGCGGGTTGTAGAAGATGAGCTGGCAGCCTTCGTCGATGGGCGATGAGTCCAACCAGACCGCGTACTGGCTGTTGCCGATCGTGGGCCAGCCGGGAAGTCCGATGGATGCCGTGGAGCACCCGGGGTCGTTGGGGTCGTCAGCCTGGAAGTGGTCCATCGAGAAATACTGCTACGTAAGCGATAGGGTCGCTTCTGAGCCGCAGTCGGCCGAGCTGTAGAAGTTCCAGGTTTTGTCAATGTTTTGGGCTGCCGCTCGGGAGGCTAGGAGGCCTAGTGCGAGGGTGGTGGTGATGGTTCCGATGGCCATGATTATGAAGTGGGAAGTGTGAGTTATGCAAAGTCTAAAGAGTAGGAAGTTGAGGTTGTGAATTTATTGCGGAGGTGTGAAGGTGTGAAGGTGTGAAGGTGTGAAGGTGTGAAGGTGTGAAGGTGTGAAGGTGTGAAGGTGCGAAGGTGTGAAGGTGTGAAGGTGTTGTTGAGATGAGACAGAGAGGTGAAGCTCTGCGTCTGATTTTTGCTAATAGAGAAATCTAGACCATTACATGGTTGTTCCCCCCTTCCCTTGGCCATGTGGATTTCAGAGCTGGCCTACGATAATCCAAGGGATTCAAATTAGATTAGCAGAGTGTCGCGATATTGGCCAAGTCCACACTTGCCCCTGAGATCCCAATGAGCAGGAGCATCGCAATTCTGGCCTCTAGGCTTCTGTGGATGACAACATCGAAAAAGAGGCTGTACTGCATTCACTATAGATGGGTGCAATAACCTAGCTGTGGGTTAAGGTGTGACAAGCATTCCTTCAGCCTTGGTCAAATGGCGTGATGAAGCCAAGCCGGGCAAGGTAGCTTGTGCAAGTCAAGTCTAGAACACCAAAACGTGCAGGGTATCCCTGATCGACCCCGTTATTTACTGTAGATTGATCCTGCGGGCTTGGCTTTATTTTCGGATTTCGGATAACCGGTGGATCGGATCTGACGATCTGACGATCTGACGATCTGATGATCTGATGGTCATGGGTGGGGGCTACGACCCCAGTTGTATGCGGTACAGATCGGAACCAGGGCCAGACCAGCGGGCAGGAGGGAAAAAACCATCACGAAAAATCCTACGATGGCATGAAGTGCTTCTATTCTGACGACGCAATCTTGAAAGCCAGAAATGGCATGCATAGCCCCGGGCCTTACCGGTATAGGAAAACCTCTTCACAAATGCGGCGCGATATTCCTTCTACTTTTCGACCAACATTATAGGAATGTAGGCGAAGGCTTCGTAATGGACAACATAGGGAAAAGGGGCACGGAGGTCTTCTGAAGTGTACTCAGACGTCACAATAAATATATCAAGGTGATACACCTCCACAAGAGTTTAACATTTTCATTCTCATCACCCAAAACAATCAATCACCCACGATTCAACTCATCGCCTCATCTTACACATTTATATCTTCTCACATTTGCACATCTTACACTCAAGTCGCCTTCATCTTCAAAGGCATTTCAATTCACTCCAATCAACAAACAATCATCCCAAAATGCACTCCTTTAACTTCCTCGCTACCGCCGCCCTGGCCTTCGCCAGCGGCTCTCACGCCTGGCTCCTAGAGTTCTGGGAGACCCAACCTTTGTGCAGCAAGCCAGTCGGGTCGGTAGCAGACACCACCCTCGGCGGTCTGCCAGGCCAGAACAATACATGCATGACACTCTTCCCAGGCATCAGGGCGATGAAGATCTCTGACTGGGAAGCTTCAATTCATACCTCTACTCCCCAACCCATCCATCTTTCATTCTAACTCATTTCTGATAAACAGGGACAATGAATGCGTCGTCAACTTCTACTCCGCCAACGACGGCCACAGTCTTTGCTCCGGTAAACCAGTCTGGAGCAAGAGCAAGGAGGACATCGATGCCGAGGGTATACTGGTGGAAGACTCTATGGCTTGTATTACTGGTCTCTCTCAGTATGAAACGGACCTTGCGGCTTACATCTGCCCTCCTGGAGCCGGCGCTTCGGACGATGACGCGTGATCGGTTCTATCTGGTCGACATGATTTAGGGAAATTGGGAGATTTGTATTTGAGATACGTTTACTTGATTTATTTTTCTTCTGGGTTCGGTTGGCAGTTGAGGATTGGTTTGGTTAGAGCCTGGGGTGTGCTTTGGTTTATGCAATAGGAACATTATTTTGTGTTACGAATCACTGATCTTGCAAATGCTCTTATTTTACATTGCTGATAGAAGATAAATCGCGCAAATGCCTAGTTATTTCCTTCTCTTTTTAGCCGATGTGGCTTACTCATAATCTCGTTTCCGCTACATGAGACTCCGTGTCGTGATACATTCATACTACACGCACAATCCCGAATTTGTAAATCCTTTTGTGAGTTGCCCAAAGGTCCGTATTGGAATATGTCTGAGTAGTTACCCCAGTTGTCGTGTCAGTCGGCTGTCTAAGTCATTCGGGCATTCATTTCTGGGGTTTCCAGCCAAGCTGCTCTTAGGAGAGAACATGGGCTAGCATCAAATACGACGGTATACACGTCTTAGACCGCAGTCCCGTGCCAAGGGGCCAAGAAGGCTTGTCCTACTTAAGCATCAAGGCAAGGTTCTTTGGCAGCTGAGGGATCATTTAAAGAAGGCTAAGCAATTGGCCCAGAATGCTTCCCACGACCCCTTAACGATAATCTCCACAGTCAAATTGCATAAGCGGCAGGGTTCCAACGTTCGACAGGGGCCTACCGCAGCTGGACGGCACAGCACACCTAGGCGCTGGGATTTGGAATTTGGAAATGCCTCCATGCATGGCACTTGTGCTATTTGTTTTGTATCGTTATAGAGCAAGTATCTGATATGCAGAGCTTCACACGACGTCTATTGAATCCCACCAGTTTTTGAACTTTTCATTATATTACAGGTTTCTATTACAAAGCCTTCCCAGTTGGACAAACGCCCAACATGAAGCTGACCCTGATTCTAGCCACCGCCGTCACGGCTGCAATGGCGAACACGTATGGTCCTGTGGTTTTCTTCGACACAAAGTTCCCGTCTAACACCGGAGCTTCCCATCAGCTTCCAAGTCATTACCTCCTTACACAGCCCTAATTAAGCACTTGTTCGCTCCCAAGTTTTTCGAAACCCTTCACGGTCACCATGTGTTACTCTATGATCAAGTCCGCGGCCTTGGCTGTTCTTTCTTTGGGCTTCGTCTTCTCCGGTGTCAACGCCGCTCCCACCAGAAACTCAAAGGATCTCGCAGTTAGAGCTGGAGGTCCTGATAGCTGGAAGCCCAAGCCCGTACCGGTAAGTACCCTACCCCACCACAGCTCTTTCTCAGTGGTCAACACCCTACTTATTTGGAGAGGCGATGGTTGAGAAAAGAACTCTTACCTTGTAGAAATCGTATACTCCCTGATCAGGGTGTTTGATGCTTGATAAGAGTTGTCTCGGTATCCAATACTAACACCGAAAATTGCAAGGCCGTATTCGACAGGGGCTTCTACAAGTCTTTGGATACCATGCTCTCTGGTCCAGTTCGGGGCAACTACTCCGATATCAAGGCGAAGTCGGCCGGTTCGACATCTTTTGATACCAAGGTGGACCGGATTAACATCTTCAAGAAGAAGAACACCATCACGTTACAAGATGGCGACAACGACAACGACCCGACGCCCGTGGAAAACCAGCAGAGTCTCTCGGAAATCATGACGGCGCTGTTCGAGGCCGACACCGGCACTAAGATCACCAACCTCAGCGTGATCAAGTTCGACACAGTCGTCGAGAAGGATACCCGCGCTCAGATTGACGCCGCCTACGCCAAGCTCAACCTCGACCCCGCCACCGCTAGCTTTATTGTGAGGAAGGACTCGGTTGGTGCCGAAAAGGAGGCTTGGGACCTTATCAACTCGAGCAAGTTGTTGCCGGCACTACTAACAAGATGATAGTCCAGTTCAGCATCCCCAAAGGTGTTGCTCAGTTTGACGTCTCTCCCAACCGGGTCTTGGTCGTCACCCTGGAGTAGATGGCTGGGCTTAAGATGTTTGCGAGCTTCGCAAGCTACACTGGTGCTGAGTTCCCGCATCGGGTTCGGGAAGTTTGGGGTTGGTTTTCTGTTGTAGATGGGATCCTAGCGTGATTATCTTTCTTGCGTGCTGCGATTTATGAGGGATTATGTGTGCTCTTTGGTTGTCTGGGATGAGGGCTGGCACTCTGCTGAAGTATTGAAATAAAATACTTGTTCCTGAATTATGCTAGGTAATACCCTCTGCATAATGCTTTCGTAGGAAGTTGGACACAAGATTTGGAAGGAATCTCGTGAAGACAATGTTTCTGCATTAAAACTTTGCATGTCCCTAAATGGTAGTTAAAGAGATTTGCGAGTGCGAATCTCCATTATTGTTGTAGGATTTATTCAGCAGATATTACTGTGGCCGACTAGTTCTACTGTCTTCTCTATTTCTAAAGCAGTTAAACAAATCAAAACCTCCCAATTTCATCTTTAGGCAAATCGACTTGTTATACCAAATGTTCAGGGCTAAATCTAGCACTTTGAGACTAGATAATTAGACGCAAAACTAGGCTAGCCTTGACTATTTTTAGGGGTACAATACTGAATCCTGGGTTTCGGCATTCTTAATTAGAGCTCTCTTGGAAACTCCTTACACTGAATCAGAGAAGACTTAAAATTGAGAGCTATGGAAGTACAGAATGCGAGGATACGTAGCAAAAGACTGATAATCTTTGCGTCCTGGATGAGGTAAGAGCATACAGTCGTCGATCCTTAGCCACGGGTTTCAGGGGTGCGCACAGCCCCAAACCCGCCAGGTTGGGCGGCTGCAATGTCGCTTCGATAGGTAATACCTGCCGTGAAGGGCCCCCACCAATCTGCGAATGCCCTATAAATACTTGAGTAATTTGGGGGTTGCAGTGATGCGCTCTTCCAACATGCATTTGCCATCTTTCCCTGTTTCAGTTTGAACCCCTATACATTGCGCTGAAATAAGTGAAGGCATCAGCGTATAAGACCGGGAGCTCGCCCACCTAGAACCCTCAGTTCAGAACCCATTTCTTGATTAGCCATTAGCGAAGTCAACCTTACTCCATCAATCTGTGTCTGAGATGTTGGAACGGGGACATCAAGGCACAATGCACATCTTCGACATTCCACCTGAGCTCCTACACAAAATACTGTTCTTCGCCACGCTCTCTTGCGGCGTCACGAGAGCGTTGAGACTGAAGCTCGTGTGCAGTAGGTTCTATCCCGCTCATCTCCACAGCTACTCTACATCGCCAGTTCAAGGTTGCCACCTGCAATCCCAGCGACTAATATCTGTCCAGGAACGTTCTACGAAACCGTCCCGCCCGCGCTGTTTGAGACACGTCTACTCGATGACTTTGCTGAGGGTGGGCGCTGCGGGCGCCCCTTATGGCTACAGGACTGGCGCGTGCGACAACTCCATGGCGCTGAGAAAACCTGGCATCCTTACCTAGCATATCGCGTTCGCAATGAGAACGACCCGACTGTGGGCCGCTTCGTCGAGATCCGGCGAATCGCTGAGGAGCTGTGCATAGAGACGGACTCCGATATCGACACCACGGTCGACGCACTCTGCTGGCAGGCGCTTGAATATGAATCCTTCCAGCCTAGCCTACGGAAAGCTGAGTATCACGGTTATGTCCCAAACCACAAGCTGAATCTCCTGAGCGCAGCGGCCTACTTGGGGCACATCTCTCTTGCGGAACGCTTACTACTAACCGAACCCAACCTCTGTCCCGACGAGCACAATCTCCTCTTTCCGTCGCCCATGCGCCTGGCCGCCTTGGCCGGTAATTTGGACATGTGCGAGCTATTCCGCGAGCACGAGAACTCTCCAAAAGCCGAAGAGAATGGCGAGAAAATGTGGAAGACAGAACGAATGTGGGAGGCGGTAAGGGGCTACGCGGAAAGCGGAAACCTAAACCAAATCCGTCAAGTGATCAAACAGCCAGGAACGACATTCAAGCCGCCGTTGAACACAATATATCTCACCAGATCCCAACAAGTGTACCAGTACCTCGTCGAGAACTCCGAGAAGCCGGTTCTGCCCCCGCGCGATCTCACTACCCATCTAGCGCAGCACGCCGAGTACGGAAACGTGGAAATGGTGCGGTACCTGCTAGATGCCGGAGCCGACATCAACGGGTTAATGCGCTCCGATGGATATCCCCTCGTCAACGCGGCGGGCGAGTGCCACGACGACGTGGTGGATCTTCTAATCGAGCGGGGAGTCGACATCAACAGCGGGGAAGACCACCAGCGCGGCTCGGCGCTGTGTGCGGCGGCCGCGGCGGGAAGTCTGATCATGGTGCGCAAGCTTCTCGACCACGGCATCCGCGTCGGCGAGGGCCACACCTGGGCGATGCGGCATGCCGTGCGCCGGGAACACTATGCTATGGTAGAGTTGCTGCTCGAGAGGGATGTGGCTGATCGGGGCAAGAGGTCTTTCTTGGTGCAGCATGCGTTGGATGAGGGTTTGCAGTCTATGGCTGAGTTTCTTCGCAGGTTGGGATTGACTGAGGAGCGTAATAAGGATTGGCGGCAGCAGACTGAGCTGGCTCCACCGTAGCAAATCATTGAGCAGAGTAAATCTTGCAATGTTGCTCTTTTAGGGAGAAAGGTTAGGAGCACAAACAAGCAACGTCGACACTTCCTCCTGGCAGGCTCTTCGAGAATTGACTCTAATACGAAACCATGGTCTCGCTGTACTTAAGTAGAAGTTTTTGATCTCTAGCATGTTAATGGACCACCTTCTTAGGGCCGTTATTTTAGTGCCTGCAAATGTTTTCAAATTCAATCTTGTCTGACTTATTGTAAGCAATAACGAAGCATGGGATTGATTGTGTTTCTGATCTCCCGCAAGTCCTAAGGAGTGAATGAGGCCATAAGGGCCTTAAATACAGGTAAGTGTACCTCTCGGCTGTATACTTGAGTCAGTTGCTGATAGATTCACCAGAGGTCTTGGTGCTGAAGTTCTAACAGTTGACTGTTGCCAAGGGTTTGGGGCTTCAAGTCTATCCTTCATCAGTAGACTGGCTCTTATAGCAGTAAAGCGGTAAATACAGCCGTTGGAAGTCGAAGGCTGTCGCGGTTCGACAAATTTCCTTGGCCTAGTATAGTAGAGAATAAATCTAGAACACCAAGTCAGTTCAAACAAGGGTAAAGTTGGTATAATTGGGACTAAATTAACTTTTGATAGTAATGACCTTTCCCCAATAATTAAGACGGGTTTTAAGAGGATAAAATAGCCGAGGCAAACATATTGAGCGGCTGTAAGTAGCACTGCAAACAAGTGATCAGAGACTTACAGGGTCCTAAATCTATGCATTATGTCCATATTTGGGTTTCATCGTGCAATGCGATGACTCCTCTAGAGAATAACTCTCAAGGCTACGTTGACATCCGCCCACGATCGTCTAGTCTTCTGTTCTTTCCCCACGATGTTGGGCAGTAAGGCGCACAACGCTTTGATGGCTTCAGCTCGACAATTGTATCGAATTGAGGTCACACATCCTATTGCTACCGGCCACTTATATGGGCAAGAGCCCTTAAAAGCCCCACGAGTCAAAATCTGGACATGATTTGGGCTAGGAGAACATCTCTGTTGGCATATACTCAGGTAGCTATGTTGCCTGGTTGTGTCTCGCCGCGATGGCCGAGAGATACGAGGCTGAAAGCAGCGCAAATTCGCTTGCTTGGCGGCACGTTCCAATGTGGCCAAGTGAGAGTCTCGGAGCGATACGGGAAGCCTACCCGGGCAGAAAGCTACAAAACTGTCAGCGGCCCGGAGAGCTGGAGCTCCTGGCTACTACCTTCTTGCTGAAGAAAAAGAAGGAAAATCAAGCATTTTGTTGGACTGTCGACTATGATACTGCAGATCTCAGCGATGCGGAGAAAGGTGTGTACTAGACTGAAGCTGCATCCTTTCCAATCACTGCCACGATGTGAGAGTAACGAGACCCGATTGTTTTGAGCAAGGTCTCAGAGTTTCTTGGATAAGTGTGAAAGACGCTTACAATGTGGCTCGGAATTTTATGATGAGATTGAAAGAGAGACTCAGGTTATCAACAATGCCAGATATACCATGAACATGGTTGAGCAATATATTTCTGTTAGACGGCTGAAATGGTTGCCCCACTGGTTCACAGGCTATTGATGCCGACAAAGAAGGAAAAGCGCTCGGGCACCAATCTACACCACGTATCCTTATGTCCCGCCTGGTAATCCTTCTTGCATTTCTACGTGTATGACGAATTCTCTCCTGCCAGCTCAGTAACGCTATACTCATCCTTCGATAGACGTGAGTAGTCCTCACCATCCTCGAAGAGAACGTGATAACCACCTTGGTTAGCCCGATTCCAACATCTTTCAATCCTTCTGAATGTCCAGTCCTCCCTACCTAATCGCCATATCAGTTGGCACCCCTGTTTCTGGCCATTCGAGCGACATCTTTGAGCGCCGACATAGCTTTATGCTCTTGAGCGTTGTACCCCTGCATCGAGCTCTGTTTTCTTCTCGTGGGACGGTCCATCGCAGGCGTCGGTAGCAAACCACTGGGATCCACCATCGCTTTCATAGCGAGGGACTGTGTGCCCCTGTGGAGCAGCGGCGTGACTGAGGGCGTTGGCGATATTGTGTATAGCGTTGCCTTAGCGGCTGGTGGCATGTTCGGTAGCGGTCCCTATGATGCGTTCGGGTCTTGCACAGGAGTTCCTTATCCAGGTTCCTATCATTGGAGCTGTCGTCAATCGAGCTTACTTCCTCTTTCAAATGCCACGACAAGTGGTAGCGCTAGGGCGGCTAGGCTGAAAAGCCGAAGAAGACTAACAAACTTAACCAATTCGACGGGACAGGCAGTCTATGTCGCATAACCACGATTGTCCTCCGCCCAACTTAGTCTTCCATCTAGCGAAGAGTCAAACGACTAGTCCCAGCCCATCGTCCTAGCTTCCATCCGAGCCCCGCCATTAGCTTCGCCATCTTTCTCCTCTAGGACCTCAAATACGCCATCAAACTCGTGCTCCCCTTTTGGCTTTATGCCGTACAGCGCAACCTAGCCCTGTCCTGCGTCTTCTACCTTTGCGAACTTGCATCTCACATGACCATGCCATTCTACGTGCCAATCTACCGCCAGACAGCGGAACTGCGATTCACCCCACATGCTGCTTGGGTGGCGTTGACTACATTGCTTGTTGGGTTCTAGTTCGAGGTTACAGGGAAACGGTCGTGGGCAAAAACACTTCTGCAGTGTTCAAGCTTGCTCGGCAGTGGGCTCTGTTCTACAAACCATGGCCACAAGGAACGGGACCCTGCCAATTTGCCCAAAGCCTATGCCTAGGCCCAAGCCAAAAGGAGAAGGTGAAGGTGGGGCCCCATAAGAAGTGAAGGCAACCAACATGCTAGCACAGGAGGAAGACAAAGAAACCAGGGGGGGTTGCTACTTCGTAAGTTAAAAAGTGTATGAAAAAATCTGGCCTATTGAATGGCTTCTCCGCATGACATGTGGATTACTATGCATATGCATAATGCGCGACCTTGGAGTATACTGTGCAAATTGTGTCACTGGAGCAAGACTATTGTCAAAACATAAGCATAACCAGCAGCACATTATAAAAGAGCAGTAATATAATATGTTACGATGGAATTCGAGATACGGGTGGTAAGCATAACAGAAAATACCGCCTCAGTATACCTGGTAACGTCTGTCCATCCGTGTACCGACTTGTTACTTACCTGTCAAGCCATACTTGGGGAATTCGACCCGTCCTGAATCTTTTGATTTCTCGACGGTAAGGATCGCGGCTTGGTCTTGCCAGGTTGCGTACTTCCAAGGTCCCAATTGGGCCAAATCTATTCCACAGTATGTTACGCTTTTGGCAGGCCTCCATGTCTTGTCTAATCCTCTGTATCGTGCCGGCGTGTTATCCGACACCTCTCCGACAATGCTTAGGTAAATGCAATGAGCAAAGTTCAGGTTGAGTAAGTTCGGGACTTACAAGATCGCTGCCGCACCTATTCGAGCCATATACTAAACAGTTCATTGTGGTTCGAACAAGTTCTGCAGATAGGGAACGGGGTGTAAGTGCTCACAGGGCACCCTGCTGTTGAAACTCCTGGCCAACCAGACGCCCACTAGGTCGAAACTGCAACTGCATGCATGCACGAGCAGTAGCAGTGGAGGCCATGACGTTGATACCGACAACCATCGAAGCGAGGCCTGTGCACAGGCAGACCAGACCAGGATGGCGGCGAAACCTCGGCATTAAAATTTCAAGCCGCGAGCTTGCCTCGGAGCTTCATCATTGCATTTCACCACCCGATATCGTCGAGGGTCCGGTCTGACTCTATTCCTCTCTTCAACTGACTGTTGGCACTCTGTCACCCGCGGCGATCATAGAAACGGCGTACCCATGATCATCTGTTGACTGGCACGGTGTTATATATCCCCAACCCATTCATTTGAGCTTGGTCCAAGCCGAGCTGCCCAGCATGTTGTCCAGAGCCATTCTGCGCTCAGCGCGGTTGCAGTCGCCAGCTCTTTCTAGGGCAGCTGCGAGAGCGGCGATACCAGCATCGGCACTATGGATGCGGGGAATGGCCACCAAGCGTCGCAATCAGGATATCTCACAAGCTCCGAAACCGTCATCTCCGCCAGCGCAACCTCAGTCCCCAGATGCGCAAGCGTCCGATCCGAAGCCCGCATCTCCAGAATCCACCGAGGCGCCATCATCTGACGCTCTACCCAAAGAACCCGAGACACAAATACCCGAGACCGCTGATCAGAACCCGTTCAAGCTGCCCGATCTCACCCAGGGCATTCCTTCCACGCTAGAGTACGAGACTACAGGAGCAACGAATAGATCGGCGTTGGCGCATCTCGGACGGGATGAATACGATGCCGAGGGAGGCGGCCGAGGGAAGGGAGAGCTCCCAGCCTCCGCGTACATCTCCTCCACGGAAAAGCGGAGGAACAAGCTGGCCAACCGCATGTATCTCGCGGCGCTGGTGTTGGGCGTGGGCAGCGTCGCATGGCTGGGTCGTGACTGGGACGAAGAGGAAGCGCCTTCTCATACGGATATCCCCAACGGTTGGACACCGGGCTTGTGGTGGAAGCGCGCCCACGCACGCATGACCGACTCGCTTAGCTATTACCAAGATCCTGCTTTCGACAAGCTGCTTCCCGACCCGGACCCCATGTTCGAGCGACCATACACCCTTTGCATAAGCCTGGAGGATTTGTTGGTACACAGCGAGTGGACTCGCGAGCACGGCTGGAGGGTTGCGAAACGGCCAGGAGTCGACTACTTCCTTCACTACCTCAGTCAGTACTATGAGTTGGTGCTTTTCACCAGTGTTCCCTTCGCCATGGGCGACCCGCTCGTGCGCAAGCTGGATCCGTACCGCTTCATCGTCTGGCCCCTGTTCCGCGAAGCAACCAAATACAGGGATGGCGAGATCGTCAAGGACCTCTCGTATCTGAACCGTGACCTGTCCAAGGTCATCATCATCGACACAAATGAGCGTCACGTCCGCGAGCAGCCCGACAACGCCATTGTGCTGCCCAAGTGGACCGGCGACCCCAAGGATAAGGAGTTGGTGTCCCTCGTCCCATTCCTCGAATACGTCCACACTATGCAGTACGCCGACACGCGCGAGGTCTTGAAATCCTTCAAGGGCCAGCACATCCCGACCGAATTCGCGCGCCGGGAGGCCATTGCACGTGCACAGTTCGAGAAGCAGTTCCAGGCACAGAAGCGTCCCCGCCCCTCCGGCATGAGCACGCTCGGCAATATGCTCGGTCTGAAGCCCAGCAACATGAGCATGATGGTTCCCGCCGAGGGCGAGCAGAGCGCAAGCGAAGCTTTCTCCCAGGGCAAGATGTTGCACGATATTGCCCGTGAGCGCGGCCGCAAGAACTACGAGATGCTGGAGAAGGAGATTCGCGAAAACGGCGAGAAGTGGCTCAAGGAAGAGCAGATGGCGCAGGAGAAGGCCCAAGCTGAGGCCATGGCAAGCATGAAGACGGGACTCGCGGGCTGGTTTGTGTCGGATAAGCCGAGCAATGCGGGAAAGCAGGCATGATCGATCGATTGATTTGTAAGATGGGGACGAGGGTTTGTACAGATACGGTGGGAAACGAGATGACCTTCTCGATTTTTCCAAGAAAAGGCCGGTGCCAGAGGTGTGCGCAATCTAGACGGATAGATGGACCGATGGATGGACCGACCTTTGAACTCTACTCATAATTGGGGGCAGCATGTATTGGGGCTTGGAAGTCAGGGGGGTTTGCCAAGGTTAATGTTTAGGCATCTTGTAGTTTCGGCCGGCTCTGCAAAACGCTTATGTAGTGGACAGCGGATATGAGCGCGCATGCGCCTTGTACTATATAATAGTTCGGGCGTAGAGAGGGAGGAGCGTGAATATAATTCATACTCCTTCAGCTTCAGGACTTTTGATGCCAAATTGCGATGTTTGCTTCGAACCCTATCCATCTATATTTCTCTCCGTCACACTGACTAAAGAGTGAAGGAGTCACATTCATATGATAAATATATGCCATGCTGATGCACGGATGCCTGGCTAAAATTACCAGTATTTGTTACACAAATTGTGTCCATTCCCTCTGCGCCTCAGGTTTTGTATCTGTACATAAATACGACAGCGACTGGATCGCTCTGCTTCCTCGCTTGCTCGTCCCCAAACTCTCGACTCTTGCATCTCAATCCCTCAACCCCTTAAATCTTCACTTTCAGGCATTCCCTACATCCGTCTCATCATGAAAGATCAACAATGGCCACTGCATGTTTGCCGATGAGGTCGTCACCGGCGCCCCATTAACCCCATTCACATTCATGGAGCCCCCATTGACTCCCATACCCATCCCTTCAGCCCCCTCTGTCACATTTACCGCAGGCCGGTTCGACCCTCCGAGTGACATGAGGGCGTTGGCGCTATACCGGTCCTGGTTATCGACCACAGCGGCCGTCCAGTCCTGCCAAGTATTCCCGCCACTTGAGGACGTTGTCCCGGGAGCTGGCTGGCGCCACAAGGACGTCATGTCGGGCTGGGCCATTTGGGTGGCCTGCGCCGCGAAAGTGGATAGGGGGTTGTTGTGGTCTGGGACTTGGGTCTGCGGTTGTGCCTGGGTCTGGGCTGGGGCTTGTGGTTCGGGAGCTGCCTGCATGTGGGCAGTGGGCACTTGGCTTGCTGCTTGCGCGTACAGGTTGTATTGGTTTTCGGTGTTGGGGTCGTAGGGGAGATTGTTGGCGGGGTTTGCGTTTGGGTCGCTGTAAGGTAGAGGGTATGTGGCAGGCTCTGGACCTGTTTCTGTGTAATAGCTATTGGTGTTGCTGCTGTTGCGCGGAGGCCCTGGAGCGGGCGCACTGCCGCTGTCGGCACCGTTATGACTGGCAGTCGCGTTGCCAGGGGCATTGGCGAGAGTGGCGTACGACGATGGCTGCGGGGATTGCTTTAGCATGTCCTGTGAAACTTGAGGCACTGGAGCAGTGAGCTTTGGTTGCTGTCGATCGCGCTCAATCCATGCAATGGTACGGTCCACAATAACACTCACGGCATCCCTCGGGCCTGAACCAGATCCTGAGAAGCTGGTTAGTATCGTCGGCCATTCAATACACGGAATAGCAAATACTTACCCATGAGACTGCCACCTTCAGCTAAGATGGCAAGCCATTTGTTCATGTCAAACCGCAATTCCTCCACCTCCTCATGCGTAGTCTCGTGTCTCCTCTCCCAACACGCCACTAGCTGAGAAAATATCGCCGCCACCCAGACTGCAAGTGCATACCACGTCGTGTCAAGAGACTTGAGCTTGTACAACCGGTAAACATTATTCAACATGGCCTTGGCTGTCTGCTCACACGAGCGCGTGTTTTCGGCCATGACTTTGGGGTCGTTGGTCATAGCAACTGAAGGGTGCCTCAGGCATAGCTGGACTACGTGAATCATGCCTTCAGCGTAGAGCGGTAGGACAGGATTGTCGCTTTCGGTTGATTTGAGTAGCTCGGCGAAGTCTTCTTCCCATCTCCTAATCCGGGCCTCAAGCTCTTCAACAATGTTGACATAATCTGCATAGTCCCGCCTCGCACAGTAAAGGTTGGCAAATATGTCCAACAATATTGCACTGATCTTGAAACCAGCTACACCGACCTCGTAGATACACTTTCCCGTCGTTGACGTGTCAACTCCGTCTTTCGACAGCAGCTCGTCGGGTATCAACTCGGGGAAATCGCAATCGATCTCCTGGAGGCGAATGGGCATTGGTCGCCCCGTGCGGCCGTTGAGTGTGACTGCAATACAGAGAATAGTCCAGAAGACGCGCTTGCGCATCTCATTCTCTAGGTTGGTGCCCTCGCCGGGCTTCTTCACGGCACGGTGCAAGCCCAACTCCGTTGCGAAGCTGAGGCAGTATGTGATGAGCATGGAACAGCAGTCTGGCTTGGGGAAGCATCGGGTATGCAGAGCGATGATGGTCAGGGACTGCAGGTCGGCAAATGTTCGAGACGTGGCCAAATCAAACCATTTGCTCAGGGCAAAGTGATAGTGCTGATTAGACAAGTCGTTTAAGCGAACCCGCTGTTCTGGATTTTCTCGATTGCGAATGCCATACTGGAGATAAATCGATGCGAACACCATGTGGATCATAACCACCTCAGCAACCGAGGGTTTGAAACTAGGATCATCATATAGACGTGCCAGCTGTAAGAGCCTCGGTCAGTTATCTGACATGGGCCAAGACAGGAGATGACGTACCAGATTCATAAAGCTTGGCTTGTGGAGGACGGGAGTGAAGGGATGGATCATGAGGAAGTACCATTCGGCATAGGTGAAGGCATCGGTTTTCGGGGGGTAGTCGACATGGAGTTGAGGATTAACATTGGTTATTGACTGCAGGCAAGCCTGTATCGACTTATTGTAGAGCGGCGATTTCGCCTGGGCGCCAGGTACGGGTTCATCGGCATCTGGCGTGTCAAACGAGCCAATGTCTATGGTGCTGCCGAGAATAGACAGTGCAGTGCCCTTGATAGAACTTAAGGGGGACTGATCCACACCGACGCCGAGATGGACGTCGGCAGGGCGCGGCTCGAGGGTAGACCGCGAGATGCTCGAGAATTGAGTTTTGGGTTGGTGATTCTTGACCCAGACTGAGTTCCCCATCTGAGTCCATTGCTCCTTTCCAGCTGCGCTTGCCTCTTGTACGGGGTTGCCTATAGAGTCGTACGTGACATTGGGAGGGAAGTTTTGGGGGTAGGCGGACCAATTCCATGGCTTGACCTCGATACCATTTCCCTCCAGCAACTTCTCCAGCTCCCGGATGTGGTTGAGCATATCCATCTTCTCGCGCTCCAGCTCTTGCATGTAGCCCCTCCGCTCGGTTCGGCCGGTGACGCGATCCGTCACGTAACATTCGAGGTTCTGGTTGAGGCAGTGGGAGCAGCCCTCAGGCAGGGCATCGCAACGGATCTTCCGCACTTTACAGCGATCGCATGCTTGGCCTGTCCTGGTGTAGGACTGCAGCTTGCTCTTGACGACGCTCGAGAAGTCGTTGGGTGCGCCGCCACGGTCCAGTCGCGGCAGCTTCAATTTGCCCTGGCTATTGCTGTCAGGAGAGTCGACGTCGTCCGGCTCACCAGGCCGTTTCGGTGGCCGGCCGGGGGGCATGGCGTTAATCGACGGCGGCGGCGGCGACGACGATGGGGCGCCAGTGCGAGAATGCGTGCCGATGCGTTCGTTCGCTGTTTCCGTTGCGGCAGCGTGTCGGGCTGGTCCCGGACAGGCTAACAGCTCCGTCCGAGATGGAGCTTGCCGAGGATGACGGCGACGGGATCCGTGGTCGTAGCTCGCAATGGCAGGCGAACGGGAAGCGGGTGCACTCGGTGCTGCGAGCGATGCAATTGGCGACGGGGTTTGCCGTCGAGATGGTCAGAAAATGGAGTTTGCCGTTGCGACTTGACTGGGCTGACTGGACACAAGCATTGTTTGGGAGATGCCAGAACCAAAAGGCTTGTCTGGGATGAAAACACTCGACTCGAATGCGGTTGACGGTTATGGTGTTTCAGCGTCGCGTCTGAGCTTCCTCCGGAGCCGCGATGCGAAGCTCGACCTCGACAATCTCCACAAGAGCTGTGGGCAGTTATCTGACAATGCCTACTTCCCCTTGGTGCATGCAAAGTTGGTTCTTGAACGAGTCAGGGCACCAAATGAAGACACCGGACGATGAGGGGTCCAGAACGTAAAACCTCTAGATGCCGTTTGTAATAACCTCGTTGGGCTGCCATATCACATTGTTCCAGGACAAGGTGAACGGCCTAACACTCCGGGGGAATGCATGGGCATTCAGTTCCCAACGCCGGGTGAGGAATTTAGCTGCATCGTCTAGATGTACTCAACCGCTCCTATGTATTTACTCGGACACAACCCCCTCTTGCTTGATTCGTATTGGCCTGGAACCGACCGGCATTGGGCACAAACTTTTTCCAAAACTTCTATTAACATTCCACCTGTCTGAGCAGGCCTGAGGTCTAGTCCCAGCCTTCATGGTAATCAAATTGGGAAGTCGCATTGAAGGTTATCGATCAGTCCCCCTGCAGCTCATTTTCCGGCCCGCTGGTTGGCGGCTTGATAGCGCTTGCCGGCTCCAACTCAAAATCCCCTACAAAGTAAGCCAAAACCAACATAAAACTCGATTTCCAGGACCACGCACTACAATGTTTTCCATTGCTTGGGTGATTACGGCATTGGATATAAGCCTCGGTTACGAATCAGTATTCGATTCGTCCAATTCTGCTGCAGTCTGGCAGAGCCGGCGTAGTTCTCAGGGACTTGCTCCGTCATCTACTCCATTCGCCTCACAGTCACAGACCCAGGCACTTAGAAAATCTCCCGAAAGCTAGAGCATCTTAGACCGTCCAACGCCACTTGTAACAGAACTATGCGGGGCCGTTCTGCGGAGATGTAGGATGTCTTAACTACATACGTACCTTCCATCAGAGGCGCTACCCACCAACGCGTCCAAGGTACGGTGTGGCTTCGACTGCGCAGCCTGCAATTCATGGCCCGGCGGCTCCCAAGCCATCTTCAAACACTCTCGCGAACATGGTCGAATCAAGGAACTGTTCGTCGTGATTGTGTTTGCGGAGGCCCGTTTCCGCAGTCCTCGGCGCTTGGGACTTCCCCCGAGATTCCCATATAGAAAATTTCAGCGCCGATCAGGGGCCTGAGTGTTCGTGGTTATCTAGAGGTAGAATTCCAACGGTATACTGGTCTAGACCCGGTGGCTTGATGAGCGCTTACAACGATTAGGGCCGTCGTTCCGGTGAGTCCGGAACATGGCGTATGCGATGATAGCAGTCCAGTGATCAGCAGGGGCCAGTGGCTAAAGCGGTGAGATATGGACAGTCTACTTTTGCGTGGTTCAGATGAGGTGATGGCGCGCCGTCATGCTACGCGTGACACATTCCCGGGCTGATCTAGGAACTCCACCAAACCTTCTCGTGACATCGGTTTGCGGGAAAGGAACCGCTTCACAAGGCGGCATCACTCGGGAGCCCTCTGGTGTAATCTAATACGTGTTGCAGACTCTTGTTTACTCATCTGGGTGATGAGTTGCGGGGCGACATCGCTTCAGCCATACTTCAGCATCATCTTCTACTTTTTGTAGCTCATGGCAACTTCGTATGTATCTGCTGTGGAGGCTACCCGGCTCTCCTGAGTTGGGAAGACCAGATTGTTGTTGGCTTTTTGAGGTTAACCTACAAGCCTTTCGTATCGCTTTTGGTTAGACGTTGGGGCGTAATTCTGTTCCTGACATCGAAGCCATAGTCTCTTGCTCCCGCTTTCCGAAGCAGGCTGGCTGCGCACGAGGCTGGTGTTGAAAGGTCCAAGAAAGCCTGGCCGATCGGTATCCGATCAGCCTACCATACACTCTCTGACGAGCTGTCTATCGGATGCGTTGTCTGCCCCGGAAACGGGAAGAGTCCATGATCATGATGCAATGACGTTGTGTGGATGGACATTGAGAAGTCTCAGGCATATATAACCAGCTGATTCGAAAATTGATGGCACGGACAGGACATTCATCTTTCCACGACCATTACTGAAATCAATTTGACCCCTACATGATTCACAATGAGCAGAACGACACCATCTAATCGCTTCGCAATCAGTTCGTGGCAATTCCACGTAGGTCGAAATCGGTCGTCTAAAATGACCAGCCCAGCCAGCTGCAACCAGGTGTCGTCCCTAACCTCTCCACGATCTTCGAGTTACCCCGCCACAATTCTCAAGTTGTACCTCGACAGCATGACAACCCCACTATGATCGTCGCGATCCGACGATTTCAATATCTCAAAGTCTGCCCGTCCGGTCTTTGAAGCTGTCGCAAACCACTTTCAAGCCATCGTACGCTTTCAAACCGCTTGGTCACTTGGAAAGCCTCCTGGTCCCCAGATAACCCGCCCAAAATGCTTGAAACAATCCATCTCGAGCACATTCCCCATACTCTCTCGATCCACGTCGCATTCTATCGTAACGTCACCAATGCCTCCTTCCTACACTCGCAGCTCCTCGCACGCAACGCATCCTTCGAATACGCCCTGATTGATGCCTCGACCGTTATATCGCGCTTCCACCTTCTCGCCGCCGTCTACAAGTCCATCACGGTTGAGTTAGGTGGAAACATGAAGACGCCCAACATCCACTCGGAGATTGTGTGCGCCCTGAGCTCGAACAACAACGTAGGTTCACGTATTTCACTAGACGCGAATGGTGCGATCGATGACTGACATAATGGTCCCGAAGATTGCAGAAGCATATAGACGTTACGGCATTTCGCCAATAAGTAAAGATGTTCTCGTGGTCAAGGTTCTGAACACGGCGCATGCGAATACAAGCGACCTTACGAAAGAGAGCACTGAGACGCATTTGAATGAGCATGTAAAGGGCGAGAGCGTCGAGTTTTCCGATGAGGAAATAGCCAAGACGACAGACTGGTCCAAGTTGCGCAAGTACCATAAGCTGAATGGTGCGGCGGGGCTGGACGATATCACGGACATGGATGCCAAGAGGAAGGAGATGGAGATGATGATTGTTAGTGCTATGGCGTTAAGGGGTCTGTGATTTCTTCTCTTGATAGCGCGAGGATTTGGAACGAATGATCAACTGGCTGACCCGTGGCCGCGCCGCGACAAGTTCTCGACGCCAAACCGAAGGGAGCGGACCAGCCGGCAATTTCACATGCAGGCCATCACTTGCAGTATCCCATATCATATGGGAGAACGCCATCAAAGACTGTTCCCGGGTCGAAGCATATATCCCTGTCCATCGACCAGTCTAGGTCTGGGTTTCGCAGTGACAGCGTTAGGAGACTGGAAAAGGGAAGGCGATGGCCAAGCCGTTGTATCGGAAGCTATTTCGTCTTCAAGAATCAACGGCGATTGCAAGAGGCAGTCTCCAAAATGGGTGTATTTGGCCTAAGAAGATGCGTGCTGAGTGTATGATAAAGATACGAAATGACTGCGAGGTATTTCGATATGGGGTTCGTCAACAAGAAGGCCGTGATAATGTTGTGCGGTAGATTAGGGGTGGGACCATTGGCCCTGAAGGGTTGACATAATTTGGTAAGGATAGGTGACGTGAGAATTTAGCCGCAGACAGAAGAAATAAGCATATCCAATGAGCATTTTGTCCATGTAGTACGAAAATGTGTTATTATCAAGTGAAAAGGCCAATGCAGGTCCTAGAAAAAGGCTTTCAACGTTCTAGACTGCTGTTTTAGTGTGGGGGGCATATCGTTCACGCACACGCATGTATGTCAGCTCTTCACAGATCTATATCTCAACTGGCTGCTAGAAATATTGATCATATAGGGAAATGGTCTGAACCGATCACTCTTCACCACGATAACCGGGCAGGCGGCTGTTAAGTAGTTTCAATCTTGGGCATAATCATAGTCTCGTAAAATTATACCTACTTCTCTCTAACAAACAGTCTAGGGCACTTCCCTCGATACCTCCAGAGCGGTTGATAAACCAACGCTCGTTCCCCATCATCATGCTCACATGCCAGGTTCGACGCTCACAGTCTTCTATCCAGAAGCTTCCAACCTCCACGGCATTTGAAATCAACGCTCAAACCATCCTCCGTTAAAGTAGAGTCTCCAGCGGACTGACAACAAATACATCAGACCGGACTACACGGTACGACAGTCATACCGATCAAGCGCCACGTCCAAACACCCCCCAAGCCCTCCTCTTCACTTCCCCCCACATAGCATTCCTCCCCTCGAGCGTCCTCTGCACCGCATCGCGGTTCTCGTAAGCCCTGCGCAGCAAATATGCCATGCACTCGCCCGTCGATCCCCAGACAATGTACTTGTACGCCCTGGTCTGGCCTTTGCCTCCCTTGATCATCTCTTTCTCCTTGATAGTCACAGACTTGGAGGCGGCCTCATTGGCGACCGAGTCGGCCTTCTTGACACAAATCAATTCACAGCTCACGTCATCCGCCATACCCTGCAGTTGCGCAATGGCCAACTCGCTGCAACCTTCCGTAGCCGGGATAGCGTCGCGGATTGCGCGAGCCTTGCGGACGCTTTCAAGGTTGTGGGAGCCGAGGACGAGGGATACTTGCGGAAACGAAGTCGAAGTCGGAGAAGACTTGGAATCGGCAGTTTGCGGCTGCGCCAGAATAGGCCCCCACTCTCTCTTAATCAGCGACTCCGCAATGCCGTTGTAGCATCTATCCGTATCCGCCTTGGTATCATGTATAATCTCCCTCGGATCAGACCCCATATACGCGCCCCTGACCAACTTGACTCCCAACGTGAAGCCTTCCTTGGCCGCGATCACGAGGTGCGACGCCAGGGTCGCAGGAGTAGATTTTAAGTACGCCTGGTACGTGCCGTGGATAATTGCATGCCCGGGCTTCGTGTTGTACCTGCGCTGGTACTCGAGCGTCCAATCATCAATACCGGCCTGGACCGCCATCTGCTCCGCGTCAAACAGCAACGGGACGTCGCGCTCCCGCGCCAACTCGCATATCTCGTCAATGGCAGCGCGCAGCTCCTTGCTAGGCGGCAGTCGGTTTTTGAGCGCGTGGAGCGCGTGGCGCCCCGCACCGGAAAACTTGAGCGCCACGAAGTCGCCCGGCTGCGCGATCTTGACCGTCTCCAGGGTCCCGTTCTTCCAGGGTGTGATTTCGTGGGTGAGACAGGCTTCGTCGTGGATGCTGGCGCCTAGGTCGAGTGTCTGCTCCTGCGTGAGCACGACCTCGCGGGCGTAGCCCAGGATGACGCCTGTGAAGCCGATGCGTTTTAATCCCGAGACGGTGGCGCGCACCTCTGCTGCGTTCTCGCCGGCACAGAATTGCGCGTAGAAGGTTTTCTTGAGGAAGTAGCGGAGGAGGGGGTTGCGGTCTGGATTCATTAGGGGGTTGGTCGCGTGCGCGAGCTTGCTCATGATGAATAGAGAGGGGGGAAGGAGGACGGGGGAGGAGGAGATGGTGTTGGTGGCTAGGGTGCGGAGGACTGTCGATAGGGGCAGGACGGCGAGGGGTGAGTGTTTCGCCATGGTTGCTGCAGATCCGGCTGCGTCCTCGGGTGTGTGGGTTTGGGAGAGGGTGCCAACTGTGGACGCGTTTAAGGTGGATGCATCCGAGGATGATGATGATGGAGGAGATGGTCGTCTGGAAGACGATTGGATCCGCCTCCGAGGTGTCGCGGTCGCCATGGCGAATGTGTCTAATGGGAAGCGCCTCGTGACATATAGGCCTCGTGACGTATGAGAGAGAATCCTCATAGTGGCAGGCACCACGGAAGGCCTGCCCAGAATTGGGACTTGTCCCATCGTCAGCTCACAATACCAATATTGACAATATCAAGTGTAAAAGCACCGCTGCAGGTGTACAAAGCACAGGGGTGTTGACGATATGTTGATGACTGTAAGGTGGCAACGGATGTGGTATCAATGGGAAAGCAAGTCAAGCACAAGTAAACGAGAGGGGAGTAGAACATACTCTATAAATCTAGATCCATGGTTGGGTTTGCTACCGTTAAAACCATCGACGGTGGCATTCTCTCCGGTCTTCGCAATGGCCAAAGTTGGAGAGGCCGAGCCATGGACTAACGTGGTATGCAACGGGCACGCAAGCGGCCATGGCACATTACATCTCCCAAAGCCGTTATCCACTTGGGCTCGTCCGATATCCCCAATAAACTTGCGATGGCATCCAAATATGCTTCTGCTCCTTATCAAGCGTCATCACGTGTGTGGGGAATGTTCATGTCGCGTCCGCGAATAGCCGTCGATGGGGATCTCGCCATTGACCAATGAGGCGTCCGACCGTCGCTGGCCGTAATAAAGAGGAGAAGCAGGCTCGAGTAAGTGGACAATGGGACCCACGGCGTCCTTCGTGCTCAGGAATGGCGCATCTCTTCGTGTTGCTAGCAGGCTGCTAGCAGATCATTTCGGCTTTCTGATTTGAAGCTTCGGCTCAATGTGGACCTGGTCTGGTCTCATCTTCTTGTTCCCCGGGATTTTTGTGGGGTTCGTCTGATGCGCTCGGCTCACCCTACAGAGTTCTGGCCGCCGGTTACTAACCCAGCCGCAATCAAAACGAGCAAACTTGGAATGAGAAACGTAAGCATCGTCTCCAGTCGAGAGTTCATACGCTCGTGAATCCCATGCTATGCAGGAGAGTGGGGGCTCGCTAGTCATATTCGTCTTGCTTGAATACATGACGAAGCTAGCCGAGCCAATACTGACGCGACGATAATACAATTCGCTTGGAGTATGCAGTGTAGTGATCCGCACATGGCCTAGGAGCTGGGTCAGTTTTGGAAGACCCGACGATGGTCGCGAAGCATATATGCGGCATCTCCGGGATCGGGGTGTGGTCTTGATCCATCGAGACGGTAAATGGTGGACAAGCCGGGCCGCATCACGCGGATATTATAAAACGAGTACAGCATTGCGAGTTGATGTCGATGGAGAATGAGAGTCAAGTGCCAAGGGACGGGATCACAGCCCCAGTTTATCCCCAGGTTTGTGATACCAATCATCGTCGCTATGGGCGGACAATACATCCTCATGATGCTTGACTTCATATTGTCTGCTGGTCTTGCATCTTGGTCCTGGATCCAATATGTCGCCGCACGAACTCGACGTAACCCACGGGTCGTCCTTTGGCCAAGGACAGCAAATCCTGCACGGCGCCGTATACAAGTCCAAATTTTAAACCCTTGCGAGCCGTTCGTGCTGTCTCGGCAGGCGAGAATCGATCTGAAGGACATGTCAGCAATTTTGACAAGCCGTGCTCGAGAGCCGCATCGGCGGTTGATACTGACTGATCAAGCTGAAACCGCCAGCAACAGCCAAACTGGCCCCGACAGTATTCAGCATATCCTTGGTGCCACGGTAGACGTCAAATAGGTTCTCGGCACAGAACATAGCCACACTCAACACGCTAAGCCGAAGTCCAGTCTTCAGTCCTTCCTTCAGGCCACCGAAGGCCAAATGATAATTCTTGCTCTTGTGATACAGATACCAGCCGGTGGTTGAGGTCGGAAGACGATGGGCGTGTTCGGCTCGAAATCGTAGACCAGCCATTGTGCTTCCATGCGCCAGTCCCAGAGACATTCCGACGCTGAAGGCGGTGACGGCAGCAGCTGGTATGCGAATCAGGGGCGGGATCGAGAGCCGTGAGTCTCGCCATAATTGGTCTATTTCCTCTCGTGTGATTGTCGGACGGGGCCGGCGGGCTCCTTCGCGTTCTTCGGCCATGGTGTTGCTGCGAAATGTCGGGGTCGAGGTCGATACAAATCGATGTCGTAGTTTCCCAATCGACTACGTTGCGTGGAAGTATTCCTCACCTCCTCGTGCAGAGCTCCAACAACGAAGGTCGACCGTCGCAAGATCAAGACATGGCCCGCGAGCTTTAGAGAATTGATGCCCAGGAGCTATGGCCAGGATTGCAAGGGTCCTGAAGAACCTGGCTGCCAAGCTCGGGCCATCATCCACTGTGAGTGCATGCTGCTTATAATATCGGGCGCACGTGCTGCGGCATTGGGTAGTCTTGGTTCACACGGAACGCGTCAAATAGAAGGTGCCTCTTTGGATATTGCAGTGAGGAATTCCGAAATTCTCAATGTTGATAGAGGTTGTTCTAATCATCAGAATTTGAGCCAGAGAAGTACGCAAAATGGTAAAATTAACCCAAAAAAACCCTACGTCTGGCACACTCCAGTTAATATTCCCACCAGGTCACAGACATCGATCTGTCAGTCCGCCTCAAGTACGGCATCCACAGCATTTTCCTCCTCGTGGACCCCACTTCCACCTTTGGAGCCGTCGCCTCAGAACTGCTCGAAATTCTTCAGGAACGCTACCCAGATGGCCTAACTACGCAGGACTCTAAAACAAAGACTGCCCTGCCGTCTGATTCATCCCTCATTGAGTTCGCGGTGCTGAAATCGCCTACGGATCCACTGCAAGGTTGGAAGTCGTTGAAAGCGAAGGGCAACGACACGTGGGTCGGCAAGGGCGTCAAGGATGGCATGATGGTGGCATTTGCATTCAGGGACGAGGATGAGGAGGAAATGGGCGAGGTCGTGTTTGTGGTGGATTTCCCCAGCTACGACGATGAAATGGAAGAGCCCGAGGCGGAGGACGAGTTTTAGCAGTGTTGTTGGCTTGAATGTTTACGATGGTATGGCAAGAGGAATCCAAGCTATCTAGCTATCAATTGATAGCTCAGAGATAATCACGTAGGAGGAACGGCCATTGTACGGAAGTTGGGGCATGACAATCAAGGGTTGCATTTCGATCATGACGATGTCTGGTGTACAGGATGAATCGTTCCATATTTATAAGCGCTGCGAGGAGATTCATAGAAACCCCATAGACCATGAGATACCTAATGCTACATAATGAGAAAAATGAAATTGTTCCGTCCGCTACAAGCATGCCAGCTCCGTTCACCGTCTGCCAGCATCAAAGGCTGTCTCCCAAGGGTCCAAAAGGGTGTCACCCCAGCTGTCAATGCGCCCATCAACAGCTACCGTCCACAACAGGAAATAGTGAGCGGGTCATCCGATTCGCCAGCACAGCAGTTGTCTGGCGGCAGATCTCCTGTTCTCCCGTTTCGAAGTCAATATTTCCCTTGTTTCGGCTTCTTTCGATTCCGTATTTTCTTTTGCGTCTTGCTTTGCTGGCGAGTTCATTTGCGACAAAATTTCTCCCAAACACCCCAGGCTTCGGCCGCATGTAGCCATCCTACATGTACGTGTCCCCGGTCGGCTTTGTTCGCCATGCGTTGCGCGTGCTGTTCCCGCTCGCCCTAGCATCGACCGTCTACCTCTACCTCTACCCCATCTTCCTCGGCTGTGCGTTTCCCCTGCCGGCAGATCAGACAGCCTCGGTGGCCTTCCGGTCGACGATACGACAGCATGCGAATGGTGGCAGCCCGGCAGCAGATGGCATCGCACCGCTTAGGCTGCTCGCCCTAGGCGATCCGCAGCTCGAGGGCGACACGTCCATTCCAAATGCGCATCGCGAGTCGTCGTTTCCACACATCAAGAGCATGATTGCGCAGTTTTCGGAACCCTGGTCGTTGAGGGAACGGTCAAAGCGGGCGACGCATGAACTGGTAGATTTCTACTTCGAGGATATACCCGATACGCTCGAGTCGATACGGAAGCGCATAGATCTGTTCGGAAATGATTTTTATTTGGCACATATATACAGGACCTTGCGGTGGTGGACTAAGCCCTCGCATGTGACAGTGCTGGGCGATCTGCTGGGTAGTCAATGGATTGACGACGAGGAATTCGAGAAGCGCAGCTGGAGATACTGGAATCGCGCATTTGCGGGCGGTGAGCGCGTGCCGGACGAAGTGGCTGCATACCCTTCCGAACAGTACGATCTCGCCGGCTACGTTGGACCATTGGGTAAAGACGCGGCATTATGGGAGAAGAGAATCATCAACATCGCGGGAAACCACGATGTCGGCTATGCGGGTGATTTGACGGTGGAACGACTCGAGCGATTCGAGCGCGTGTACGGCAAGGCAGCTTACGAGCTGCGCTTTGAGCTGCCCATTACAAACGCGACAACGAACGCAACCTTGTTCGACGCTGATCAAAACCCCGAGTCCGTACGGCTTGTGCCGGAGCTGCGCATCGTCGTCATCAACGACATGAACCTTGATACCCCGGCCTGCACCCCCGAGCTGCAGGACAAGACGTATGCCTTCGTCAACGACCTCATCAACACAGCCACGGCCGTCGAGTTCAAGGGTCACTTTACGCTTGCACTGACGCACATCCCCCTCCACAAGCCCGAAGGCATCTGCGTAGACGCGCCCTTCTTCGACTTCCACCCTTCCGACCAAGGCGGCGGCGTCAAAGAGCAGTTCATGCTCTCAGCCGATGCATCCAAAGGCTTCCTCGAGGGCCTATTCGGACTCAACGGCGATTCCAACGCTCCTGGAAACGGCATGGGTCGCCATGGCGTCATTCTCAACGGCCACGACCATGAAGGCTGTGACACATGGCACTATATCAACCAGACCGTTGACATGCCTCCCGACCAGCGCAAATGGGAGGTCATGCGCTGGGGACAGGCTAAGAACGACAAGGTGCCGGGGAAACCGGGTCTGCCTGGGTTGAGGGAAATTACGGTTCGCAGCATGATGGGCGGGTTTGGCGGCAACGCTGGCTTGTTTAGTGCCTGGTTTGACGAGGAGGAGTGGGAGTGGAGGTACGAGTACACCACTTGTGCGTTGGGCAAGCAGACATGGTGGTGGGCGGTACATATCATTGATCTGATCGCCATCATCGCGGTTCTCATCTACGGCGGTCTGAAGGCGGCATCTGCCGCGGGCGTGGATGTCGAGAAGTGGCCATCGTGCATTGCTTCCAAGTTTTCCCGTGCTCCTGTGTTGTCAACGAGCAATGGACATGTTCCGGGGACTAAATCGGACATCAGGGTTGAAAAGAAGCCTGTTGTATATGTGGGCAATGGAAACGCCAAGAGGGGATAGGCTGGTTCTTGGGGTTTGGCTGGTTACTTGATACAAATGCATGACCGGAGCATGAAAAATGGAACTAGACCTGGGATTGTTTTGAGTCATCATTTGCATGGATACATAATCTTGATAACTCATTTTTCTCGAACTTAGGCCGGGGGAGATAGGCTTGTTAAAGTGCATGTTCGGCATGGGTGTATGGTCGTTGGTATAGGACCCGGAGCATCAATGATTATCCCTAAAGCATGGTCCAATTTGGTCTCTTACCATAAGCTACAAGTGCTACCCAAGTGTGACGGTAATGTAGAGTGACAGCTTGGCTGTAACTAGACTACGGCTTCCTCCTTGGTTCTGACGGTGGACTGACCATACCCTCGTCTTCATGAACATATGTCAATAATTGACAGCTAGGGTAATACCCTCCCAACGTGGTGGGGTTCACCGTTGGGATCCATCTCCCGGTAGTCCACATGTTGATCCACGGGAAGGAAAAGTATGTCCCAGGCTTGGATTTTGTAGACCTGCATTACGATTCGTTCCTATACGGCCCGCCTGTTAATAGAATCAGACTTATTAAATCATCCCTATCCCAGCCCAACTAAACCTTGATGATGGTACATGTTGGTAAGAGAATTTTTGGGTGTGCTGCTGGCAAGAGACAAGCACTTGTGGTTATGTGTCCAGGTGAAAATCAACCCAGCTAAGTCCTTGAGCTCTTCACCTTGTGATAGCGCCAGGTATATTTAATTCTGCCATCTGTCGATGTACATTAGTATTTTGATTTTAATTCTTTTCTCTTTCTTTTTATCTTTTTTCTCTTCTCAATTATTTAGCTTGGTCAGTACTAATTAATTTGTCTGTGAGAAATTGTTCGACATGTACTTGGTAAGCGGCGAACCATCATAGTTCACAGTTATATGTTCTGGGGCGCACCTTTGCCGAGCCATATGAGCTTGATACGGCATCCGAAGCGTCTTTTAAAATAGCGAGGAAATGGCTCGAGCGATATGTTAAAGAAACTGAAGGAGCCCTTCGCCTGCAAGGTAAAGCCGCCAGTGGGTTTCCGACGATTTCGAGAGTCCCGGCGGGGTTTAAGGTGCCAAAGTTCCTGAGCTGATGACACAAATAAAAAAATAAAAAAATAAAACAAAAAAAACTGCATGACTCGTTGAAGTATTCTTGGCAAACATATACAGCTAGTTTTTACATTTGGTTGAGACGACAGATGATGTGTACTAGTACGTCACTTTGAGCTATTGCTGCGGCGATATGAGCTATCGAACAAGTCCCCTCTGGTTCACGACTACACCGACGCTCCCCGATTGCATGGAGTGTGTTAGGCACGACAAGTGTCCACCCCATCTGCGCGATAACATTTGGGTTGCTCAGGATTTAGGAATCTAGGTTAGTACATTTGGATGACGCCTTGTGCATTTTGAAGGCCTGCAACAACGGGACGAATCTACAACGGGTCCGTCATCACCTCGCAGCTTCAGCAGCCTCTTCAACCAGCGGCGCGTGCTTCAATACCAATTCCGACACGCATCATGAGAGATTGGATAAGCGGCTTGTGCCCGGAGCACCCTGCACGATGGCCAGAGAAACAGCCTCTATTTCATGCCGGAGCAGCCCATCCCACCAAATATGTATGCGGGTGAAGTTGTAAGAGGGCACTTGGGCAGCCGTGCACGAGCGTTCAAGGAATATCTGCTTTCAAATTTATCCTTTATTATACTATCCCTTTCAACTCTCTTTCCCGCATGGGATAGCTTGGTAATACTCCATTGGTAGTGAAGTCCCGGAGTGTTTGAATGAAACTTATAGTGAGGTCAGGTGTTGCGAAAGGAATGGTGGGGAGATATCAAGCTAAACGATCGTTCTAGACTCAATACTTAACTTACTTGCTATCTTGATATACCACGAGGTCACGCCAGCAACGTGACACACCAACAGGAACATCTAAGAGCACTCCGTCAAGTGATATAGGGAAAACAGCCTCCCCCGTCAAGCTGTATTTGGCTTCATGGTCCTTCAAGACAGATATGTGTCAAGGTTATAGTGACGGGGCCAAACTTTCGCAATCAGCGTCAAAGGCCTCAACCGGCCCGTATGATCATGACTATTATCACCGGGGACGTCTGCGTTTACGGGCCCGGCTCTTGGCTCCAAGCTGCTACGAAGGAGAGTCAGACGCAGCCACTCTGGTATCATGCTGGATAAGTATAGAGATCGGCTTTGACGGCCTATATGCGACTTGCGAATAAGTCCTCCGGAACAGCTGAGGGTCATGGAACGAAGCATGTGTGCGTGGTAAGCGGCGAATGCTACAGCGATTGATCCGCTCTGAGAGAATCCAACAATATGGAACAGGCTAACCCAGTCCAAGCCAGTGGGGAACATCCGAGAACTAGCAGAATCTAAGTAGTGTAGAGGCGAGCATCGTATTTCAAGTCATTCGGTGCATCTGAGTAGCCTCTGCCGAAGAGATCTGTAAGAAAACCGTAAGCAAGTTCGATGCCTCTACTATAGTATATGTAGATCGCATATTACTTGATTACTGGGTGGTGGCCTTTGACTGAATGCACAGGCAGGAGGGCAAATACGAGACTCACCAAAAATCACGACTCTATAGCCGGTACTGACAAACTCCTTGGCCATATTGCCTAATGCTATGCACAGCGTGCCCAGGCCATATATAATCAATACTTTCTTTCCTTTTTCGGGCCCCATTCAAACACTTGAATTGTGCCATATGTAGTTTTGAACTGTATTCCTCCAGGAAAAGCGTCTGTCAGATATGGGGGCTCAGTAAGCCGCTGCCTTTCTTCGGCTTCAACACGAGCTTTTGCGAGTGTGATCGTACATTGTTGAGGCAAGGTGATATGGATTCGCGAGAGAAGGACTAACGATGACTGTCTGGTCTACTAAATACGACGCCCGTCACATTAATGTCGGACTCACCCTTGGCCTTTGTATCTACATCTTGGGATTGAGAAGAGAAGACGGTGGTTCACTGGCGTCAGCTCCTCGAGTACGGTGGTCCGGCTGTCGCAACTCACCAGGTCTGTCTGGGGTGAACTTTAATTGGTCTGGATCCTCTTAGGTATCGATGCACTGAAGTGGGAATTTCCCAGGATGTTTGAGCGGAAGCCCCCGCGGGTTCGGTAGCTGCTCACCCGCATACATACTAGCTCGACTAGACACATGCCTCAGTTGGAAATACCCGAACTGCACCACCCTCAGGACGGGAGGGGCTCCTCTCCGCAGTAGGCTTTTGAGACTGAGGTTGCCTATGTAGATAGGTATGAGCCCATTGTACGCTAACTAGAGTCTAAACACCATCGTTGTTACCTTTAGGGCCAAACGCCCCGGCACTTTCGTACGCTAACCCAGAAAAAGGGATGGCCAAACGGCCACAGACCAGCCTGCGTAGGGTCAATTCTATACTTCGAGTAGTAGAATACACGATTCCGGCTGCATCATATTTGGCCTTCCAAATAGCTTACAACTGTGTCGACAGACATGTTGCTACAGGTCATGTAGATCAGGTGTCCGTTTATTACGGCAGTCCCGTTACAAATGTTAAAAAGACCTACACTTACAATTAACTTCTACACGAAACCGAGACGTTAGCTGGGGCCCCAGGCAGGGAGGTGTTAAGAAGGGTGTGCTGCGTGACACGGGTGGGCACGCGGCAGGCTTGCACTTCTCCATTAGCTACATCTTCAACATCCACGGTCCAAGAGACGTATCCTTCGCAGCTTCCGATATCGGCTGGGTGGTCAAACACTCCTACATTCTCTATGCACCGTTGCTCGCTGGAGCGTCCACTGTGCTATATGAAGGCAAGCCAGTAGGAACCCCGGATGCCTCTGCGCTCTGGCGTGTGATCGATGGTAGGCACAAAGCAATCGAGGTAAGAGATGAATCATAGAACAAGACAAGGTTCTGGGTTGCGGGGCGAAGGTCTATTACCAAGAATTATCCAATGTATCTTTGCAGTAAATCCAACTGAAGAAGTATTTGCGACAATTGCTATATCAAAAGCACCATCGAAGTGAAACTCTCCCACCATGTACCATAAATGCGACAAGCGCGCAAGCTTAGAGCCTGATTGCCATATGCTTGGACGCTAGTGGCACTCCATGTCAACTCAGGCCATGCAAGTCAATACTATGGGAAGATGCCACGAATCCATCAGAGCTTTGTTGATGACGCCCAGCAAGGCCTGCAAGGAATCACCTGACAGGCCCCTACTGAGCCCTGCAATACCGCTATTTGTGACCGTACTGGCGTCGACGTCTTATATTCCGAGCGCTTGTCCCACGGAAACGAGCATTGAGCTGGTGAAATGAGAAAATGAAACGTCGGCATATCTATCACACACGGTTCGTGGTGTCACGAGGTGAGCAGACGACTTACCTGCCCATAACTTGTGCAACATGACCATGCTGGAGCCAACTGGGATGTCTTGGAGAATAAGTCGGTTCTATGCGACGATCAAGGGAGTAACACTGAACAGAGATGACCCGATAGCAAATACGATCTGATAGCCGATCCATTTGCCCGTGCTTGTGTCGGTTGTGAATGCCGTGAAGAGGTCCGAGCTGACAGATCCAAAGACGGTTCCGACGACCATCCAGATGTCAGCGTGGCCAAACTTGGAGATGAGTGCTCCGCCGCCAATAAGGGTGATGGCACTGGTGATGAGCCACGAAAGGGTTTACCCGGCCGAGATGAGCGGGGAAGCCCCCCCTCTGACTCCTTGAAATCATCTACAATCCTACGGTCAGTACACAGCCAACAGGCGGACGAGAAAGAGGTAGGAGAGAATTCTTACTCTACGGCTTTTGTACAAGAGATGGACCGCTGGGCAAAGATGCGCGAAGGCAGTAGCGCCTTCTCCCTCTGCCAAAACTGGATGACGAGAAATGCAACTCCAAGGACGGCAAAGACGGCCAGCAATGCAATGATGCGGCCGTCAGACCAGGGGTAGCTGACGCCTCCCCATTGCAATGCCGAGAGAAGGCAGACGATGGACGGCAACAACGCGGCTAGGCCGATGAGGTCAAGAGTTTTTATCAGGTCTGAAAAGGGGGTGAAGGACTCGAGGACTCGCCTGCACATTTTGGTGGAGAGACAGAGTATATGAAGGCGGCGTAGATGATGGCGCCAAGGGGCAGGTTTATGTAGAAAGTTCATCATTGCCAGGAGGCGCCCTGGGTGAGTGCTCCCCCTGTCAGAGCGCCGGCGGTGGCGGCAACTAAACGAGCCATCGAAATCAGGCTGAGGGAGAGGGCGCGCTTTTCGGGCGAAGCGAGAGAAGGAACAAGAGAGTAGGCGATGATGAGAAGACCGGAAGAGCCAAGGCCCGCGATGGCTCGGGCTGGGGAGTTGGGTGCGGCGCCACAAATGGCGGAGCCGGCAACGAAGACGAACATGGCTTCAGTGTAGATCCAGCGGAACGAGTAACGCGCTGTTGGCTTGCCAAAAACTAGCTGCGACATACAGAGAGCCACCAGGTAGATACTGCCGTAACAGCCGAAGTACTTGAGGGAATGGAACTCGTCCGTGATGCAAGGGATGGCTGTTGCTACAATGGTGCTATCCTATTCCAGCGTGAGCGGCGTGCGTTAGTAACTGGACTTTCGCATCTGCCGCAGACGTACCAGCGTGACGAGGAATATTCCCAGGCATAGGGTTGCGAGAGCCAGCCAGAATTTGATGCCGGATGCATATTCCGGTACAGGCGTCAATGCGTGTCGTTCCAAGTCTCGCGTTGGTGCAGCATCTTGTTTGTCGCGCGTGTGTCTGTCCGCTGTTCCTGTGTGGGATCGCATCTCAATGTCACTTTCATTTCTCTTCATCTTGAATGATTACTCTGTTAAGAAAGAAATCAGAACATGGATGGTTAGAAGGAGATGGCACAGACAAGAAATGGGACGGGTTGACTGTAAGAAGCGGTACGGGACATCCCAAGGTAGACATGTCACCTGCAATGATCTGAGTGCAAGCTGGCGCAGGCAGCAGCTCGTCAGGGTACGGCTGTTGGGCAGCTGAGTATTTCCTCATAAGTACACCCAAGTGTCTTATTCCATGATTTGTATATATGTCTACTTGATTTTACTTGTGATTGGATTGGATTGATTTCAGGAGTTCCAACGGTCCTGCTAGGGAGTTTACTTGGGAATCCATGGTTGTTTTCAAAGGCTACAGTTGAATCCGCGCCCGGATGTTTCCTAGAAAGTAAACAGCCACATCTTGCCCCTCAACCCGAGGCTCGGTACTTGGCCGCAGAGCGCACATTCTGGGAAATATCTGATTTTGATTGGCGGCGATGACCTTACAGGGCGCCGTCCGTTACCAACTCGCAACGTACGGAGGCGATCCGTTATGATTGTTGACAGCACGCACTGAAGTGCAAGCCCCCCCGGGAATTTAGTTACTATTTAGTATTTAGTATTTAGCAATGATCATGGCACCATTTGTACTTATGTGAATAGTACTGGGAGACTTGTATCTGTAGTGTCCCAACGCAAGTATATTTGATGTCGAGAATAGAGCATTGGTGCCAGTGTCTACAGCTGAAAATCCAAAACTACCACATTCTTCCGCTCACCGGTTCTATCAACATTGGCACGGGTTAACACGGATAGTACATTGTCTCTATCGAGTCTCAGAATGTCAACAAGAGGTTCGGTCGGCGGAAACCCATCCTGTCTCCATACGAGCTCGTACTCGGAGTATCTGGTGGCTTTCGTCGCCTTCAAGATGGACAGAGTTGTGCTTTTGTGATGAGGAAGCACGAGGTAAAGGTCATCGTCTCGGCTGATGGCGAGGCGACCACGCTTTCCACCGTAAACACCTTCGACATGTGGGAGCGCGTGCTGTGTCCAATCAGCTGAATGATGTCAGTCATATCGGGACAGAATCGGATTTTATCGCCCAAACAAAAAGGAGAGAAATACCTTTCGGTGATCGATAATAGTGCTTCCACCTTTGTTCGCCACTCATCTTGTCCCTATTGAGAACATGCACTCCTCCCTCATGATCAACTGCCTGTGACTCCTGGTTTGACAACCCCGACCCTCTCGGGATCTCAAAAGCGACAATGCCGGGGGACGCAGGCGTCACGCTCTCACCTTTCGACAGGTCGGCTATATGAAGACCAGCCCCGTTCCGCCATGTCCGACCCTCATCGTCCGAGTACGCGAAGCAGATATTGTAATTGTTTTCGCCAGAATTGGGGCCCGCCTGTGCCTTGTGCTTCGTATCTTTCGGGTCATCCCAACCTTCGTACCAGACGAAACCCCGATATACCCATGTGACGTACAGGCGTGAGTTCCTATAGTCAATACCATGAATATAGGGATTATTATTGATACCCGCTAGATTGGTCCCAAGAAGCTGATACTTCCCCGTTGCCGATTTGTAAACGCAGAGATGATCATCCCCGAGCCCCGCCTTACCCGTACGAAACGAGAACCAAAGGTCAGAGGATAGGGGTCCGAAACGAGGGTACGTGACGTACCCAAACAACGCCTTCTCGCCCTGCAGTCCCGGAAGGAAATCCAGAGTTGGCGAGAAGCACTTCGCCTCCCATGTGAAGTCTTCCGGGTGCTGCGCGATCTTCAGCCGGGAGTAGCGGAATCGCAGTCTGGCTTTGATTAACCACCAGGTGCTCCTGTTTGTAGATGACAAGAACATGAAACATACACATCACAGTGATGGTCGAACGAAAGATGGATCGTTCCGTCTCCGGGACAAATGCCGAGCTTTCGCAACTCTCAGTCTCTCGCACCCAGACTAGGACCGTTTCATCCGTGCAGTGTTACCTGAACCGTATTGTGCCCATCGTCCATGGTCTGCGCATAATCGTCAAACACCAGCGTTTCCCATTTTCCTAGGGGCAGCTTCCGCCGGGAGAGATGCACGTAGAGCGGCTCGTCGTCTGCGCTTGGGAGGGGGCTATAAAAACAGGCGTACTGCCAGCCGTTAAATGATTGGATGGCGTCCTGCTGGAAGGCATTGCCGTTGAGAAAGCATTTCCGATGCGTTGGGTCAGGCCCGAGGACCGATATGGAGGGGTCTGGAAGCATCTTTTGTGCGACGTGGGGTTATGAAATGGGATTTTTGAGCACGTCAGATGTTTATTGTGCACCTGGCTGGATTGAGGGGTGGATATGTTGCGACAATATTAAATATAGATTAAGCAGTGCAGACGAGCGCAAACTAGGCTTTATCGTGACTGTTATTGGGGGAGGGGGGTTTTGAATATATTCGACAGGTAGGTAATCGTCCTTGGCCCAGGACCTGCAAATATTGACGAATCCGCCAGGTTTCTAATGGTTCGGAATTTAAGGAGAAATGACCCTTGCGTCGTTGATTATCGAATGTAACGTGCGCAGGGGGGCGATATCCCACCAGCGGGGTCTTACTATTTAGTGCAACCTGTGAACCCGCCGTGACAGACACAGCAATAGTCGAGATGTACATTCCGGTCTGATGCGAGTTGCGTTCGTTGCAGGCAAAGATGAATATGCGTGTTTCTTTTCAGAGACGAACACCTCCATGATGCCCATGATGCCCATGATGCCGGTAAATCTCACGGGCCGCTCCAAACCGAGGAAGTCGTGGTGGGGGTAGAATTGCCGCTGTATAATTACGACCCAAGCACTTGTAGTTACAATCTCCCCCGCAACTTTGATACGATAGCTACCTAGGTGGGACTCAGGTGCCGGCGCGTTGGCCACATCGCTTCATCGTTATCACTGCCATTGTACCATTGAGGTAGCTTTGGACGCTGTCAGGCCTGCTTCGGCCTCTATTTTGACATGATATTGTTCCAGTTCGCTTGAAAACGGATAGCTTCGTGCTGACCTGTGCTTGGCCACTTACAGGTCGCGACATTCGGAAGCCAATATTGCTGGCATGATACCAACGTGTGGGCTCTAGACGACACTTGGTTCCCAGCACTGCTTCCTTCTATTTCAACTTTCCTCCACTCAAATGTTACATGAGCTTATCGCCGTTTTGAAAACCCTTGGGTGTCCGACATCACTTGCCGCCACCAAGCCACCAACTTTCCACCTGGATCTCCAGTTTCAGCAAGCTACAGGCCGTTGACTGACAACCCTGTCACAAGGTTATTACCCCAACAACTCTCCAACTTTTGAATTCAAGCGCCCGTATGGGAACCCATAAAAGACCCACAAAACACACATCCCCGCATTAGCCTAAAGGTATCCCCATATCCGCGCAGGTGTGGGCAATCTAATGTCGTGATCACACGCCAACTGGTTGGATTCAGAAGCCACAATGGCCTGGGCGACGTGGTCTAGAAAGACAGAACCCTTCTTGGATGGCTTTTCATATCGGGCCTGTTTTCCAGAATCTCGCCTGCGTGGCTGCATGATCATCGTGGTTCGTGGCCAATAGCCTAATCATCATCTGGCGTACGGATTCATCGAACAACTAGGCCATCCAGGATCCATGCAGACGACTTGTTTGCACCTCGTCAACATAACAAGACAGGGTCCTGAGTCACAGCCCAGAATAGGTGCATTCTGCAAGCGATTGCCCCTGATGTGCTGGATTGCAATCGAATCCATCTGTAATGTCGGGCTATCTCTTACAAAACTCGCAAGACCCATTCTTGCCGAATTGCTATCGCCTTCTGAATAACTTGCGTCAGCATTACCAACCACAACTCGCTAGAAAAATTCTGCTGTAAAAAAGACCCTTGGGGACGTTTCTCAGGGTCTAGGCGCCTGACCGCTGAGTCTTTTCATTTCTCCGCAAACCCATGCCGGGTTACTGCTATATCAGCCAGCTCCCATGTCCGTTACCCATGGGGAAGCGAAGGGCTACAGGGAGGTGGACCGTGGATCGCCATCCTTGACTCGGGAACGACAAGCTAACGGCTCGCGGCGGCGAGGTACATATCTAGCAATTTGTATGGTGGATTAACACACGCTTTCTATTTTCCACCGTTCCCGACGATCCATTCTACAAATTAGTGTGCCATCCATGTCGCTACCACTGACGGTGGAGCTCCTTTCCGCACCAAGATCACGGTCTTGTAATCGGATGCAGCACGACTGCGACCTTTCTGCGCGTCCCCTTCGAATTCATTCATAAAACGCACATGACCGTGACCGGTGTCTTGTTACACTTTTTCTTCTTCATTCCGACCGCTCCTCTGAGTCGATCCAACGAAAGCAACAGGACGATTGGTATTGCGGGCAAGAGTCGAGACAAGCATAGCAACAGAAGCACCAGCATCTGTTGTCGCCAAGATGGTCGCTTTCACGGATAGAATACTGGGCCGAATCGTCCACAATGAGGCCATGAAAAGTGACCCCAAGGAGATCTACAACTGGCGCGTCCTTCTCCTGGCCTGTTCGGTGAGTTTACCATGACTGCATTCGCTGGTTTTGATGCGATGACGACTAATTCTGAGAAATGCAGGCATGCTTCGGTGCCATGTCCTTCGGGTGGGACAGCAGTGTCATCGGTGGTGTCATCAACTTGGACCCCTTCATCCAGTACGTCGGTTTCCCTCGCATGCTCATATTTGATAGCTTTGGACTAACCTGGTTGGCGTATTTAGTGACTACGGATTGGGAGACTCAAAGAGTGTGGCCACGGCTAACTTGCAAGGAAACATCGTGTCGGTCCTCCAGGCTGGTTGCTTCGTAGGCGCTCTTGCCGCCTTTGTTCTCACGGACAAATTTGGACGCAAGTGGTGTCTGGTTGGCGCTGCCGTCCTGACCCTGGTGGGTGTCATCATGCAAGCTGCTGGCTCTGGTCACCTCGAACCCATGTACATCGGCCGTTTCATTGCTGGTTAGTCTCTTTAATCATGTCTTCTTGACATACCCCCTTCCCCCACTCCCCCCCCCAAGATGGCACCTGCTAATGATCCCTTCTTGTCTAGGTCTTGGCGTGGGCTGCTCCAGTGTCGTCAACCCCATCTACATCTCTGAGAACGCACCCCGAGCTATTCGTGGTCTCTTGACTGGACTCTATCAACTATTCATCGTCACGGGTGGCATGATCGCCTTTTGGATCAACTACGCCGTTAGCATTCACATGAAGGGACAGACTATGTATATTTTCCCGCTTGCCATTCAAGGTCTTCCGGCGTTGCTCCTCTTTATCCTCATGATCTTCAGCAACGAGTCACCAAGATACTTGGCCAAGAGCGACCGATGGGAACAGGCCAAGAGTGTCCTGCAGCGGGTTCGACAGCTTCCATACTCCCACCCGTACCTCCAAGAAGAGATTCAAGAAATCGCCGACCAACTCGAGTTCGAGAGACGGCTCATCGGAGACGCCAGCCTTTTGAACCTCCTAAAGGAGATGTGGACCGTCCAATCGAACCGCAAGCGTGCTATTCTTAGTATAGTCCTCATGATCTGCCAGCAGATGACGGGTACCAACGCCATTAACACGTATGCACCCACCATCTTCAAGAACCTCGGCATCACCGGAACGTCGACCTCCCTCTTCAGCACCGGTGTTTACGGTATCGTCAAGACCGTTTCCTGCACCTGCTTCCTACTCTTTATGGCCGACTCTCTCGGTCGTCGGCGATCTCTCCTGGTGTCATCCGTTGGCCAAGCCGTCTGCATGTTCTACATCGGTCTGTACGTCCGCATTGCCCCACCCGTAGAGGGCAACCCTGTTCCTCCTGCGGGTTATGTGGCCTTGGTCTGCATCTTCATCTTCGCCGCATTCTTCCAATTCGGTTGGGGACCAGCCTGCTGGATCTACGTTTCCGAGATTCCCACCGCTCGCCTTCGACCCTTGAACGTCGCTTTGGCCGCCGCCACCCAGTGGCTCTTCAACTTTGTTGTCTCCCGCGCCGTCCCCAACATGATCGTCACGGTTGGTGCTCACGGGTACGGAACCTACCTCATATTCGGGAGCTTTTGTGTTTCCATGTTCTTCTTCGTCTGGTTCTTCATCCCCGAGACCAAGGGTAAGTCGTTATCGGCCCACATATGTCTAGTCATCCAATCCCAACTAACGACATCACAGGTATTTCTCTTGAGCACATGGATGAGCTCTTTGGCGTTAGTGAGGCTGAGAAAGCCGCCGTTCTTGATAGAGACGGCAAGGACAATTATATGGCTAATATTGAGATCGTTGAGCATACCGGTGCTCACAATGGCCACAATAAGGTCTAATTGCTCCGGGGTATATCTAGGGCTATATGAGGAAAAGCGCAAGGCCATGTATGTGCTATGGTGAGCTAGGGATATGATACCAACCACTTATACTTATCAATGCCATCTCAGATATCATTGATATGTATTTCAGTCACGAGTAGCTAGTTATAAGCTTATATTGGGACAGTCATTTCTCTCGCTTGGGTAACCTCGTCTGAATCTCCGTCGAATCCTGGTTGCACCAGGAGTCACTTCGCTTCGAATATGTTTTATTATGCATGTTTCATTATGCTTCATGAAATTAAATTTCAACATAGCTTTCGGGGGCCCCTTTACTATCTGGCTTTCTGCTTGGCCCACTCACTCACAATGGCCACAACCCACACCAGTATCCGCTCTATTTGACCACCTTCAAGGTCTCACTAGCCGGCAACTTAGCCGGCTTCTCAGGATGCGGCTGTGCCTCCTCGCCAAAGTTCAGATGGGCCTTGAGCGAGTAGTCTTCAGGAACATCGAGAAACTTCTTCAGCGCCGCCTCAACGGGGGGTATGGCATTCATGTGCTGTAGGTTGGCACCGAACCCCTCGAGCTCTAGAGCTGTCCAGATTAGGATCTGGTGGATGGCAGATGTGTGTTCGGACCACTGCGGTAACATGTGAGCGATTGACTTGTGCGTCTCGCTCGCTTCTTTGATGCTTTGGCCGTTTTCCCAGAAGACGACCTGTTTTGGTTCTTGTCAGCACGTGTCGATTCCTTGTCTGATTTAATTCACGTGGATGATCGCATAATCATAGCCGCGGAAACAATCCCATGTCAAAAGGTGAGCACATACCGAACCATAAGCATTCTTGAAACCCTGCAATCGGGGACCCATAGAATCCCAGACTCCTGGCCCCGCGCCACGGAGAATGGGCTCGGCTTGCTCAATGATAATGTCCCAGAACTGCTTGTGCTTCTCGCCGAGAACGAGGGTGATGCGGGTCGACTGGGTGTTATACGACGAAGGCGCAAACGAGAGAACCTCTTTGACGATGTCCTCGATGCGGCTGTCGGGCACGGGAGACGTGTCCTTGAGCGCGTACACGGAGCGGCGGTGTTTGGCTGCCGCGAGGAATTGGTCGGTGGAGATCAAGGAAGACATATTGGATTGCATGAAATCTATGTCTTTGAATGCTATGAGTATTTGGCGGTGGAGAAATCAGCCAATTAATTTGGGCGGTGTATAGATGCTTTACTGTTGAATTGCACGAATTGACAAGAGCTGCAAGCCAAGGGGAAGCTCGTGATCTTAAATATGTTGCTCCCTTCGCCTTAGCGACGATGACGTGATGTTTGCCTGCAACGTAGAATTGCTTATTACATTTACCTCAGTGGTGCTAGACCACTAGTGACTCTGTCTGTCAGCAAGTGCCCAACCAATTGTATACCTCGAGTGTAGGAACTGTCATCATTAGTGAGCATTGGTAACCGTGGTTCCACAAATCATGTATGAGGCGCTGCGCCTAATCTCACTCGAGAAGGTAGTTAACGAATAAAGCCAATAAATTCCGTAAGCTGTGTTGATAGAACTGCGGACCCTGAGGGCGATTGGGCTGGGTTATTATGGTATAGTTTTGCGTGTATACAGAGAACCTCCAACGTAATCAAAGCGGTTTAAGTGGTATACATTTATGGGCCGTTACTGATCTCTTCGGCGGCGGCATGTGGTGTGTAATCCGCCATGTTTCCACCGTTATGACTGGTCCATCTCTTATGTTCAATGCTACGCTTGCCGGAGTGGTGTCCGGAACGTGTCCCCTGGCTTTTGGCTCCACTGGCTCGCAAAATTCCACATGAGAACCAAAATTATCTAATTATCCACGGGATAACTAATTGGCGACAAGTGGTTTCGCAGCTTAAAGAATGTGTTGCTTACTCAGCCGTATGACACAACAACCAAGAGCGATAGGGGCGACCACTTGGGAATCTCGCTAGAAAAAATTGATTGAGCTGCAGCATGCGCAATTTCGCTTATTCAGGCTGACGTGTGTATAGTTCAGCGTCCGTGAGCTCTCCTTGGTTATACCTGAAGCTGCCACTACCAATATTTGACCGATTCCCACGCTGTCTACCATTACACGAAACCTGACCGCATAAACAAGAATCCACCATGCAGTCTATTCAGACACATAAACAGTGTTACACTCCTCGGGAAATCAGCCGTCTGTGCGGAAGATACCATAACCCATTGCGAGATACTAATATAATCAGTATGAAAGGACTTGAGAAGGACAAGACATGCTAACTAGAAGACCCTAGCCCCAAATGAGTCGACGGTCCTTAATATTACCGGGTTCTTCTCAAATACCGATTTACCTCATGATGCTGGAAGCAATGAGGCGTACGGTGAGGCGGTCAAGTTCGTGTGGCCGCTTACATTTACTTGGAAGTATACCGAAAATGCCACGAACTCATCATCGTTTGTGCCCAGGAAATCTCAATGCAATCGGGCAAGCGATTTTGTTGCTAATAACAGGATACCGAGTATGAGACACCATTCTGATCGTTTGCGTTGGTTGTTGTGGCTGCATTACTATTATCGTTATTTAATGGCATTACCGTGCGATGGCGGTGCAACGAGATGAGGCTCGATGTTCCAAAGATTAATTTTGACTGAACATATACAAACATAATGAAGCGAGGATTTGAATAAATCCAGATCGTCAAGACGTTACAGAGATGGGAGGTTGTTGAGTCCATCAGATTCTTGGGAATCTGGCTGAAGGTGAATAGAGGTTAAGGTGACCGGTCACAGGGTCCAAAAGTCAGACAAGTGTATTTATCGATGGTATGCAAGGTGCAGTCGGTGAAAGGTCATATAAAGCCTATTTGTTTCGCGGAGTTGTTCCCAGCCTGTTTCTTGATATAGAGTAAAGGGTATTTTCACTTTACGGAGGAAAAGAGTAGGGGCATGAAAGTTGTGTATACGAATAGCCCTGCTGCTACTAAATGTATTTATTTGTAGCATAATATTTGCATGCATTGCAACTGCCAAAGAGCTCTTCCAGAAGCCAAGGCACGCCGGACTTTCTTGGATTGCCCTCCTTGGCGCTAGATGAAAACACCATTTTGCCAACCCTGATCAAGATGCCCTTCAAAATGTCTTGCCATGCCGTTTAAAACCACCAACCTTCGGTTTTGGATGATCTCTTACAAGAACAAGCACATATTGGCTACACGAAAGCCGCCCCATTAGCCCCAATAACCTGCCCCGAAACCCACCCAGCCTCCTCTCCAGCAACAAACGCCACCACCCCCGCGATGTCCCCCGGGTCCGCCAGCCTTCCAAAGGGGCTCTGCGCCTCGATCCCCTTGATCATAGCCTCCGACTTACCCTCCATGAACAAGTCCGTCGCCGTCGGTCCGGGGGCAACACAGTTGACCGTGATCCCCTTGGCGCCCATCTCCTTGGCCAAGCCCCGCGTCATCTGCTCCACGTCTCCCTTGGTGGATGCGTAGAGCATGTAGACTCCAGGCAGGGCACTACTACGCGCGATGCCAGTCGAGATGAAAATGATCCGCCCTCCTTTCAGCATGTGCGGGATGCACTTCTGAGCCAGGAACAAGGGGCCCTTGACGTTGAGCGCGTAGGTACGGTCGAAGAGGTCTTCAGTAATAGCCGCCAGGGGCTGTAGGGGCATGGTTCCTGCGTTGGGGACGAGGACGTCAATCTTACCGAATTTTGCAACGGCGGCATCTACGAGTTTCTCGATCTCGGGGATTTTGGAGACGTCGGCTTGCACAGCAAGGACGCGGTCTGTGGAACCAATTTCAGAGGCGAGCGAGTCTGCCGCACTGCGGTCGCGCGAGTAGTTGATAACTATTTTGGCTCCGGCAGAGGCGACGCGGAGGGCGATGGCGCGGCCGATGCCTTTGCTGCCGCCGGTGATGAGGACGACTTTGTCTTGGAGTGACATGTTGGGTGGGGGTGAGTCGATATTCCTGCAATTCCAACTTGGTGATTGGAGAGACAATGCGAGAAGTGGCTTCACTTTGTGCGTCTGGATAGATAATAACCGATAGGCTGTTATGAGATGGGTTGAGGACACTAAGTGGTGACTGATAGGATGTGATGAGAAATGGCTTCACTCCGTAATTTCGGGGGAACGATGAGCACCTGGTTGGCATGAAAAGAAAATGAATTCATGAGAATGTTTGGGTTACGCTGGCAAGCAGTGGCATTAATGAAAGCCGCCTTCATCAGTGTGAGTAAGCGCGAAATCCTTGAAGCTTCGACAGACTTTAAGAGGCGCCGCGTAGTGTATTTCCGAGCTTGAGTAGCAACGGCCCGTTGCTAATGGGTCACCTTGAGCATCTTGAGTGGACGTACCCCCGGCTTTTTGGTGGAACGAGCGAGCCCAGAAGCTGCATGAAGCTCCAACTACTGTCGGCTTTGGAAGATCTCACAGGCCCCAAGTCCGAAACCACGCCCTTTGTGAGCTAAGTAGTCGGATAAAAACCCCTGTTTCGGATTATCTATCATCAGCTTGCTCCGAGCAGCTGTGTAGAGAGAACACCGAGCGCGGCTCTATCTTCTTTCCAGATTCTAAATCCGACAAAACTGTCCACGGAAGCCGTTGGAAGATGGAGATAATACCAGTGTTATATGAAGTCGCTTCGGAAATCATCGAATTTTCTGTGATAGCGTGTATTGTAAGGCTTGACAATATCCATTTCCAACCAGCCTCTATGCAGTGTTCTGTGACTATGACCCGCAGCAATTATTGTTCATCGGGATTAACTCTCACTTCTGGCCTAAGTTGGTCTCAGAAATCTGAGCGGCCCAGCTTGTACGAACAGCACGCCCTCCTTCGTCATTATCTTGATATCTTCTGAGGCTCGAAATGCTTAAATACCGGAGCATCCTCCCGCTTGTGAGGCTGGTGCTTTTCAGTTTCATTAGAATCCATCTATCTAGCTATTGACACCTTCGAGTTGATATAATCGTCTTCGCTGTTCTCCAAAACTTTCACCATGTCTCCCTCACTCCCTAAGACCTACAAGGCAGCCGTCTTCTAGTCCAAGGGCACCCCCATATCCATCAAACAAGTCGAACTAAAACAGCCGGGACCCAAGCGAGTCCTTATCAAAGTCCTGGCCTGTGGCGTGTGCCACACCGATAGCTTCGAACAGCACGGCTTCCTGGGCGACGTCTTTCCCCGCGTTCCAGGCCACGAGCTCATAGGTGACATCGTGGCAGTCGGTGAGGGCGTGACTAGACTCTCTATCGGCGACCGCGTGGGCGGTCCCTGGCACGGCGAACACGACGGAACGTGCCGCCAGTGCATGCGTTCTCAGTTTCAAATTTGTGACGTGAAAAAAGTTAATGGTGTCAGTCACGACGGTGGTTATGCTGAGTATGTCCTACTCCAGGAGGAGGGTCATGCGCAAGATGTATGTTGAGCAGGGGAACATGGTCGCCGTTCAGGGAGTTGGTGGGCTCGGACATCTGGCGATTCAGTATGCGAACAAGATGGGTTGCCATGTTGTGGCTATCAGCTCAGGCGGATCCAAGAGAGACTTTGCGAAGCAGTTGGGGGCGCACGCTGACATCGATACGAGAAAGGAGGACGCCATTGCCAAGCTGAAGGAGATTGGCGGGGCCGCTTTGATTGTTGCAACTGCGCCGAATCCAAAGGCTATCAGCCCTCTTGTGGGCGGATTGCAAGCGGGTGGCAAGCTGCTCGTGCTGGCACCTGTTGGCCCCGTTGAGTTCGATACAGGGGCTCTGGTGTCGCTGGGTTTGTCCATTCACGGCTGGCCTAGTGGGCATGCGCTCGACTGGGAGGAGGCTATCAAGTTCGCCCAAGAACATGGGGTCAAGTGTATGGTTGAGACATTCTCGCTTGATGATGCGCAGAAGGCTTTGGATCATTGTACTTCTGGGAATTTACGTTTCAGGGCAGTTCTTTTAATGTAGAGTCATGGGCAACAGCTGGCCGACTAAATACTGGTATTGTATTGCTGCTATGAGCCCGGCTTTGTCCTCTGGTCTGTACAGTGTCCAGTTTGGTGACTCTTCAAAATTGTAGCACTCATTCTCGTGAAGATCTAAATGTGCCTGGCCCATCCCACATGCAGGTGCCTATCTTTGGTGCCTTAATTTCACGTATGAGTAGCTGATTGCAAAGTCAATATCTGCCTCTCCTGACTATACTAGCGCTCATTTCGGGCAATTAACAGTGTATCATAGTTGAGAGAACAACCGAGATTAAAACATATCACACAATAATGCAAGCATATCCATAGCAAACTAGAGGAAAGAAAATACAAAATGAGTCGGAAAGTGTTAAGGAATGGTAGACAGCGTCCCGAACTGTCGATCATGGTATTATGCTACAAGAATATGAGTTATATTATGCCGGCTTTGAGGACGAATGCATATATCAGTAATGAACTATAGCCTGCAGTATTCGAGATAAGTACTTAAATGAGAACTAGTATCTATTACATCAATGTTTGTTGGAACTTCGGGATGTATACACCTTGTGCCCATTTGGAATCAGACCTTTTCTACATTTATCCCACTATGTTTATTAATGTCGACCATAATATGCAACCTAAGTCGCATGCTGCGTATTATATATGACTGCTACCAAGATAAATGACGGAGAGATGCGCTGGTCGCAGAAGGCAATATGAGTCTCGGATTCCAGGATAGCCAATCCGCAGTCCTCAGTATTGATAACTCTGCGCGTGAGTAAATCAAAGCTTTCAAACCGGAGAGTATATCAAGAAACACTAGGTCGGTGGAGGGCTCTTTCGCTACGCCCTTGCGTAGCAACATGCATTGTCGTTATTGAGCTTCTGAAACTCAATAAGTCTACATAAGGCCACAATAGTCAAGAATCTTCATGACCACCCTCAAACCCAGCCGGATTAGAGTACCTTTCTCTATTTCTCTGCAGAACACGTTATGGTTGATTACCAATTTCTAAGAGCAAATGATAGACAGATAAAGAAAAAAGAATTGTGTGAACTACGTAGAAAGGATGTAGTACGCGCATGGCGGCACGTTTCTCAAACAAGATACACCGGAGCGCATTGTGAAACCTGGCCCGCTATCTGCTCAACAGCGACCCTATCTTGCGGTGATCGAGCTTCATGACACGATTAATGTTACAGCAGGCTTCAGTAGTCTGAGCTTCATGAGGTTGTTTTACGGTAACGGTGCGTTGCTCGACATGGCCAACAGATGGGGATAGGCACCACTTCATGCGGTGTTCAAGCACAGGCAATGCGATGCGCTCGAGTCACTCATTGGATGTGTTAATTTGGACAAGAAGTTTTACATTGAGGGCAACGGCTCTTCCTACGACTGTCGGGAATAACGACGTGGAAGCAGTGGAAATGCTGCTGATACTGGCATAGCAATGGAGAGAAATGATCGATCATGACCGAGACAATATTCATCATAATACTCACGCATACAAAAGCACTTCCCAGCCATCGCCTGCCTTAATTCATTTAGATTAGCTGAGCATCAATAAAGACAACGACTTCTACACATCGGAAGGGTGCTGCAACACATCTTCATCACGTCGCCAATTTTAATACTTACCAGGTTCTACTTGTATAGTTTAAAGTACTTACGTTATGCCCATAGGCTTATGCACTACCAAATTTGCCATTCTTATTTACAAGGTGAAAGATCTTGCCTTGAAGATAGTGCTAATGTTTGGTATGGGAAATGGCAGTCAACAGATAACGATAATAATACTATGGACAGGTAGAGCAGTTTCCCATTGGATCCATTTCTCATACCCGATTATAGACGATAACTCTGAAATGCCATTATAAGGACTAATTAACGAATGAGGATGTGGTTCGCGAGTTCAGGAGATGGCAACCTGTGAATGCTTACTTCGCTTTGCGTGAGACAGTCGCGTGCGACTTGAAGAAACGCAACTCCGTGAATTCTACTAAACGGTGCCGACATCATCATTTGGAATCTATGGTTTGAAGATTGTCATGTATTCCGCTTACTTGAAGTGGTACAATCTATAGAGACAATCCACCCAGTATACAACTCCAGATACGTAACACAGAAACTGCAAGAATCTCCCCTGCCACCCACAGCCACGAATAATAGAAACCACGTCATAAATGCCAAGAGGCGTATTGTGGGCGTCCCCAACCCAACTATAGACCTCACGAAGCTTTTCAAGTGGTATCGACCCACCTCCTAGGGCAAGCGGGCCACAGATAATAATGCCAAATAACTCGTGATGATTCAACAAGTAGCATTACAGGTCCGTTGGCCCAATGGCAAGGCGTCTGACTACGATTTGAGTTCTCTCAGTCATCAGGAGATTGCGGGTTCGATCCCCGTGCGGACCTGAGTCCTTACCTTTTGCCTAGGTCACCATCTGTGACACCCTTTTGGCACCATCCCACATTTCGCATAGCAAAGTCCCCACGACCCACACAAAACCCACCAACTTGTCTTATAGATATAATAGCCAATAATAAAGCCATTCAGAAGATACAAATATCTGTAGGCATACAATTTCATAATGCTTATTTTTCCCAATCTATTTGATCGGCACCGCTAGTCGTTGATACCTTTTCCCTTGAGGATTGGACCTGCCGCGAGCTTATTTTGGTGGAAATCTCGATTAATGTGTGAAGCCACCTTTCGATCCTCCTCTACAGCGAGGTATCGTGAAGCCGTTAAAATGCCACTAGTTAATGATAGAATTATCCTGAACGCCTGCCTGGCTAGATGTTACGGAAATTTTATGAATGTCGGTACGTAAAATTGTAGAGAAGTATACTGTTAAGCCGTCAATATTATTAGGCCGTATAAACGCTAAGCACCTTTCAAAAGGAAAGGGATAGAAGGATCAATAGCGATTATCGTATAATTAAGAGAGTCACATAGTTAATGTGGTAAATACAGACAAGATAGTTGTATTAGTAGTGATGATAGCACTAACTTTCAGAGGTTGCAGCTACGGAAGGGCTATCTATGGGCAGTTGGCCTAAGCGCTGCACCCAGCACACAGGTGATGTATCTAAGGCATGCAACAGTTAAGTAAATTTTACGTTAAGAGACTCTAGACTATATGCCTACGTATAGCTACATTTAGTCAGCAGCTTCGGCCCTCTAATAGAGAGGAGACAAAGACCCTTTGAGCACACCAATCCTCGAACTTCGCTAAACGATAGGAAAATATATTTAAAACCACGTCGGTATCGCTGTGCTCCAGACGTCATAATATAGGCGATGTTCGCTGAGAAAGGAATTTGGGCTGGCTCAGCAGGGACAAACGCAAGGATCTCAAGCGAGCCGCCCTAATTACCGCGCTCGATGCGCTAAGAATCTTCCCCAGTCTCTGGGTTGGCTTCCGGACTGAACATAAGTTTATGATGATGAAGCGTGAGGAGGTATGTCAATGTGTCTTTGCATGTTTGCAAGTTAATAATGATGACAACAGGAAGTATTAAATTACGTTGACTATATCCTGCATACCTCGTCTAGCAGAATAACTAGGACTAGTCAGAAGATAATGCAAGGCGTGGGCCATATAATAGTGGAAATTGTGCACTTAAGAGGCTCAGGTCTATCACAAGAATATGACTTGAACTGCAGAAGCACTTCATACGTTTCGATCTGTTCTCTGCTATATGTCAGAGTGCTGGATGCATAGCACCGGTATAGGGACGTGCGAGTCATGGCCTAATATGGAAGTCTTGGTATACTGAAGAATCGGAGGAACTAGTGCCCTACGGCTCCGATATACGGGGTCTACGGCTCCGACTCCGGGCGCAAGCTATCTATGTAAGGGAAGGTATCTGGGAAGAAGACAGGAAGGTTAGAGATCAATGAACCACTTTGGGCACCCCTACCTGAGACCTCTAGTGACCACCCGGTGCTAAGCGGGAGGGACACCTACTACTCTCCATCACTCTGTACTAATGCCTTCGGCCTCGCCGTAACCTGACACTATACACGATCGCAACACTTCAGAGTATTTGAGAACGTCTTCAAGAATTTAGGAACTCCATACCATCTCTGTATAGCTTCTTTGAAGGCATTGGGCCGACCTCGTTCCAGAATGCCCACGAAAAGAAGCGGACAAAGGCGCACCGTTACCACGAGATCCTGACCCGAGGAAGTGGTATGGATTGGGCGCTTTTGGGAAGAAAACTCGGATTATCATTTGAGGAGATAGTGCATCTACGGATAGGAGATTGGCGCTATATTTTCTGGATAAAGCAGGCGACTCTACATACGTCGAATACGATGATCTTATACAACCGGGTTTTGGTCCTATAGTTTCCTTGGATTTGGCAGTCTTGACAACCTCGCAGAGCTTCGCCAAACCCTCGACCGCCGTATTGTCCTCTGGAAAGTCTGTAGATCGGAAGTGGGGTCGTGCTTTCAATAAGGCGTGCATAACAGTAAAAAAGGCTGCTATAGTCCGATAGGCAGGCTAAGAGATTCGGGCCTTGACCAGCTGGAGTAAGACACAACCAAGCCGGGAACCATAGGGCCATCTGATTCAGTACAATCCGCCCCGGACTTTTCTACCATCTAAGTGGTCATGGCTACATATACGGCCGCTGGACAACCAACAGCAGATGGTGAAACGTAAACAACAATAGCTAAGCTACAGGAGGGGCCTTACAGTAAGCATGATTCAGAGAGGTCGCTTCTGTTCGATCAATCGGAAGTGTGGCGTGCGGTATTGAAGGAGCGCATTGGTTTTACTGCTTATGATATCTAGGGGATGTGCTCGCACCGTTGCTACTTGTTTTGGCGCGGTCGTCCAGAATAGGACGCTTACGATTGTATTTTCCAGGGAATCACACGTAGGTAACCTCATGCTTACTGCAACTACGACGAGCCATGAGTTGGATCATGAACCAGGTAAAAATCGTGGGAAATGAGACAAATTATGAGCAACGAATCAAGACTCGTATAAAGACATACAGGCCCTATAGACAAAGTCAAATTGGCATTCCCGAATTACTCTCTTCTCTTCTTTCTACCCACGAACATGTTGAAGGTTTTCCCATCAGCTGGGTACCACGTATACCTGTAAAGTACCGAGAAGATATGGTACTGCGTAGCGCTTTGAATGGCTTTTCTTGTGGATACCTATAAGTCTCGCGGTACCTTACAAGCCATTTCAGGAACACAGGGGTCAAGGTTGGATGCCATTACGAATTACCAACGCCGATGATGGCATATTTCTGCAATTGGTTCTTTCCTGTCTCATTCCACTGGCCCTTAAAAGGCGACAACGTGCAGTACGATGGAGAAGATCAGCCTTTGCTATAGCCTCACTTCTTGGTCTCATAGCGCGACTTCAGGGTGGTGGCAGTGACTAGATGGTTTGGAAGCTCTAAGAATAACCCCTCTTTGATTTCATAAGAGTTTGGACATGTTGACATCCTCAACACAAGTAAATTTATGTGATCAAACAATAGGCTTTATCATCTCGGAACAAGAATATTTGCGTATTGTTGAATATATCACAATGACGGGGCTTCTCTGTAGCCTCCGCTCTCAGCCATCTGACCCTTAGCGCAATGACTATAAACATTTCCACCGAAATGAAACTGGCCTATACTGCGTGGCAGCTTTCCAACAATGACTGATTATGTAGCAACATCAGAAGCCCGTCTGGCCACATACAGCGGTGCCAACCTTACAATGCAATATACAGGCCTTCCAGAGCTATGCATCACTACATATTACAGTCACGATACTGCAATCAATATAAGTTTAGGAAGTTCAAAGTTAGGCGTACTATAAGCATTTGCTTATACGCAGGGTCGACATACTGTTAAAATCTTCATTCTTTCCGTACGGACCAGCAGTGCTTATCAGTACTAAAGCCTACTTTCAGTAAGCCAACGTTTTGGCTTACTTAGCGTGTTATAATCAAAAATGTCTGTTAGGGAGGGATACGAGGCACGTAGACACGGATTGTAGGAATCAGGGATCCTCCGGGGCCAATTTGGGATTGTTCCCTCACGCACCTTCGTAGTACCAATACAGCCCGCAGTACTCGGAATCCGACAAATGTAAGCCAATGCGATGTGATACAATCCCTTACTATATATGAGATGCTTTAACCCGACGCCGGCCGTTTCTGATGTTGGCAACTACCACCCCTTCTACGGCTTTATCATTGCAGACTGTAGTCGTACTGTGAGGAACCATTTTTATTTTCATCGCCATCGCCTGATAACACGAGGGCCTCGCTTTATATGATGGTGAGAATCAAGGAATGGACAGCGGAGGCTTGGTAGGTGTCCCTGGAATAAATTGCATGGAGACCACTTGGCCATCAAGCCTCTAATCAACTCTGCGATTGCCTCTTTGTTTCTTCCAATGCCATTTGATTTCTTCTCGTGTTGAGAAACACAATCTGGTGACTTATTCCTGCCTCAGAGGTAATCTGGACAACTAACAAGCCCGAGAGAGCTTATCAGTGTAAAACATTAAATATTCCGTTGCTGTCGACCACGTGGGGCCCGTTTCAACAGGAGATTGATTACCCCGCTTTCGCATTAATTTTCAGCCGGAAGCTTTTCATTTCAAACATAGTCTCGCAAAGTTCGACGTCAGGATCTATTATTACATAATGATCAGACCGTTGCCACAAATAATTTCGCTTAATTATGATCTGGGACCCGTTGACCAGGATTATTCCTTTCCTATCCACTCAATGCCATCCAGCCCCTGGGTGCTGCGTTGCCAAGTCTCGGCCTTTGTCGGACTCCATTGTTGTCGTCGGTAACGAGTTTTATTCACTTCATCCCTTTTCCCGACAATTCCGTTCAAACTTGTCCACACTCACGCATTTCATTTTACATCATGGACGCGGCTCTGGAAATTCTGGATCCCATCGTTCTCGACAAGGCCTACGCGTATTTTGTGCCTTCAGGTGGCAATGAAGCCGTGTCACTATGGCCGCGCGACAATATTCTGCGACAATGCATCTCGATTCTTGTCGTGACCCAGATCGGGGCAACGATGCTGTACCTCGTCTTCAGCGCTCTCTCATATTACTTTGTTTATGATAGGCGGCTGGAATATCATCCACGCTTCCTTAAGAACCAGGTTCGACAGGAGATCGTGTCCTCACTAAGCGCCATCCCCTTCATCAATCTGCTGACCTTCCCCATTTTCCTGGCTGAGGTGCGTGGAAAGAGCTTGTTGTACTCGCGCATTGACGACTATGGCTGGTCCTGGTTAGTCACCTCAGCTGTCATATTCATGATTTCCAATGACGTTATGATATACTGGATTCATCGATTGGAACATCACCCGAGTGTTTACAAGTACATCCACAAGCCACATCACAAGTGGATTGGTGAGTTCTTCCCACCCTGGTTAGAACATCAACCAGCTAATCGCGATGTAGTTCCCACGCCGTTCGCTGCCCTGGCCTTTCACCCTCTTGACGGATTTGTCCAGTCATTGCCCTATCAGTAAGTGCTCGATCCGCCTATTCATAGGTCCCCGTTAACCTTGCCTCAGCGTCTTCATATTTATCTGCCCCGTCAACAAATACCTATATCTTATGCTCTTCGGCTTGGTCCAGATCTGGACCATCTTCATACACGACGGCGACATGATTTCGGGCCACTGGCTGGAGAAGTTTATCAACAGCCCGGCACACCACACGCTGCACCACATGTACTTCACCGTCAACTATGGCCAGTATTTCACTTGGGCCGACGCCTACTGGGGCTCGCACAGAGCACCCCGGCCTGATTTGGACCCGCTGCACGAGGCTTTGCGTGTCATGAAGGAAAAGGGACTCGTGGACGACCAAGGCAATTGCGTTTCGCAGAAGAAGCACGAGTAATGGCGCAAGGCTTGATCCAGGGCGCTGAAATTATGCGTAGCAAACGATAATGTAGGAGCGAGAAACGTGAAGCACACAAAATAACGCATAATATAATGTTTAATCACTACGATTGTGGGAACAAAGAATTCGTTCAAAGTATTTAATAATGCTCTATAAGAATGGCATTGGATTGTGGGCAAATGGCCATAAGGGCCTTATATAGAAATGAACGATGCCTGTCCCACAGGCAAGGCTTGTGTGGTACGATGGGTGGTCCACATTGGCCCATAACGTACGGTAAGTCGCCATATGTCCTTCCAAGACTGGTAGTTTGGTGTAACAGCCTTGGACGTCCAACAAATGGCCGCAACTTACTTCAGGTCGAACAGACAGAATCAATATAGTGTAACACTCACTACTATCGGACTGCCTAGGTATGAGGACCCCTTTCGATAGGTCTTGCCACAGCCTTCATTCTTCTACAAACCAGATTTCCGAGAAGCCTCTTGTCTGTATCTTCCATTGGATTTGTTGCCTGGGCGTTGGACACTACTCTTTCCAGCTTAGTTGTGTTATCAACTTGTTCTCGCCGCCCTTTTCCCCGCCCCTTCCATTCCCCTAGGCCTCCCCGGGAACTCCACCTCCAGCCACGACTCGCAGAAGTTGCTGATCACGTTTCCTGTATGACTTCTTCGCATTCCAGAGCGTAATAGGCATGATGAACCTGTTCCAAGCTGTCATTTTTCATTGACGACACGATAGCCGGCCTTTTCAATGACACGCATTGCCGTCGTATAAGCAAGGCACCGCCTTACTGAACGACACCTACCGAGTCACATCAATGGTTAACATCTTGGACAGAAGCGTAAAACTTGACTCTCTCTATTACGGAGATCACCTTCTCTACTCGGTACCACTTCTCGTTTTCAAATTCCGTGGCAGAGGCCTTCCTTTTACGGTCGACATTATTACCCAGCTCGACCTTGTCCACGAACGGTTGGCAACTTATGATAAGGACGTGGTTGTGGCGTTTTGAACAAGGCAGAAATAGCAACATAATTTAGAACGTTAATCATTATCGATACTGTCTTAGATGTGTTGAACCACCCACGCATGGTTATTTCGATAGCGCAGCCAAGCAAACTACCTGAAAAAGCAGAAATCTGTGGAAAAAAAAACGTCCATAGAGAAAGGATGCAAGCTAGGTGGATGGATTGATGCTAATTATACTAATTATAAAAAATAATATTAAATACGCCGTAGGTGTTAACCCTCGGTACCTCTACAAGTACTCCCTTAAGGGGCTATAGATGATATAGCGGGCCCTTAAGCCGCGTCGGGCGGTTATACAGGTAAACTTGTAGCCAAACGACTACTAAACCTCCTGTCCCTCCCTAAGTCTGTGCTACAACCCCTGCCTGAACTACCGATAAGCGTGGTAATGTGGCACTTAAATTCGTCCTCAGGGGTGGGATGCTGCTGATGTGCAGAAGATGCTCGACTATTTTTTTGTCGCGACAAGTCGTAGTATCTGCTAATTGGGGTTCTCGTCGAGCGTATACATCTCAACCATACGCTCAAGTGGATAGACCGTAACGTGGTCTAGACGCTCGCAAGAATCGCGGCGAGGGGGCGTGCTGCGCGCCTTCTATCGTGAGGGGACGGGTTCGCCGACGAGCGTTATCGGATAGGCGAGGTCCGATAAGGGGTCGGATTAACGATTCGAATTCTGGACCGGCTGTCGAGTTATATTCCGCCGACGTAGTGCTTGACGGTCGACTGGCTAGGATGCTCGTAATCCTAAACTGCACCAATCTCCCTATTATCGCTAGGTAGGCGAAGTCAACAAGGTGGGCAGCGCGCCGTAAGGGTTGACTAAACCCCCTTGTGTGTCAGCTGCGGGATTCGAACCCGCGACTCGTCACCAACCCAAGTGGGCGAGGCTCAAATCGGGACTTATCTACCAGCGAAGTGACCAACTACACCAGCCGACTACTAATTATATCTAGGCTGTCACGGCACTAACCCATACCCAATCCAAGTACCCTCATACCTGGCCTGTGCATCCATATAGCGTTTACCTCACGCTCTAGGCGTAACCCTCTACTTAGTTCTTTCCTTACTTATAACACAACCTGACCTAGATCCCGCGCTCCTATGTCGCATAGGCTATTCGATCCAAGGTAACCGCATTGACCACCCTTTTCGCATGTACCCCTATTTTGCAGGAAACTTAGGTAACTACGATAACAACGCATCTCAGATGCTTAAACACGCGAAAAGGTTTATCCAGTAGAGCTATTCCTAGGGCGTGGCAGCCCTTCGATACGATATAAAAGAGCCTATATTATCCTACTAACAATTGCTATAAGGATTTACACTAGTGAGAGAAGTCTTACTAGTAGAGTCTTAAATAATAATAAAGGATAAAGTATAACTAGGATAACTTCAATAATAGATAACTTGAATAGAGTCGTTAAGACAGCATAATTTACTAATAGGTTAAACTAATACTTGGATTACTTATCAAAGTAGAGAATATCTATCTATATAATACCTAGGGACCTCGTCCCTTATATTTTAACGACGGGCAATGAATGCGCGCAGGTTTAAGGTGAAGATGATAGAGACGGACCATAAGATCCTTAATAAGATCTGCTGTGCGGGAGTTAGCAGAATGAAAGATCGAGAGCCTTAACATGACCCTTTGAAAGGAATTTCGAGAAGGGCCGATGAGTTGTCAGACATGTAATCACTTCGGTGAACCTGCATTACAGTCATTAATGGCTCCTTCAACGGTGATGAATATGGAATGCAAACCGTGGGAACGAATATTACGTTTGGGGGAGGCTTGCTTTTGAGCGTGCTATCTTCAATTTGGCTCAATAGGAACTGGAGGCGCCGTGGATCCTGCAAGAACTCTTGGTCCTGGGGCCACTCTTAAAAATTACGAATCAATGCTGGGTTTGGCATAAAATCAAAAACGGAAATAAAAAGGCACAGATCAAAGAGGGGATTGGTTGGTTCACATGGATTGTGACTGCAGATCAAGGGTGCCGCTGACCAGTTACTATTGATGTGACACGTACCCCTCCCGCCCTTCTCCTCTCCCACGATGCCAGCCTGATGTCTATAGACCCTGCGAGTCTCACTAAAACTAACTGGAGATCCCAATTATGTCTTCGATTCAGCTTGAAAGTGGTTAGGCTTCACCTCCCCAACGACCAGGCTCTGGGTTCCCACGGCGCAGCTTTCATTTCATTACAAGACGCCAGGTATTAGGTCTATAGCCATTGAACTAGCAAGATTGCGCTGGCCTTCTTCATTGGCTCGCCGAATTGATGTGCAGTCATACATGCATAAATGGTCCCGAGAGCCAAGTCTGTCGTGCCATCTGAACACTGACCGGGTTCACATCAGAATGAATGGCCCGAGTTGCGAAAATAGGATCGACCTTTCCCAAGAAGACTTGGGCAATCGTGCCCACTATATAACTCTGATCACTTTCTCCTAAGAGCTTGTGGTTTATCGTGCCCACTACATACCTCTGATCACTTTCTCCTAAGAACTTGTTATTTATCGTGCTCACTATATACCTCTTATCACTTTCTCCTATCATTACACCACGGCTTATCGGCGCGAAGATATACCGTATGTCACCTTTGAGGGTGCTCCTCAGCACATAGGTGTCGAGTGCAACGAAGACGGTTTCACCTATGAGAACCTCAGCGCCATTTGTAAAATTGGTAAAAGCTCGAAAACTGATTCGCAGGGGTACATTGGCGAGAAAGGCATCGGTTTCAAATCCGTCTTCATGGCTGCCTACAAGGTGCACATCCAACCTGGGAACTTCTCTTTCTCCTTCCGACATCTATCTGGAGAATCTGGCATGGGTATGATCTCGCCGATCTGGAAGGACGCCGATGACCATCCACCGAGCGGTGTTACAAGGATCAAGCTGTTCCTACATGACCATGGTGACGCTGCCGCGAATGACTCCCATCGCCAGCTAATACTGCAGCAATTTCGCGAGATTCAGGACACTCACCTCCTTTTCCTCAAGAACATTCAGCGCATCTGCATCGTCTTTCTGGATGAAGTGGGAAGAGGACCTCAGCCACAAACTTCTCATTCCGGTCTTCCGATCCTGATCCAAGTATAGTCTCGCTGTCTAAGAAATGCGACATCCAAGAAGAACGTATTACCAATTTCCATGTCACAAGGCATATCGCGACCTGCCTTCCAAAACCCCCAAATAGAGACTACTCCCCGGTGGAGGAGAGTACACAAGCATGGTCGGAATCAGAGGTTGTCCTCGCGTTTCCACTCGGAAATGATGGCTCCACACCAGTAGTGGAAAACCAACAAGTCTTCGCGTTTTTACCGATCTGAAAAATGGGCTTCAAAGTAGATGAAGGTGCACTCCACGTCTATAACTCTAAGAAGCTGATTACGGTGTAGTTCTTGATACAAGCAGACTTGGTTACACAGGCCAATCGGCAAGATATCGTTGCAACGTCCAGCAGGAATATTGCCCTGTTCGACGGACTGGCAGAAGCATTCATTAAGGCCATACAGCAGCTGTGCTCACATAAGTCTCTTCAATACACCTCGATGAGATATCTGCCTTCAAAGGACGATTTTCCGTGGGAAGGATATTGGCATTCTTTGGTTATCCGTATCCAGAAAAAGCTTGCGCATGAATCAGTCATGCGTCCTCGAAGCGGTAACGCTCTCAGCCCGATTGGGCAGATGCGAAGGCTTACAAGGGAAGGAATACTTGACGGAACGCTGCTATTTGATGACACGAACCCGGAGATATACTTGTCGCAGCATTATAAATCTTCTGATTTATTGAAGCTGGAAGAAGACGGATTGATGAGAATAACCACGACACAGATCTTGGATCGTGTGAAAGAGGACCTTGGGCGTTCCAATTCTCGGATGAAGTCAACTGATGCAGCCAACCAGTGGCACACGGCTGCAGCAGAGCTTCTAGGTATCCCTTTTAAAAAGCAGTCCACTAAGTCGATCAGTATCTTACGGGAGCTCGATCTGATCCCGCTGCAAAATGGAGAATGGATAGCAGCCCAATCTGCGACGAACCGACTGTCTTTCCCGTCTGTGGACGACATTATAATCTCTCAAGATTTTCCACTCAGTCTCATCAACTGGCACGCTGCACGAGCTCAACTTTTCACACATCTCGGAGCAACCAAACCATCGGTCAAACGTGTGCGAAAGCTTATATTCAAGAAATATACAGACAGGGTGAACTTCAAATCTCTTTTCGATGATTTAGACCATCCGCAGGAAATCTCGATGGCTCATTTGACGTTCCTCTATCGTACTAATGATCCAAAAAAAACCCAGAAACACCAAATACGAACGTATAGCGGTCCTGATAGATGATGGATCTCTCAAAACGCCAAGATCCCAGGATGTTTATCTCATTGATGACCATCGTTATGGTGCAAAGAAGCTTCTTTGCCAAGTCACTGACCAAGACAACCCTGATTGTAATGCGCTAGGTTCTGTGGTGCCATTCCTGCAGCCGGCGTATCTGGAGGGCCCCGAGGACCAGCGGGATACCAATGGTGCCGAGCCATGGCTGCAATGGCTCGAGAATACCTTAGGTGTGCGTAGGCGTCTAAGGCTGATAGATAGGGGCTCGATCACCAAGGAGTTTAAGCACATCATAAACAAAAGAGCCCCCGATCTAATCGGTGTGTTACAAAATTACTGGCACATTATTGGAACAGATATCACAAGTAATGAGTCAATCAGAGACGAGCTTAGCAAGGCCAAAGTACCGTGCGGTGAGCAGTTACGGCGTGGAGTATCTCTCGGGTTTGTCGGATTTCCCTTTCGCCAATCTCGGGAGCACGCCCCCCCCCTCCCCCCCCCCTTTGACGAAACTGGGGTATGGGAATTCCTGCATACAGCGTTTGGAGTGGGAAAGTACGACGATCTTCGTTTTTACTTGGATATTTTGGTATACTTAGCTGAAAATGTTGGTGATACGATTGATGAATTACCTATGACATCCAAGGTATTCAATCTGTCCAAGTCAATTTACATCAACAGCGTTGGGGACTTTGACAATGCCACGATCCGGGTTCAATAAGTCTGCCCCCAGCAAATCCATTATTTTCTGAACTATACTAACGAGGGTCGTAGATCAAAATTCCAAGAAAGAGAGCTGATGCTGCTTCCCGAATACGAACCTGGAATAGCGCGGTGGGTTCCCGCCCTTCACTGCCGCTGGGATGCTCCTCGGGGTACGCTCGAGGTGTATGCTGTTAGATCTTACTTTGACACCGTGTTTGCCCATGACCCTATTCTTGGAATGACACTTACGCCGCTGTTCCAAAACATCCTGAATATAACCAATTTGACTTGGGATGATCTGGTTAACCAATGCAGTTACAAAAAGAAAAACAAGACAATGCAGACCAAGGTATTATACTTCAGATGTACGAGCGACTCAAGTCTATGAGCTACGAGATCCCACGAACGAAATGGGAGGAAGCAATGTATGTCTATCTATCAGCATCTGAGCATCAAATATATTGAGACCAACCAGAAATCCTTTTCACAAAAACGCTCTCATATATGCTGAGTATGGCATACGGTATCAGCTTGTCTATGGTCAAGCACCACGAGCATTCCTGGGAAGTCTGCTTTGAATGCTGAATACCCAGATTACAAGATCTTTTTCGTCAGCTTCCTCGGTGTTCCAACTTTGACGTGGCAATGGTCCACGACGAGCTCAAGAGGAAGGGACTTTCGGATAGCACGTCTGTTTCAGAAGAGAAGCAAGAGCTGTGGCAATTCAACTCTCTACTAACCGCAGAGACGGAGTCGCTAGATCCCCAACCCGTATTGGAGGGACGGATATTTCCTGTGAAGCTCCTAGGCGGCGAGGTGCTGTTGCTCTCAGCCATATCCGATTTCGCTTTAGTGGATCGAAAGGGTCTTGGTGATGCCTTTGCCAAACTTGTGAAGCTGCTGGACTTTACTCCGGATGAGGTTTGTCGCCTTCAGCCTCTCTTGCACTGGGCTGGACTGGACGACCGCCACCTTTCCATCAAAGTAACGGAAGTCGCAACACCATCACTCGACGCAGAAGGCTCACTCCAATTTTCACGCCGTCAATTTAAACATAGAGCGTATGCCTTATGCCGGTTTGTCAACACACGCGAGAGAGCTTTTGAGAACTTAACTGTCGCTGACAAAACACACGGCCTTGCCATGAATTATGAGAGTCCGAGGGCCCTACGTGGCCCCTACTCGTTCTACCAGCTATTAAGGCGCTCTGAAGTAATAGAAACAGATGGTATTAGTTTGGAGCTGCAACTTATTGAAGATGGTCGCACGCTGCGAGTGCAGCAGCCACAGACCAACCTCCACATCAATCACTCGGACGGCTCTCTTAAAATCTACGTTCCTAAGTACGGCTGCCGTCAGGAGACGTGCTTGTATTCCAAGCTCCTCAATGCTCTGTTAAAGTGGATGGTGGCCGAAGATGCTTTTAAGGTAATGACAAAGGAGAATGCTGGATACTCGACGACGAAGGTGTTATCAAGCTTGACTTCCCCAACGAAGACATAACCACTCCAGAACGCGAAGAGCGGGCATGCGCATCCGAGGGCTCGGGATATCTCCGATTGCTCGAGAAGGTAGTGAACGCAGCACATAAAACCAGCCTACGGCAGAACGGAAGCTTCGGCTTGTCCGGCAAGAGAAACGCAAATAATGAAACTGCTGAAGACTATTTACCGACGCACATTTTCAGTCAGTATGAGCGATATAGGATGATCGGAGCTGCTGGTGAACTCTATGTAAGACCTACTTGTTGACACGTCTCGCACGCCCCCTGATAATCCAAGTCGTTAATACTACGTGCAGGTTTTTGAATTACTTAGCCATCTTCATCCACAACTCCCTAATTTCCAATTGTCAGATTGGACGAGAAAAATCAGGGAATATGTCAAGGAACACCCCAAATATGCCGAAATGCCCATCTCAACAGAAAGGGAAATTTCTGATATTACGTACCTGGACTCGGAAGGCGTTCTACGATGGCCTTGGTCAAGAATGAATACCTCGATGTCGAGCCTTGGAGCGGCCGCAAGCCCATGTACTATATCGAGGTGAAGACGACAACCGGCTCGCATGATAAGCCGTTCTATGCGAGCAAGGCTCAGTACAAGAGGGTAGGTGACACGTCCGTCCTCATTTAGGAAGTCTTTTTCTGTACACAAGGATGGATTACGCTAAATTTTAGTGGAATAGATGCAAGATATATCTTGTGGGGAATCGGATACTGAGAATCTTGAGACGATATACGTCGTCTTCCGTGTTTTCAACCTTAGCAAAGGATCGACGGGGCTGGCGATATACGTTGATCCTGCCAGTATGAACCGGCAAGGAAGCTTGAAATTCACGGTGGATAGCTGGACGGTCATTCCCGGAGAGACAAGCTCTTAGTATCATTGCATGTGGTCTCTCAACAGCAGAATAGCTTCATTATAATCGACTTTTGTGCAGTGCAAGACGCAACTTATTTCTCACGGTTGATTGTTTCCTGCTCACATCCTGCCAAGCATTCAATAAAAGGAATCGGCTTGATTTATCCTCTAATCTGTCAATTTAACACTCGTTCCAAGCGACAAGAAATGGGAGGATAATATCGTGTCCAATCCTGCAGAGCGGAGCCACAACATTACACTTTGTCGCACTGGAAATCAGCCAATCACGCGATTAATCCAATCCAACTTACTTCCTCCTCGTCATCATCTTTAATTAAATCATATCACACCACCGTACGATCAATTAAACAACTGTTCTTCTAGCGACTCTAGGAGAATCCTCTTTACAGTGGCCGTGCTCGTCTTTCTATTGTGCTGTAACTGGCAAGCTGGTGACTCGCGCCCTCGATCATCTAGGCCGACTTCTACTCACGGAACCGACTTGGATGTTACTGTATATGGTCTTTGCTGAAAGGGTCCGAATATTCAGAAGGGGCTTCGGCTTCCTGTCAGCCAACCCGTTTCTGTCTCGTCGTTATTGGCTTTTGACTAGGACGGGCGGAAGAAGGAGTAGCCGGTTGTACAGCGACCCGACTGAGCTCTATCCTCGCGAAATATCTCATTTTAATCTGATGAGCCTTGTGGGCCGTTCTGCTGTGTCCATTCGGCTAGTTGCTCTATATACGTTACCTGGGCATCTAGACAACTATGGGGTTCATTATGTCTGCCGCCACCAGCAGGAGAATGAGGTGTGGGCCTTCCGAGGTCCGTGGAGAAGCCGCCGTTGCCTTGGGTGGTCATAATAAACCGCAGCAGGGTGAAGGCAGCAGCGACAGCATCGAAAGGTCATCATACGTCGACCCAGACCTGCCAACAAGCGCCTTGTTTTCGACGCACAACACCTCGGCCGATCCTCCTTCTTTCTCAAGCTGTCTGTCCCTACTAGGATCAAGCACCTTAACGACATATTTATCTACTTCTATACCGCTGAGTCATATGTTTTCCTTTGAGTAGACCATCGATGTCGATGACGCCATAAACATTGGCCTTATATGCTAAAAATAACGTCAATATTATGTAGAATTACTAGATTAGATAGTATAATGCTTTTCTAATAGTAGCAACAAGTCAAAAATAAAGGGGTTCAGCTGAAAACTAGAACCCAAAGATCCCGGATATTGATGTTTCTGTTAAGTCTCCCCCCTTTGTCGAGTTTACATAGTCGTGACTGACAAGGGCGCTGTTCAGAAACCAAAATGCTTGCTAACATCCATGTCTTCTGAAATCGACCATGAACGTGGTATACAATTAGGCCCTGGGACCGTGCATTTACGAGGAAATATCTGCATCTCCCACCACCTACCTAAGCCTGCCACGCATAAACCAGGATACACACACCAAGCGGGAATGAACCCCAGCTCTGATCCCACGGGTCCGGCTTCCCAGTTCCTTGATGGCACTAAACAAAATTTCCCAAAGCCAGAAAGGTGTGGGGAAGAATGGATATTCGAGGGACCGAAGTACGCCGACAAAAGACCTAACGAGTCTCTTATCTCCAAGCTGCACAAGGCAGGCCAAAAGGCAGGTGAAACGATGGGAGACCCGGCTGACCAAGCGCTCAAGAAGATCGGAGGTTCCAGCAGCCAGCCAAAGTACCCGGATATCAGATATCCATCTGCTGGATCACTTATATGTATCATTGGAAAGCGCGACGAAGCATACATGGCAAAATTTCCTCAAAACTTGCTGTATATCGACTGTCCCAAGTGTGTCGTCAAACTTACATGCTGGACGCCGTTGATTCCTGCTAACCATTTGTCTCAGGCCTCGGGATTCGTCGAGAATCCACGGGTTGATACGCTTGATCCGGTCCACATGCAGGCAAACCAAACCATGGATGACATGGACGAATTCTTCATCACGCCGAAGACTTTCGTTCGAGTGAAGAGGGACGGTGCAAATACGGACAATGTCGACCACGATAAGTACTGGGTCATTGTGCATGAACCGCCTTCGAGAAAGTGGGGTCCTGGTTAGTTGGCCCTCGAGTCTGTGGATGGGGATGGCGAAGTGTGTACCTAGATAGCTAGGCGCGATGAAGACACATGGTCTATTGAGAAACCATAGCAAGAGAATGGTGTACGAGTAAAATTTTACTTTTTGCACAGGAACATGCCGTGCTTCACTCTGTACGAGTGTAATCTGCCGGACTGAGACGTCGACTATCGCGACTTCGTCGACTATAAGTCCTATATAAAAATCTCATGCCTCAACTAAAATGGCTGATCCAATCAGAATTGACGTGGTCGAGAAGTTCCATTTCAGTACGTGAGAACGTCTGGCCAAAAGTGTCCAACAGCCGTTCCGCTCTTTGTTGCGAAAGCAGAGGCTTAGAATCTTGAGCAGTTCATGCTGCCGTTCGAGATTTATGCCTAAGGATGAACCCATGGTATATAATGGTTTGCAAAATACCACGTCGTGGCCTTGACGAAGGGCATAGTCGGACGAGCATCTAACGTCTATGCAAATTCCACGACTGCGAGGGTCACTACTGTGGAGCCCTGCTGCGGAAATACGCACACGGCGCCTCGCTGTCTACCTTCTGTAGTATTGCAAGCTGGAACTTGTCGAAAATAAGCCAGTTCCGATTGGCAGGCGGGCGAGTGGGCAGTCCATCCTGGCAGTACGAACAAAGGCCTCGTGGTGGATGAGGCTTTGGTGGAGATACTCAAGTGGTGACAAGGGTCATGCTCTGTTGATATACGGCGTATCTGGTCCACTCTAAGAAATGATGTAGTTCGCTTGGTCCACCTAGGGTCGATAAGGTCGCGCATCCGAAAGTTACGGGAATATTTCTATACCGAACAGAAAACTGGCTCAAGTTTGAAAATATCGATATCCCCCCACTACAGTGGTGTTATCACCACCTAATGTTGCATCTCGAAAAACGCTGACCAAATCTCACCTCACATTCGCCAGATTAATCGTAAGAGATCGATCCATGTATGGAAAGTCCCTACGAGCTACTACGAGTGGATAGACTCCAAAATGCACTGTCCGTCCAATGAGCGCGATTCCATTGCTGACCGCTTCGTAAATGCAAGCTGCGGGATCCCTGCTCCGAAGCTAAGCTGCCTATCATCTTAAGCAGGAACAACGAGACAAGTGACCGCATTGAGTTGAATGAGGCTACAAGAACCTAAATATACCAGGCCTTTGTACCTCTTTGTTTTCGTCATCAAATTTGAGGGGTCGAAACCTTACGAAGCATCTGAAGCTTCCCCGCAGCTGTATATCAGGCGTATCTGCTCCGCGACCATCAATGTAATGAGTTGTTGTCTCGTTTCTTCAAAATTAGAACTACCATTCCAAACAGATCGATTTCTTGACCCCAGTCCTGTCTCCGAAAACGAATACTATGGCGACTGCAGCTTGCCCCGTCGTGGGTATGTCCCCCCTACTGAAATACATCGCCGACCCTCGATGGCTTCTCCTTGACAAAACAATCAGACTGCTAACATTGACGGTAGGAACCACCAACAGCACTCTTCCTCCGTCTCATCCAGGTACTTTCAAGTCCCATACTCCTCGTGTGTCCTCATTCTCCCGTTTCATGTTGCTAACACAATCATCCTGCCAGAGATCGACCTGGACCAGCCCGGCCAGGTCTGTCCCGTCGTCGGAGCTAAGACCGACCACCACAAGAGTCAGTATTACCCACGGTCTGTTAACGAGTGGTTGGCAGCCCGAAAGCAACCCAAAAGTAGTGCGAAATTGAAAGCCAGGACTAATCATCTTAACACCAGATCTCCACAAGCACCCCTCGGTCCCGCTCCCTGCCGATCACCCCGAGCACACCCACGCCGACGCGCAAAAATGCCCCGCGCTGAGCAAGGTCCTTAGCCAGGAGAAGAGCCAGGCAATGGATGATTCCATTTGCCCTGTCGTGGGGACCGCGACGACAGTGTTGCCACCGGATCATCCGAGGTGAGAAGATTTAAACCACCGCTTGGCAAAACGGGGCCAATGGCTGATGACGTTTCTGTAGCACCGCCAATGCTTCTGAGCAAGACGTGTGCCCTGTTACCAAGGCTACTGTAGGACATCATAAGGTATGTGAACAATGCGGCATGAGAATTGTAATAAGAGGCGGCTGACATTCAGGTGCAGGGCAAAATCATCGAACACCCAGCTGTTGAAGGTGCCGGACCTGGCGCCACATGCCCAGTTACTGGTGCCAAGGCGTGAAGTACAAGTTCGATTATAGCGTAGTACACAGGCTCCGACGGGTTGGGACACAGGTTACATCGGCTTTTAGGATTTTATCGGCTTCTGAAAGTGTTTTTTATTACAACGCTACGACGTGGTCGACTAGGATTTGTCCTACTCCTTGTGGCTTGTCGTCTTCCTCTTTCTATTCGTAATACATATCTAGGGGAAAAAAATATAGCTAAGGCTCCAGGAGCTTCAAGATAATGCAACATACTCTATCCCATCTTCCTTCCTCAATATGAGCAGAAAACAGTTTCAGGAACTTGATCCAGTCATTTCAAGTTACCAAAGTGACTGTTGATAGAATACAGTATTACGGTACTACCACACGAACAGAGCTAACCCCGTTATCGCGCGACACAACAGCAAGACTTACGTCTAGCACCACCACCCAAACCGACTTCAGAACATTATGTTGATAGATGCACTTGCAATACACTTTGGTGGAGGGGGAGAAACATGGCATGTGTCGAAGGATTACAATCCACTGTATGAGCCACTATTTTACATGATGGAATGGCTTATAGTCAGGCAGTCTCAACGTGGCTACGTACAAGCTAGGTTGACATGAATCACTGGAAAGCCTCAAAGAGGTCTGAAATGGTTATATCCAGCTGTGTGCGCAGGTATATGCTTTACCGCACGGACCCATTCTAGTGCGTTAACACTCAGCAGGAGAATGTGTCGAATATCACGTGTGTCCAATCGAGTAGTCAGCAGTGCGTAAGATTGTATATGAATGAGGTGTATTCCGTCTGTGTTCTGTTCTCGCGAACTCCCGTTGCTCTCCTTTTATAGATTCTTTAGAAAATGTCGGAGGTGCATTGTTCAGGTGTCTGACCCCTAAGTGGACCGTAACTTTGGAGTTACTTTCGGGAAAAGGGGTTCATTTCGCCGTCTGAACTTTAAGTGACACTAGTCTTCTCTAGTGCCATATTATTTCTGAACCTAGGAACCAGGTGTCCTATCTGACAGAATGTGGCTTGCGCATATCTACTTACATCAGCTCGGTGCTGACAACTCATGCTTCATAAAGCGTCCTCTCAGGGGAGTCAAGAGGCCCAATGCAAAAGGCACTACCACAGGTAGCTGATATGCACAAGTCAACTTACAAGAATTGCATCTTGTCCACGAAGTCGAATATATATAGCCAGAGGCTGGGGTTTCCTACAAGCCAAACTAAAACGCCTCTACGCCAAACCATGCAAACCTATCTACAGTGATGTGGTACACTCACCACAGCTTTTACTGGCTCTTCCTCGACTTCTTGGCCTTCTTGTGCTTCTTCTCCCCCAAAACCTCCTCATACACCTCAGCGGCCGAAGGACCCTCCTTCCTCTTAGCCTTGGTGGACTTCACACTGACGACCGGGTTGGACTGGCCATGCTTCGCGGCTTTGAGCACCGTCTTTTCTGCCTCCTGCCAACCAGGCGCATCGGCTTCGATCTCGTACCTGAAGAGGATATTAGCGGGGTTCTCAGCATGGACTCATGGGTGCCACTTACTGATCAAGAGGCAGGGAGTCAATGAGTTCCCTCTGCTTCTTTCGGATCTCAAGCAACGCTTCGTCTCCGACTTCGTCGAGCTCATCCTGTAGAGATGTCTGCAGAGCAACGAATCGCGTGTCGATCTTCTCATCATCATGGGCTCCACTTGCGTTCTCCACACTGACGCCGATAGCGTCAGACTTGGGCATGGTGGCTTCGATGGCACCGGTAATCAACGAGGTGAAATGCGTCGTCACCTTCCGGATGATCTTGGTGAACATCGACAACAGCTGGTTCGTTGGCAATGATAGCTCCTGAGACACAGCATCCATATCCTTTCGCTGTAATCCCACGGCCAGCAGAATGGCTTGTTGCACACCAGTCAGCTTGATATCACCACGGAGGCGACCGGTGAAGTAGAGAGTGGCTAGCGTGGGAATCAAATCCAAGATGACATGGTAATCAAGCAGATTGTTCGCGTAGGACTCGAGGCGTTTGATATCCCATACGGACATCAGTGCGTCAAGTTCGGCCTTGGTCAGAGGCACTGGCGTTGTGGCAGCCTCCAACTGGGCGGCCGAGTTCGCGGACTCATCAATGCTCAAGGCGGTAATTGAGGCAAATTCGCGGAATTGGTATCCCAACAGTGACAGGAACCGCCGGTGGAAATCCTTGGAAAAGGCTCCCAGCCACGACTTGTCCTCGGTGTTCTGGAGCGGCCGAAGCATCACACATGTGTGCTCTCCGGTCAGGTCATTGGAAGTCTGTCTTAAGTAGACGGGGGCGAATGATGCGCGCTTCCAGAACTTGTGTAATGGTTGAGTCAACCCGAAACTAACACCAATATAATCCAAGATTGCCGGCCGGCGCTCCGAAAGTTGCGCAAAGAGCGGGGGCATCTTGTTGATGTTGCGGACTTTGATTTCATCTTCCAGCAGGTTGGCCTTGGCAAGTTCGGCATCAGTGACGCGGACCATGGTTTCTTCCATGGGCACGTCATCACTTTCGGACAAGCTGGTGAACTTGCCCTCATAGTAGTCGATGAGCAGCTCGAGGGCCCGACTTCCGTATCCCATACTCATATAATTGGGGTCCGTCGCGATACGAACCACTCGGGCACCTGAAAGCGAAGCAAACTCGTCGTCTTGGAATTGCTGGGAGACAAGCCACGGGATCAGATCACCAGCGGGGCGGGATCCTCTGCTCAGACTGTTCAGGACGCTTTGTCTGCTAATCCGACCTTCGAGAGACACCTGAATTGCACAAAGCGGTACTGGAATCTCGACTCCCGACTTTGTCCTCGGCCACTGATCTTGAGGCGGCATGAGAACAAATATCTCATGACCAGGGGCATCCGACAGAAGCTGAAGGTCGTCGGGTGAGTTTTTGTAATGACTCGCAACGAAAAGGCCAATCATCTTCTGCAGGAAATCCTCAGTGACATTGTGAAATGAAAACAGAGTGTCCCGGTTAACGTTGAACAGTTGACATTGGGACGGGTCAGGGCAGCCCTGAGATTTGGTTTTGGGCTCTTCTGCCTCCAGACAAAGCAAGGTGTTTAGCCACTTCTCGACTGGGTCGCCCTCCGCATATCGAATAGGTTCCTTTAATTTGATCTCTCGAAGTTTCCGGCCGCCGTTGAAGCTTTGCTCCTGCGCTTTCGCCGCTTTTCCGCTAGAGCGATCCGCAATCTGGGTGCTATCCGAAGCCGCGCCGGCACTGGATTGTTCGCGGAGCTGCTTGATCAGCTTGAGAGAAAGCGATCGCCCAGTTCCTTCGTAACCGTTGATGGTCGATGACATGAACACAAGGTAGGGACCCATAAGCTTGCGCACCAGGGGAAGAGGGATGGCCGCTGCCTCGTCGATAACGAGAAGTTCTGCTTGGCCGAGAACATGGGCATCCTGGGGCCGAATGTACTGGATTGTCTGACGATGCGCACGGTGGATGTTGACGCGAACGATTGCTTTTTGGAAGTCGGGGTTGGTTGATTGAATGATAGAGTAGTCGGCATGGTCAACGTATCCTAGGGCGTCGAATCCCTTGAAAATGAATTCGAAAAGCGTTTTCAGATTTTCAGGGGAGGGACTCGTGATGAAGATGTTGCTATAGCCGAGGGCAACTGAGGCTGCCACGGCCATTCCTAGCGCCGCAGACTTTCCTCGACCACGTGCTGCTGTGAGAGTGACAGTGTTTCGCAATGTCTTCTCTGTGATGGCCTCTACAAAGGTCAGTAATGCTTGTGCTTGGTCGGTCGTCTTGGCCAACGTAATGAGCGACCCGATCGGTTTCGAGTCTCGATGCGCATCCTTGATCGCTTCCAAGTCCTTTTGAGCCTGCGTTTTGGGCTCGTCTAGATCCGGAGGAGGCAAGAGCTTCACATCCTTCGCACCCGAGATGGGTACAACGTTGAACTCGTCGTCGATGATCAAACATGACTTGCAGCTTCCCAGCGACAGGATAAAACGTTCGTTAAACCTTGGGACGACATCTTGTTGAGCCTCGGTTCGAAACCTCGAGTGGCAATCCATCGTCATTGTGTATAGTTGTTTCAAACTCTGCAAGTTCTTCAGGAGCAGTACCACGACACCACCACCTTCGACCGTCTCAATGGTCCGGGCGAGGATGTTTGGGGTCATGGCCTCGAAGTCTTGTAGAATGAGCATTCCAAACGTTTGACCCAATATCTTTTCGGTTTCCTTATAGTAGCAATAGCGGATGTTATTCAAGGACAAGAACAGCTCGAATGCGTCTTCGGTGTTTGGTTCGCGGATTCCTTTCTTGATCTCCTTCTTGATCTTCGCCTCGCGCTTCTTCCGGTGACTCGTGAAGCCAAGCATCTTGTTCTTGTATGTCCAAAGGACGGATTTGTTGGCTCGAAGCTCACTTTGCGTCATGATGACTGTCGCACCGATTAGTACCATGAAACAGATCATACTGAGCAGAGTCTCAATTCTTACAGTGCAGGTTCACGATCACATCCTTGCTCCTGTCGCCAATAACAACCTATTTGCATCATCAGCCACGGTCGCTAGCAGCCAGCAAAGACTGATCGGAGACTGGAGGCATTCTCCCGGGATATTACTTACAAAGAAGCTTCTCTTCTTCTCCTGCAATCCATTCTTAAGGAGCGCAGGAATGCGACTGTCGACCTGTTTCCGTACCATCGTGAATGATGTGTTGTTGTTCAAGCCTATCCAAGGTCGGCGCAGTAGCGTTCCAATTCGCCTTTAGAACTTGAAGCTCCAATTCCAAAAATTTTGGCGGAGACTTGATTCTGCCGGGCGGTGAAAGTGGGCTCAATCACTAGACCAGCCTAGCTTGTTGGAGAGTGCATCATACCCCATCTGCCACACCTCTGAAAATGCTCAACTGTGGAATCCCCAGAATCGAGTGCTAGCTACAGGGTATGCTCTCTCCTGGCCTTTTTTTTCCATCGTGCTCGGGCCATGAGGCGTTGTGGGTTCTTTTCAGTCTATTTTAATCTGTAGTTTAGGAGAATAATCGCTCTCACACAGTGGTTCGTGGAAAGGGACGGCTATGCAGGCGGTACTTAAGATTAATGGAAAGGTTGGGAAAGCTTGTCGCTTCAACACATCAGCCAAGGGAGAATCCTATGTATCGCAGCAAGTTGACCACGGCATCGCAAGATCACGAAGGCGGATACACAACCCGAGCAAGAGGGTATCGGCAGATTCTATCAGGGAGATGGAGGACCTGTTGAACAAAGAATAAAGGGAAACCCCAAAGCACGCAAGAGCTGCAATTCCGTAATGGATTAGCTGTCGGGATCCACGTATTAGCGTCTGTATTGGTACTATGAAGGTGCGTAAGGGACCAACCCCAAGTTGGCCCCGAGGAGTCTCTAATTACTACAACGCGTGCCTGCGTGCCTCGTCTCCTCCATACCTGAGGCCACAACTACCCACGCCACCTGCACTGTTACATTACGGCCTAAGTATTGACTTAGAAAGTTCTAGTTCACGTGTAGAAGAGCCGAAACAGGAGCCGGAGCGGTTGGCAATGGTGTTCAAGCCACTCGAGAAAAAAGGGGGGGGAAACAATGCACTCTCTGCGCCATCTCACCTCTCCTTCCTTGCGCTCCCCTCCGACCCCATTGCCATTAAGTAAAGCATTAGATAGATCAATGTGCTAGTTCCAGGTTCAGGTTTATGAACAAAATAGTATAACATCCATTATTGACGGGGGCTTTGTCTAACCCATCCAATGAATAATCGTGTGAACAGTGAACAAGTAGTGCTTATGTGATTACACGACACTGCCACGGGAACAAAACAAATTCTGGATTGCAGCAACGGAATTCGAGCGACGAGAAATTCCGGCTTCCAATATCATTCCGCTCTAATTAAGCGTGAGGGTGAGAATAACGTTATGTTGAAGCATGATTTCTCCATTGAATATGGGGAAAATATCCGGTAACCGGCCAGCCTACCCCTGAGCGCCTGACAGTTTGACTTCGGCACCCCGGCTATGCGGCACTTGTGCATTAAGATCTTCCATTAATTATGGAGACCGACACTTGAAATTCAGGTCAGGAAACGGGAACTGGGGCACGGGTTTGAAGAACATGTGATGGGGACTGGGAACTCCGTCTGGGAACTTTCAACTTGTATCGGATGAAAATGGGGTTCCATTGGTTGGGACCCCACTCAACCTAGTGCAATTCGCAGCGGCTCAGGCCAACTTTAGTTCATCCTTCTAGAGTATGTGTAAGGGGTTATTAATAGGACCAACTTTGCTTATTGGATGAGAAGATTCGGCCGGCGCGAGGAAGGAGTCAACGGGAATAGAAACTCTACGTTGAAAGTCAAATCGTCAAATGGTGTGACTTTCTGCAGTGTCTCAGTAATGGTGACATGCAACCGCCATCCGTTTGAAGCAATGGCCAATTGGCTAGTCTATTCGCACGGCTGTGAATAAGTCAACATCGCACATCGGATTGACTGCTGTGGTTGACTCAATGGAAATTGAGTCAAACCGAAGCTGCAATGAAGTCAGAGTAAGAGCCTTGGTCCTTCGAATCGCTACACGTAACTTGTCGGCCGGAGAAAAGCTTCCACTCTGGATGAAAGGCTGGCCCATGAAGGACGAATATTGAAATTTGCACACGACAGCCACAATGCCGGGTCATCAATTAGTTGACATGGTTTGATGCCAAGTTGTGCGCATTGACCTGTGCCGCTATCCGATGAATGGGTGTGGCGGCACCAGAATCAGCATAACGCGGTAGGCTCTCCCGGAATTTACATCTTTCGAGCTTGGCAGATGCAGGGCTGGTTGATCTAGCCCAAAGCTATTCCCAGAGCAGCCAAGTCAATAATCCACCCCCTGCAACATGTGTCTTGGCAAGTCTGCTTTCTCCTTGCAACCCATGCCGCCTCATCATGGTCGATCTGATTGAAGTATCTGGCCATCCCTCGGGGGGAGGTTGTGTGGATGTGGGAGTTCCTCATCCAGCAAGCATCTGAGCCTCCAAAAGAGATCGTTGCCATCATGTCGTCTGCTGATACCGTAATTCGGGAGAAGGTGCCGAGGACGATGGGTTCCCGTTTTTCGTTTCTTCGCACCAAACGCACCATAGCCGTCCTGGTTATCTTAACTTGTGCTGTGATCACATTAATTGGTGAGTTATCTTTCGGATATGCACCGAGCCGCAACCTTGCCGTCGCACTGACTGACATGCTTCCTTCCCCCAAACAGCCCTTGCCGCAGCGCACGTAATTGGCGACTCGTCTGATCAACATCTGAGCGCTGTTGCTGGTAGTAACAACGATGCCCAACCGCAGACAACAAGTGGGTCCAACGACAATGACGCAGCAGCGACAGCTTCGTCTTTGGCACCTGCTCAAACCCACATATCCGCAACCAAAGCCTCGGCAACATTGTCGCCAAAGTCTTCAACCACCGCCACCTCTTCGACCTCCGGGGCAACTTCGACGGTCGTATCTGTACCGGGAAGCATCGCCAATGGAACCTCCCTCCGCATTATGTGCCTCGGTGCCTCCGTCGTCAAGGGCGAAACGTCCCCCGGCACCGTCGGCTTCCGCCCGACCCTGCGCGACGAAGTGGCCGCTCTTGGAGCCCCCGTAAACATGGTAGGCTCCGTGTCCTTGGGGGATATGATCGACAACGACATCGAGGCGTATGGCGGCTTCAAGATCAGCCAGATTTTCAACGCGGCCAAGAAAGTGGTGCCCCAGATGCAGCCCAACGTCTTCGTCATCAACGACGGCACCAACAACGTGCTGCAGCAGAAGGAAATAGCTACCGCCGGTGCCGACATGGAGAAGTTCATTAACTATCTGCTCACGGCTTCGCCAAGGTCCTTCGTCGTCCTGAGCACGCTGCTCATCAACACGGTAGGCAACGGCGCGTTGGAGCCCGACATCGAGGACATCAACCAGCAGTTCCGCGACCTCATGAAGAAGTTCGAAAAGGAGGGGAAGCCCGTCGTGCTCGCCGAGCTGCATCCCAGCACTGGTTTGCCAGATCGACCTCAGACTTCTGACATTGGACCCGACGGTTCGCACCCCACGGTGAACGGATACCAAATCATGGGACATCTGCTCGCCGAAGCCATCATCGCCGGCGACAAACAGGGCCTGCTACAGGTCCCTGTCGACAACGGCATTGCGGATTATGGCGAGAAGGAGAAGGCGACTGCGGCTACGACGGCATCTACAGCCAAGAGGACCGCTACTCCGCGACGACGAAGGCGCGTATGATCGTGTGATGGATTGCTGGATCGGCACACTCACTTCACACGGAACCAAACACCATTTCTTATGTATCAGAGGTAATACATGGGGTCCGTCAGTACCTGCGGAAAAATACAAGGCTGCATGAGCCTAATTTCAGGGAACTAATTACGACCACTTAACCCACTTCACCTTCGGCCCAGCATCTACTGGCATTATTGTCGCCATAGGAGCCCCGCCGTTGCTCTATTTACTAGATCTTGTTTAATCTCTCTTTGGGAATAACAAAAAATACGGAACCATGCGACCAAGATACCCATTGGTTCATCATTCGGCGTTGGATCGGAGTTTGCGACACAGCACGGGGGTGGGTTCATGGAGCAGATTCACTCATACTTGGACACATAATGTTTACCGCACTCAGCCGGGTTACAGATGGGACGGATGGATGGGTTGGCTTGACAGACACGTCAGGGGTACAATAAATGCGTCTGTACGATAGAGCTGTTGGCATCACATATCACCGCGGGAACAAAAAGACTGGTGAGAACCCCCGAGGGCTTGTATCACACCACTACGTGATACAGGTTGGGCTCTCATTATATAGGCCCTTAAGCAATGATAGGAGAGGACAGGGTGGCGTGCACGCATGTCGTGATTGTGCGATTGATTCAATAGACGCGATCGTTCATATAGAAAAACATAAAATCGAAGAAATACGTCCAACCCGATCGACTTCTCGCCGTGCGTTTTTGCCATTCAACATTGCTCCACCTCTCTCCTCATCCCCTCCCCGTAACACCAAAATGAGGATATTTGCTTTCGCTGTTGCTGCTCTCTTGAGCATGATAAACTCAGTCGCCACCAACTACGCTTCTAGCTGTAGCTCACCCGCGATCGTCCAGGACAGCCAACACCAGTACCTCGAAGCTGCCTGCCTGCTCCCGTCATTCGTCGTCGAAGCACCGCAGTCCCGCTGTTCCATGCTCGACCTAAATCTCTGCTACGGCTTCATAGACGGACAGATCAAGGCGGAAGACGGGTAAGTGTCCACGGTAGTAGAAAGTGTGGGCAATACAGGCAAGAGAGTTAGATGATGATGGGACTAACTCCCGAAGGCCGCAGCTATGGAAGGGCTCTCTATGGGCAGCTGGCCCAAGCATTGCCCCAAGGACACAGACGGTGTTTCTAGGGCATGCAACAGAAAGCTAACCAATCAAGGCTCTATTGACAGATTTTCGTAAGCCATTTCCTCTGAGAGTTGACTGACGATACTTGGATGCAGTGGCAACTTCTCCACCCAATGCGATGAACACAGCATCAGGATGGACGGCTCTGTGGTACGGGCTACTTGTACACCCTTTCCCTTGCCGGGGGATACACATCCGGGGAAGGTGCAGGCTTCAATTGATACTGGTTAGTTTGCTGGATTTGACACGGACGCTGAGGTTGGAATGGTGACTGACTGAGCCTTTTGGGTACAGATCCGCTGATTATGGTGGATGATATGGGGATGCTTGTGTGTTACGGGCATACAGGAGTGAAATGTTGAGCTGGTCGGCTGATGCTCGATTGCGCGGGGTTATATTTTGAGGAGTAGCTATGGTGTGGGACAGAAGTCGTGGTATATGAGTTGCTATTCATGGTTGGAGGGCTAGCATGGGATGGTTGATGCTAGAATAGCTGCGTAATCGTAATTTGGTATGAGAAAAGCTTGTGGCATTAGTCTTTCTACGACTACTTAGTGATATTTATCCAAGGTATGCCTATCTACTTTCAAACTTGCTGCTGTCGCTGCCACTGTCGATGTTACCATACCTTGACAACTTTGTGTTACCTGACTGTACTTCACTCGAAAAGTCCTTCATACCCCCATGCCTCATAGGTTGCTCACTTATAATGCTCAGAGTCCATCAAAAGCATCAGCCCGTCTCAATATGTGTGCCTTGCACTAATCGTAACCATAAGCCCCATCATCAACCAAAACGCCGCACTGCGAATCTCCTTGATCGGCCTCGTCGAGTCCACCACTGAGAACTCATATCTTCGTAACCCACGTTAACCCCCAGCCAACTCACTCGATAACGAAATAAATCCACTTACCTCTGGAAACAACTTATTCATCTCCATCATCACAATCCATCCCCAAGATAATTATACTTCCCAATCCCATACAGTACATCCAACACTCCTTCGGTGGTCAGCTTTGCAAGGGGGTGATCGATTGGTTGTTGCTGAAGATGACGAAGTAGAGAATGTAAGCCATCCATTCAATTCAAATATACAGCAAAGTGCATCCCCGAGTACCCCCGGATCGAACGTAGTCCGCAGTGCCGCCTGCATCTCCTCGTTAACCGTACAGATAGAACGATCCTTCCATTCATCGAGCTAAAGATCCGTACCAAGGCCCTTTGCGATACGACGACTTGTGCGCATCCATACGCTGGATTTAGTCGGCGTCAGTCGTTATACATGAGTTGGAGCCCATGCGGACGAGGGGGCCTTTTCATGACACCTCAAAGATCAACTGTATTTGTTGCCAAGGGACACGGGGATAGCAGGAGGTTAGTTGATACCATATTTATTCGGCATCAGGAGTGTATCGAGATGGCGGCGTAATCTACGCAGGTGAGGATCACAATGTCTAGGGGTAATGAGCATTTAGTTGTCCTGTAACTGGTGATGAGGTCAATCAGGGCCATGGTACTGTGAGGGTTGAGTCGGTGATAACTTATCATAGCGACAGGGCCAGTTATAGAATACGATGTGAGAACAGGAATTGAAGTACCTCAGTGCCTTCTCCGTGAAATAGGAGACGTACACAGTATGCACAACACCCACACAGAGTTGAATTGAGTTACCAATAGGGACAAGGGGTCTGTGTTGCTTAAACTTGAAATCAAAACTTGAATAGTGGCGGAGGTAGCCTAGTTGCATCTCAGATTACTGTGTTGAAGTGTAACACTGCATACTATGTACCCACCCTTAAAAATACCAAACCTTGGATGGCAATAGAGAATGTGGATAATATAATTTAGTCGTGAAATGAGAAGCCTTTAATTGTAGTCAGAAATATTGAGCAAGGGACGAAACTGAATGGTTGATTTGATTGGTTTGGGTACCACAGCGTTGCATGGTACCAAACCTGAGCTGCCTGGTCGAGGGGAAGGTCAAAGCAGGTCCCGCTCAACAAAACCCATTCAGACCAATTGTTCCTGATGCTTTCTGCCTCTGGCCTAACTGTCTGGAAAACTCTGCAGATCTGACCTGATTAGACGCCCAGTGGCTGGGTTGGCAGTCAGACACGAATGGTTTGAGGAGGCTTGAAGGCTACCATCCATTTGGTATACTTGCCTCGATACCTTGCCAGAAATACAATCTCGAGCATTGACTTCACAGATCAGCAATGCCCTTGTCAGCCAATCAATCCTACAGTACTGTCTTGGTTGAGGCTTTCAGTCAACCATCGCAACGATGAGATTGAGATGTCTTGAATCTTAATCTGGGATCTGATGTGAGATTAGTCTTTTTTTATGTCATATTACACCCAATTCTATATGGTCTTGCTTGTCTTGTTGTGGCGAACACCTGTATTTCACTAGTATAAGTACCCGGAAGCAGCTTATTTCCATGTCTTGTTTCCCTGGATTCTCTTTCAGCACCTCTTAACATCTTCCAGTTATTTAAATTCAAAGGTATTTCATTAAGATAGTCAGTGACATGCACGGGGAGCAGTTCGCCTACTACCAGCTAAGAAAGCGGCAGACAAGAGATTTGTCGATTCTGCACAATGCCTTGGAAAATTGAGAATAATAAGTTGTGTCCAGCCATGATAATGAAAGCTAGTGCAGTAGTTTGACTAGACGGCAAAGTTCCATGTAGGACACTTTAAATCCCCATAAGTCCAGCTCCTCGAGAATGCACACTATGCTGGTCTCCGTGGTTCTACTTCTTCGAGCGCATGCACACCCGCGTGATCTATATTTCTACCCATGGGATTGGCGGCCACTTTTACGCCTGAATGTCTGCAAGCAATTACCTTCAAACTGTTATTATGCATCTAAGATGAAGTTTTTAGATCTATAGGCCTTGTTACTGACCCATAGCGTCTTTATCATGGTGGCAGCGAATTGCAGGTACGGCGAGACGACCTGGATGCTGATACCAACAGGTATGCCACTCACTACCGAAGCATTGGGCAACGTTCTCGCTCATGAATGGAGATGTAGAATCTGTCTGCAGTTCGGCCTATTGCGTTCAAAAGATTGCATGTTGAGCCATCATGTATCCGGTATCGATATGTGAATTCAACAACGCCTGCTTAATAGTATTTTCAATGGTCAAACTGTGTCGACACGTTTTGTTATGGAAAATAATTCAGTTTCGAATAGAAGCGTAACCTGAAAATGTGACATAGGTATTGGCAACTAGCATATGAAGTTCATTGTATGTTGGAGATATATCTAGACCTAACTTTCCGCCACTAGGCTTCCTGCTTAGAGTTAGAATTTGACTAGTAGGACTACTAGCTCCTATGGATCTACCCGACTTTCTAGATATGTTATGGCTCGCGTTTCTACGCATATCTCGACCGGCGCTTCTGTATTTTAAACGTGTGGCCCGAATATCAGGTCGATACGCCACCTACTCAGCCTTCGCGCATTGGAGGATCTTGAGAATATTGGAATTGCGTGAAGTTCGAGTTTAAATCAACAACTGTTTACATATCTCCTGAATATTCGCGTGTCGAGGGCTGGAGGGCTGGTATGCTAGACATCATATCGAAGCTGGTTGGGATGCAACTGCCACTATAGTTTAACATCGCAGTAGGCATGTTACATCTGTGGGCAGTGCATGAAATTCTGGTCTCCTTCAATATAGCTCACAAAATAATACACCTTTACGCAGAGCTTCATTGGTCGCAGAATCTTTAAGAACGGCGCTTGGCCGACATTAGGTCACGCAGCAATGACGTCATGCTTGTTTCAATAAATGTTTCGCTAGCTCTTACTAATCATGACACCGACATGCAAAACGGCAACTACCAGTACTAAACACCTTCCGAGCCAAGCATCTTACAATCCAGTATCATCTTTGCACAACCTCTTTCTCCCATATACCAAAATCCATCAATAGGAAACTTATTGACTCCCGCATCAACCAGATCCAGATGAATACTCAAAACGAACAGCTCGCCACTTCTAAGGAAGCAGAGCAGAAACATACCTCCACAGCAGCTACGGCCGAGGATAAGAATCCCGAGGAAGTCGCCGAGGCCAGCGACCCAGCCCAGGCAGCCACAGAGCCGACTAAGCCGACGCAGCTGCGCTCGCACTTCAAGGGCATGCCCAACCAGTGGGAGAAGAATAGTATGCGTACCCCAGTTCACAAGACGATCTTATAGCACATTGATTGATAGTCTCGGATGCTAACAGGTTAAATAGAGAAGAAGGATGATGCATAAATGTCTCTCAGCACACAACTGCGGCAGAGAACGAGGGTGGCACTGAGGGCATGGTTTAGTCGTCAGGACACGTATATTTCATTCTCTGGATTCTGCACTGCGTAGTTAGCTCTTGGGTGGGCGTCATTGGTCACAAGCCCCTGAGTATATCAGTTGAGAGACTACAAGTATCAATGACCGTTTATAACGTTTGGACTTAGTGAACTCGATGACTCACCAACCATATGTCTCCAGGGATATGCTTGACTCGGTTAGTGTGGCTGTATAGGCAGAGGCTTCGTTCGCTGCTGACAAATGGAGGGCTTATTGTGCACTTTGTTAAGCTTCACTTAAAGGGCAACCACTACCTAGATTATGTATCCAAAAGAAAGACAAGAGTATTTCACCATTGAACCCGTCTGAATTAGTACTTAAGCCCAAAATCTTACAACAGCCGTAAACCAAGAAAGGCCAAACTCGCCCGTCTCATCCATACACCGTGTATTGTACGTGTAAGTCCTTATTTCAAGGGTGCATAAGGCGCTTAGTTTCGGATACTGCAACACCACAAAGGCAAAGGGTTCCCGCCATGGAACAAAAACCAACCTCTTTTTTGGAGCTCATTTGCACCTTCTTCCCACACTTTACAATGAGCTAGCTGACTTTCATGGCTGGGGCACAGAAGCGTCTTTTGTATTTTACGGATTATTTAATTCATGTGATTACCATAAGATATTATACCAGATTTGACGATGCCAAGGATAATGCCAATACAGGTTTAAGATACAAGAGACAAGCCGTTTGATGAAGCCCACAAAGGCTGTACATTAGATATCCTTAGACTGGAATCCCGAGGTAATTCCGGGGATACGCTGCTGGTCCGTGCGGCTAGGCTGGTGTCAGGGTGGAAATGGGCCTACGTCAATTCAACGCGCACGCATTTGATAACTTCTCTTCATGTCGCCGACACAATGCGTGATGGATCAATCCGAATCAGAGATTGTACAAAGTCATCCTATCGGCGATCACCTGGATGTGTTCCGCACATCGTTTCATTCAAAACATCAGGATCCAATTCCCCTGGATACGCTTGGCAATCAAGGCACTGTAAACATAGTCCTGGTTATTAGTATTGTGTCTTCTAACTAGAGTTTTGAACTCCGGTACTTCAGACTCATCCTACTTCCCTACCTGCAGAGCCTCCCAGTTGCAGGTCTGCTCGTTTCGAAGACAGGCCGTGGCACCATTCGCAGTAGTCTTCTAAAAATCGTTCCTGCAATCACCTCAGATGACTTTGACTGCGACCATATAAAACCCCTCCTTGAACGCAGTCTTTACGAACAAGCCCGACGAAGAGGTCTGTTATCAAGTCTACAATGCCGTCACCGAATCTACCCCACCACTCCGACCGGTCGCATCTTCCCTCCAACAAACGGCGGAGCTTCTCAGTACAGACAGTTTCGTGAATTCCTCTGAATACCGCAAATACATGGGCTGTTTGCTGGAAGATGAACTTGGGGTTTTGTAGATTGGTGTTCCTAGTTTATGAAACGGTTTTTAGGAGGTGTGGCAGAGCTTGAGACGGCATCCGAGGTCTTCCAGTGCACTGAAGGAACCAGTCTACTTTTCCGTGATGGATGGAATAGATGGCCAGAAGATGCAAATAAGACGGGCGTTCTAAGCTGGTTCGCAAAATCCAGCAAGAAGCTAGCGGGATTTGCAGATAAGTATATACCAAACTCGGTATATCAACGAAGACCATTAGCACAGCCTAACTAGCTGATTCAGGGTTCGCTGGCGGAGCGTAAATTGGACGTTAGCTTCGTGAATGACCCTAACGCGAGTAAGGAATGTAGATGCCACTGGTCGCAGATCCTACTACCTGGAGGCTTAAGAACAGCCTATCAGCCGATATGCCTTCAAAGGCATAGGTCGATAGTAGGAGATATGCGAGAAGTGCTCGCTGCTGAAGTAGCTATTCTTCTAGGTACTGCCGGAGTGCCTTAAATTAGGTCTCGTGTAGACCTTACGTTTTATAGAACTTTAGTTATTCTCCTAGTTTAAGGGGTATCTCGTGATCCTCTAGGCTATACTTTGGTAATCTAGTGCTTATCTTTCCGCTAAATACGATTTAGGGACTGTGTTCTTATATGCCGTATGCGATAGTTCCTTAATATTATCTAGATGCTCAATCCCTTCTAAGTCGATTATATTCGTTAGCTCTCTACCTGTATCGATTAGGTTACCGTGCCGCTAGGGTTATCGTTGTCACGACCTGGGTTGCATCGCATTGGTAGAGACCTCGATTAGGTGCTATCGACGAAGATTCTACTCTAAGGAGCGAAGGAAAGAAGATCACAACTTAGGTTTTGTTAGGCAACCTTGGTGGGCTTTGCCAAGACCACCAAGGTTACCACGTGACTTAGCCCTTCGGGACTAAGTCCAACCTTCGTGCTCCATAGGACTAGATAGAATGTCATGCTTTTACAACCTCACAAATCTTTGACCACCTTTGCGTGTAACAGGTTTGAGGGAGCGCGACTAAGTCATCCACGCTTGGCGGGGCTCCTACAAGGTTTATGATTGGCTTCCCATCTGACACTGCCACGGCAGGTGTTCTAGCTGTAAGTCACCTAGTTGTAGTGTGTCAGGGTACGGCTAGGCCGAAGGCAATAGTACAGAGTGATGGGGAGTAACGGGCGTCCCTCCTACGTAGCACCGGGTGGTCACTGGCGGTCTCAGGTAGGGGTGCCCACGGTGATGCATTGATCTCTGCCCTCTCTATCTTCCTCCGTCTCGACTCCTTACTTATAGCCAGCCGAGGTTCTCTCTTGGATTCTGGATGTTTGCTTCCGTATGTCTGTGTTCCTCCGACTTCGGCCAATATCTTGGACAGCGGCTCCTTATCTGCAACCAAGCGATTCCCTATCCGCTGCAAACGGCTTCAACGGCTCTCATTCGCCACAAGCGGCTCTCTAGCCGCCACAAACGGCTTCCTACCTGGTGGAAGCCGGCCCGCCTCGGATGACACTTGTGGCTCTGACAACTCCTTCCCTATCCTACTTCGAGATGGTCCTTATATAGATAGCTAGGCCGCCGCTTGGACCCGGCATAACAGCAGGGTCGGCGATGCCAAGGATCTTGACTCTCGTCATCCCAAAGCTTCACATAGATTGTAATCATGATTCGGGAGTCTTTTGTCCGAAACACCCCTCCGGCGGCCCGCCGGTGTCCTGCGTTCAGTGTCCTGACACCCACTGGTGCCTATGGCATTCTGTTCTCTGACATAGTGAGTCTGCGAGGGTTGACCTTCACACTGTATATAGCAGTTAGTGGGACGAAATGTCAGTGATCCACTGGAATTCTAGATCTTTCGGTCTATTGGCCTAGGGGCTTGGTCCTCCCTTGTGACAATAGTAGCGTTACCGTCTTATATGGGATAGGCGTTATGGTAGGCGGGCTTTTCTTAACGTGTGCTTAATACTTGTCAGGGTACGGCTAGACCGAAGGCGATAGTACAGAGTGATGGGGAGTAACGGGCGTCCCTCCTACGTAATACCGGGTGGTCACTGGCGGTCTCAGGTAGGGGTGCCCACGGTGATGCATTGATCTCTACTCTCCCTCTATCTTCTTCCCGGGCCTCCGCCCCTTACATAGATAGCTAGAACCCGACGTCGGAGCCGCGGAGCACTAGTTTCCCCGATTGTTCCGCAAACCAAGACTTCCATATCGTCATGACTCGCACATTCCTACATCGGAGCCCCACCGGTGTCCCACCGGTGCCTATGGCATTCTGTTCTCTGACACGACGACCCCCCCTGACAAGGCCCTGCCCTCAGGGCCTCAACGCTCGTCCCGTAGAACACCGGCCCTTCCTATTCCCACATCCTCCGATGCCGCGCCGGTGCCCTCCGGTGTATACCCCGTAACTCTTCACGCGCAACAGCGTATACACTTGTGGCCTAACCACAGTGCTCCGCGCTGTCACCCGCACACACACGTCATGACATCGGTCCAGCCATTGCTCGAAAACCTTTGCCTGACAATCGCTTACGACAACGTATACACTTGTGGCCTAACCACAGAGCTTCGCGCTATCGCTCGCCTTCCGAAGCTATAGGTGCCTACCGGAACAGCACCGGTGGCCCTACGCTCCCAATCGTCGGAACATTGGCCCAGTAAAACGCTCGCAAGCCAATGTTCGACACACACGCGCAACAGCGTATACACTGGTGGCCCAACCACAGTGCTTCGCGCTGTCGCTCGCTCTCACGTCACAGCATCGGTCCAGCCAATGCTCGAAAACCTTTGCCTGACAATCGCTCACGACAACGTATACACTTGTGGCCTAACCCCAGTGCTTCGCGCTGTCGCCCGCTCTCACACGTCACAGCATCGGTCCAGCCATTGCTCGAAAACCTTTGCCTGACAATCGCGCACGGCAACGTATACACCTGTGGCCTGACCACAGTGCTCCGCGCTGTCACCCGCACACACACGTCATGACATCGGTCCAGCCATTGCTCGAAAACCTTTGCCTGACAATCGCTCACGACAACGTATACACTTGTGGCCTAACCACAGTGCTTCGCGCTATCGCTCGCCTTCCGAAGCTATAGGTGCCTACCGGAACAGCACCGGTGGCCCTACGCTCCCAATCGTTGGAACATTGGCCCAGTAAAACGCTCGCAAGCCAATGTTCGACACACACGCGCAACAGCGTATACACTGGTGGCCCAACCACAGTGCTTCGCGCTGTCGCTCGCTCTCACGTCACAGCATCGGTCCAGCCATTGCTCGAAAACCTTTGCCTGACAATCGCTCACGACAACGTATACACTTGTGGCCTAACCACAGTGCTTCGCGCTATCGCTCGCCTTCCGAAGCTATAGGTGCCTACCAGCATCTCACCGGTGGCCCTATGCTCCCAATCGTCGGAACATTGGCCCAGTAAAACGCTCGCAAGCCAATGTTCGACACACACGCGCAACAGCGTATACACTGGTGGCCTAACCACAGTGTTTCCCGCCATCTTCTGCCATAGAGAGACCCTGCTTGTTACCGGCTTCCCAACGGTGTACCGTTGCCCTCGTAGTTATGTAGATGTGATAATAGGTGACTTACCTGTGATCTTTGTTCCGTTCATGCCCCCTCCCTGAGTGCCGCTCCTGAGGCACTGGTGCTAACCTGTTCTACTCCTAGGCCACCCTCAAGACGGTCGCTGCGGCCATGACCCTCAAGGAGTTGATTGCCCTTGTTGCCGCTGGCCCCATAGAGGGCAATAGTTTCTCTTGTATACAATAAGGACTTGTTTGGCCGGCGTGTCCTTGATACAACGATTGCAGTCCAAGTTGTCACCTGGTGATACGTCGTGCCACTGAATCTTCGTATTCTTCCCGTAGCTCCCGTGACAAGTATCGGTGCCTCACGTTCTTCGTCGGTAGCATCACCAGGTTCCCTACGGCGAGGGCGACGGTCTTTCGTCACCTGTTATACCACTTCTCGTAGTCCTTGTTCGTTCTCTCAAGGAGCTTGCTGGCAGACTGCACACCCCCTAACAAGTCCTTCACATCTTGTCAGTGATTTCCAAAAGTACGACCTACTGATTCTCTTGACTGTCTTGGTGACCCCCAGGTGGCCACTAGTCTGCTCATTATAGAAGGCCATCAGTATCTCCCGCTGGATCGGATGGTTATCTGGTACGAAGACGCGGCCCTTATAGCAAAGCAGCCCGTCCTCCTGGTACCACGCACCCGGTACGCGGCTGAGCGACTTCCACGCTCCGCTACTGACGAATTCGTCTTCTGCCTGGGCTTTCCTGACATCTTCAAGTAATGTCGGAGCCAACTCTTCCGGCATAGGGACACCAGCTGTAGCACCGCTTGCGCGCTGTGTCTCCATTACTCGCACTCTGATACTCCTAAATCGTTGTAGGAAGTCTGGCAAGAACGCTACTTGCGCCTCCTGTTTCTCACCCGCTGTCGCGCGGTGGTCAGGCCGTCTTGACAACCCATCGGCAGGATTCTTCGTGCCTGGTCGATATATGATCTCGAAGTCATAGTTCGCAAGGTCCTGTAGCCATCTACCTTGTCTAGCGCTGAGCTGCGGCTTACTGGCTAAGTAGCGGTGGTTCAAGTGATCCGTGAGAATCTCAATCGTCTGTTGACTGTACAGCAGATAGTGCCGCCATCGTTGTGTTGCCTCAATAATCGCGAGCAGCTCCGCATCGGGTGTCCCGTAGCGTAGCTCAGCACCTTTCAATTTCTTGGACATAAAAGCCACTGGGTGCCACCTGTCTCCGTGCAGCTGGCTAAGTACTGCGCCAATTGCGAAGTCTGATGCGTCAGTCTCTACACGTATAGGTAGTCCAGGCTCGAAATGCTTCAAGATAGGTGCTCGTGTGAAGGCCAGGCGTAGCTTGTAGAACGCCTCGTGTGCTACATTATCGAGCTGCAGCGCTCCAGATGATCCTCCCTTGAGTAGGTCTGTCAGGGGTGCTACTATCTTCGAGTAGTTTTTGATAAACCGGCGATAGAACCCAGTGAATCCGAGGAAAACCTGTATATCATGGATACTAGCCGGGGCTGGCCATTGCGCGATAGCATCCACCCTGTCGGTTTCCATGCGGATCCCCTCCGGTGACACCACGAACCCTAGGAACTCGACTTCTTGCGTGTGGAAGACGCATTTGTCTTGATTAGCGTACAGGCCAGCGGCGTCCAACCGGCGGAGGACCTCCCGGACATGCTCTGGGTGTGACTCTCTGTCCTTAGAGAATATAAGGATGTCGTCCAAGTAGACGATACAGATCACGTCCACAAGTCCAGCTAGTGCGTCGTTGATGTAGCTCTGGAAGGTCGCCGGCGCATTAGCTAGTCCGAACGGCATGACCAGATACTCAAAATGACCGTATCTCGTCCGAAACGCCGTCTTCCATTCGTCTCCTTCGCTGATACGGACCCGGTGGTATACATCCTTCAGATCCAGCTTCGTATACCACTTCGCGGAAGCTAGCCTATCCAAGATCTCACCGATCAGTGGTAGTGGCGCTCTGTTCTTCACAGTGATCTTGTTAAGGCCTCTGTAGTCCACACATAGCCTCAACTTTCCTCCTTTCTTCGGTACGAATAGGATCGGCGCCCCAGCTGGGCTCTGCGAGGGCCGAATCCATTTCTTGCTCAAGGCCATTTTCAAATATTCTCGTAGTTCCTCGAGCTCTTTCTCCGCTAGTGGATAGATGGGCCCGTGCGGCGGCTCGGCACCTGGCTCTAGCTCGATCTTGTGTGACCGAAACCTTCCATCTGGCAATTTCCCTGCTAACTGCGCGTCGAATAGATGGAGGAATTCTGCGTATTCCGACGGCACGGTGGCACACTTGGCCTGCGGCTCTGTTCCGGCTCCTCTGTCCTTGCTAGCTTCGACCCTTGCTACCGCGGGCACTGCTATCATACTGTACTTTGCCTCGTGGTACGCATTCCGTATATCCTTCTTGCTGGTCACCAGTTGCAGACTGTCCACGTCGAGAGGGTACGTCCATCCTAACGAGGACCATCGAAATATAGGCTCAACGGCACGGCACCAGGGGAGCCCAAGGATTGCAACCCAGTCTTCTGCGTCTGAGACTCGGAATTCGTGAGCCTTCGTCTTCGTCACCCCGAAGCCGTCCGTCATCTTTGTATGTAATACCCTCTTGCCATAGTTGGGACCTTTGCTTCCCCACATGCCCCGCAGCGTCTCACCGGAGTCTTGTAACGTACCCGGCTCGATGCCAAGCACTCTTGAGTCCACGACATTCTCGTCGGCTCCGGTGTCAATCAAGGCTTTTCCAATGCGCCAGCAGCCGCCAACCCGGAGACGGATGGTGGTTTCCAGACGGAGCGGCTGCTCGTACCCCTATTGAGGCTCGGTGTGGCGGACCCCCAGCGGCGCTGTGTTTGGGTTCCGGTCCTCAGGACAAGGTCCGTCATGTTTGGTTCTACCGCAGGTCCTGCAGTTAGGGCATTGTCGAGAGTAATGTCCCGTCTGTCCGCACGAGTAGCACTGGCCGTAAGCCACATCCCTCCTGGGCGCCTGTTGGCCTGCATTCCCGTCTGATGTTTCTTCCCTTGCTGGTGCTGGGGTCGAGGACGATGTTGCGTTGGTCCTCGGGCCAGGCTGTTGGTACACCGGTGGTCTGCTGCTTATTTGAATCGCCTCGGCTTGCTTAGCTACGTCGTCAAGCTCATACCGAGTCGAGGGAAGTCCTCGGGTCATGACTTGTCGCTTCAACTCCGGTCGTAAGCGGTTGAGTACGTTGACGACGCGTATACGTTCCGGTAGTTGATCAGGGCACTCTGTCTCTATAGCATCGTATACGTCGATGAACTGCTGGTAGCTCTGGTTGGGGCGCTGGGTGATACTATCGAGTCTCTGCATCACGCTGATCACTCGCGTATCGTCGCTAGCCACACTCCTCTCCAGCCACTTCTCCATAGCGTCCCACCGGACGTTCCCCAAGTCGTTTTTGTAAGTAGTAGCAACGTGGCTGGTCCACCGTCGTTGCACCGCCCCATCAAGGCATCCGGTGGTGTGCAGTACACGCGCCGCATCAGTGTCGAAGTCCTCCGCGTACATCATGAATCTCCCCTTTAGGTTTAACATGAACGAGGTAAGTTCCGACCAGTTGGTGCCCCGGTACTTGAGTGTCGGCAAGTGGCCTCTCCCTCCTAGATCAAGCCGAGGTCGCTTTAGGCCTGGTCCGATAGGTTCAACCTGGGTCCCACCGGCGGTACTATTATGCGGCTCTCCCCTTCTTAAAGCTTCCAATTGTCCAATCCTTTCTCGTTTCTTCTTCCTCACTACTTCTTCTTCCACTAGACGGTCAAGCTCTTCTAGCTCGAGCTCCTCTAGTTGGGACCGGCTCAGTTGCCTCATCGTCGCTGTTGTCGTCGTAGCGTCGACAGTGCCACTGCTCGTCTGCGTCGCTGTCGTCGTCGTTGCACTACTCGATGTAGCTCCTCCGGTGTCACCCAGCGTGCCTGCGGCTGTGGTCTGGCTTCGCATCAGGGCTCTTCGCATCGCCATTTTCTCCCCAACGGTCCGTACGCCCGGAGACGGATGGAGAGATCAACGTGTCAGGGTACGGCTAGGCCGAAGGCAATAGTACAGAGTGATGGGGAGTAACGGGCGTCCCTCCTACGTAATACCGGGTGGTCACTGGCGGTCTCAGGTAGGGGTGCCCACGGTGATGCATTGATCTCTACTCTCCCTCTATCTTCTTCCCGGGCCTCCGCCCCTTACATAGATAGCTAGAACCCGACGTCGGAGCCGCGGAGCACTAGTTTCCCCGATTGTTCCGCAAACCAAGACTTCCATATCGTCATGACTCGCACATTCCTACACCGGAGCCCCACCGGTGTCCCACCGGTGCCTATGGCATTCTGTTCTCTGACATATCCAAATGCTTCGCCGATCCCTCGACCAATAGCTCTGCGATCCTAGCCCACTTAGCCTTGACTTCTTATAGTACGTTTAGTACTCATACATGTAGCTCTGGCAAGGCATGTATTTAATTTCTGCGTTCCCAGGTTAAATACAAAACTACTAGCGTGTTCAATGGAAACGAAGCCTCTTGTATTATGAAATGCCTGTGGCTTAGATATTGATTCCAACGTGATATGTAACCATTACATTGATCTATTAGAGTTGTCTCGGTTGTTCCACTTTGTTTGCTAACAAAGTTTGAGAGAATGCCGATTGTCATTTTATGTGCTCAGCCCTATATGTGAAGATGAGACGAATGTCATTGAGATGAAGTTGGGTTCGCCAGTCTTGCCAAGCCTTTGATGACAGATCCTGTCAACCAGAATCCCATCCATGGATCATGAGCACTTCGGGAGTGAACCTTTACCTCTTAGTCAACACATTCACTCTAGGAAAATTGTATAGGCGCCATGCGTATAAAGTATGCAATGCATGAGATTCCAAAGGTGTCAAAATGTCGTGGTGAATCATTTTATGTGCCGGTAACTTTCAGTACTTTGGTCAGCTTGAGCAACCTAACGTTTTATTGCCCTTGGACCACTCTCATGGCATAGTGGAGCGTGCTTGCTGGCATCATAATGAGTAATGCACTACAGAATAGATGCAATTCCCAACCATCGCCAAGAGAGAACTATGCCCGTTTAATTATACATATGTACATGTGTTGCCCTGTGTATCGCATATGCTAATGCTAACCACTTCAATGTTTCCTAGCAGTATTGCTATTCGGTATTCCATATCATCTACCAGGCCTCCAATTTTCATCTGTCCATAGTTCCATCTAATGGATCCCCAACCTCGAACGTAGAACGTCGACAGGGCAAGCAACCCAACTCGTGAAGGTGCCTAATCTATGATGCCCAAACCAATCCCGGTTCCACCACTGGCATGATTCCAACCGTCTGCAGACGGCGGCGTCTGGCCAAACTCGACAACTGTCCCGTCAGCGAGCTTAATTCCCCCCGATGCATACCGGACCGTATCCTCAGCGCCTACACTGAAACGTTCACCCGCACCCCTGAGATCGGGACTCCCGGTTGAACTAGACCCCGGCTGGCCTCTATTCAGACGCTCGCCTGCACTCTCAGCGCGCCGATGACACACACGACTGCTTGCGCTGGCTGTACTTTTGCCTCTCCGGCTGAAACGGGAGAAGAAACCACTGCCTGTGCGCCGGCGGCCCCTGTCTTTGTACATGTCGTAGCTCGTCGGCGGGGTGTCTACCTCGAAGCCGCCCAAGCGTGGACTCGGTTCGGTCTCGACTAGGCTCGGCCTTCTGCTTCTTGGCCGCTGCATAGTCTGGAGCACAGAACTCCCGCTGTCCTGTGCCAGTGGACTGCCATTTCTCCTCCCATACTGGACCGAACCGTGGCTTTGGCTGCTCTGGTGACTCGGGTCTCTGCTCATGGGTTGGCTCGAGTAGCCTGTGGGGTGTTGCTCGAGCCGGGTGCTGGATGATGTCCAGGGCGGCGGGTGGATGGCGATGGCGAAGGGCTCCGGACATAGAGGGACGGTGTAGGGATATGGAGGGCTGGGTGGCGAGTAGGGCTGTGAGTGGGTGAGATGATTGAAGCCTTCGTCGTGCGATAAAAGATCTTGACTATACGCGTCCCAGTGGTGCATACCATGCGCAACCGACGTATGCCATTTGCTGGTCATGTTCACCTGAATGGGAATGGGGGCAGGTTGGAAAGGGCTCGTGTACTGTCCCGGGCTTGACCGTGCTGTTTGGCTTGGTGGATGCAACGGCGGTCTCGACATGTATCCAAGACCCCCGTCATCGGGCGCGCCACGTTGCGAAGCCGATGGGCTTGTAGTTGGAGGCAAGTCGGTTGTCACTGCCGTATTGAGCGGACTCGAGACTTTGACTGGACTGAGGCCATCGGTGGCGATCGCCTTTTCGTTCTCCTTCAGACGCATGATGGTGGCAGCCGCATAAGTAGACGACGGCGGAGGGTACGTGCCCATGACGTTAATGAAGGTTGGGGTGACAGGGTAATCGTCTTCGATGGCGGCCTCAGTCTGTGCCGTACCGGTGTAGGACGGTCTCCCCGCAATCAACTTGGGCCTCACGCTCGATGTGCTTGACGCGCTGTTCTTGTCGGTTATATGGCCGCCGCCCCTTTGCGGTGGGGGAGAGATCTTGGTTATCTTATTGAGCGTCAGCTCCGCATCGCTGCTAGCTGTGAGTCGGTTACTGCTGGACGAACGAGACCGGCCGCCCCGCTGATTCTGCGCGTTTGGTGGGCTGATGAAGCCCTTTACTGTCTCCCTGCTGAGACTAACTCGAGGGTCGCTTAAGATCTGTGGCGAAGCCCGCCATGCGCCAGCGTGGTCTCGATAACGACGTTCCGCGTTGCGTTTGATGGTCCTGTGACGGTGCCCAGATGCAATGAGGCCATCATAGTCCTCGGGAATCGATATCGACTCGAATATTTCCGTAGGAGCAGGCTGAGGCGTTACCGTCCTTGGTGTAGTCCCATCATCAAAACCGAGGACACCGTATGGGTAGGTGACATGCCAGTGATACGGGTTGTAATCCGTTGGGCTATAGACAGCCGGAGAATCTAGCGTTGGGTGATCGTCGTCCAGTTGCCAGTCGATTAGACTGCTGTTGCTCGGTGGACTCCCCGAGTCCAACTCCGATAAGCTGTTGGTGCGTTCAAACACCGACATAATAGCTACATCTCCACCGCTTCGGTCGCCGTTGTGTTTTCGTTTGCTGAGTTGGTCGATCCGGGCCTGGGTGCTGTCCAGTCGTGACTCGAGCAAATCGCGACACTCACCCAGCTCAGGCGCCTTCTTCTCGAAACGGTCCAGGTAAGTCAGGAGTTTCTTTCCATGAATCAAAAACCGCATGTAGTCTTCAGGCATTCCCGTGGCCGCGTCTTCTCGTATGCGTCGGTCGCTTGCATCAAACGCCGTGCAAAACACGCAGATGGCTCTCTCCAACCAGAACGGCGCTTGTTTCTCGTCAGCCAGCGTATCAACGAAAAAGGCCTGCACAATGCCGTGGATCCTCAGTATATCGAGGCTATCTTGGGCCATATCCACCGAGTGCGCACTACGGTCACTCGCCGAAGGTGTTGCCGTATTCTCGTTGCGTTCGATCAAGGCAAAAGCGATGAGCACCTTGAATGTGTTGTTGAGCGTCGCCCTTCTCGTCTCAATATCGTACGACTTGACGGGCGTTCTCTTGTCGAGCGCTTGCAGCCCCAGAGCAAGCATCTCGACCGGAATATGCTGGCTGAAGAATGCGAGCATTGACATCAAGTTCAAAGCAGCAACAGCACCTCGATGCTGAAGCTGCTCCCGCACCGCCCGATACGCTGGGAGATGACCCGCCTTGGGTCGACTTCGATATGATCGGAGATACTTGGAAAGCGGCTCCCTCGTGGCCTTGAGGTGACGTGCGGCGACATGTATCATCAAGGGCAGACGGTCCATCAGCTGTACGAGTTCAAGCGCTCGACTGAGGTCGTCTTGATTCCACGGCTTCTTCTTTTCCATCTCCTCTAAAAGCAGTTCCTGGGCCTCACGTGGCGTCAGCGGGTCAAGAACGATGACCTGGGGGTTGTCGAATCGGTAGTCTTCGCCCGTTGTTCGCTCGGTCGAGGTGTAGATGATGCTAGTGTTATTGGCAAATGGGATAAAATTTTCCAGCTCTGGTAGATCGAAATGAACACCATCCAGAACGAGCAGCCAGCCTTCGGTCCGGCTTAGCCACGCTCGCACCGCCTTGACCATTTTCTTGGTGTCGTTAAGGCCATCCTTTTGCAAATGGTCGATTTCCTTCAGCGCTGCTGTCTTGGCAATATCCCAGTACCCATACTCCAACTCCTGAATCGACTTGGACCTCATCCAGAAAATGCCCCCCGGATAGTGATACTTGTATTCGAACACATACTGCCGAGCGAGGTGCGTCTTACCCCCACCGGGCATGCTCTGGATCAGTACGGACGAGGTCCCCGCTGATCTCCGTTCTCGGTCCATGAGCTTTTTATGTAGCGCCTTCATCTCTTGATCGCGCCCCTTGAAGTGCGTGTTAGGTCGGAACACGTTGGGTTTGACGAAAATCGGTTCTCGCGAGGAAGGCTTATGATCAGGCACCGAATCCTGCGATGAAAGCTCCGTCTCTGCTTCCGGCGACTGTGGCTCGGGTAGTAGAGGTTTAGATATGTCATCTAGCCTTGAAGGGGGCTTCTGTGGGTCCGTGAGAGAATTAATCTGATTATTAGGATCTTGTACTATGAACAAAAATGCAATCAGCCAACGTTCTGCGGCTAACGACGCCCAATTACAATTTGTCCTGTGTATCAACTTCCTCAATCTCAAACGGGAACTGAATGCCACTAGAGTCATCCCCTAGCAGAGCACGCTGCGAGCTGTGTAAAGCAGGAATAGGGACCGCTGCTGGTGGAGACCTACTTTCACCTTGTTGCGCCTGCTGGGCCTCTTGCGTTGACTTGAGCTGCTTAAGGTTAGCGGTTGCTTATGATCGTAGGCCAACGCTTCTCCTTCTGAATTTTTCATCGGCAGGCGCACAACGGGAAACACCCACCCAAGGCTTCATCCTTTCCTCAATTTCATGCTTGGCCCTCGCCAACTTCTCGTCGTCCTCGACCCGCCATCTCGTCATGATGGTATCAGGAGCTTGTCCAACCCAGTCCCTGATGGCCGTGGAAACTACCCTATACCCCGGGGCGTTCTTGCTCTCGAATTTGCACATATTAGAGTGATTCTGTTCAATGGCGAAGAAGGCGACCCCCGGCAATTGGGGACTAGCTGACTGTGCATCAACAACGAGCATCCGCGTACCCTTCAGATCCGTTTTGTGATTCTCATGGGCCATGAGAATTTGAAAGCGCTGATAGATATCGAGAAAGTGGTTATTGATGTTCTGAAGTGTTTCGTTGTCTTTCTTCAGCGTCTTGAGAAGTACCGGCTCCGACTGCCAAAATGCCTTGGGCACCACAGCATCCGACATGGCTTGAAGCATGGTCGCCCAAGCGCCCATATCCGAGCCAGTGTGGGGTGTGCCCAGAAAAATGAGGCCGTAGGTCGACACGTAGATCTGGCGATAGTCCTCGTGCTGCGATGCACGTAGATCGTTGGAGTACAGAAGCGCTCTCTTGACCAATATGCCCCCAAGACTATGACAGACCCATATTATCGGATTTCGCGACGAAAGCTCGTCCTTCCGATAGTGCGTTAGGCTGGTTACTAACGTCTGCGCATGCATATAGATGAAGTTGTCGCTGGGGTTTCCGCCATGTTTCTTGGAATACACGTCGGCATTGTAGCCGTAAACCAGTACATTTGCTCGCGCACTCTTCAACGACTCGGGGAGGAGATCTGTGGGCCAGAAGACGCCATTCTTGGCGGTCCACGTCTTCTGAGGTTCGCCATTTAGACCATGCACGAGGACGATGTCGACCTTGGCGTCAGGGTGCGAATACACGGCCGTCGTCTCGAAACGTGAGATTTGCTTGTTGATCGAGGCCTGTTGACCACTTCCATATCAGCATTTGAATGCCGCATGCTTGACAAGTAGGTGACAAAATAAACGGCGCAACAGGGGGAATAGTGAAGAATAATATATGGGATAACTCGGTCCAGTGCAGTAGACCCGGTGCAACCTAGTTATTCCAACTGGATGCCCCATTTGTTTTGGTCCACAGCTTCCAACCTGGGGCACTCGAAAATAGTCTGTCTGCTAGGGAATGCCAGATGCACCATGTCAGACGAGACCCGAGTGCGTGCAGGCCGTAGAGCTTGGTCGAAGACAGGGGAATTGACCTGGGGCCACTCACCATGCTTGCGTACGGGCAAGGCGAAGGAATTTGTGTGCGTCAATCTCCAGCCAGTCAGTCGACGTTTTGCTCTCTGTCGTGTAGAGCCAAGATGAATTCCAGTAGGAGAAGCAGGCTTGAAGGCTCCTATATAGCGGCAAGATTGCTACGCTGCTCTAGGCGACCTCGCGTGTGACGAAAGCATCGGCAAATGCAGGCACGTAAAGCCACAGACTTCGCCATGTACAATACGATGCGCCTGCGGGTCAGCCAGCAGCGTAGCAGCGAGACAGCCTTCATACGACCTCGACTTTCTCCACCAACGAGTTGCCTCAGGTCCGATGATTCAAATCTGTTTTGCTCGAATTGCACAGCAAGTCCTCGAGAGAATCGTAGCACCAGTCACATTGTGCGACCGAGGAGGAACGTACAGCGACTACTTTTTCGGGAAGGACATGGACAAGCTTGCGTCACGAGGCACTTTGTGCTCGTGGTGCTGGAGTGGGGTTGAATGGGTTGAACAGCTGAGCCCCTCCTTTGGTCGAGGCAGTTGGGTTTAAGCATTAATATGCCTAGTCCCAGGATACCCGACCAACGTTCTCCAATGTCGTCAATTGCGAGTTGGCGGGCGTGTTTCGTACGAGCCAGGCGACTGCAAAGGGATTCTCTCATGGCAAGTTAACGAATGTATGAAAACCTTACTATGTTTACGGTGCCATATCAGTACGTCGTTTTCGCTCACGCAACAGATGACGCAAAGTCGGGCAACCACTTTTGCAGAACTTGTTTCACCAGCTCCAGGGTATCCACGAGGTAGCCAAGCAGTTGCTTGGTCGTGACTACTTTGGATTCAACGGCCCCTCGAGCCCCCTTATTTTGATTTTTTTCAGCTCATGAACATCGCAAAGTTGAGCGACACCTGCCAGAGAGTATGGCAGTTTCACGGCAGCTTTTAGCAAGAGCTTAACTCTAAAACCGGGACTCGTTGCCGTGACCTCAATCGTATTGGTGGTGCAACTGGCCTGCAGTCAGCGCGCATGACGGGAACGGATGGTGGGGAATCCTGGCCCAACATCTGAGTTGACGTCGGTGTCAGATGCACTTCAAGCGCTTCCCGTTGCCTAGTCGAAATTTCGGATTGCAGTTTCGGCAACTGGAATATAAGTAAGCGCTAGCTGAAGCAAAACGTTGTGAATAAGTTTTACGGTATGTCGCCATGGGCGTGAATGTCAAGGACCACTAGGCATAATCATTTTTGTTGCATGTGTTGAATTGCGAATGATTTATCACTTGACCGCAGCAACATTTGAGGGTGACCGGAAGCCGGTAGCTGCCATTGCGTGAAGCGCCACAAGATTCATCTGGGTCGAACAAGCGTCTAGATGGGATCAGCTTGCATCCAATCAAAATATCCAGGCCTTCACAGCTTGCAGGCTGAACCACCGGCGCACAGCATTCTAGCCTGAGACCAACCTGAGGGCGCAAGGGGCGACCATTTGTGAATCTGTACCAGTCGTCTATTGTTTCGTAGCCGTCACATATTGACATCGCTTTCCCTCAATAATGATATACTCGATGCCGTTTCTGACAAGTCTGACGTCAAGGCTTCCCTTTTCCAACATGAACTCAGAGACACTATACACCTCAAGGTATGGCTTCACAAATCTCTTATCAGCATCGCGGTAGCCGGTCGTCAGTATCCTTCAAGACCCGCCTTGCCGGATGTCTTTCTACGGCCGATACGGTACCCAAAATAGCATCGCTACGTCCGGTTTGGTTGAGGAAAGCCCTCCTGATGTAGAGCACTGACTCATAACGATCTGTAGCCAGCCTAACTTTGCCTCAGTCGGGCTCGAGGGCAGTGAGAGAAGTGAGTTGTTACATATTGTTTTTGAGGCCGTAGGGGCAATACTAGTAGAATAAATACAGCGAAGGTGTTGGGAAAATAGGGCTTTCAAAATTTGTGTCTACGCCACCGTCTTGTAGCTGAGCTCTGACGACTTGCTCCGCCAGGCTCCAACCAACCAAGATGGAGAAGCGGTAAGTTCAACAGCATAACTCAGATGTTCCGTCCGAAATAGCGCTGCTCACTCGGAATCAGTCTTTTGGTGCCCGCATCAGCAAATACTCTCGAGTGCTTTGGCCAAACTGGATCAGGTCCTTGTCCCTCAGCTCAAGATATCTGGTCTCTGGCATCTTCTTCTTGTTGATCATGGTACCATTGGCGCTGTCGAGGTCGATCAGATACGGCTTGACCTTACCGATCTTGTCACCGTACTCGTTTCTCTTCTCGAGATAACGGAACTGGATAACGGCATGTTGTTTGCTTATGCTTGGGTGCTCGGCAGCCATGTCCACCACGGCAAGTTCCCTTCCAACCAGCCAGCAGGTGCGGTGATTCAACTCGATGGTATCGATTATGTCGGCTCCCTTGAAGACGAAGAGCTTCCATCTGTCTTTGGGTGAGGGTTTGCGCGCTTCGGGCGGCTCGTGGTACTTGAGCACGATGGTGGAACCGTCTGGTTGCTGAATGGAGTTTGAGACGGCAGCGAGCGTGCCCGTCGTTCCAAAGTTTGGTCTCTCTTTCTCTTTGAGGGGCTTCTCTCCGTTCGTTACGGCAAATGAGTCAGCTTGGGAGGGCAGGGGGCCGCTACACTTGACCACTTGTTTGCTACGACTGCTGTCTTTAGAATACTCCGGCCGTCCATCTCTAGCTAGGCGTGATGTTTCATTTTCACCATCTATGTCATGGCCATGTCGCGATGTCGGCCGCTGGTGCTCTTTGTCTCTATGCCGGTCTCGGTCTCGCGAAGGAGATGATCGTCGCAAGTCGTCAGGTCTGGGCGATCTAGGTGATCTTGATCTTCGCAGCTGCCTGCTCAGTCTGTCCCTCGAGACGCCGCGTTTTCCATATTTATCCCCATGCCGACGTGAGTCTTCTCGGCGTGCCCCTCCACTTCTCCTGTCCCGGTCGTACTCGAAATCGTCTTTGTGTCGCGGCTGACGCGACCGATGGGATGGGGACCTGTTGGAATCCATTCGCACAGTGCAGAGCGTCGCAGGTGATAAGTCGAAAATCTTCTGATCGAAATAGCTTATACCTTCTGGTCGAAAGAAAATCAGCAATGCAGATGGTCCACAAGATGGACAAGTTTTAGCCTGGAGAACTTCTTGCGCAGTTGTGTTGTGTTGCAAGGACCGCGATTTTAGAAGGTTCAGTTTGCCCAGTATCGCAGCAGTCACAGCTTGGACGCCCTGGAAAAACCTTGCGCCGCCCTCTAAGAGCCTTTGAATTTAAGGTCCTTCAATTTGACATTGTCCAACATGTAATTTAACGACTTATCATGCCAATATACGTCGTACAGTCAAAGGTTCCTTTTGCATGGAAAATTTTATTGAAATGAAAAGAAAGTGGTCACCGGATTCCCACAGGTTGCGCAAGGGTGCTGTCAGCTTTCGTTAAGCAGACTCACAACACTTCGTTTCGAATTTTAGTTGGTGCTGGCTCATATGTGAAGGGCTCGCTCAGTGGCAGCGTTGGTTTAGCAATATACCAAAATACCATATCTCGACTTGCAGAGCCAGCGCAGTAGCTTCCATATAGTCGTAGAGCAATCAGCGATGGGGTTTCCTGTATCTGCGCCGAACCGTGGAAACTTTAAATATAAGTGTCTCTGAAAGGGGTTTTTCTCAACTTCGCAAGGTGTGAGTTCGAAACGATTCAAACGCAGATAATTTCGTATCATTGGAAAGCCAAAAGAAGCCCAATGTCAAGCATAATGCGAAGAAACCTCGAAAGTAGACAAATAAAGTAACGTACCCCACGGTCCAATTGAACACTTTCGCGCATTTCCGTACAACCTAGGTTTTATCCCTTATTTTCCACCTTCTACAATGGCACGTAATTGGGAAGAAAGCGATATTCAATTAGCGCTTCAAGCGCTTCAAAATAACCCCAAACTAAGCGTACGATCCGTAGCACGGATCTATAATATCCCTCATACAACCTTACGTCACCGATATCGCGGCGGTACTTCACGACAGGATATACGATCACCAACGCAAAAGCTTACCTATTCCGAAGAAGACCCGATCGTACGCTACATAGTCGACCTAGATTCATGATCATTTCCTCCTCGAATAAGTGGTGTTGAAGATATGGCGAATCGACTACTCCACCAACGCGACGCAGGATGCGTCGGTATTAACTGGGCTTCGAGCTTCGTACGACGACAACCAGACCTCCGGACGCGTTTTAATCGAAGAATCGACTACCAGAGAGTCCTCTGCGAAGATCCCGACGCGTACCGCGCGTGGTTTTATCTCGTACGGAATACAATTAATAAGTATGGAATTCAAGAGAAGGATATCTATAATTTTGACGAGACTGGGTTTCTTATGGGTCAAATCTCATCCGAGATAGTTGTAACGACCTCTGATCGACATGGAAGACCTAGAGCAGTACAGCAAGGGAATAGGGAATGGGTTACAGTTATCCAGGGCGTCGGATCGGACGGCTATACTATCCCTCCGTATATCATCTTTGCTGGTAAAACTCACCTATCTTCGTGGTACGAAAATAGCCTACTACCAAAGGATTGGGTTATCGCGGTTACGAAAAATGGCTGGACTACAAATGAAAGAGGCGAGGACTGGATTCGACATTTCGATCAACATACAAAGCTTCGTACGAAAGGTGTTTATCGCCTCTTAATTCTCGACGGCCACGAGAGCCACCACTCGACCGCTTTCGAGCTCTACTGTAAAGAGAAACTCTATTATCACACTCTGTATGCCGGCTCATTCGTCGCATAAGCTCCAACCTCTCGATATCGGCTGTTTTCGTGCACTGAAAAGAGCGTACGGTAAAGAAATTGAGGATCTTATGCGGGCACATATTACCCATATCTCGAAGGAGGACTTCCTCTCCGCGTTCTTAAAAGCGTTCCAGGCAACTTTTACGATATCAAATATCCAAGGAGGTTTCTGAGGGGCAGGACTCGTACCGTACGATCCGGAATATGTGATTTCGCAGTTAGATGTGGAGTTACATACTCCAACACCTCCGGGTACCTCGTCTGGTCTTCCTATTATCTGGGAGTCGAAGACCCCAAATAACCCAATTGAGGCACAATCCCAGACCGAATACGTGAAAAACCGAGTTATACGGCATCAAAATAGCTCTCCGACAGCTACACTTACTGCACTTGACCAGTTTGCGAAGGGTACGACGCAGGTTATGCACCGGCTTGCTCTTTTAGAGGGTGAGAACGCCGCGCTTCGAAAGGGAAATGAGACACTTAGCCGGCGGCGTTCTACGAGAAAAAAAACGTTTACAGTATGGAGGATCACTTCGTATACAAGCTGGAGAAGATTTACAGTCTCAGAAGCTAGTTAACGGAGAGTTAGATAATAAATCGCGCTGGAGTCGTAGTCGTACGAGGAGGCCAGAGATACTTCAGCAACGCTGTAGGACGTGCGGAGAGCCCGATCATAATATGCGTACTTGTCAGAATAGTAAAGAGATATCTGAAGAAGATAGTTCCGAGTAATTTTAATTATTTTTTTACTTTATAGTTGAATTAACTTATGTCTTATTGTACGAGGTCTTAAGAAGTGTTCAATTGGACCGTGGGGTACGTTACGAGATAACAAACGGCGCACCAAAGTGAAACAATATGGGATAGCCCAGTATTCCAGTGTAGTAGGAAGACGCGACTTGGTTATCCCAGCTAGGTGCCTCGTTTATTTTGTTCTCTGCTTACATCGTATCGACTCAGTCCAGGGGTGAGTGTTGCTCATGCCTTGATCGGCAAGTACGTTCCGGTTTGCTCTTAGGCTTCAGACAGTGAAGTAAAGTGGTCAGCAAGAAACAAACACTGTAACCGCACTTGGAAATGAGTCAGATTGTGTTGTTCAGCCGAAGTTCAAGATCGTGTGGTATCGCGCTGGAGGCGTTGTCCTTATTAATCCCACGCCCTCCTTCTTTCAGGGGGTCTGCTTATGATGATTCAAGTACTATAAGTTGCGTGTGATACGATCAGCATACCGTCATCCAAATTGGTAGGAGAGCATGCGTTATCGACCTCACTGTTACGAACCGTTGGCCCTGAACCAACATTACAGGCCCGTTGGCAGGCCAGGTGGATACAGACGCTAGGATCACGGGACCCCGCATCGGAGAAAGGAAAGGACCGACAGGTCACGTGACTCACCAGGGTGGATAGCTTGGACAGCTAACATATCCAACATATCCAAGTGGGGATCAGTGAAGGAGAGATGGATATATAAGGGACAGAACTTCCAGGCATTTCATAGATAGACAGTCTCTACTTCAGTCATCAATCTAAGCATCAATCTAACACATTGGTGAGGCAAACTGATATATTATTATATAACGTACCCCACAAGCAAGTTGGCCACTTTTTCTTGGCACCGTACGAACAACCTTTTAATTAACATCTTTACACATACCAAGATGGGATCGAATTGGAAAGGAAGCTACATGATTCTAGCGTGCCAGGCGCTTCAATCGAAACCCGAATTAAGCATCCGACGCGCTGCCCAACTCTACAATGTCCCTCGTACAACTCTAGCTAACCGAAAACGCGGACTACTATCTCGACGCAATACTCGGCAATCTAGTCTGTAACGGATGCAGTACAATGTAACGAGCCTGTTGTACTACCCTGATGTATCTATCATACTACGCAGAGGGAAGGAGGAAGGGAAGGAATGGCGGTGAGGTAGGGTAGCGCTGATTTGTATGCTCTCTTAGGTAGTGGGGCGTTTGATCTGTGCTCCCCAGAGCCAGATTCCTGCACACAGGCCAAGCCCGTCACATGACCCCCTTTGTAGGTTGTTAGTCTGAATGCTTCCATGGCGGCTGCTCCCTGGCCGACAGCTCGTGCCTGGCTCGGTTATCTGCGCGTCAGGCAGCAGGCGCGTCCGTTTGCAAAACAACCATCATTCTGCTCCTCCCAAACGTCGCCCAGCCTCGACTTTGTGTACACTTTTTGCTCCCATTTTTCACCCATCATCCTCAGCACATCTACTCTCTCTTGACATATTCTCATATCCAGCTCCCGCTCTCTCGGTCACGGTATATATATTATGCAGTTGTAGCATAGGTGCGCCTGCTAATCGTGCGAGCAGATGTTGCCCCGCTTCAGCTCCTCCAGCGACAGTTCGTCCTCCGGGAGCGATTATGATGAGGAGATTGTCAACACCCCATCCTTCATGAGAAGGTCGGGCCCATCACGCTTTACCAGAAGGGCTGCTCCTGCTCCCGCCTCCACGGGTGATGACGACGACGATAACCATGAGGGTCTGCGCCCAGCTCCCATAGAGCATGAGTTATCTGCAGCGAAGGGCAAGCGCAAGGTGACCTTGCGCACACCCGTCGCCTCCGCCCCTACTGCCAAGAAGCCCAAGATAAGAGGAGCGCTGTCAGAGAACAGAATGCCATAGGCACCAGTGGGTGTCAGGACACTGAACGCAGGACACCGGCGGGCCGCCGGAGGGGTGTTTCGGACAAAAGACTCCCGAATCATGATTACAATCTATGTGAAGCTTTGGGATGACGAGAGTCAAGATCCTTGGCATCGCCGACCCTGCTGTTATGCCGGGTCCAAGCGGCGGCCTAGCTATCTATATAAGGACCATCTCGAAGTAGGATAGGGAAGGAGTTGTCAGAGCCACAAGTGTCATCCGAGGCGGGCCGGCTTCCACCAGGTAGGAAGCCGTTTGTGGCGGCTAGAGAGCCGCTTGTGGCGAATGAGAGCCGTTGAAGCCGTTTGCAGCGGATAGGGAATCGCTTGGTTGCAGATAAGGAGCCGCTGTCCAAGATATTGGCCGAAGTCGGAGGAACACAGACATACGGAAGCAAACATCCAGAATCCAAGAGAGAAACTCGGCTGGCTATAAGTAAGGAGTCGAGACGGAGGAAGATAGAGAGGGCAGAGATCAATGCATCACCGTGGGCACCCCTACCTGAGACCGCCAGTGACCACCCGGTGCTACGTAGGAGGGACGCCCGTTACTCCCCATCACTCTGTACTATTGCCTTCGGCCTAGCCGTACCCTGACACGTTGATCTCTCCACCCGTCTCCGGGCGTACGGACCGTTGGGGAGAAAATGGCGATGCGAAGAGCCCTGATGCGAAGCCAGACCACAGCCGCAGGCACGCTGGGTGACACCGGAGGAGCTACATCGAGTAGTGCAACGACGACGACAGCGACGCAGACGAGCAGTGGCACTGTCGACGCTACGACGACAACAGCGACGATGAGGCAACTGAGCCGGTCCCAACTAGAGGAGCTCGAGCTAGAAGAGCTTGACCGTCTAGTGGAAGAAGAAGTAGTGAGGAAGAAGAAACGAGAAAGGATTGGACAATTGGAAGCTTTAAGAAGGGGAGAGCCGCATAATAGTACCGCCGGTGGGACCCAGGTTGAACCTATCGGACCAGGCCTAAAGCGACCTCGGCTTGATCTAGGAGGGAGAGGCCACTTGCCGACACTCAAGTACCGGGGCACCAACTGGTCGGAACTTACCTCGTTCATGTTAAACCTAAAGGGGAGATTCATGATGTACGCGGAGGACTTCGACACTGATGCGGCGCGTGTACTGCACACCACCGGATGCCTTGATGGGGCGGTGCAACGACGGTGGACCAGCCACGTTGCTACTATTTACAAAAACGACTTGGGGAACGTCCGGTGGGACGCTATGGAGAAGTGGCTGGAGAGGAGTGTGGCTAGCGACGATACGCGAGTGATCAGCGTGATGCAGAGACTCGATAGTATCACCCAGCGCCCCAACCAGAGCTACCAGCAGTTCATCGACGTATACGATGCTATAGAGACAGAGTGCCCTGATCAACTACCGGAACGGATACGCGTCGTCAACGTACTCAACCGCTTACGACCGGAGTTGAAGCGACAAGTCATGACCCGAGGACTTCCCTCGACTCGGTATGAGCTTGACGACGTAGCTAAGCAAGCCGAGGCGATTGAAATAAGCAGCAGACCACCGGTGTACCAACAGCCTGGCCCGAGGACCAACGCAACATCGTCCTCGACCCCAGCACCAGCAAGGGAAGAAACATCAGACGGGAATGCAGGCCAACAGGCGCCCAGGAGGGATGTGGCTTACGGCCAGTGCTACTCGTGCGGACAGACGGGACATTACTCTCGACAATGCCCTAACTGCAGGACCTGCGGTAGAACCAAACATGACGGACCTTGTCCTGAGGACCGGAACCCAAACACAGCGCCGCTGGGGGTCCGCCACACCGAGCCTCAATAGGGGTACGAGCAGCCGCTCCGTCTGGAAACCACCATCCGTCTCCGGGTTGGCGGCTGCTGGCGCATTGGAAAAGCCTTGATTGACACCGGAGCCGACGAGAATGTCGTGGACTCAAGAGTGCTTGGCATCGAGCCGGGTACGTTACAAGACTCCGGTGAGACGCTGCGGGGCATGTGGGGAAGCAAAGGTCCCAACTATGGCAAGAGGGTATTACATACAAAGATGACGGACGGCTTCGGGGTGACGAAGACGAAGGCTCACGAATTCCGAGTCTCAGACGCAGAAGACTGGGTTGCAATCCTTGGGCTCCCCTGGTGCCGTGCCGTTGAGCCTATATTTCGATGGTCCTCGTTAGGATGGACGTACCCTCTCGACGTGGACAGTCTACAACTGGTGACCAGCAAGAAGGATATACGGAATGCGTACCACGAGGCAAAGTACAGTATGATAGCAGTGCCCGCGGTAGCAAGGGTCGAAGCTAGCAAGGACAGAGGAGCCGGAGCAGAGCCGCAGACCAAGTGTGCCACCGTGCCGTCGGAATACGCAGAATTCCTCCATCTATTCGACGCGCAGTTAGCAGGGAAATTGCCAGATGGAAGGTTTCGGTCACACAAGATCGAGCTAGAGCCAGGTGCCGAGCCGCCGCACGGGCCCATCTATCCACTAGCGGAGAAAGAGCTCGAGGAACTACGAGAATATTTGAAAATGGCCTTGAGCAAGAAATGGATTCGGCCCTCGCAGAGCCCAGCTGGGGCGCCGATCCTATTCGTCCGAAGAAAGGAGGAAAGTTGAGGCTATGTGTGGACTACAGAGGCCTTAACAAGATCACTGTGAAGAACAGAGCGCCACTACCACTGATCGGTGAGATCTTGGATAGGCTAGCTTCCGCGAAGTGGTATACGAAGCTGGATCTGAAGGATGCATACCACCGGGTCCGGATCAGCGAAGGAGACGAATGGAGACGGCGTTTCGGACGAGATACGGTCATTTTGAGTATCTGGTCATGCCGTTCGGACTAGCTAATGCGCCGGCGACCTTCCAGAGCTACATCAACGACGCACTAGCTGGACTTGTGGACGTGATCTGTATCGTCTACTTGGACGACATCCTTATATTCTCTAAGGACAGGAGTCACACCCAGAGCATGTCGGGAGTCCTCCGCCGGTTGGACGCCGCTGGCCTGTACGCTAATCAAGACAAATGCGTCTTCCACACGCAAGAAGTCGAGTTCCTAGGGTTCGTGGTGTCACGGAGGGATCCGCATGGAAACCGACAGGGTGGATGCTATCGCGCAATGGCCAGCCCCGGCTAGTATCCATGATATACAGGTTTTCCTCGGATTTACTGGGTTTATC